GTCAGCGTGGCAGATTTCCGAGTTTCGGACAGAGGTTTGATCTCTCGCCGGAGCAAAGAGCACAGGCATCTTTCGCTGCTCCATGCGACACAATCAGATCAACCAATCGGACAAGGAGACCTTCCCTAACCGTACAAGTGTTTCTTTGCGAGATCGTATCCTGCCGACGGTGGGAGACAAAAAAGAAGGGAAAAGGACACGACTTATCGTGCGCACACGCCATCTCCACCGCAAGAGGTGGCCTGTTAGGATGAAGGGGAAGGGCGGGTCCTCTCGGCGTGGCAGTGCTCCGCCCGCCCTTACCGCCCGCGAACAAACGCGCCCTGCAAGCCTGGTGATGGCCTCACGAGCCGGCTGCTCCCGACCAGAGTTCATCCTCAACGTACAGAGGGCCAGGGTGGTGGTTTCCCCTTCTGACGCAACTTCGTATTCTGGAATTCTGCATCCCTCACCTCAACGCACTCTCGCCCACCTGAGACGTGGCGACCCGTTCCCTTTTGGGCAATCCTATGTTTTATGTTGACCATTCCGGCCTAGGCCCAGATCTACAATGAGACCTCCTGGGGCGGACGACCCACGCGCGTGTCAGGTGTGAATGCTTCTCGGTTGAGCTCCCCGACGCCGTCAGGAATGCGATTGCCCTCTCCGAAAGGAATGACGATTCTTGATCGGTATCTTGGCTTCTCTTGAACGTGCGAATTGTGTCATCGCCTTGTTCCCTCGCCGCACCTGAGACTGCTCACATTCCTAAGGCGTCCGGGTGGCCAGCCACGTGCCAGCGTATAATGGGTTGTCTGTCGTAAGGAGGGGGACGACCAGAGCAACCGGGTGGCCCGGCACCTGCTGCTGGACGCCACTGTCCATCAAGTGAAGGTGCAGAAATTTTCGGAGGGAGCTCATTTGAAGCTGCCGTCTCGTCTGTCCCCTGAGGTGGCCGTCAGTCCGTCGCTCGGCAAGGTGACTCAGGTCCGTGGCCTATGCCCCTGGGTTTCAGCAGGAGAACGCCCCCAGTCGCAACGGCATGGGAATCACATACGTGATCTGATGACGATGAAGGAGAAGGAGATGTAGCTTCACCGTTCCCTCACTGAGAGGAAAAGGCAGCTGAATGTTCAACTCGCGGCTCCTAGTCTCGGTAGATGTATAGGGAAGGATGATGGAGAGGGGAGAGGGGGACTTGTTTTGAGAGAGAGCATGGACGGTGACGTTTGGGCTGAGCCGTCGGCCTGAGGAGACGATTGCGGTCCTTGAAGCCAAGGCCCAATGTCCCCTGTCACGGCCTGAGCCAAAGCGCAGGACATTTTTCCTGTGCTGTGCGATGGGGAACGAGAGCTCAACAAGCAGGCTGATTGCCGTATGGCGTTTCCCACATGGGCTATCCTTCTGGGTGGCACTATCGAGAAACAGGATCTGGTCAAGAAATGGCAAAATTCTCAAAGTGCTCTCTATGTGAAACGGTTGGTGCCTCTGGTGCTCCGGCCGAGAGACACACCAGATTTGTGCTGCGGCTCGAGGTCGCCTGTGGCCAAGACGCGAGACAAGGATCCGAGCCTTTCGGAGCGGCTGCAGGCGTTGTGTTACCTCTCGTTATCACGGGGATGCTGAGGGTGCTCTTCCGGGGCCACACACAGATGCTCATCATCCCGTGTCAGTTGGTCCCGCCCAGGGAGGGAGGGATTCAGCACGGCATGGACGATGTTACCATGGCGCCCGCCAATATGCCTCGTGAGCAAGCGAGAGTCACCAGAGACGCGCACTCAGACAGACGCGAAGGGGCTGCCGGGAAGAGAGGCCCGGTGAGGCTGTCACGGGTGAGTGCTCTGGCGCTCCAGGGGGACGCCTCGCCTAGCATCTGCGTCCGAGCGAGCGAGGACACGTGTGAGGAAATACCACCGGCAGCTCGCCTATCTCAGAACCGATATTGACGGGATCGGGATGTACTGCGCCCATGTGATGGAACGTTCAAGGGGGCAAGCAAGCGACAGATGACCTCCGTCGTATTTGAAGCCTTGTCAGATGGGTGGCCCTCAACATCTGGCTTGATATCTGATGTCGTTGCTGTCGCTGGCAACTCGGAAATCAGTGACAAGGTCCGACTCTGGTCGTACGAGTGTTCAGCCATTGCGAGCCCAGACCACTCTTGACTGGCTCATCTCCAGACACTCAACCCCGAGGGCCAGGTCGTTGACCACGTTTCTCATGTCTGTGGCTAGCTGCATCCAAGAGTCTCAGATGGGAGAAAGATCCGAAGCCTCTTGGCTGGCGAGCCAGGGGCATATGCATCTTCCCGCTCTCGGGCTCTGAGGATCATCGTTTGATCTATGGATCGCTAATGAGGAGAGAGCAACTAGATAAGGGTCCCGGGAGGCTGCCTAGGGACGATTGAAGACCGTCCACCGGAACTGAAAGGAACCAATGCAGATCGAGATTGAGTCCACGCGTCTGAGCCTGCAAAGCAGCGAGACACTGGAGGTCATGGACCATCAGGCTCATGTTGTCATCCAGATTCATGCCTCCGTGGCCTTCATTTCCTCCGGTGGGATTGGCTATTGCCGCGTTGAGACGCTACGCTCGTGCAAACGTGTTGATCTGCTACCTTTATATGCAATATCGTCGGCGACAACATCCCGCATCATCATCCTCTTTTGCCCAGCTGCATCAACTCTGTCTCGTGTTGGTCCCAGGCATCTACTTAGAAGCTGTCTCTAGTGACGTGGGTGAGAGCTGGGCGGGCACGATACGTTCTTGTTTTGCTCTGCACCTGTCTGCCAACGACCACCCGGACGGTCTGGGCTCTCTGCTCCAGTTTAGCTCTTGTATGCGTTTGCTCGTTTACTCGCTCACTATCTTGCATTTTGCCTCTGCCACCCGTGGGCCTCTTTCCCGCTGACTTGGTGCCTATCTGTCGCTCTCAGAATTCGTCCTCCTCGTCTTCGTCCTGTATGATCGGCATGTATTTCTATTGGTGGCGGCATCATGAGTGATGCAGAGCGGAGGTTTCCCGGCAGTCCACTGCATCAGCCCGGAATACCCCCGCATGCAGAGTAGATACGCAACCTTTGTGTGCACGGAACCCATTATACTTTTGGTGGCCACGTACGGATGTGCATCCATCCGATAGGCCTGCTCGTTGCATAGCCAAAGAAGTAAAAGCGACCGATCCCTTGGTGCAGCTGCCTTCTCCCGCATCGTACAGAAGGGGAGGCGATCGTCCTGGCCTGGGGGGATGACCCCGTAGTGGCTGTTACCCTGCAGAGGTTGCAGTCATCTTTTTGTCCTGGTAGTCTTGCTTCTGCCAGTGTATTGTCTTAGGGAGCAACGTCTGGGCCTATCGAGGTCGCAAGCCGGCATGTCTACCGACGTTTCAGCCTCTGCGATTCAGCAATCCAGCTGAATGTACGACCCGGGATGCCAATATTTACAACCTCAAGACTCCGCTGTCTTGAATCATCTTACCTGCGGCCGCTTGACCCTCGCTATCCTCGTTGCTTCATTTCGGTCGTAGGATGAGCACCTCGAGTTTTGTTCTTCCTTTTTCTAGTGCATAGGTGAGTAGCCCGATCCGCAACCATCTCGATCCTTAGTGAGTATTCGTTGCTTTTCCCTAGGCACCTCTTTTCTTTGGCACACGGTCTAGACTTCTCTACTCACGACGTCACATCGTAGCAACATTGTACCATGGTGATTCCACATCGCAGCTTCGAAGAAAAAGAAGAAAAAAAGAAGGGGGGGGGGGGACGAACGCTGGGAGGAGGAACCTTCTCGAGGACGAAGATTGTCTAAGGTTGTTGCAATGGCCTCTAGAAGTTTCGGTTATGCGAACAAGACAGGTATCTTGCAGAAGCAGACGCAATGACGACTCGGTGGAAATTGGCGGGTAGTGACCATGGTGAGCAGTGCAGACAGCTTGCATCCTTATCAGCTCAGATCTGCGCCAGGGATCTCTTGAAGAGTGGCACCAGCTCACCGTCACAATCGGTGGCAGAGAGCCTGCAAGGATGAGAAGAAGAAAAGGAGGAAGGGTTCATCGTAAGAGCAGCAAAATGACTACTGTACAGCAGGTACTACGTAGCAGCAGCAGCGGCAGCGGCAGGAGCGTTGCAGCAGCTTAGATCCTAGCAGGAGCTGCCCCACCAAGAGATCGAAACCCCACGGCATACCCCGCCTTGCCCTGGCCAAGCTTGGTGAGATCTTGCTGCATTGCTTTTTCAGCTGCCGTGTCCACATGACCTGGGGGCCAAGAAAACTTGGTAACCGGGGGGAGGGTTTTTGGAAAGGTTTGCGAAGGCCCGAGGACGATCGGACTGCATCATACCATAGTAGGTACAATGTATGTGAGCATACATGCTTCAGGCTGGACTGTACATACATTGGATGGATGCAGATAGATGCTTCTTCTTGTCCTGTGGAGGTTAAGAGGGGGGGGGGGGGTAAGCGAGGTTTTCTGATCTTTTTTCTCCTTCCTTTCTGAGAGGCCCTAGAATGCAGCTTGGGACGTCAGTGAGGACGGAAGAAACGCCATCGAGCTTGTCAGGGTGTTATCCGTCAATGCGCTTGTGAAGAGGAGGGGAGAATGGGCGATCCAGCGACTTCTACGGTACCACAACACCTACTTTGCTCAAGTACTATAGCAGGTCCCTGCCAGCCCTGTGATACATACCATGTACGATGACAATACCCCTCGGGAGGGCCTGGCAGGGTCCCCGCAGGTTCCGCACCGATGCGAGGCTCAACCTTACCTATCGATCGCCCATGTACCGCTTCAATATTGTGCCGGTTGCAGCTGCAGTTGGATGATATCAGAGGCATCGGTACTGCCTGTGACCCTGTTGTCTCTGAGCTTGTTAGATCCATCGCCTGCCGACTCGTGTGTGTGCGTGTGTGTGTGTATGATCTCAGAATGTTCCGATGATTATAAAAGGAAAGGGGAAAAAAGCCTCCTCCACTTGACCCACAAACCCCTTCGACCCAACTTTTCCACCCTGCCCCTTGGACCACTACTTAAACGTCACTATAGCTCAACGTCCCGCCATCTTGAGAGCTCTTTGCTGCACCACACCACACTTCTTCTTCAAAACTTCCCGACCAAAATCCCCAAAATCACCACACAAAACGAGGTCAGTTTCCACAGCGTGTCTACTTTCTCTCCACAGAAGTCCCGCGGTTTACTTTTGCTCATCAGAACTTTTGAAAATCCAGTCAATATGGGCGTTACCAAGACCACCCACGCTGAGGGCACTGGCGCGCAGCCCTCTGTCGGCCAGACCGTTACCATCGAGTACACCGGTTTCCTCAAGGACACCTCCAAGCCTGACAACAAGGGCAAGCAGTATGTCGGCTCGACTTGCCGCTGGGGCATCCTCGGCTGTCCGTGAAGAGATAATCATGCTGACGCACTAGCCTCCAGGTTTGACAGCTCTGTTGGTCGTGGCGACTTCGTCACCAAGATCGGCGTCGGCCAGGTCATCAAGGGTAAGCCACCCTCAGTGTTCTGCCCTGAGAATCCTCTCTGTCTGCGCCCCCAAACGATAATTTTGACATCAATCCACAAACAGGTTGGGATGAGGGTGTCACTCAAATGAAGGTTGGCGAGAAGGCCACCCTCGATATCTCCAGGTAAGCAAGCCTACTTCTGTCCACGTTGCTGGGTCTGGTTGAGGGAATGAGCCAAGAAAGCTAATGGTAATCTTTGCTGCAGTGACTATGGCTATGGTGCCCGGTAAGAGGATTCCTGCGCCCTGCTCTCACTTTGCTCCCCAAAACGTGTCGCGAGACGAGGCATTCTTATTCTTTTTCACGCGGCCTACCATCTTTGACTATGATGTTAATGAATTATGCAGCGGTTTCACCGGCCACATCCCCCCCAACGCTGACTTGATCTTGTAAGTTCTCCTACTCGGCTCCTTACCTCCCTGACCCGCTGTACAGCGAGACTAACACCATGCCTCCAGCGACGTCCACCTGAAGGGTGTCAAATAGGATCATTGACTTTCAGCGTGATTTTGTGAAGGCGATTGGGCGGTATGGTATTAGCCAGTTGAAGAACAGTCCCATGAGAGTTTGTATAGTCTTGAGTAGTTCGCTTTGCATAATCTAGAAGCAAACAATCAATTTACTTCAATAACTGCCAGACCTCTGACGCAATTGCCAACCATGCCGAGCATATCAACAGAGGATTTACCCAGAGTACGCCGGGCGAGTAGGTGAACCTCAAAAGGGTCCTGCATACGCAAGACCAGACGTTCACCTCGCAAAGACTTACAAGACAATGAAGCGGTTATCTGCCACGGACATATTGTGATTGCGGAACCCCCGGTTTCGCACTTACTTGTCCCCCTTCATTTCCTTCCCTGCTAGGTCGCACGTCTCAGGAACGATTGACACGGTAGCCGCCCACTCCTGTGAGGACTGGGGTGGTCCGGCTCAGTATATCCAGCTTTGTCGAATAACTGAAGTCGGCAGGTCACCGCCACTCCTAGATCTAGTACTACGGTGGCTCGGAGATCTTCCTCCCTGGCTTCGGCTAAGCGAGCTCGAGTCACTCCGTGGGACGCGAACGAACAGATTCAGGTCTCAAAAGAAGGGCCCAAGAAATGAGACCGGATTTAGCTAAACTTCGCCATCTTATGATGGTAATATGTCTCTCTTTGAAACAACAAGCTACACTGTCCATTCTCAGGCCCCCAGTATAAAAAAGGCTCAGATTTGACGCGGCTTAACAAAAGTTTGCATTCCTGCTCCTGAAGCTATCGCATCAACACAACACACAGCCAATTGTGATAGCAGTAGGATTTGAGAGGGACCAGCTTCCGGCATGCAGAAGGTGGAGGAAGAAAAGAGAGGATGAAAGTGTCAAGTTGATTCTCTCAAACTGTCGACTTGTATGGCCCTGGCTCGCCTTGGTGTCTTGCCAGTGAAAAGGCGTTTGAACTCGTAGCAAAGTTTCTTTTATGAGAGAAATAAAATAGAGCCATCAGGGCGTCCTGAGGTGAACGCACAACGGCCAGGTATCCTGCGCCAAATTCTTTCTATTAGGCCAAACGTTGGAGACAAAGAGTGTCTGATCTCTGGGCCGTGGGGCTGCCTGGACAGGCTGAGTCGTAAGTGTTGAATCGACGGATTACCACTACTGTTAGTGGCACCAGACAACCCCCTAATCCGCCTCGTGAGTGCTGATGTTTACTGACGTCTTCAACTCAGAGTTGTTGACAAATCACACATGAAGGTCCCACAATAAGATGCTGCTCTGTCATACAGTACAACTCATACTCTTTTATAGGGGTTTTTTTGGGGGGGGGGGGTATGTAAATCGAGCAGACATGGACTTTTTTCTCTGTGCTGAGTACCATACCTTTGCAACGTTTTTTTTTTTTTGTTCTCCCTTTCTCACTAACAAATTTTTATTCCATCAAGAGTGACATTTCTGGCCGACAAACCTGAGTGACGAAGAAGGACGGCGCAGCAGCAACTTGGGTGGTCCTGTTGCCCCGCAGCTTAGCCTGTGCCTGAAGCCACCCACTTTAGTGGGGTCGAGGTTGCCTCATCATACCTTCGCAGCGGCGAGGCAACTAAGCAGCTTCAACCATAAACATCACTCAGCCCAAACAACGCACCATCACCACCACACTGACTACTGCACCACACAACACTCCAAATCAGAGCGCTTTTACCCGCCGCCATATCGAAGTTTCTTCTCCGCTGGAGATTAAACCTCTTGAAACCTCCAAACTGGGGAAGCGAAAGCTTTCAGACGACGGGGACTCGTTGCCTCTTCCAAAAAAGACGATGGCTGTAAGTTGATGATGCCCTGTCCTCTGCCGGGCTGTTCCGCCACCATCGTGACCAGTCCCAGGCCGTCAGAGAGGATCTCGGTGCTCCTGGCTGTTCGTTCGCCGAGACTCAACTAACGTAAACGCCACGATGTCTGCAGGGCCAGAGACTTCCCGAGGTTGACCTAGTCACCCGGATGCAGGTCGACGACTCCGTCGTGGGCTCGGGCGAAATCGACGAGTCTCTCTACAGCCGACAGCTCTACGTTCTCGGCCATGAAGCCATGAAGCGCATGGGCGCGTCTAACGTGCTCATCGTTGGGCTCAAGGGCCTTGGTGTCGAGATTGCAAAGAATGTCGCCCTGGCTGGCGTCAAGAGCCTTACCCTCTACGATCCCGCCCCAGTCGCCATCGCAGACCTCTCCTCTCAGTTTTTCCTACGTCCTGAGGACGTTGGCAAGCCTCGTGACCAGGTCACAGTCCCGCGCGTTGCAGAGCTCAACGCGTACACACCCGTTACTGTGCATGAGTCTTCAGGGTACGCTCCTTCCTTACACTATATGACCTTTTCGAGGTGCCTTTAGGACGCCTGCTGACCAGTCGTCTTGTGAAGCCTCTCCGATAACCTCTCCCAGTTCGACAAGTACCAAGTCGTCGTCCTCACGAACGTGCCCCTGCACCACCAGATCATAATTGGTGACTACTGCCACTCGAAAGGCATCTACTTGATTGCCGCCGACACATTCGGCCTGTTTGGCAGCATCTTCTGTGACTTTGGCGAAAAGTTCTCTGTCATTGATTCGACCGGCGAGAACCCCCTTAGCGGTATCATTGCTGGAATCGACGAGGAGGGAGTCGTGTCTGCCAACGACGAGACCCGCCACGGGTTGGAGGATGGCGATTATGTCACATTCACAGAGGTCGAGGGTATGGAGGGGCTGAACGGCTGCGAGCCGCGGAAGGTGACCGTGAAGGGACCATATACTTTCTCGATCGGCGATGTCTCCGGCTTGGGCCAGTACAAACGAGGAGGTCTGTTCCAGCAGGTCAAGATGCCAAAGATCATGGATTTCAAGAGCTTCTCGGCTGCGTTGAAGGAACCTGACTTCGTCCCGTCTGACTTTGCCAAGTTCGACCGCCCTCAGCAGCTGCACCTTGGTTTCCAGGCGTTGCATGCCTTTGCACAATCCCAGGGGCGCTGGCCGAGGCCGATGAACAAGGAGGACGCTACGGTGGTGCTGGAGTCTGCCAAGTTCTTTGCAAAGGAGCAGGGCATCGAGGTGGATATTGACGAGAAACTGCTCATGGAGCTAAGCTACCAGGCCGTGGGCGACCTCAATCCCATGGCGGCCTTCTTTGGTGGACTCACGGCACAGGAGGTCCTCAAGGCAGTCTCGGGCAAGTTCCACCCTGTCAAGCAGTGGATGTACTTTGACTCGCTTGAATCGCTCCCTGAAGGCACCGGGCGATCCGAGGAGCTTTGTGCCCCTCTGGGCAGCCGGTACGATGGCCAGATCGCCGTCTTTGGGAAGGAATACCAGGAGAAGCTCTCCAATGTGAAGCAGTTCCTGGTCGGCGCAGGAGCCATCGGCTGTGAAATGCTGAAGAACTGGGCCATGATTGGTCTCGGTACCGGTCCAAACGGCCAGATTACCATTACCGATATGGACTCCATCGAAAAGAGCAACTTGAACCGGCAGTTCTTGTTCCGGGCCAAGGATGTGGGCAAGATGAAGAGCGACTGTGCCGCGGAGGCCGTTCAGCTCATGAACCCTGATCTAGCCGGACACATCGTTTGCCTCAAGGATCGCGTTAGCCCCGAGACCGAGGAGATTTTCAACGAGGAGTTTTGGTCCAGGCTGGACGGTGTCACGAACGCGCTGGACAACGTGGAGGCCAGAACCTACGTTGACCGACGCTGTGTGTTCTTCAAGAAGCCACTGCTTGAGAGCGGCACGCTCGGGACCAAGGGCAACACCCAGGTCGTCCTGCCAGGGGTCACCGAGTCGTACTCTTCATCAGTCGACCCTCCAGAACAGTCCTTCCCCATGTGCACCCTGCGAAGCTTTCCCAACAAGATTGAGCACACGATTGCTTGGGCACGAGAGCTCTTTGAGACCGCCTTCGTCAAGCCTGCCGAGACTGCCAATCTGTACTTGACCCAGCCAAACTATCTAAAGAGCACCATGGCGCAGGGAGGTGATCAGAAGACGACCCTGACGATGCTTCGAGACTATCTCAAGAACGAGCGTCCGCTCACCTTTGAAGACTGCGTGAGCTGGGCTCGTACGCTCTTCGAGAAGCAGTACAACAATGCGATCCAGCAGCTCCTCTTCAACTTCCCCAAGGATGCCACTAATTCCACCGGGCAGCCATTCTGGTCCGGTCCCAAGCGTGCTCCAGACCCATTGAAGTTTGACATCAACAATGAGACACATTACCAGTTTCTTGTTGCCGCCACAAATCTGCACGCCTTCAACTACAATATCAATGTACACGACAAGGACCGTGCGGCATATGTGGCCGCCGTGGATTCCATGATTGTTCCCGACTTCTCTCCAGACCCTGGCGTCAAGATTCAAGCTGATGACAAGGACCCTGTAAGACTACCCAGCCGAGATCCCTACTCTCATGACATTGCTAACGTATCACAGGACCCCAATGCACAGGGTGGAGGTGCATTTGATGACGAAGCAGAACTGGGCAAGATTGCGAGTGAAATACCTGATGCCAAGTCAATGTCGGGCTTCAAGCTCACGCCGGTCGAGTTTGAGAAGGACGATGACACCAATCACCACATCGACTTCATCACAGCAGCAAGCAATCTGCGGGCGCTGAACTACAAGATCGAGACTGCTGACCGCCACAAGACCAAGTTCATCGCGGGCAAGATCATCCCGGCGATCGCGACCACGACGGCGTTGGTGACAGGTCTGGTCGTCCTGGAGCTCTTCAAAGTCCTTGATGGCAAGACGGATACGGAGCAGTACAAGAACGGCTTCATCAACCTGGCGCTGCCCTTCTTTGGGTTTGGCGAGCCCGTTGCCAGTCCGAAGGTTACGTGGAAGGGAACAGATGGCAAGGAGCACACTATGGACAAGATCTGGGACCGGTTTGAGTTTGCAGACATCACATGTCAGGAGCTTATTGCCGAGTTCGAGAAGCTCGGTCTCTCGCTGTCCATGCTGAGCTCAGGCGTCAGCCTGCTGTATGCCGGCTTCTTCCCCAGCAACAAGACCAAGCCACGGATGGGCCTCAAGCTCTCGGAGCTGGTGGAGACTGTCTCTCAGAAGCCCATCCCCGCGCACCAGAAGAATGTCATCTTCGAGGTGGTGGTCGAGGATGCGGATGGCGAGGACGTCGAGGTGCCTTACGTGATGGTCACGCGGAAGTAAAGTGAAGTAAGTTGAGTGAAGGGGGCTGGGCCTGTGATTGGGACACGAAAGCATGGAGATTCCTAAGTCAGCACAATACTATGGACGAATGACCATCTCCCCTTTCCTGAGGCGAGCCTTCTTTTTATCTTCTCTCAAGAATGACGATTTGCCTGAGCGAGTCTAGCTAGATCAGGGAGAGAACAGAAGGCATTCAAGATAGATGGAAAACGATGAGGCATTTTGATGTTTTTGTAATCTTGAAATCTCGATGCAGGTCATGATCGTGCGTGCGTGCGTGCGTGCGTGCGTGTGTGTGTATATGCGCTTGTTCCTGATACCTATTTCTCTGATGAGGGTTTTTGGTTTTGTCAGCTGTGGAGATTGATTTGAAAGAGCAGTAAGGATAATTGAGCCCCGTTGCATGAGTAAATGCGGGCAGGTGGGGGCTGCAGCGACGATGTCATGATTACATGAGCATTTGACAAGCAAGTAGGTGTTCTAGAAGACGTGTTTAGGACCTGCATTTGCAAAAATTGCAGCCTTCGTGCTGCTGCTGCTTCCGTTTGAGCTGTCACTTTCTTGAATTGTCTCTGGATGGACCGAGACTTTTAAAAATGATACATCAATATCAAGATGGTCATTCGTACAGTATAAGATTCTGTTGTGATTACATAACTAGTAGTAAAGCAGTTGGGCAGTTACTAAGTGGTACACTAAGTAGTTAGTTATCCTCCCCCACCTGCTTAGCACGCATGCTCCCTCTTGTCTCGGCCAAACCAATCTTCGTCGCTTCCATATTTATATGCATGAGCAACCCCATTGACGCTCCCGCTCATCATCGAGAAGCTGGAGTAACCTTCTTAGCTCTCAGAAAAACCTGATATCTCATGTTTCCCAGCGCTCTGTGGAGAGCACCAAAGCAGACTTCCTTCGCCTCCTCCTCTTTCTCGTCCCTGCGGCCAAACACTCGTGGCTTGCTCTTCTCTTCACAGCTCCTGTCGTCTCACCAGAGAGCATTTCTGGCGACCAACCAGCAGAAGCATCTTCAGTTCCACAAGAAGTTCTCAGGATCTTCCGTCCAGACGAAAATGGTGAGTGCACATTCTACTCTGAGGCAGCTCTACTGGCTTACCAGGGCCTCAGCTCAAGAAGAGGCTCACAAAACTGCTTATAATGTACACGCTCGGCTGCTGACATCACCTTTCTCTCTCTCTCTCTGTTTGCTGCCATGAAACAGTCTACCTCCCCCTTCAAAGTCACAAACTGGGTCGACCCCAAGGATAAGTCGGGCGAGTTCAAGCGCCAAGTATCCTCGTTTCGCGAGTGGATCTCTAGCGAGCCTGGTGCCAAATTCCCGCCTGAGAAGGGCCGGTATCACTTGTATATCAGCTATGCCTGCCCCTGGGTAAGCCTGTCTTAGATATTTGCGTGGTTATCTTGTTGTCGGCTCCTCTTCCCTATCCCTATCATGGTATATATATATGTTGACGGAACTTGTACCACACACAGGCGACGCGCGTGATTATTGCCAGAAAGCTCAAGGGTCTGGAGGACTTCATCACCGTCTCGGCGGTGCACTGGTCCCTCGGTGAGAAGGGTGAGTTGGAGGCTAGGAACCCTATAAATACTCATGATCGTATATGTGTATTTCTATACATCATATGAGCAAGAATTCTTATGAAGGCGCTGGATCGTGCCATGCTAAAACATCTGTCCGCAACAGGATGGCGCTTCCCGACGGCCGAGGACAAGGACATCGAGGGCGAGAATGTCATCCCGGACCCTCTCCACGAAGACTTCACGCACCTCTCCGAGGTCTACTTCGAGTCTGACCCCAACTACGGCGGCCGCTTCACTGTTCCTATTCTATACGACAAGAAGCAGAAAATTATTGTCAATAATGAGAGCAGTGAAATCCTGCGCATGTTTGGCACTGTGGTGAGTTTATAGGCTCCTTTTCTTCTTCCTTAAGGGACACATACACACCCCCCCGGCTCCCTCTCCCGATAAAGATTTAACCTAAGACGACAAACCAGTTCGACGACCAGCTTGATGAAGGCCACCGCAACGTCGTGCTCTACCCGGCTGCCCTACGCACCCAGATCGATGAGGCGGGCGAGTGGCACTACGACAAGATCAACAACGGTGTATACAAGTCCGGCTTCGCCACCACGCAGGAAGCCTACGACAAAAACGTCACCGCGCTCTTTGAGGCGCTCGACCGCGCCGAGGCACACCTTGCTGCCGGTGAGGGGCCGTATTACCTTGGTAAAGAGCTGACTGAGGTTGATATCAGGCTGTAAGTGCCTTTTCTTCTTTTCCTTTTCATTGTTGTCAGACGAGATACTGTAGGAATATTGACTGGCTTTGTTCCTTTCTGTCTCGTATAGGTTTGTCACCATCATCCGGTTCGATGTAAGTCCTCCCCTTGTCCATATCACGGTCATGTCATCCATCCCGTCCCTCCTGCTAAATCCCTTCCCCTTCGTGAATAGCCCGTCTACGTCCAGCACTTCAAGTGCAATATCAAAGACATCCGTTCCGGCTACCCCCACATCCACAAGTGGATGCGCAACCTATACTGGAACGTCCCCGCCTTCAAGGAAACGACCAATTTTTTGCATATCAAGAACCACTACACCAAGTCGCACACGCAGATCAATCCCTACTCTATCACACCCCGGGGCCCGCTGCCCGATATCCTGCCGCTGGACAAAGAAGTCCCAGCTGTTGAGGCTGCCAAGGCTGGCAAGGTGTGAGTGAGGAGGGGGGTTGGTGCAGGGCAGCTGGGGCACGTGGATGGGAGTCAAGAAACTTTCAATATGATGCGAGTGTCTGTCTGTTCAGAGAGCCGCCAGATAGGTGGAAGAGCATATATAAACATGTCTTGTTCTGTCTTGAGTAGTAGTCCGTGTCCCCAGCTAGCTATATACTAATAATGACTTGTACAACTCCATTGAGCCAAAAACACCGTACCCGAATACATCTTTGATGCCCATTCTCCGTCACGTCCCCCTCCTCCCTCCCTTCTGAAGCCGTCGTCCCCTTGACATTGCTATACATGCTGTGTGTCCAATGAAAAACGCTCTCGCTTCTCGCTATTTTCCCCGTTTGAAAAAAAAAAAAAAAAAATCAAAAAGGATGACACCAGCACTTATTAAGATCTCTCCTCATACAGCTCATGCACATGTCCAAACAGAAAAGAGATTGTACAAGTACGACCGCTCAGTTCTTTTAAATGATGCCTAAAGCCGTCCATCCCCAGCAAAAATGCATGTATTTCGACCAGCCATTAGATAATTATGTTGAGAGTAATTTATGCAATCGAGGAAGTGTGAGGTGATTTCATGTCATATCCAAAGCAGCATGTCCCAAAATAGGGTGCGTTCACAGTTGACCAGACAAGCATGCCTCCGTGGCTGTGATAAGCAAGAGTCAGCAACGTCTCCTAGACATCAAGAACAAACTATTTGGGAGGGTGAAAAAAGAAGGAAGAAAAAGAAGAAAAAAACATACCAGAATTGATGTACGCCCTCCTAGCATCAAGCGGGACGCCAAATCTCCTCTCGAGCTCCTGCTTGACACCCTTCTTCGTGACAGTCATCAGGTCTGCTGTGCGCAGGATCTCGCGGATCTCGGCCAGCAGCGCGTCATCGCTCGGCATACCGGCGAGGTTGCTCATCTCAAGCTCGTTCTGGCTGCTGCCAAAGAACTGACTGCCGCCGAACTGGCTCGTGCGGCTAGCCATGTTGGCGCCGCCGCCGCCGCCGCCGCCGCCGAGCATGTCGCTGGCCGCAAAGCTGAGACGGCTCTGGGTGCCTGCCAGCGGCGTGTGGAGGTCACCGGAGCCGTTGTTGTACGGACTGTGAGGGTAGCCGACGACAGAACCAGGGCGAGAGGGCGGGAAGCCGCCCCAGCCGTACTCGGAGACGCCGACATTGGGACCAGCCTTGGTACCGTAGCTGTAGCCGGAGATCTCGGAGCGGGCGTCGTCGCGGGCGGTCTGGGCGTCCCAGAGCTCGGCCTGGTACTCTTCCCACTTCTTCCGGGGGATGGAGGCCGGATCGAATTTGCCCTCGTCCGAGATGACAACCTTCTTGCCCTTCTCGCCGGCGACGACACGCGTGTTACCCCAGTTGAAGTCGTCCATGTGCCAGAACGAGTACAGCGGCAGACCGAACGAGTACACGGGCACGGCGCAGATGTACAGAAGCATCCAGCCAATCATCTCCCACTTGCGGCGGACAATGAAGATGATGGCTTGCAGACCGTAGATGGCACCCAGCATAATGAAGGCCGTTGTGCCCACGACCGTGGATTTGGTCACGACGAGCACAATCAGGTATACAAAGTAAGCGATGGTCACTGGCTGCACGACCGTGGTCAAGAGGTCCATGAAGACGACAAAACGCATGCTGAAGCAGCAGAAACCGCAGAGCTGGTTCAAGGGGATAAGCTCCACGAGGTTGTGTACTGTTGAGTTGATCCAGCGACGTCTCTGGGACAGGAACACAGCCCATGAATCGGGGGCAATCGTCCAGGCGTGCGCCTTCATGTTGTACTTGGTCTTGAACCTGGAGTGATGCTTGAGGAGCAGCGTCGTGAGGTACCGATCCTCACCCAGGTGCAAAAGGTTCTTCATGTGCAGCGTGTCAACACGAATGGTAGAGTACGCCTCGACCACCTCCTTGCTGACGAACAGCGGCTTTCCGGTCTCAGCGGCGCGGATGCGGTACATGGTGAAACAACCGGGCAAACAAGTGACAGAGCCGAACAAGCTTTCAAAAGCCTTGACCAGGTTGTGCGAGATATAGTACTCATACACCTGAATCATGGTGACGAAGGAGCCCTTGGCATTGGTGAGGGCTGTCTCGCCACACACCGCAATGAGGTGCATATCGTCCAGGAAAGCAGAAACGAAACGGCCCGCAGAGTCAGGCGCCACGACGGTGTCTGCATCCATCTGCAGCAGATATTCGTAGAAGGTTGGGTTTACTCCGATGATGTTCCGAATCTGATGGTACATTTCCAGCTCCATGGGGCTCATCGCCAGGTTGTAGTGAACGCGGTTGAGGAAGCGCATGAGGACCATCTGCGAGTCTCGCTTGCCACGATTGCCAGGACGAGAAACCTCAGATGGCTTGCCAACCTTGACGATGACCAGAAAGGGGACGATGTGGCCCTGCACCTCGTACAGACCCGAATAAACCTTGCCCATGTTGTGTTGCTTGAGACCCTCACCCAGAGACTCGAAGCTTAGGGGTTCGGGGTCGACACTCTCCGACACACCAAGGATGTCCAACACGATTCGCGGTGTAGGCCTGTCGTTGCCCTGTCCAATAATCATACCGTCGCAGATGACGGCCAGCAGCTTCCGCTTGTCGTCGTATTTCATACGGGCGGCAGAGTCGATGGCACGGCGGAGCGAGTCCTCGTCTTCTGTGTAGGCGGGGATCTGGCAGATGATGAACTTGTCCAGGTTGTCAGGGATACCACCGCCTCCGAATTGCAGGGCGGCGAAGAACTTGAAGCCGATAACGGCACAGAGAAGGACGGAGACGGCAAGAATCAGATAATCGGCGAATTGACACTTGACCGAGTTCCTCGTGTCGACATCGCCAATGTAGTAGAGATTGTCCAAGCACAGCTTCTGGCGTTGTCTCATCTCCGTGTCAAAGGCCAGGGCGTTCCACATCTTGGTGACATCTTCTCCAGCCTTTTGCTGAAACAGCTGCACAACAAGGTTGTCCATGAAGTCGAGGAGGCTCGTGTCGGTTGGTGGTGAGACGCCAGGAGGTGCCCTCAGGGTGCGCCCGCCAGCAATGTAGTCAGACATGTCGTAGATGCGGTCGTTGATAATGGCGACTGAGCTGCCCTCAGTAGCCATCTTCTTGACGTATGTCGCCGTGTAACCAATGTTGCCCTTCTTGTAATTCGACCGGAGATACTCCATCTGTTCCGAGAACCAATCAGGCCGGCTATCGTTCCTGAAGTAGCGGAAGTCGTGATACTTGGAGTACAGCAGTCTTATGTCGGTCGATGTGCTGTTATCCGGAGTGACCAGTAGCGTCACGGCCTCGTTGACACCTGCGCTGCTTGTACCTTGACACATGGCCGACACCTGGACGGGGAACAAGCTGCTGATATCCTCTCCGGCCATCTTCTTCATGGTCGTGTCTGAGATCATGTCGCTGTTGGGGTAGTGATTGGGCATGAACGAGTTCAGGTCAAGGACGATGCCGCGAATCGCGACATAGGCACCCTTTCCTTCTTTGCTGTTGTACTCAGTGAGTTCCGAGGCGCTGTAGACGTACTGCTTGGGGCAGATGACCAAGGGCAGACCAATAATGAAGAATACGGCCACGCAGCAGCTGAACCAGATAATCATGTTAATGGCCAGCTTCTCCCTCCAGGCTTGCCGGACATCTTTTCGGGGCATGCGACCGAGGACACGGATGAGGAAATCGGGGACCATCCAGGTCAGCAACATGACGAAAAACATCCACCGTCTTCGGCTGCCGCTGTCCCTAAACTCCTCGACTTCCTCCATGTTCTTTTCATTGCTCCTCTGCGCCATTTCCTCGCGGGTTTCGAGGTTCTTGAACATGTCGCCGTTTCCGAAAGCAGACGCGCCCGCTTCCGATCGAGCATCGATCTCGTTGCTGCCAAAGTAACCCGACTTGTGCTTGTCTTGATACCCAGGGGTGTTGCTCGCAGAAAGCAACCGTTCCTTCGAGGCAGCAAATGGATCGCCCGGACTCATACCCGGGGTGAGGGACTCGCTATTATCAGAGGGCAGGCCGAGCCGAGTAGAGTCAGCCTCGACCAGGTTGCACACCTCCAACCAACAACGTTCGCTGAGGAACACTCCGGTGGAGCCGAGCAGCACCTCGTTGCTCGGCCAGCGCCTCTCCTCGACGGCAAGCTCGACCTTCTCCCGCTCACTGCCGACGAGGATGGTGTCAGCGTCGGCCATGCCGAGAAACTCAGCAAAGGGCAAGAAGATGCTGAAGTCTGCAGAGCGGAGGCGTTGGCTGATCTCAGCAATCCCAAAGGTCTGCACTTGTGTCCGGACGCATTTACTGTCGAACTGGTTGGCGATGCGCCTATCGTTGGGCTTCAGGCAAAAGACGAAGTACAGGTTGGTGCCAGGCGCAGTGACGGACTTGGTGACATTCTCGAGGGCAGACAAGAACTGCCCAGAAGCACCCTGCTCGCTATGGCGAAGGCTGCGCTTATGCTCACTGCCGTCCTCGTCAGGCTTCTCCGAGGCCTCACGCCGAGAGCCGCCGAGACGCGGACGCGGGCGACCCTTCCTCGACATGACACTCGGCGCACGCATAGGCTTGGAGCTGACGGTCGCCTGCATGACGGTTGTCTTCTCGTGGGGGTGGACCACAGTCTGCAGGGCCTCCTGTCCAAACAGGCGAGCAACAAACTCACTCTTGGTCGAGTTGATGAGGTTGAGGAGGTCACCGGAGATGACCTCACCATTCTCCTCCACCAGGCCCTTGACGGGATACTCGACCTCCCCTGCAAAATGCCGGACAGTGAAGGTCGCAGCTGTGTTCTCGGTGTAGAAGTTGCTGCCCGGCAGCTTGGCGGTTGCAGAGCTGACCGAGATGGCGGGGTTCTTGTTCTCGAACCGCTTCCTCAGGCTCTCCAGCAGCTGCATATCAGTGCGGTGGCGGCGGGTTTGGTCATCGAGAATGCTGAGCAGGCCGTTGCCAGGCTTCAAGAGGCCCTTGTTGGCATCGGAATTATCAAAGTAACTCGTTGCCGTCACAGACACTTCCTCGGTCTCCAAGAGTTCAGCCTTGTTGTCGAAGAAGTTCTTGAGCGTGAGGTTGTACAGCGCCTCGGTCGCGGCGTTGGTCAAGAGCTGATCCAACGCGGAGTTTGTGGAAGACTGCTGGGAGAACCCCGGGAAATCGACAATGGAGATGGTATTGGCGATGGACTCCTCGGCGACACAGATCTTCTGGTTGATGGCCTCGATGAGCCAGGCAACAAGCAAAGAGTACAGGGTCCGGGCCAACTCGTTGGCATTCGATCGAGCACCAGCGGGGTCCAGCAGGACTGTGACCCTCTCCTTGTGAATCATCTTGGTCTTGTAACCCAAGGTGGTCTGCAGATCTTGCTGGCTGACACCCAGGAAGGCCGCCACAATCCCCAGTACGTCCTTGTTCTTCACGACGGTGGAGGTCTCTCCACCTTCGTGAGAGAAGCCCCCGCTGTCGTCACCTGTTGCGGTGGTGTTGTTGGAGGTCTCGAACTCGAGCTGTCCGATGTGAAGGATACAAGCCAGAATCTGACAAATCTCGGCCACATCAGCCCTGGGAAACTCGAGTTTCCGCAGGGCGGTCTTGAACATCTGGAAGCCCTCGGCGTCATTGATGCCGACCTTCAGCTGTGTCGGGTGGCCCAGGTACCTCCAACGCTTCAAGCCAGTCCCGGGTTGGTCCAGGCCGAGATGGGTCTTCTCAGCGCCGCTCGTGCCAGCTAGCAAATAGTATAGGATGTGGAAATTCCGCTCGCCGGGTGGAACATCGGCTATACGACTTCTCTCCAGCCGGTGGTCGAGCAACTTGCCACCGATCAGGTGTGGACGGGTCGATGCCGAGGTATCGTACTGCAGCTCGTAGAAGAGACCAGCCTTGGATGCCGTCGGTGTCGTTGCTGTCTTGGTCGTGGTCAGAGTGTCGAAGACATAGGCAGCCATAGAGACCTTGTTGGACAGCGGGGTGGAGGTCTTATTGAGGAGTGCCGTCAGGAGATGCGATCGAATCGTCGTCTTGCCGGAGCCAGATTCACCCCTAGCATCCCACCACAGTCAGCTAGTTGGCCAAGGGAAGGGCTGGAACGCAGTCCAAGGAGGAGGGCAGCTGCTGGATCTGCTACTTACAAGAACAAAACGGCCTGATTCTCGGCACGATGCCCCAGCCTGAGGTAGGCCCTGTCTGCCATGTCCTCGGCACCGGCCATGGCGCTGCCCTCTCTCGTGCCATCGCTACCCTTGGTTGACGAGGTATAGGTATTGAGGGAGATGAGGGCGTGGGAGGAGAGGCGGGCGGTCGGTATGTTCACATGAAACCGACTGGCGAGATGTGCGGTGATGTGAGTGTCGGATTGGAGGTGGGCAGGCAGCGAGGGGAGCGAGGGCTGGGTGTGAGCGCCGCCGGTGCCGATCTGGAGCTGAGGAGAGGCCATGATGGCGGTCGAGAGAGGCCCAAGACAGCCGGAGATGGCGTCTGGGAGAAGATCTTGAAGGGCTAGAGCGCTGCTTGTATCGTGTGTACCTAACTAACGTCTGGAAAGGAGAGATTGGGTCTGGAAACACCAATTGACCGTGCGACCTGGAGCCAGGAGGGCTCGTTGAGAAATTTGGTGGTGCCTGTGTGAAGACGAGAGGCTCAGATTGTTACCTCGTCGAGTATTCTTGGGTAAAGAAGGAGGAACGTTGGGACTCGATCAATGCCTAATATCTTCAGCACGTCCCGTAACCGAATTAACGAACGGCGACGAGTCCGAGCTCAGCTACTGTGTCCAACCGGCTCCTACTTGCTCTCTGTACCTGAGCGAACGAAGCGAACGAGCAACGGCGTCTAGTAGAACCGGGTTAAGCGAACGTCTGAGTAGCACGACATCAGTAGAGAGAAGTGTCGAACCAAAGGAAAAATAAACAAAAAGTAGTGTAAAAGGGTCAACGGAAACAAAGGACAGGGCAGAACAACAACGAACGACCCGCAAAGACAGCTTCTTAGAAGATCAGGAGTCGTCCGTGGTCAGCAACTGCTGTGGGAGCATTGTACAATTTAGTTAGTTAGCGGCCTCCTCCTGCTTCTCGTCGTCTTGCAGAGCCACACCTCGCAGCGGAGGAGGCGTTTGGATTGTCCCATGTTCAGGGGATTATTCACTACACGGTACCACTATGGCCACCAACTAATCTACTGTACACAAAGTACACAGAGCCTAATCCAATACGGCAGGCGCTTGAAACCTTAAGTGCAGGGCTGGCCCAAATACGAAGGCCAGGGGGCCTTGCAGCTGCGTGTTGGGGGGGGGGCCGGGGTGGTTACCTGCTGCGCGGCCACCGCAACCATGGCACCATGGAGACGGGAAGCAGGACGCGGTCCTATTGTCTATTCCCAGGTTAGACCCCCAAGAGGACTCGTCCATATAACGGTGTGTTTACTTTTATTCTTCAGTACCAGTGCCGACGTTGTGGCGCACTTGTTCTTCAGGGCTACAAAGAAAAATAGGGAGTGCATTTTAGGCTCAAGATTAACCATCACTGCCCTTACTAACATAGCCGCACTGCTATCGTGATAAGGTTACCTGTGGCCCGCATCGTCCATCCCGGACAAGAATTGGGGCACGCAAATACCTGAGGGAGACCAAGTCCTGATCCACGATGACAACATAGCCTCCGGGATTGGTAGCCGGGAGAGGAGACTGAATTCCATCGTACCTGCAAATCGAACCCAGATCGACACCGGGTTTCTCCACTGCTACTTTGCTACTTAGAAAAGAACAGGAAATAAAGAGACAGAAGAAGAAAAGAAATTGAAATGGCAGCTCTCCCAAGCGGCAAGCCAGATACATAGTATGCGGCCAAATGTCAAGATTTGGAAATTGTTTTTCCCCCCCCCCCTTCCCTTCCCCTCCTCATTTTTTCCCGTCCCCCTGCACGGGTATGCCGGTTGATCGTTTCTGGGTTTCTTGTCGACGCGGGACGCGGCTACGCTAAAGAAGAGTGGTAGGGTGATGGGCAAGGCTAGTACTGCGGTACCTTGAGTGCTGCTACAGAGTAACCGCCCCAGTGCTATGTTCAGGTAGTTTCCCGCTGCAACAGGTGACTTCAGGGTCTCTCCTGGGCGCAAATGCACATCACCCCGGCGACAGTCTACCGCTTTTCTGATAGCGCTGTCGATCAGTCACAAGTATAAAGTCAAGCTACGCAGTAGAATAACTTTGTCTTCAGGGCTGAGCAGATCTTCCGATCGTTGAAGATCCTGAACAAGGAGAGAAAAGATGGACAAGAAGAAAAAGGGGGAATTGTCAAATGAGCATACATGGTAGGATGACGTTTGACACTGTCGGGATTCTTTGAGCCCCCGGGAAGCTGCATTCCGTTAGACCCTCACACCCCTGGGTTCCGCCTAGAGTTAACAGTAGTACTGAGTTTGTACTGCAAGTATCTGTGTCGTTGTTGGGCCTTCGGGCCCGCTTCACATGATTCCAGAATCTCCAAGAAGAGAAGTAACAAGGTCCGCCTAGAGCCTCTGGGTCTGGGTGGAGCTCTTCTTCCACAACATCGCAATTTGTATTGGAAATGGGCATGTCGCAGATAGACCAGGACGAGTCTGATAGAGCAATCCCATCCTCTCTGTATTATGCTACGCTGTACATAGGATATATTGCTATAGTATTGTAGTGTGTGTCGTGTATATATTATAGTAATACATCCACTCACCGGCCCACTTAATTTGTACGTACCGTGTTGGCCACAGAATTCCTTGTAATATCGCCGGCTGACGGGGTTCTTTTTCTTTTCTCCTCCCTTCCTTTCTTCGGATGGAACAACAAGCCAAAAAGCCATCGAGGCCCCGTTTTTCACTTCCATCTCGAGGTCACGACATCATCACCCAGCCATCCAGGCTGCACATGATGCAGAGTTGGGGCTCCTCTGCAGATCAAGTGCTCACTCACCAAAATATCGTATTCACTATATCGTTCGTGTTTGTCACGCTCTGCGTGTCGCTGCAATGTTTTCTTCCCTTCTTCTCTTTTTCCGTCCATGACTGGCCTGACCCAAGAGTTTTAGCCTCTCGTATTTCCCCCGCGTACTCCTTGGAAAAGCGTCTCTGCTCCACTTTTTACTTTTTTGCCATCGCGCCTACCCACCACTAAGTGCCACACCACCCTGGTATTTTTAGACTTGCCACGGCCTTGTCTCGCCTTGCCTTTCTTGCGGGGAGGAGTACGCCGTACCAGCCGATCAGCGGCTCCTATTCACTCTGAACTAACATTTTACCCCTGAATGGACCGTGTCTCTCCTTATAGCGCTACTGTGACTTTCGTGGTACTCTCTCAGCGTGTTCACGCGGCTATTGTTCAGCCTCGACAGTGCCCATCAGTTGTTCATACACACTCATCGTGAGAAATTTCAAGTTAGGCCTCGCTCCTTTTCTCTTCCGAGCTTCCGGCTCCGGGATCGTGCTGCCCAGTGCCTGTATTCCTCCCTCCTTGTGGGGGAGGGGGGCCTTCCTCCGTGAAAATTATGCCTTTTGTATCTCGTGTATCCTGCATCTCTTGCATCAATGGTCTGCCGTAATGATTTTTTTTTGCCTTTGTGGCCTATCCGAGCTAATCCTCCCGAAAGGGTTCACCTCAGCCTGGCCACCTGCACTGCAGAGAGCTCCCCTTTCAGGCGCCCCAGCCTATACCATAGCACGCATAGTACAAGCCGTACCTTCCTCCCATACCAGCCCCTGTCTTCGGTTTGTCTTTGCCTTGGAAATCCCATAGAGACGCGAGTTGGGGACTCCATATTGGATATTGTTGGCGCTGGGAATTCTGTTTTCCCTAAATCACCATCCTCACTACCCCAATCCTCAGATTCAACCACTTCACTCGCTTTGGTGGTTGCTTTTCCTGTTGTTTGATTTCGTACTGGTCTTTTTCTTCTTTCTTTTCTTGCAAAGCTTCTTTGGATATTTTTGCATGGTCTTACGACTATTTTATCCATAGGGGTTCACGATAAGGAGAGGACCATATAATCATCATTGGGAACTTTTACTCCTCGCGCTGCTCACGACACCGATCACCTTACCCAGCACGCCCCTTTCTCGATTCTCGGCTCGACTCACTCGAGGTCGCAACACTACGAACAGGAGGCCGTTGAGATTGACCAGTTATCAAGGCTGTCACTGCAAGGCTCAATTTCTAATTGAACAGTCGCAGCAGCGGGAAGCCGCCTTGCTTGAGGCCCTGAGGCGTCCTCACAACTGTGGTTCGTCCCTTTGGACGTCACACCTCACACAGACATCTTGCCCACCATGGCGAACCGAATGTCCATGTACTCGGTGGCATCAGAAATGCATGGTGCTTCGAGGGGAACCGGACAGCAATCTACCCAAGTCAGCACCACAACGCTACTGAACTCAATCCATAACATCTATATAGAGGGGCAAGCATACGGTCTCGATGCTAGTTCAAGGTGGGTGATGGGATCTCCCCAGAGAAGAAGGAGCGGGCAATTGTTTGGCTACTTGATGGATGCTGACTGCTGTGGTTTGTGAACAGTGTCGTTGTAAACACATGGCTTACAGCCAATCCTCCTCCACCGAACCCCCCCACGGGCGGCACAATCGACACATCTCTTGGCGTCAAGGCATGGGAACATGCAAGAAGGCGTGCTGAAGATGGTGCCATCATCCTCAGGTAAGGACCCCCTTCCGTTCCCTACGGAGGCTGCTTCTGCCCATGTGTCCGCCCCATCATCACATGCTAATGTCGAGACCATGACCAGCTCTCTACACACGTCAACTCCGTCTGTGCTCGTTCCATTCCTCAGCAATGCCCTCCCCATTCAGATGCCATCCATGCTGTTTAAGGCACTCGAGGCGATCCATCCCTTCATCCGATGCGTGACACCAAACAACCCCTCTACTCCTCGACAGGCGGCCCTCGCCGTGACCTTGACACTGAACCTGGCGGGAGAGATCCAAGCAGCCTCCGTGGCCCTCTCGCAGGGAGGTATCGATACGGACAAGGGCCTGCTGAACATTCCCGCTGAGGCCGGCTACCGGGCGTTCGATGTCTTCTACTACCTGCTGAACTCAGGTGCCACGCCTGCCGAGCGCGAATTCCTCAGCCTCAAGAGCCCAGACACGTACACACTTCTCAAACGGTCAGGCACGTACGAACCGCCATCCTACCTGATTAATTCCGACGATGGTGCCGCTGCCGATGATTTCCGCGATGCCCTCAAGCAGATCGGCATCAAGGGTTCTGCCCACAGGAACCTCATCTCGACCCTGGCCGGTGTGCTGAAGCTTGGAAACACCCTCGACTACAATATCGATGAGGACGCTATGGACGACATCATCGAGGATGCGGGTGGCCTCCTCGGGGTCGAGCCCGAAGTGCTCGCAACCCAGTGTAGTACCGAGGACAGGCAGACCTTCATCGGTGGCCTGTACGAGGCTCTGGTGGACTGGGTCATCACCAAGGCTAATGCAGCAATTGCTGCCGAGATGGGCCACCCGGGCCGAGCTGCGGACGATAACAGCAGCGAGGGGGGTGTTCGGACGCCCAACAGTGACGACAATCAGGACACTGTCTGCATTACCGTTCTCGAGATACCTGACCCAGACCTGGGCAAGGCCCTGGCTCTCAGGGGCGTGTTTGACGACAGCCTAGGCATCAACGCAGAGATGAATGCGGACGGGGTGGAAGTCCCTAGTGCCGGTAGCTCTGTCGTTCGCGAGATGCAAAATGCCGTGGCTGCCGTGGCACCGGATCTGGGCATCATGTCCGGACCAGCTGGCCGCGAGAGGCTGCATGTCTTGGAGAAGAGGGAGGAGATCCTTGAGAAGCTTGCCTATGCCGCAGACGAAGACGGGTTCTTGAAGAAGCTGCTTTTCCCCGTCGAGGGCGAGGGCATCAACCTGGGTCGGAATGCTCGGGCGGACCTGCCAGCCATCCTCAGCAGCAGTCGTGCCTGGTATCACCTCTCGATTCATCCCACAGACGACGCGCCGGCCACTATCGCGGGCTTGCCCTCCATCACCTCCGCCTGGTCTGCAGGCACTGTCTCGCGCCAGCTCCGCTCCTGGAGGCTGCCGGAGTGGTCGAACCGACGAAACAGAAACCTGGACTTCACCGCTGACTTTGACCATGACGAGTTTGTCACGAGATACTCAGCTCTTGGATGCTCGGATGGAAAGGAAGGCATCCAGAACTGGCTCATGGAACGCGGTTGGACCAATGGAGAAGTCATAGTCGGCAACGAGCGCGTCTGGATGCACGAGAGCGCGTGGTGGGAGGCCGAGATGATGATTGACAGCAGACAGGCCGGGCCTGGAGGCGTGCAGTTGGGCATGGGAATGAGCAGCTCCATGGGATTCCATGGCCTCGACACGGGCTATTCTGCCCAGAGCAACGGCAGCGGCTTCTTTGGCCAGTCTCCTTTCGGAGACTCTAACGCCAACGACAGCAACGAGGGTCTTGCCCAACAGAGAAATCGGAGCCAGGCTACGTTTCTCGGTCCAGCAGCCCTGGGTCTCAACCCCGGGTCTCGCGCACCGTCCCTCTCCGGCTCTCAACGACCCCAGAGCGTTCTCCCTGTCCACAAGGGAGACTACGGCCTTGGTTTCAAAGGAGACTACCGTAAGGGTGAATACCAGTACAACGCCGAGGGCCAGTTCGTTGGTGGGGTTGACCCCGAGCTTCTTGAGGGGAAAAACATCAAGGAGGAGCGGGTCACCCTTACGCGGCGTGTCTGGGTTGCTTTCGTATGGGCATTGACTTTCTGGATCCCGTCGCCCCTCCTCAGCTTCATCGGTCGTATGAAGCGGCCGGATGTGCGGATGGCCTGGCGCGAGAAAGTCGTGCTATGTTTCCTCATCACCCTCATCAACTGTTTCATTATCTTCTGGATCGTCATCTTCGGCAACCTGATATGTCCCAACTACGACAAGGCGTTGAATTTCAAAGAAGTCGCCGAGCATACAGGAGACAATGACTTTTATGTCAGCATCCGCGGCAACGTCTACGACATTTCCAAGTTCTGGAAGACCCAGCACAGTGACTCCTCAACCGAGACGACAACGACCAACATGGAGCCTTTCGCTGGTGAGAACCTGGACGAATACTTTGTGCCTCCCCTGATCATTGCTTGCCCTGGCCTTGTCACAGACGACACCATCGAGCTCACTGCTAACACGACGCCGACGTACCCGACCGCCGAGCACACCTCCGGGTACTATCAAGCTGACACCTCGAGTGCGCTGCGCAACACGTATTGGTACAACGAGACCTTCTTGCCCAAGATCAAGGAATATTACAAGGCAGAACTCGTCTGGGAGAAGGAATACGTCAAGACCCAGGGCGCAGACGAGTATCACAACTGGGTCATCTACAACAACAAGGTCTTCGACCTGACGGATTATGTCTACACGCTGTCCCTCATGGACGACTTGGACACCTACGAATTCCTCAACTCCAACATGACGTCTATTGCCGAGGAGAATTATGGCCTGGACGTCACCGACAAGTGGAACGCACTCATCAAGGAAGCCAAGGAGTCGGGCAACAGCACCGAGTATGCGAGCTTGATGAACAGTCTGACCTGTATGGAGAACACCTTCTACAAGGGCATCATCGACTTCCGATACAGCGCCAAGTGCCAGTTCAACAACTACCTCCTGCTTGCGTTCACCATCCTTCTGTGCACAGTCATCCTGATCAAGTTCTTATCGGCTCTTCAGTTTGGCTCGAAGCGGCGACCATCTCCTCAGGACAAATTTGTCATCTGTCAGGTTCCAGCTTATACCGAGGGTGAAGATTCGCTGAGAAAGGCACTGGACTCATTGACAGCTCTTCAGTACGACAACAAGCGCAAGCTCATCTGCGTTATCTGTGATGGTCTCATCACCGGCGCCGGAAATGACCGTCCCACGCCCAAGATTGTGCTTGACATTCTCGGTGTTGACCCCAAGGTCGACCCGCCGGCATTGCCCTTCAAGTCTGTCGGCGCTGGCGGTCTCCAGCTCAACTACGGCAAGGTCTACTCGGGGCTTTATGAGTTTGAGGGCAATGTGGTCCCGTACATTGTGGTCGTTAAGTGCGGCAGGGAGGTCGAGCAGACTCAAACGAAGCCCGGCAACCGTGGCAAGCGTGATTCGCAGATCCTGCTCATGAGCTTCCTGAACCGTGTGCACCACCGTGCCCCGATGAGTCCTCTTGAACTCGAGATGTTCCACCAGATCAATAATATTATCGGCGTGGATCCTGAGCTGTACGAGTACCTGCTGATGATCGATGCCGACACTTGCGTCCGAGAGGATTCGTTGAACCGCCTGGTGGCACGTTGTGCCAACAACGCCAAGATTGCGGGTATCTGCGGTGAGACGAGCTTGCAGAACGAGGAGCGGTCGTGGTGGACGATGATTCAGGTCTATGAATACTTCATTTCCCACAACTTAGCCAAGGCCTTCGAGTCCCTCTTCGGTAGTGTCACCTGTCTGCCTGGATGGTAAGTTCCAAATCTATCTCAATCCCTTCCCCCCCCCCCCCCCTCTCTCTCTCTCTCTCCCAGAGGACACTTGTTTCATTTTGAGAGACAGAAGCTCACAAGATCCATCTAGTTTCACCATGTACCGTCTGAGAACAGCAGACCGTGGCAAGCCTTTGATTATCTCTGACGAGGTTATTCGAGACTACAGCGACTGCCATGTTGATACCCTCCATAAGAAGAATCTGCTGTCCCTCGGAGAAGATCGATATCTGACCACCCTCATGACCAAACACTTCCCGCACATGCAGTACAAATTCACAGCCGATGCCTACTGTCAGACAGCTGCCCCTGAGACCTGGAGCGTCTTGCTCTCTCAGCGTCGACGATGGATTAACTCCACTATCCACAACTTGGCCGAGCTGATGCGCCTCAAGGACATGTGTGGCTTCTGCTGTTTCAGCATGCGCTTTGTCGTCCTCATCGACCTGACAGGAACGATCATCCTCCCCGCCACAACATGCTATCTCGGCTACCTTATCTACAGGCTTGCTACGCACCAAGGCCAGTTCCCAACTATCACTATCGCCATGTTGGCAGGAGTCTACGGTCTCCAGGCGCTCATCTTCATCTTGAAACGCCAATGGCAACATGTCGGCTGGATGATCATCTACATCCTTGCGTATCCGGTCTACTCCTTCATCCTGCCCATCTACTCCTTCTGGAACCAGGACAATTTCTCCTGGGGCAATACCCGTGTGGTGATCGGAGAGAAAGGTCAGAAGCAGATCGTGGCCGAAGATGACGAGGCCTTCGACCCGCGCTCGATCCCGCTGCAGCGCTGGGACGACTACGCCTTGCAGAACAACCTACCCGGCCGACGTGGCAATTACAACGAGAAGGGCAATATCGCCGACACCGTCCAGCCGCTGTACGATCCCGCGGGCGGCATGGCGGGCGACTACGAGCTCGACGACATGAAGAGCGTGTACTCATCGGTCCGGCAGCCAAGCATCCTGACAGGCGTCCCTGGCCGCGGCGCGTACATGGCCCCGCCGCAGTCCCCAGCGCCGTTCCAGACTGGACACATGTCCCGCAACAGCGCCTTCACCGCGCCCTACGCAGACCACCCGGCCTCGCACATGCACCGCCAGAGTACATACAGCGTTGGCACAGGACTCGACCGCGACCATTCGCCGTACCAGGACCGGCCTGGGTCGACGGCTATGGGCGCGGGCTACGCACAGAGCCGCGCCGGCACAGCCATGAGCGGGTACGGGGGTGCCTCGCCGTCTGTGGTAGACTTCTCGCGCGGGCCCGGTGTGCACGGCCCCGACGATGCCGCCATCACGGAGTGCATACAGGCTGTGCTGAGGGAGGTAGACCTCGACACCATCACCAAGAAGCAGGTACGCGCGCTCGTGGAGCAGAGACTGCAGACCGAGCTCGTCGGCGAGAGAAGGACCTTCATGGACCGCCAGATCGACAATGAGCTGGCCAACATGTAGACGCCGCCAGCCTGGTTCCCCAAGAACTTTTTGGAAATGATTTGGTTCTTTCCTCCCCCGGTTCTCTTTGGATCAACGGACACAAAGTTGACACGGGTTGAGGGTGTGTGCGTCTGATTAATCATTAGATTTGGTCCTATCCAAACGCATTTGAGAGCGATGAGCGGGGGTTGTGAAGGAAAGAGAAGAAAAAACACTTATTAAGCGGCGTTACGTTGGGGTTTCCTTTCCCATTGCACACAACACAACACACAATTTTTCGCTCGCACGCAAGACGAACGGCTTAGGATCATGGGTTGGGATATTACTTGTTTCTGCATGACTCTCTCTCAGTGTGTGTGTATTGGATCTGGAACTTGAGGATTTCTTTTTTATGCATCATGGTTGACCATATCAAGTAGGCAACTGAGCAAGCGGAGTTCATTGCTCATAATTAATATTCTGGGAACAAGAAAAAACGAAGAAAGCACCTTTTGGTTTTGTGCCCTATATCCTTAATGACGCCTTGCTATGGAGTCTTGCCTGCATTTAATTTTGGAGGCTATCGTGGATTTGCATCTGTTCTCTGTGTGATTGTTATTCAATCGTCAAGCCATGCAAGTCTCAAGTTCTGACCTGGTGATGTTATGACCATCCGTTCATCCACTATGTAGTTGTCTTATGATTTGATCTCGCTTGCTCGCTCTATCTTCCCAACGCCCTTCAATCTCAGATAAACGTCCGTCCCCCAGCCGTAGAGACTCTGCACAGCCACGCCTCCACCAAAGTACTCGGCATAGGCCCGGCTCAACGGCAGCCCGTACCCCAGGCCGGCGATCGAGCTGCCGCCGCCGCTGGAGCTCGAAATGACGCTCAGTGCGTCGATGGACGACCCACCTGGGACGTCTTCCTCATCCTCGCGCACCGTGGTGAACGAGTAGGACCAGATGTTGGGCAGCACGTCCGGGCTGATACCACCGCCGCGGTCGCGGATGCGGATCGTCACGCCGGGAGCATTATCGTCGAGCGGCCTGATGGCATCGCTCGTGAGCCGCCCTGCCTTATTGTCGTCGAGGCGGACGGTGGTGGTGGCGTCCTGGCCGGAGGAGGAAGGCTCGGGGGCGATGGTGATGACGACGGGCTCACGAGACAGGCCGCTCTCGACGGTTGCGCGGAAGGCATTCTTGAGCAGCTCGGTGACGATGTACTCGAGGTGGTTGGGGACAAAGGCGAAGGTTGTGTCCGGGTCGCCGTCGATTTCCCAGCGAGGGCGGACGCCGTACTTGAGCTCGCAGATATCGGCAACGAACCCGCCGCAGCTGTCGACGACGCCGGCAGGGCGGAGGGCGGTGTCGATGACGCCGATGAAGCTGGGGTGGTCCGGGCAGGGGGTAGGGCTGGCGTCCGGGTCGAAGTGTGGTTTGCTGGAGAAGTGTAGGGCGATGTGCTGCTCAGCGATGAGGCGCGTGCCGATGCGGGCGCGGAGGTGCTCGTCCAGAAAGCGGGTGACCTCGGCGGGGGAGATGTACCGCCTGCACTCGAGGAATCCCTGCGCCAGGAGCGGGATGGTATCGGTATGCGTCTGGACGAGTTCAGCGAGGACCTCAGTAAAGCGGATCTCGTCGTCGAGGGTGGAGAGGGTGTGGCGCGGCGAGGTCTGACCCTCGAGCCAGGGGAGGAGAGTCGACAGCGAGTGCTGGTAGTTGTTGTAGATCTTGGTGATGTTGCTGTTGGAGACGACAATGTAGGGGAGGTTGCGCAGGGCCTGGATCCGGTGGGCGAGGCGGATGGGGAGGAGGGAGAGAGTGAAGCGTGCCGAGGAGAGGAGGGCCTCAGCAGAGAGGGGGGGGCGACCGTGCCTGACAGATGTAAATTACATGTATTAGAAACAATTTTTTGGCTTGCAGATGTTTGGAAAATGATACAGCTGGAGAGGACTTGAAGTAGAGTGGCAACTGACTTTACGAGATCAGCCAGGCTGAGGCGGTGCAGGGCCTGCTTGGCCAGTCGAGGAACCTGATCATCATGGTGAGGGAAGCCAGCGTGTGTGTGCTTCTGACGGCGGTCAGCCAAAGAGAAGTTTCCTGTTGTTGGAATTGGAGAGCATTGGGGCTGTCTAGAGGCCCTAGAGATGAAAAAACACCTCAATGGCCTCCCTATTCGATTCATGGCGGCATGGCAAAGAAGCGTTGCTGGGTGTTCAGTTGTGTCGAAGGAATGAGGAGACAAAGTTGAGGAAGGAAGGCTTGATGAGCTGTCGTCCTCGTCGGTGTGTGATCTCACTAGCAAATCCAACAGGAAGGTACAGTACAGGCATACATGCTTAGTACTTCTTAGTAACAGCGAGACCCCTGGAACCCTGCCCAGGGAGGATTCTTTGATAAGATAAGTGTGTCACACGTGGGGCTCATTACCCCGCGATGAGGGCGACGAAGCTGCTGACAGGATACATTAATATCATATTGTCCAGAGGACAAGTACAAGGTTTGGGGATGGGATCAGAATTTTCTTTCTCTAGGTTTCATATTGGAAAGGTCTAGTAGAGTGAAACTTGTGTGAATGCTATGTAACCAGTGGACTGCTCTGGAGAGTAAAGCAGGTCTCCTATATTGCAGCCATTACCTACTGCGTCGTAACAGTTGAGTCGAACTCAATATCCTCCACACCATCGACCGTCTTCAACGCTTCAACGTCTTGTGTGGCGACTGTACCCTCGGCAACGTCCTTGGTGGCTCTGCGAGAATCCTCATTGTCAGTGGTGGTGCCTAGACAGTGCAAGAAAAGGGGAGGAAGGCCAGACGCAAACGGTAGAGAAGAGGGGAAACATACGAGAAGCCCTTGATAGTGGACGTGTACTTGTTGGTGACTGTCCATCCCTTCTCCTCGGCTTTCTTAGCCGCACTTTTGGTATTCGTCAGTCTTTTCTTCTTTCTTTCTCTTCTTTGGTCGATAGTTAAAGAATAGTTGGCATGGGTATCTTACGCATCAACCTGCGCCGCGGTGGAAGACTTGGAAAGGCTGACCTGTACAACTCGTGAGATGCTGACGACTCCAACGGTTCCAGAGGAAAGGGGGCTTAGAAAGGGCTAGATGCTTACAATGATGGACGGCATTTTGATTATCGTTTTAATTTGAGGGTTTTGAGAGTTGAGTATAGGTTAGAAAGTAGTAAGGGGCTCGTAGATGTCAAAATAGGCAAGAGAGAGAGAGAGGAAGAGAGAAAGTAGTTGAGTCTTATACTAGGAGGTCTCAGCCAAGCACGCGAGGTAAGTACGAGGCTCAGGCTGGTTAGTGGGCCTTATGGCGCCTACGTCATGCGTGGGAGCGCCGGACTCGCTGTCAAGGTGGACACCATTCAGCGGGAGCCAGCGGGAAATCGCGGCTAAGCCTTTGATCACGACACTGATGGATTACAGTATCTTAGATTCCTGCTCCACGTTTTCCTTCTTGAGTCTCGACAACTCAAGGGTCCTGGAATTAATGAGAATGGATGTCACTGGCAGACGTTGCTGCATGAGAGTGCCAAGAGCCATTCTTTGATATCTAGGTTGGGGCGATCTTCCGTAACATCACCCGCCCTCTCTTTCGTGGGACCATCTCACTGAAGCCTGGATGGGATAAACCTCTTCCTGTTTGCCTTTTCTAGCAAGGTGTTCCAAGTATGGCTCTGTGAATGCCGTGATTCCTTCTCTCGGCAGTCTTTTTTCTTGTTCGGATATCCCTCAGCTGCTATGTATAGTATGCATTTCACTTGTCTCTGATGCCACTACTACTGCGTTCCGTTGAGGCCATGACTGTTCATCTATCCTCTTTCCGCAAATTCTAGTGCTTATAGCGTTAACTCGAATGTGTTGGACCTTTTCAAGTATTCCAAGCTAAGGAAATCTCAGTTTATATTAGTCTGTGTATAGGAATGACTGGATTCTTGTCAACACTACTGGTGTGGGTGATTAAGGTTTACTGTACAGTTGAGTGTACTTGGAGTCTAAGCCCTGCCTCTTCACTAAACACAATGCTTGAGGTTGATAGTGATCTTCTCACTAATAACATATTAGTAATTAGAATGGTGATATCATCAAGAGTCTGAGGACTAATAGCTAGTCCAAGAGCCTCCTGGACACCAAGATATGCTCTGCTGTTATTATAATATTTGACACGGTTGCCCTTGGTGCTTTACTGACCCGATCCACTCCAGTCCACCCATACCTGCACCACCTAGGCAAATGCTGAAGATCTTGTCACCAATACAGAACATTCATAACCTTTTTTAATCATACCTTGATATGTACGTTGCATCAATACCTCATCTGTCCTGGTCCTACTGACATCCTGTTACATATACCATTTTCGTCCTTTTCATGGAAAGGAGAAGGAAGAAGGCATCACTGTAGTTTCAAGCTGGATTGTGTATTAGTTGATAACAAGATGGAGATGTTTTAAGTATACTTACTTGTAGTAGTAAACCTAGGACCCCTGGGCATTAACTTGACTCGGATTCCAGAGACCCCCACTAATTTATCCCCTGCAAGGCTGCGTTCGATCATCCCTGCGGGTGGCTTATCGATAAGTCCGCTGCCAGAAATTTTGATGATTTTTGGGAGATGCGATTTTGGTTTGTCTTTCTCGACTGAGATTGAGTTACGTTGTCGGCAATCTTCGCAAAGATGGAGGGCCAGGCACACAAGCCTCATCGCAAATCCAAAGAGAAGAAGAGTCATTCTGGAGGTCAGTCTTCATATTTACGATTTTCACCAAAAAACTGCCATTGAAACAAGGACTGACTCCTGGGCGTGCAGGACCGAATCCCAAGGCCTTCGCAGTCCACAGGCCTGGCAAGCTCCAGAAACAGGCTGCGCGTTCGAGCGACGTATGTTATCATCACCCCCTCTTCGGTTCGGAGCCTCTCACTAACATCTCTGCTCCCACAGGTACGAGAGCGCCGCCTCCATGTACCCCTCGTCGACCGACTTCCCGATGAACCTCCACCGCGACTCGTCGCCATCGTCGGCCCTCCCGGCGTTGGCAAGACGACCCTCCTCAAAAGTCTGATCCGCCGATATGCGAAGGAGACTATCACCGACCCCCAGGGCCCCGTCACCGTTGTGACATCGAAGAAGCAGCGGCTGACATTTCTCGAATGCCCGAATGAGCTGGAGGCTATGGTGGACATTGCGAAGGTCGCAGACATAGTGCTGCTCATGATCGACGGTAACTATGGCTTCGAGATGGAGACTATGGAATTCCTGAACGTCCTCGCAGCGACGGGTATGCCGGGCAACGTCTTTGGCATCCTCACACACCTTGATCTATTCCGCAAACCGCAGGCGCTCAAGGATGCGAAGAAAAGGCTGAAGCACAGACTATGGAGCGAGCTGTACCAAGGCGCACATTTGTTTTACCTTTCGGGAGTCATCAACGGGCGTTATCCTGACCGAGAGATTCACAACCTCTCCCGCTTCCTTTCCATCATGAAGAACCCGCGACCTCTAATCTGGAGAAACTCACATCCGTACGCCATCATTGACAGCTGGCGAGACATTACTCATCCCACCAAGATCGAGGAAAACGAGAAGTGCGATCGGTCTATTGTTCTCTCCGGTTACCTCCGCGGCACAAATTTTTCCTCCCAGGGACAACGAGTGCATATACCCGGGCTCGGTGACTATACAGTGGCGAATATGGAAGTCTTGCCCGATCCATGTCCGACACCATCAATGGAACAGGCCATAGCGAAGGCAACGGGCAAGACCGGCCGCCGTCGTTTGGACGACAAGGAGAGGAAGCTCTATGCGCCAATGTCCGATCGCAGCGGTCTCAAGGTCGACGGAGATGCCATCTATATCTACAGAGACAAAGGATTCACGTTTGACAAGGATGCTAAGGATGTTGAGCGAGGCGAGGGCGAGGAGCTGATTGTCAATTTGCAGTCAGAGAGGCGTCTCCTCGGTCAGACAGAGGATGGCGTGCAGCTGTTCGCTGGTGGCGAGAAACTCAAGGAAATTGCCGAGGAGGACACCGGGCGCAAGAGCCAACGAAAGGCAAGGCTTGCTGAGCAAGATGGATCTGACCCTGAAGACTTGGAGGACGTGAATGAAGGCTCTCTCGACGGCGAGGAGGCTTCTGATGAGGAGGCAGAGTTTGACGAGCAGAAGCTGGGCAAGATGTTCCGCAACAATGCAGATAAGGATGCGGGAGAAGACGAAATAGCTTTCGCTGACAGCGATTCAGATCTTGGCTCGTTATCAGGGGACGACCTGAGCGACGAAGATCTAGACGATGAGGAAGACTTTGACTCCGATGACGAAGAAGCCGCCTTGAAGTGGAAAGAGAACATGAGAGAACGAGCACAGCAGCGCCACGGAAAGAGGAAACCCTTCCAGGTAGCGGATCTGGCACGGATGCTGTACAACGATTCCTTAAGCCTGGACGACGTGCTCAAGAGATGGAGAGGCGAAGACATCGAAGATGCGGTGGAGGAGGAAGAGGACATTGAGGCGGACTCCGAGGACGAGACGTTCTTCGAGAAGTCCAAAAACGAGAAGAATGATCTCTCGGATGATCGCTCAGTACCGGTCTTCGATTACGACACGCTCGCATCATATTGGTCTGGTGAGGATGCTATTGAGGCCCTGAGGAAGAAGTTCACCACGGCCACATTGTTAGACGACGATGCCTCTGGGGATGGAGATGAGGATTTTGAGGGGTTCGGCTCTGGAGATGACGATGGTGCCAAGGATGATGATGAGGATGAAGGCGACGGTGCTTTTGAAGACCTCGAGACAGGTGAAAAGCACGGTCCAACAGACGAGGGCCTGGAAGCAGAACGCCAGAAGAACGCCCGCCGCAAGGAAGAGCTCAAATTGAGGTTTGAAGAAGAGGACCGAGAGGGGTTCGCCAACGATAAGGCTAATGCGCGCCGAGAAGGCGGCAACGACGAAGAGTTTGGTGAGGACGACTGGTACGACGCCCAGAAGTCCTTGATACAGAAGCAGCTCGACATCAACAAGGCCGAATTCGAGAACCTCGACGAGAGGCAACGAGTCCTAGTCGAGGGCTTCAAGGCCGGAAAATACGCCAAGCTAGTGATCGAGGGCGTGCCAGCCGAGTTCGTCAAGCAGTTTCACGCAAAGATGCCGATTATTGTGGGAGGCTTATCTGCCACCGAGGATCGCTTCGGATTCGTGCAAGTACGGATCAAGCGACACAGGTGGCACAAGAAGATTCTCAAGACGGGCGATCCATTGATCTTCTCCCTGGGCTGGAGGAGATTTCAGACTCTTCCCATCTACAGCATCTCCGATTCCAGAGTTCGGAACAGGATGCTTAAGTACACACCGGAACACATGCATTGCTTCGGCACCTTCTATGGCCCTCTTATCGCCCCCAACACTGGTTTCGTCTGTTTCCAGTCCTTCTCGTCCTCTAATCCTGGCTTCAGGATATCGGCGACCGGCACTGTGTTGAGCGTGGATGAGTCCGCCGAGATTGTCAAGAAGCTCAAGTTGACGGGTGCGCCATACAAGATCTTCAAGAACACAGCCTTCATCAAGGACATGTTCAATACCTCACTCGAGATTGCCAAATTCGAAGGGGCTTCGATCAAGACAGTATCGGGCATCCGGGGCCAGATCAAGCGTGCCCTGTCCAAGCCGGAAGGCCACTTCCGTGCGACGTTTGAAGACAAGATCCTGCTGAGCGATATCGTATTCCTGCGCGCCTGGTACCCCATCAAGCCCCACCGCTTCTATAACCCGGTCACAAATCTTGTCGGGTGGCAGCGAGCACGTCTCACGGGCGAGATCCGCGCCGAGGAGAGCCTACCGACGCCGCAGAACCGCAACAGCGCCTACCGCAAGATTGAGCGCGCGGAGCGGCACTTCAACCCGCTACGCGTGCCGCGCAAGCTTGCGGCGGACTTGCCGTACAAGTCGCAGATCGTATCGACGAAGCCGCAGAAGAAGACGACGTACATGCAAAAACGAGCAGTGGTGCTAGGCGGAGAGGAGAGGAAGGCCCGCGATCTGATGCAGAAGCTGACGACGATCCGCAAGGACGTGGCCGAGAAGAGGAAGGCATCCAAGGACAAGAACAGGGCAGCATTCAAGGAGAAGATGAGCAAGATGGAGGAAAAGAAAAAGGCGCGCGAGAAGAGAGAGACGAAGCAGTTCTGGAGCATGGAGGGGAAGAAGAGGAAGGCTGGAGATGAGGGTAGTGGCGGGGGCAAGAGGAAGAAGAGATGAGTGCTAGAATTAGACGTGCATACTTGAGAATGTGAATTGGGATCAATAATAATACCCTTTCAACTGAACATCATAGCAGCGGTGAACGTAAATTGTTTCATGTAGCAAGAACATCGACGGTAAGACCATTTTAGAACTTCACAGCGGAGCAGGCATCAAGAGGTCCCGCAACCCGGACAACATGCACAGCATGCCAAAGTGCTTCTTTTTTTCTCTTTCTTTTTTTTACAATGAGAAAAACCACTGGCCCATTTCACGAAGGGTTCCCAATAATATACGCCACAATTCCTTTAGCGTGAAGTGGGCTTTGTATAAGCAGGTCTGGGTCACATTTTATGAGTACCGTGCGTCGAGGGCCCTGGATCTGGAGAGACGCGGTGGGGAGGGGAGGAAATTTGTGATCAATTCTTGACAAATCGTGGCAGACTGAGTGGTTTGCAACACTCCGGGCCCGGACTTTTGAAACCTGAGGGAGTGTGAAAACAATGAAGAGAGAAAAAGAAGGAGAAAAAAATCAACGCGTCGCGAACATATCTGGAAATTGGTGACTATTGCAAGTGCTATACTACAATAGACTGCGAAGAGGAGATTCCAGCCTCCAGAGTTGGCTCCTCCCCAGCAAGCAGTGATCGGACTACATGGTACTTTTCTTGACCGCCGGCCGGAGGGTTGGCCCCACTAAAGCGGTAGGCGCTTGCGGCAGCTTGTGCGCCGAGGTCATTAGGGTATCCGGAGGTCTTCTGAAAGCACCCCTCAGAACCGGCAGGTTTGGGGTCAGGAACGCCATTGTCGCTCTCCACCACCTCTCGACGCACTTCCATGAACAGTGAAATGGCTCTGGGAACGTCACATCGTAGTAAAAATAACACGTAATGATGATGATGACGATGATGATGCTGAGCTGGCCTTAGTTCCCGGAGGAGGGGGCCGTTGAATACAATGGGCTGGCTGCTTTTTCTCCTTATCGAAAAAGTGTCGTAGGGGCCATGTCTCGGAAAAGCAAACCCCATCTCCCCACACAAGCAAAGATACGTACCGGTGCATAACACGCAGAGACTCCGACCTGCTCGCAGGGATGACCAAAACCCCCCTTTACCCCCCACTTGCCCCTCACCTTACAGGGGCCTACAGCCAATACTAGCACCAGAGTTTGCAATCTGACCTCACAACCTCCCCGCAGCGCCGCTCACCGGAGCCTGAATGCGACTCCGATCATCGGCGAAGCCCTTTGTTGCCATGCAATTCTACACCCAAATACAGACAGAGACACACCCAACTAAGGATCACCTTGGGGGGTCGCTCGGTATTTCAAGCTTCTCGAAGTCTCTCCAGTCTCGACTTTGCCTTCCATCCCGCAGTCCCCTTCCCTCCTCCTCCTCTTCTTCTTTTTCTACTTTTCCTTCCTCTCCTCAATTGCATTCTCCCAGTATCCCGTCGTTCAAAAACCGCTCGACACTTTCTGCTTTAAACTCTACCTATACCTGAACACCCCAACCCCAATTCCACACATCTCACACGTCACAAAACATATTCGGCACAGCCGAAATCATTGAGATACTACCCCCCTGGACAGCCGAGATTTTGGTGTGACGGCCACGAGAATCAGCCCCGAGCTTTGCCCAACATGCCAGGAGCAGAACGAGCACCCCAGACTCTCTACGACAAGGTGCTGCAGGCACATATTGTCGATGAGAAGCTGGACGGCACCATTCTCCTCTATATTGGTACGTGAGATCTCTTTCTTTCTGACTGCAGAATTGGAGAGAGGAGAAAGAACCCCCACACTGACGAATGAGTGTCTCAGACCGGCACATTGTCCACGAGGTTACATCACCCCAAGCCTTCGAAGGGCTGAAGAACGCGGGACGTAAGGTTCGCAGGCCTGATTGCACCCTCGCTACCACTGACCACGTGAGTTGATCCTTACCCCCTCCCCCCCTCTAATGTGTCTCTCTATTCACTTCTGGTGGTCGTCGCCGCCTAGAGTAAATAGATAAAGAAATAAATAATATAATATAAATTGCGACTTTTCTTGCTAACAGTTTGGATCCTCAGAATGTTCCTACGAGCTCGAGAAAAACCCTCAAGGACATCGGCAGCTTCATCGAGGAGGACGATTCAAGAACACAATGTGTCACTCTCGAGGAGAACGTCAAGGACTTTGGTCTTACATACTTTGGCCTGAGCGACAAGCGACAAGGCATTGTCCACGTCATCGGCCCCGAGCAGGGCTTCACCCTGCCCGCCACTACCGTCGTCTGCGGTGACAGCCATACCTCGACCCACGGTGCCTTTGGTGCCCTGGCCTTTGGAATCGGCACCAGCGAGGTCGAGCACGTGCTGGCCACCCAGTGCCTGATCACTAAGCGCAGCAAGAATATGCGCATACAGGTGGATGGCGAGCTTGCCCCTGGTGTCAGCTCCAAGGACATCATCCTTCATGCCATTGGCAAGATCGGAACTGCTGGCGGCACCGGCGCCGTGATCGAATTTTGTGGATCTGCCATCCGGGGGCTCTCCATGGAGGCTCGCATGTCTATCTGCAACATGTCTATCGAGGGCGGCGCTCGGGCTGGCATGGTTGCGCCCGACGACATCACCTTTGAGTACCTGAAGGGCCGGCCCCTGGCGCCCAAGTACAACTCGCCCCAGTGGCACAAGGCTGTTGCCTACTGGAGGAGCCTGCGGTCTGACCCTGGTGCCAAGTACGACATTGACGTCTTCATTGATGCCAAGGACATCGTTCCCACCATCACCTGGGGCACAAGCCCTGAGGACGTCGTCCCCATCACCGGGTCTGTGCCCGATCCCGAGACGTTTGCCACCGAGGCCAAGAAGGCTTCCGGCCGCCGCATGCTCGAGTACATGGGTCTGACCGCCGGTACTCCCATGCAGGACATCACCGTTGACAAGGTCTTCATCGGTTCCTGCACCAACTCTAGAATCGAGGATCTGCGCGCCGCTGCCACCGTGGTCAAGGGCAAGAAGATCGCTTCCAACATCAAGAGGGCCATGATTGTCCCTGGCTCTGGGCTGGTCAAGGATATGGCCGAGGCCGAAGGTCTCGACAAGGTCTTCACCGACGCCGGATTCGAGTGGCGCGAGGCTGGCTGCAGCATGTGCCTGGGCATGAACCCAGATATCCTGTCCCCCCAGGAGAGATGTGCGAGTACCAGCAACCGCAACTTTGAGGGTCGCCAGGGTGCTGGCGGCAGGACCCACCTGATGTCCCCCGTCATGGCTGCTGCTGCTGCCATCGTTGGCAAGCTGGCAGACGTGAGGAAGCTCACCGAGTACAAGGCCAGCCCCCATGTCGAGGCATTCAAGGCCACAGCTGAGCCCCCTCACGTCGATGAGAGGCTGTCTGAGGATGACTCGGACAGGGAGCAGCTCGCCGACATCCCCAAGAGCGACACCAGCATCTCTCACCCCAACACCTCTCCTTCTGCTGCAGCAACCGGCGGCTTGCCCAAGTTCCAGGTCCTAAAGGGCATTGCTGCTCCTATGGACCGGTCCAACGTCGACACGGATGCCATCATCCCGAAACAGTTCCTCAAGACCATCAAGCGAACCGGCCTGGGCTCCGCCCTCTTCCACGCCTGGAGATTCCTGCCAGACGGAAAGGAGGACCCATCCTTTGTTCTCAACCAGGAGCCTTACCGCAGCGCCAAGATCCTGGTCTGCACCGGTCCCAATTTCGGCTGCGGTAGCTCTCGAGAACACGCGCCGTGGGCCCTGAACGACTTTGGCATCAGGTGTGTGATTGCGCCGTCCTTTGCCGACATCTTCTTCAACAACACGTTCAAGAACGGCATGCTGCCCATTCCGATCAAGAACCAGGAGGACGTCGAGGCCGTCGCAAAGGAGGCCCGGGCCGGCAAGGAGGTCGAGATTGACCTGCCCAACCAGCTCATCAAGGACGAGGCTGGCAACACGATCTGCAGCTTTGATGTCGAGGAGTTCAGAAAACACTGTCTGATCAACGGCCTGGATGACATCGGCCTGACCCTGCAGATGGGCGACAAGATCTCCGACTTTGAGAGGAAAATGACTGAGGAGACGCCCTGGCTCGACGGCACTGCCTACCTCAAGAGGAAGGGTCAAGGTGGCAAGCTGGCGGCAAAGGCTGCCCCCGTCCCCATGACAAATAAGGGCGAGACAAAGAAGGAACCGCTGGAGTGGTGATCTCTCGAAATCTCTGACTCTCTGACTCGCTCTGACTGATTTTTGGTTCATTTTTTTCTTGTTTTCTTCGTGGCATAATATATTGGATTATATTGGTGGGAATTTCTGCCTTCCACTTTTGCGATGCAATCGTGCTGTAAAAGGCACTGGTGGAAACTTGTCTGGGTCCAGTCCCGCTCCAAAATTGGCGGCTGGGAGGAACTGAGCGGGCTTTTTGGGAAAAGTGATCTTAACAACCTTTGAAGAAACAATGACTGAGAATACATATCTCTTGATGATTCCTGATCTGAAGACGCTATACTACCTTCTACATTCGCTTGCAAAATGGCACCCTGAGTATTCTGAATACAAATGAGGTGGAATACTGCACATGCCCTTGAACCCTCCTGAATTCCATGTCGTCCCTACCTGTAACTCAAGCCTCCTCGCTGAGTATCCCAATATGCACGACAAACCCAGAGCTAGTCCTCAGCCCCTCAGGCAGCTCTGCATCTGGCACCCGCCACACACGGAACCCCTTCCTCATAGACTCCTTGAGCCAGCCCTCGAAGACGTCTGGATCGCGCAGCTGCTGTGCGACGACACACACGCAAGGCCGTCTCTCCACCACATTGCGATCCGTGCCGCTGCCGCCGCCGCCGCCACCACCACGCTCGTTCTCCGAGGACCGGAGCCGGCACGCATCAGCACAGGTCTGCACAAAGGGGGTAATGAGGGCCTCGTTGTAGATGCAGTCGCAGGCTACGACGAGGTCTGGCACGCAGAGGGCCGGCGTCGGCGTGTCGAGCTCCCAGTCGAGCGCATGAAAGGTGAGGTTGTCACCTACAGCTGCGCTGCTGCCGCCGGATGGGGACGAGGAGGAGGAAGATGAGGATGGCACAAGTGTCTCATGATGAGATCTTGTCCCGGCGCCCCTGCTGCGCTTACTGCTGCTGCTGCTGCTGCTGCTGCTGCCACCAACTCCTCTGCTGGAGGACTTACCTGCGGCGCGGGTTGGCAGCGACCTGCGGTTCTGCTCTATGTTCTGCTCGACGAAGCGCGCGACGTACTGCTGGTCCGTGAGTATATAGCGCCGCACCAGCGGAGCAGTAGCGAGTCCGACAAGGGCGGAGACGCCGCAGCCGAGCTCGAGGATGGTGGAGGCGGAGGTGAGGAGGCCGGCGCGGGCGAGGACGTTGCTGCTGCTGTTGCTGCTGCTGCCGCTGCTGCCAGCGCCGGAAGATAGCCACGAGGCGAAGAGCGGTGTGACCTTCCAGACGACAGCGCCAGTGGTACCGCCGGCGCGGTTGGAGGACAGGACGGCGGGGGACTGGGTGACGGCCAGGTCGCGGCCGTTGATAGTGAGCTCAAGGGTGGTGGCGCGTGGGTCGACGAAGCCGAGGTTCTGGGCCTGGGGCCGGGATTGGGAGAAGAGGAGGAAGACTTCTGTGTGGATGTACCTCCTTGTGTGAGAAAAAATGGTGTTCCCCTCTCTCAAAGGTGTCTTTTGCAGGCAGGCGGCCGAGTAAATTGGCCTGCTGGCTGCGTATGTGGGTGTGTTTCTGTCTATTGTTTTTACGTGCCTTCTTCTGCGTCTTGAATTTCAGGGTCCAGCTGGGCCAAGAGGCTTTCTATTGCGCTGGCCATGGTGTTGGGCCGGGGGTGAGCTAGATGAAATGATTTGTTAGGCTATTCATCCCATTTTTGAGAAGACGATATAGATGGATTTCTTACTGTGGTTTTCACTCAGTGTGTAATGGGATCTCGTCAGTCCATGTGTTTGTGTGGTCGTGTGGTTTAGTTGAAAATGATTCAACAAATTTGTTCAGGGAGATAAATTTCTTCACTACCAGATCAAGGACGTACCGGTTGGTGTCTCCATTGCTTTGATGCCATTATTCCATCCTCATAACAATACTATCAACTTTACAAATCAGAACTTCGATCTCATGTTCATTGTATTATCGACTAGATAAAGAATATCAGTATTATTGTCAGTAAAATTCATACAAAGATCTTACACAAATTCAATCTTTAGGGAGGCTCAGTAGAAGAGGCAGAGCAACAAGTTAAGATAGTAGCTGATGTCTTTAAGAAATGCTGACAACTCTATGTCAAGATGATTTCTATTCATCTCTGCCTACTTGCCACTATACAAGTCATATCAACTCCTTGTTGGAGAGACAGTCTCCAGGGTTGACACAGGCTAGAGCTCTGGGTGGTAAACAACTGGCTCTTGAGAGAACCCAGAAGATTAGACACAACTTGGGGAGCAACTCAACAAGCTTTCTCAATACCTTGGCTCAGGTGGTATTTGTTTTTCTTTGCTATCTCCCCCTTCCAAGGACATATTTCCTTTCTTCCCAACAATCTCTTTGATGTTTTTGATCAGATCAATAGCATGTGAAGGGCCAAACACCTGTCAAGAAATCTACAGAGTCGTCATACACAGACGGACTGGGCTATAGTGTGACAGAACCGTCAGGAACTGGCGGGTTTTGAGCTCATGACCTGGGCACAACAGGGAAGGCGGGAGGCCCCACAGGCTACACTGCCGCTGCAGTATGGAGTGGCTAAACGGAGTGGCTAAACCCAGGCACCTACCATAGTAGATTTAGTTTATACACAAGAGGAGAGGAGAGGAGGCGTCAGCAATAGAGCGTGAGCAGGGTCAAAGCGTCTTGGTCATACGCCACTAAGGACGAATGCAGAGGCATAGACAGCAGACCAGTCTTGACTGACCGGTTCCAACGGTTTTCACAGGACGGAGGAGTTGGGGCCACTCAGAAACTGAGGCTTACGACCCTATAGGTGGGTGGGCCTCCAATGGAGCTGCAACACATATGAATTTGACCAGACATTGGTGCTAGGATCTGAGCCAGGAGGGTGCAGATATGGTCTAAACAGGAAGACAAGGGATATGCAGATTGTCAAGTTGAGCAAACAAGAAGAAATGGTTCCAAGAATTCCTCAAGCAAAAGGACAAGAAATCAAATCCACTTGGTTGCATCGGCAGTGTGAAAAGTGACGGACTGACTGCCCTGGTCCCTGGTGGAGATCTAGACGCTAGCTGTCAAGCTGGGGTACAAAGGACGTCATAAAACCTGCCCCTTCTCATTCATGCACAGCAGCAGGGGGAGCTAACTGTTTTTAATTGGAGCTTAAGCCACTGACGGTGCCACTGCAAGTTGACGCTTCTTCCTCCTCCGCCTCCTCCTCCTCCTCCTCCTCCTCAACAACTTCCACCCTGGAAATATCTACTGCAAGCGCCTCTTCATTCCAGCAGCTGTCTTTTTGACCAGCCTCTTTCAAACAGCCTTTGTTTCTTGTCTTGCCCAACACATCATTCTTCTTCTTCTTCTTCTTTCTTTCTTTCCCCTTTTGCCTCATCTCCCACTGATCTGTGATACCCAGCCATTCACCACCCACCATGACGACCATACTCCCCAAATTTCAGGCGAAACCGCCCTTCACCGTCGAGGTGCCCGGTCAAAAACCCGTCGAGGGTGAGACCCCCATCCGTCGCATCAAGGCTGCCATTCCCGACCTTGTCGCCAAGCCCCAGCCCGACGTCTCCACCGTCTACGAGCTTGTCAAGGTGTCTGTTGAGAAGTTCGGCAACGCCAAGGCCATGGGCTCGCGGAAGCTTATCGATGTCCACCAGGAGACCAAGAAGGTGAAGAAGATCATCGACGGGGAGGAGTGCGAGGTGGACAAGGTCTGGTCGTATTTTCAGCTCGGCAGCTACGAGTACATGACCTACCTCGAGTACGAGAAGCTCATACTGCAGGTCGGAGCCGGCCTGCGAAAGCTGGGCCTCAACCAGGGCGACCGCGTTCACATCTTCGCAGCCACGAGCTCATACTGGCTGGCCATGTCCCACGGCGCTGCATCACAGTCCATGCCCATCGTGACTGCTTATGACACCCTCGGTGAGGAGGGCCTGCGCCATTCTATGGTGGCCACCGAGGCCAAGGTCATCTTCCTGGACCCCCACCTGCTGCCGACCCTGACAAACGTCCTCAAGGATGCGACCGAGATCCGCCACGTCGTGTGGAACAGCCAGAACAAGATCAAGCAGGAACACATCGACAAGCTGACGGCCGCATACCCCAACGTAAAGGTCCTCAGTTTTGAGGATCTGAGGAAGTCGGGAGAGGAGAACCCCGTGGATCCAGTACCCCCCAAGCCCGAGGACCTCTGCTGCATCATGTACACCTCTGGGTCGACCGGCACACCGAAGGGCGTTCCCCTGAAGCACAGCAACGTCGTTGCTTCCGTTGCGGGCGTAAGCGTGGTTGTGCAGCCCTTCATCGGCCCCGGGGACGGCCTCTTGACCTACCTACCCCTCGCCCATATCCTGGAATTTGTCTTCGAGAATGCGTCCCTCTACTGGGGATCTACCATGGGCTACGGCAACCCCAAGACCCTGTCGGATGCTTCCGTGCGCCACTGCAATGGAGACATCCGCGAGTTCAAGCCCAGCGTTCTCGTCGGTGTGCCTGCAGTCTTCGAGACCGTCAAGAAGGGCATTATCGCCAAGGTGGAAGCCGGAGGCCCCGTGGTCAGGAACCTCTTCTGGGGCGGCATGTGGGCCAAAAGCCAGCTCATGGGCTGGGGGCTGCCAGGATCCGGCATCCTGGATGCTGTCGTGTTTAAGAAGGTCAAGGAGGCGACGGGCGGACGCCTGAAGCTCTGCATGAACGGAGGAGGTCCCGTGGCGAAGGACACGCAAAAGTTCATTTCCATGGCCATCGCCCCTATGATCATCGGGTACGGTCTGACAGAGACAACTGCCATGGGCACCCTTGGAAACCCCTTGGAATGGACCTCGGAGTCCATCGGCGCCCCGCCAGCTGCTGTCGAAGCCAAGCTGGTCGATTTCCCAGATGCCGGCTACTATGCAACCAACAAGCCTCATCCGCAAGGTGAGGTGTGGCTGCGGGGGCCAAGCATCATGGATGGCTACTACCAAAATGACAAGGAAACGCAGGAGGCTCTGACATCAGACGGGTGGTTCAAGACTGGCGATATCGGCGAGTGGGATTCCAACGGGCACCTGAAGCTGATCGACCGCAAGAAGAACCTGGTCAAGACGCTCAACGGCGAATACATTGCGCTCGAGAAACTCGAATCGATCTACCGCTCCGCCCCCGTCGTTGCCAACATCTGCGTGTACGCCGATGATTCGCAGTCCAAGCCTGTCGCTATTATCGTGCCCGCGGAGCCGGCGCTCAAGAAGCTGGCAGAGGCCAACGGCATCAAGGCCGGAGCCCTGGAGGAGCTCGTGCATAACAAGAAGCTGCATGGGCTTGTTCTCAAGGAGCTGCAATCTGCAGGCCGTGCAGGCGGCCTCGCTGGTATTGAAATTATCGATGGTGTCGTTCTCAGTGATGAGGAGTGGACGCCTCAAAATGTGAGTTCTATGTTGTTCCCTTCCTTGCCTTGTTTCTGCGGGCACGCTTCCATACTGACCAAGACATCTGTAGGGTCTCGTCACCGCAGCGCAGAAGCTGAACCGTAAGGGCATCGTCAAGAAGTACAAGAAGCAGATCGACAAGGCATACGGGTCTTAAAAAATAACCTTTTTTCCTGTCTGGTCGCCTGTCTTACCCTGTTCATCCCATTGTTTATAGTATATGTTTAATGAGTCCAGCGGTCTTGGTTTTGGTCTTCGGCTCTCTTGTATGGACATTTAGGAAAGCAAGAGACATCCATATCTAGCCTGAGGATTGTGTCTTTCAAATGCAAATCAACCCCCCCCCCCCACATTTTTTTTCCCTTCCTAATCTCAATTTCTTTTTGTTTTTTTGTTTTGTTTTTGTAAGCGATTACTTCCTATTATGAACCGTAGGATAGGCCAAAACTCAAAAGTAGGGTTGCATGAATATGTCGAGACCGGATCGGAGTGATTGGTGCCTTGCGTAGTATTTGGTGTGCTTGCGTTTCTCTGTACATACATCTGGGTTGTTGGTGTTTGAGCCCTATATTTCGGCAGACAGCCTTGTACAAAAGACACTGTTTGTACGATATGGTCATAGCGTGTGCTCACTCACCTGGTCACTCAACTCACTCACTTACACACTTATTCATCGAACGTCATGTATTTACTAGCGAGAAAAGATGCCCAAGCCGTGAAGGTTGCTTGCAACATTGAAAAAATCGGACACCGTCCTTGGGAAACACCTCACGTGTCGATTCCCCCAAGCACGGTCCAGTCTCGCAGGTAATGAAAATGAAGAAACGCGCAACGCCGTCGTGCCCGCCTGATCCGCAGACTCCTTCGCCCCCGCCTCCCTTTCTTTCCCTGCCCCCCTCTCTGGCCCGGCCCTTTTCCGTTTCTCTCTATCTTTCGGCCACACAGAGCATCCCGGTGTTTATGTGTCTCACAACTCTCTCTTGTTTATACCCTACGCTAGGCCGAAAAGACTAAACCAGGCCGTCATACAGAGATAGGGCGGACACGATGGTCTCGTCACGTTTGCTACCCTCCTTGAACTCCTCCATGTCGAGGCAGCCGTTCTCATCCTTGTCCATCATGCGGAAGATCTTCTTGACACGCTTCTCGGGGGTATCCTCATCCTCAGGCAGTTTCACCATAGAGCCGACCTATACAGAACACAGGCACGCAAGATGTCAGCCCCAATACCCTGTCTGTTGTCTCGGCAATCCTGGTTCATTTGTTTCTTTGGTTGGTTTTTTTTTTTTGGGGGGGGGGGGGGTGAGGGTGGAACAGTGACATAAAATTAATCGCGCAGAGGCATGTCATGGGCAAGGGAAGAAAGGGTAGAGGGGGGAGATTCGGGGAGGACCATACCATCTTGTAAATTGCCTCCACAATCTTTAGCATCTCATCGTAGCTGATCTTGCCGTCACCGTCAATGTCATAGAGCTGAAAGGCCCAGTCCAGCTTGTCCTCCATCTTGCCGCGTGAGGTCACGCTCAGCGCGCAGATGAACTCCTTGAAGTCGATGGTGCCGGACTTGTCGCTGTCGAAGACATTAAAGACGTAGTCGGCGAAGCTCGACGGGTCCCCGAACGGGAAAAACTGCCGGTAGATCTTTTGGAACTCATCCTTGGTAAGCATCCCCGAGGGGCAATCCTTGAGGAAGCCTGTTGGTCGGGCGTCGCGCCGGGCGCATGGACCCCGGAGAGGGGCCGGGCGCAGGCGCAGAGCGGGTTAGCCATGATGTGATGCATCGATTTGAGCGCCATACGTATGCGGCTCTGAAATATTCCTCGCGCCAGAGAACCGTTGCTCTCGCTGTCCCCTGCTGCGTCACATATGGGGCTGGCGCGGCAACGAGCACGACACGGAGGAAAGGTTTGGGTTGGGAAGGGGGGTGGTGGTGAGATGTATAGATACTGGATTGTAGGAGTCGGGAGAGGGATCGGCTTACCCTTGTACCATTGTTGCAGCTCCTTCTTGTCGAAGTGTGTCGACTTCTGCAGTTCGACCAGCTGCTCTTGCGAGAGCTTAGACTGTCTGTAATCGTGCGTATCGTTCGTCAGCCCGAGATACCCTTTCCAAGAAGAAGAAGCCATCGCTTGTTTTGTGACTTTTTTATATTTTATTTTATTTTATTGTGCCTCCTGTCTGCGCGCCGAACGAGGACGAGTAGAGAGAGTTGCGCTCGGATGGCCGGAGACACAGAGTGGAGGGGGGTAGTAGGTGGAGGGGGCTCGAGCGGACGATCCATGTTCGCGATATGACGAGCCTCGTGGTGTACCCCCGACCCCTCTCTGCACTGTGATCCATGCTCTTGATAGGGCAATTGTCTCTGATCGCCCATCTCGGCGCGCGCGGCAGGTGGTACTATCGAAGATCGGAGGATGCCGAGACTCACGATTTTCCCATGTCGTTCTGTCTTGGCCGTCGTCGTCAACGTTGTCAGCCTCGTTCCTTTTCCTCTCTGGCGAGAGGACTTGGCTAAGCGCCGGCGGGTGATTGTCGCGGGGCGGTGGTTGGATCGCTGCGTTGGGAGGGGGAGAGGGATGTGTCGATGTGTACGAGTGGCTATTTCGCGACAAGGCTGGCTGTCAATGTCAGGTCAGGCTCTGGGTGGAGGGGGGGGTTTTACAGGGCAGCAGCAGCGTCGTACCGCCAGCTTGGGACGTGGTCGCTTAAGTACTCTGGCGGCTGATAACCCTCGCGTGTATCGTGCCGGAACAGTGGCGTGGGGCTGGTTTGCGGATGTGAAGGTCGCGCGTAGAAAAGTCGAGCTCGATTGCGGGAGGGAGTAGTTAAAGGAGTGGTAGTGGGAGTGGAAGGGGTTTGCCTGCTGCGATTGAAAATGTGGAGTGGGAATAGCAGTTCTCGCGTGAGGTGTTTGGACGGATGGGAATTTGCAGGTCTGAAGGTCAAATGTTCACTCACCAGAAGGTTGGGGAACTGAAGGGGCCGGCCTATTCTGTGACGGACGGGCGGGACTGGGGGTCCCTCTAAGAAGAGGGGCTACCCCCTCCCTCCCCCCCCTCTCGGGGCTGCGGGCAGCAGCAGGTTGCGCAGCTCTAAGCGTGATTTCAGGGCGATTCGAGCCTGCGCTCGACGACGGTACCACGTGTATACGTCACTTACCTAGCGCGCTAGGGGTAGCTACTCCTGTACTATGGCAGGTAGTGGGTACCTAGCCACGCCTGGAACGTAACCATACGTAGCACTTACGTGCTGTAGCATCGCCACCACATCCCTGAAGAGCGCAGCCTTTGCGAAGCAGGCCTCCCACCAGTAATCAGTTACTGTATAATATCCATCAATTCAAACCTTTTGCCCTTGACCACAAAAGAACATCAGGCTTCACAGCCTCCTCTCTGAAGGCGATGCACCCCACACAACCGACCAAGGCCAGTTCTAGGTACATTTTGTTTTTGGGAGGGAACCAAGCACACACACGCACACACACACCTGTCCTCAATACTGTGCATGTGCAGTATGCAGTGTGCAGTGCATTCTGAAAAGCCCCTTTACAAGCACTTTGTAATCAGTCACCCACAGTCAAGATGATGTCAAGGCTGTGTCTATCAGCAGGACCCTGACATGTTGGGCCAGCTTATCAAGAGCTTTTGGCGTAATGCTCTGGCTGATCAAACACAAAGCCCCACAGAACTTTTGCTTGCGACTCATACCCACCGTATCAAAACATGTGACAACAGCTGTTGCGATAATTTCTTCTTATTTCTACTTTTCCCCACGTGTCTTCCAGATGGCTTCAGCTGTCGCTTTTGTATGGTGGTTCCTACTGCTTAGTAATAGGCACTTACACCTAGCCGAATGGTACAGTACCATCCATCACTTAACACCATTGTGCCTGAGCGTGACAGACAGGGCAGGAGTGCACAAGTGCACCACAGTAATACCTTCTGTAGTTTCCCACCCCAGCTTATCACACAAGGGTATAGTCGGACCTTTGCAAAAGCTCAAGTCCTCTCCTCTCTGTCTCCTCTTCCTTTCCTGAAAAGTCCAGCCTCTTGTCACATACCAAAAAGAAGTGGTGCCGTACTCTACACAGCTCTACACTTTTCCGTCTCGCGGTCCCGATCAGCAAGCATTGGTTTGTTGCATAGAATCCGTTCGATTTCTATTCGTTATGGAAGTGGAGCAATCATGTTCATCATCCTTCGTTCTGACAGCGTTTACTCCCAAGCAAGCAAAATGAAACACAATTGACTGGACTTGTTCTGGTCACCCTCACCATAATGTACAAGGAAACCCGAGAGACTTTTCCCTATCGTTTCGTCCCATTACCAGGGGGGGAAAAAAGAATAAAAAATCAATCCACAAATGGAAGCACTTGAGGTCTGCTGCTAATATCGCACGGCGCAAAGCGCCACCAGCTCTTGTGCTTGCGGTCATATATCCACGAGATCACCACCTTGGCGATCCACGGCAACACAGGCCACACAGGCAGCGAGTCGTTATCGAATGTGCCATCGTGGAGATGCATAAACATCGGCATCAAGGTATGCTGCCATCGCCTCATATCAGTAATCAACGCCGGGCAGACCAGAGACGAGTTATGGTCATAATTCGCCCAGAGGCTCCAATGTTGGGGTAATAAGAATCACAGGGCAGGAACACCTGTGGGCGAACAACTTACCTTGGTGCTCGGATCGGCCTGCATCTGGGCCACGATCTCGGCGTGTACCTTCCTGAGCCAGGCAGCCCAGTCGCATTTGTCCTCGTACCTGTCCAGCGCCAGCAGCGTCTGTATCTCGTCGTAGAGATGCTCCCTCAGCACCGGCATGAACGAGTCGATGATCTCTCGGATCTTTCCGCCGTCGTACTTGGCGCTGCCGTTCTTCACCGACTCGATGTACGTGCTGAATGCATCGAGGCCGCCGTGGAAGGCCGCGTGCTGCTCGACGTTGGGCGTCATCAGCCCGGGTGCCCCGACCAGGTCCTCGATCCGGGGGAACACAATCGTCTCTTCGTTGTCGTGGTGCTCGTGGACTGGGTGCTGCTGTCAGTTGTTACGCCCCTGAAAGTGTACCAAGAAGACTGAGGGATCGGAAGGATTTACCAAGGGTCACCCACAGCCGAGCGTACTCGACAAAGTCCGGGACGGACTCTGGGGACCTGCCCACGTTGACGCACTGGAGGTAGATGCTGTTGATCCCTCGAATGATGATGTTGTGAAGGATGATCATCTCCTGGGCGAGCTGTTGGCTGGTCTTGACCCTCTGGCCTGGCTACACGGCTACATTTCAGTATCCTCACAGTGTATGCAGCCTTATGACAGGGCTACGATACTGGAACCGGGTGCTTACCTTGTATCCTGTGGTGGACGCTGGTATCAGCTCAAAGGGGCCGTCTGCCCATTGCGCCTGGATAGAGGCCATCGTTCTGGAATTATGGCAAAGGCGTTCAGTGTCTTCAGGGAGAACGAACAAGTGTTGGCGTCGGGGGCTTGAGAATACGTCCTCGAAAGCTGATGGCATGTCAAGGCACCACGGACACGTTTATATGCATTCTGTCTCTCAAAGTCATCTCATGGGCTCTTGCCAGCCCTCACACTAAGGTGGGGGCGAGCTACCACTGAGGCAGGAGATCAGTTCTCAGCATGCCAAGAGGAGGAATATCGCTGAAGAAACCTCGAGGACTTATTGGTTGTCTTACCGTACCTCAGTCAGCCCTCTTAAGCCCTTCCGAGCCCTTTTCGAGCTGAGGTTGCACAATAGAAGAACTATTTCTGGGATCTGGCCTTTAGGTATGATGTCTAGGTTGTCAAGCTAGCCCAAGGCAAGACACTTTGGTCGTCGAGACTTCATGCATCGATTCTGTTTATACGATGGGCATACCTTGAATCTGGGTTGCACACCCAAACAAATAACAGAAGTAATCATCTTGCGATATGGCCCCCAGCGCAGGATATGCCAGCCTGGGTACTCTCATCTTTAAAAAGATAGTCTGGGGATCTTGTCGCAGTCTCATACGCCTTTTATTAGTCATTATTGAGTGGAAGGTTCAGCTATGCATGCCGTCAGATTTTAGGCCCCGGTAGCATGGGATGGACTTTCGGGCCTCTGGCGTGGAGCCGATAGCCTTATGAGCATTGCTAGAGTCTTCAGAGAGGTGTGTGTGTGTGTGTGTGTAAAGGGCCGCGCAGACTGGCCGCAGGGAAAGGAAGAACAAGTGTGCATATCTGGATCTATTCAGGATGGGGTGAACGTTTGGTCGTAATTAGCAGACATTTACAGGCGCTTTGACGACTTCATTCTCGCGCAAATGCCTTCAGAGGGAAAAGTCCATATAATTACCAACCATTTATTATCATGTACCTAGCAGGAACTAGACAGTCTTGCTCTTCGACCCCACGTCGTCTCTCAGGCTAGTTACCAGAGAGGCACACTTCTTCCCCTAATTACCCGAAAGGGCTCCGCCACGCTCCCACACCCACATTCGCTCGCCCCAGCTTCCGGTGCGCCATCACAAGATCCCTGCCTCTGCTGAGGAGGGCTACAGCCGGACCTTAATGTACACATCACCCAGCTGCCCGTCCTGGGGCGTCTCGCACATCTGCAGAGGGTGTGTGGCGGCCGCACGCGTGACAGGGTTTCCACAGTGGCCGTCGTGACGGTCACGAGGTCTATTATGTCCATGGTAGAAGTGTTTGTATGGTGATCAACTACATGGCCATGACCTTAGAAGCCTTTTTGTTTCGACAAGGCACCTACCTCTAATGCTCGAGCCCGCCTCAGATTCACACTCTTTCGTCAGAGCGCTCTGTAGCTGTTTCTGTTCGTTGCTTAAAGGTTCCTTCTGTGAAGTCTCATTCCAAAATCATGTTTCTGATAATTGAAAATTCGAAAAGATGTGGCATTGAACCCAGTGCAACGGGCTGAATATTATCAGGGTTGACAACAACAACTACGACGTCCAAGTGAGGAGATATTCGTCGAAGAAGAGGGGGCCAAGAGCAGCGATGATGGAATCAGGATAACAGAGCAGTAGCAGTAGTGAAATGATATGTAACACCTTATGCATGTGCTGCTGCATGAAGAGGTTGTGGAATTGTCTCTTTGCCCATAGGGCTACATGTTTTTGGTCTTTGTGTCTTACTTGAAGTGGAACTTTGCTATACGATGGCACTATGTGAAAATCCGGGAAGTATCAGAAATTGCGGTGTGCGCTGCCATAAAACGGGCCGAGAGAACTTAGTCGCTTGTCTACTTATGAGTCCTCGATGCTCAATTTCTTATGCAGAATGTCTCTTGCCAGTCGTCTCCTCTACCGGTGCAGCCCGAGTCGATGCGTCTTGGGCAGAGTCTCTCGGGAAGTTAGAGGATCTCGTCAACAGACGAAACCGAGCCTGCTGGCCCCCTTGGCGCCCAGTATACAGATGACTGATACGGCACCAAGGAAAGGCGGTTGCCCTCTTGCAGATACCACTGACAGCACCACCGCGACCTTCGCCGAAGGGCAGGAGGGTCCTGCGCAGAAGCCCTCAGTTGATAGAACCAAGTTTGTGAAAATCGGTATACGGATGTGAATTTGAACGCGAGAAGCTCTGATAGATTCTCCTGCAACACTCACGCGGAGAGGTTAGGAAACCGAGTTTAAAGAGAAGATTGCTCTGGAATCTGAGTGTTAGGAGTTTGAACATGGGGGAGCGCCTGGACCATGCCGCAGCAGTACGCCGAACCCAATTCGAGATTTTAAGAATCTGACAAGCACCCAATACTTACAGAATAGTTACAGCTTTTAATCGGGTTTTTGGCCTTTCCGTCTTTCGGCATCGTTGGTGTTCGTTTCTGTAACGATTCGAGTGCAGCCTTCCTCTACCTTCGCACTGCAGCGTCGTAAAAACTTCACTCGTCTTCCACCCATGTGCCGGGCATGATCTCGTCTCGAGGCGGGTTCTCAACCATATCCCAGAACGTCGCCAGAAAATCCTGAACGAAGTCGGACTCAAAAGACCAGTCCTCAAGGGTCGGGCCGTAATGGATGGTGTCGACAGGATACAAGACCTCCTCATCCACGTAAATAGAGATCATCCCACTGGGAAACCTGACACAGGACATAGCCTCCACATGGTTGGCGCCATATTCCTCGCTCCAGAGTTCGAATTCACGTCGCCCATACTCCTCCAAGTTGACGCCGCAGCTCTGAAGGACAGTCAAGAAGAGCCTCAATGATTGATGCAGCGATTCCAAGTTCCTAATCCGATACCTTAACGTGTAGGCAAAACCTCCTAATAAACAGACTAAGGGCGTGACTGGACTAAGCAGCGACCCACGCAGCCTCCAAGGTACACTCTGCATGAGATGTAAGTCAGTCGCAGCCGCCTGGACGGTCTCAATCAATAGATACTTCCACTGAAGCTCAGTGTAAGGGTTACTTATGCCGAATAACGTGACTATCCAGTGCAAAAGTGATATCCCGTCTTCTTGCCATATTCGCACGTCGTCTGCCTGGATAGGTCCGTGTTTGCGGACCAAGCACCGGATGGGGCCCGGTTCACTCGATATCAGCGAACCGTTGACCCCATTGAGCACCAATCCGCATATGTTTCTTGGCCGAAAATCTGTCCAGCCGGGGAAGTAAAGACTGATTTGCGTCTCGAACCAACCCTCAGAAAACAGCAAACATCTTTTAACCCAGTAGCCCGCATTCTGGGGTTCTAAACCGACAGTCTCTTCGACGACCAAGTCCAAAAGTCTGCTAGCTGTGAGTATTTGCATGTCGTTGTCAATGTCGCTTCCAAAGGGCAGAAAAAGCAAGAACCAAAACAAGCTGTGCGCTGCTGAATCCAAACGGATATGAGCCATATTCCTTTCGAGGAATTCCTGAGCAATGGTATAGCTTGAAAATTGGCATGCAAGCTAATACTTAATGATCAGTGTTGTCCTGTAGTTGAACATGTCGCAGGTCACTTACCTCAAACAGGGTCCTTCCCCATTTGTCGCAGTCTAGAGGAGAAGCCAGTCCTTTCCTAAATAACTCACAAAGCCCGTCCCAGTCACATTCTTCTATCAGGTGGAAAGCGGGGGAGTCATCGGGAACGACATTGAACGTCGTGATGCTGTACTGCCAGCCTGAGCAGGCTTGAATCTCCCAGACTCGCCGGGAGAGCCATGTCGGGGCCTGAAACCGTGCCATCCAGGCTTCTTGTTATCAGCGACATACAGTCTCAAGGCATGGCAGGAAGTCTGGGTGTATCAGGTTGTTTCTTTCTTATGGGTACTCCTCTGCAGAAGAGAAGACGGGAGACATTAAAAGAATCCAAATCTGCTGCTGATTGTACAAAAGTAGGCTGGGAATATCTTCCAACAACTTAACTCCTGACTTCCTGCCACACAATGGAGAAGCAAGATAATACGGTACCTAGGTACTCACTAGGTAGCATGGACGAGTCCGTCTCGAAAGTCTTTATCAGAATTCTACCAAAGTAGGTGGGTGTTGTCGGGGGAAGGCGGTGCTGCTGGTAGTATTGTGGTTGTCGGCGATTGCTCCTCTTCGTGAGCTCCTGGTCTTGAACTTCGTTTTCCTTGGCAGGGCTGCTAGACGTTGCAGGGCCCAAGAGTGTCTTTGTCGTACTGATGGTGACGGACTGTTGAGTGATGGTGGCGAGCTGCTGGGTGATGGCTTGAGGTATTAACCTCACCAGTTCTCTGGAGGCGAAGTCAGCTGTGGCCCATGACAATTAGTCACTTGTGTTCCTCACGTAACATGGCTTAGTTGGGCAGTATTCAAAAGCTTCACGGCCCTCTCCAGCTTGCTTTGGAACTTCTTCATCTCTTCCTTCTTGAGCACGACTTTGATCTTGCCGACCCCACGCTTCCTTTTCTTGGCTGAGGAAACCTCAGCGTTCAGTTCCTCGACCAGATTCTGTAAGTCGCACAGGGCACTTCGACACAATACGGAAACCTTTTGCCCATGTGTTGTTGTGTTCAGGGCCGGCACCGCCCCGTTGTCGACAAGAACCGTTGTGCCGGCATCGAAGTTATCCTCGACCGTAGATAAGAGAGGTACCAGAGCATCAATCTCCTGCATGAGGACTCGGATGTTGTCGGGCACTTCCTGAACTTCCTTCCAGAGCTCGCGGAGCTTGAAGACCGTGCCGCCGACCTTCATCCCCACTTCCGCGACGGCGATGCCGCTGGCGATAGTACCGAGCAGTTCGGCCATGACTGCAGATCGAGTTGTGATTGACGTCAGAAGGTGCAGTGATGGGAAATCGGTGATTACGACGGAATGAGAGTTGAGGAGATGAAAAGAGAGGGCGAGAGATACGGGCTTGAAGGAAAGCAGAGGGGTGTCTTTGGAAATGTAAGAAATACAGCCCCAATGTGGCTGGCGGCATGCATGCTGCCCGTATTAACCAACCACTCGCAGGGCCAGCTCCAGGGAGGGGAGGGGAGGCGCAGCGCTTCGGCTGCGACGTCTCATGCATGCAGCTTGCTGGATGGGTCTGGCTAGGTTTCCCCCCAAAGGCGTAGACGGCAGATATTAGGAATTGAGCGTGTGCTCGGGGGCAGGAAGGAAAGTGGAAAAAGGATGTGCAGACACACTGCACTGGTGTGGAGGGACGAATCGGCAAAAATAAGACAAAGAGACGAAACGAGAGAAAACGACAAGATACACTGCATTCGAGACTTGAGCCTCCTTTCCACGGTTTATAATATTCTCATTAGCAAGTACGCAGAACCTGCACAATCTTCTGGGCGGTCCAGTCGTCCTTGCGGCTGTTTGCGTCGACAAGCTCTCTGATGTGTTTTTCTGATGAGAAATGTATGAAGTAATGCTCGGGAGTTTCAATGGCCAGCGTAACTCCTCGAATCTACGTCAATTTAACACGTCAGACTTGGGTCTTGGTCTTTCAAGCCAGAGTTTAGGGGAGCACTATTGTACATAATTCTTGAGAAGGATCTCGGGGCCTTTCCAAAGATACTGTAGACTGAAGAAAATCTTCCCTACCCAGTCTCGAGACGTGACCTTAGTTATGCCCTTGCGTTCCTTGTTAGATTTCACCGCCGAGGTAGCAACAGACTGAAGTTATATGAGGTCTTGGTGGAGCCAATAGATGCAATTATCTTAACATTCCAATGCCTATGAAAGACTTGGTGCACCTTCCACACGAGAAAGACATAGAGAACAAATGCCCAGAGGCGTATTACTATCGGAGAAAACAATCCCATTGTTTTACTGCAGATGGTTGTGAAATTGCTTGGAACAGTTGAAGATGAGGAAAACTTGACTGTTCTCAGCTCGCTATCACGTTCTTTGAACTGCGTCAAGACTACACTTTCAGCACCCTGAGATGATTTTCTTTTTAACACATGAAGTCTTACACGACCAGAAACTATTCATTAACATGTCGTTGCATCACAGGAGGCTTATCTTGTTGCCTCAGTTGGCATGCGGCGGCCGGCTTTGAGAAGGGGATGTCCAGTACCATCGGATACTTGACCCACATTGCCTTTTGTAATGTATGTCCTTTCAAGTACGAGAAGTCTCACATGGGCCTGCTTTTGGACTTACTTGCGTCGAGGACCAACACATATGTTGGGCAAATGCGCACTTGGCAATTGGTGGGATTACTGTCAGGTTGCATTTTGCTCAGGCCCGCTGAAATTTGGGTTCAGCGCAGCTTAGTTAGACTGTGCGGTGTGTTGTCGTGTTGGTAGGGTCACGGATCCCTTCAGCCCGGCACCCTCTGCCAAGTTTAACTGCAATGTGTCTACCGCTCAGAATTTCCGAAGTATCCTCCTTTGAAAGGGTTCCTATATGGGGTTGCCATCTTAGTGGTTGTTCTATCATGAGCAGAGCACATAGGGTAGCACCCAACGCGTGTGCGCCGTCCACCAGGCAAGGCTTTCTTTCTCTACAACCAACACCCTTCATAGCCAGCATCTGGAGATTTAAGAGGTACAGTGGGGAATTGAAACGCGACCTTCATAATGTGTGCGCAATCAGATTATCGGAACACTAGTTACATCTGGAGAAAGAAAGGAGAGACGGAGAAGGAACCCCATACTATGCACTCAGACAGCCTTCTTGGCTTCAGCAGTCTCATCCTGCTCGACGAACCACTTGCCCGTTCTCGCCAGCCCTTCGTCCATGGTGACTTTAGGCTTGTATCCCAACACCCTCTTGATCTTCTCGCCACTCAGAGTGCGCTCGATAACCGTCAGACGAACGGCCTCCCGGGTTATGATCGGCTGGTCTCTACCGAAGGAGCGAATCCAGGTAACCCACTCGGCGATCGTCGCCATAAGATAGGCAACCCAGACCGGGATAGTCTTGATCTCTTCTGTCTTGACTGGCAGGCCAACAGAAGCTGCAATTGCACGCTGGAAGTACCAGACCGGTATGGGCTCCTCATTCGTAATATTGAAACTCTCCCCGTCGACGCGCATATCAGAAGCTGGAGGGGGTCTGCCGTATGCGCGTAGAAGAGCCTTGGCGGCAAGAATATGAGCGTCGGCGCAGTTGGACGCATAGACGAAGTCATACAAGTTCTTTCCGGGGCCGAACTGGACCTTGCCGTTGCCCTTTCGAGCATTCGCTACGATCTTGCCAAATGTGATAGTGTCACGTTCCCCGAAAATTGTTGCAGGCCGCATAGAGACAGTAAGCATCGAGGCGTCGCCCTTTGCACGGTTCGCAGCAAGGATCTCGGCTTCAGCTTCCGCTTTAGTTAGAGTATAGACTCGCTTCTGGGCTGGATACTGAAGAACAGGCAGGCTCTCGTCAGCCTGAATTAGATCGGAACGGTTATCGTGGATAACAGACGATGTGGAGGTGTTGATGAATGCCCGGACCGTTTGCACCTTCTCTGCCGAGACCAGAAGGTTGTGAGCGCCCATAACATTGACCAGCTTGAACTTGGCGGGCTGCTGGACCGTAGATTCAGGGCATGCAACGTGAAAGATGGTCTTAGGCCGGGCCTGGGTTAGGATTTGTTCGATCTGGGCAGCATCTGTGATATCGCAATTGTGGTATTCGACACCGTCAATGCGGTTGCGCTCCGTATTTAATATCGATAACGTGGACTTGGCAGGCAGGCTCATCCTTGAGAATCTGAGCGACGATGTGGTAGCCGATGAAACCGCAGCCGCCAGTAACGAGGGCGGGGCTGAGGGACTGGGCGTCTTCTGCGCTGCCGGCGCCGCTGATGGCTGCCATGACGGGTGAGAGATAAGAAGGAGAATCCGTGAAGACACAGAGAAAGAAGGAGGAGAACAAAAAGAAGAAGAAAGAGATTAGTGAGCCTTCAAGAGAGCTCGGGATGGTGCGAGAGATGATGTGGTGTAGTCGTAGTAATATGCGTATTTCGCACAAAGCTGCTAGCTGCTGGGATTGCAGATGCTGGCCCCCTTTTCCCTGCATTCCGACTCCCATCTCGCCAGCAATGGCAAACCGAACCCGAGACCTGCAGAGTTCTGTTGGCGAGGGGCTCCTAACCCATTAGAAGTCGGGAGAAGTAGCCTCTGAATGTGACAAGGTGTGTCATATTCTGCCGTGCTATGTCTACGTTGGTGGAGGGGTTACGCGACCAAAGCAGGAGCTTCCCTGCGGAAAGGCGCCGGGCCGAGAGCTAAAACATGTGGCATTGCCCACAGTTGCATGCCAACAAAGAATTCCGTGCATTAGCCCTGCGCACAGTGAGACGCCTCTCTGCTGAAGTAGTATTGCCTTGATGAAATTAATAGGCTTCAATGCTGCAAACAAGGATGCTGCTTCCAACCTGCCGCCAACCCAGAGACCATCACAACATGAATGTTGACCACCAAGATCGTTCCGACCAGCTATGCTACCGGCGAGGTTTGAGGTGTAAAGGAAGGCCCTGTATCGAACCAGACTCCTGTATATGGATTCCTGGTTCAAAAAGGGTCGGGCTGTTAGACCAGATCCTGCTGGTGGCCAGCAGCCTGACCTGGCTCCTGTTCTCGAACGCAATTCATATATGCATCTTGGACACATCTCCTGTGTCATTGCGTGTCCTCGACATTTGACATTTCTCAATCCTGAATAAAGCGTGCTTATGTTTTTGAATGATGTCTTATCAAATGCTTATGACAATATCCAATCTGGCACTGCTGAGATTTTGACCTGTTTGCTCTTGACAAAGGGCGATGTGGAACGCTTCGGTGCATTCTTCATCAAAAAAACATGACCATCTAGTTAAAGCGCGACAATTTTGTTCGGAACCTTGACATGCTAACCAACGATGCGCGACGATGTGTGAGAATCACCTTGCCGCCAACATGGTCAAGGAGACGGGATGGCGAGTTATGAATCCTCTCGATGGTACGTACACATTCACGCCTTCTTCAGTCCTGCTTTTGGTGTATATGAATGTATGGACACTCTCCCTTCGCTAGAGAGGGAGCACTGGAGACCGTGTTTAAGATGCTTCCAATTCCTAGATACAGTCCGGAGGCAGCGTCAAAGACGTCACAGGTGTAAGTAACGGTTTTTCGTTTACCCCGGCTAAAATTCGGCCCTACAGCGTCCGGGCCGTCCCGGTCTATTCTGTCCCGGCCAGGATGCGCTAATCACCCGCTGATGCAATATGTTATTACTCCTACATAGTTTGTGATCAACGCACTCTTCGGCGGCCAAGTCAACACCGGTATGAACGCTGCTTGGTTGCCTGTCTTTCTCAGCATGACGCCGGAGTGGGGAAAAAGGGGCGGTCGCCGAGGTTGATCAAGTGATTTCGCGGCATCGTACCTTCCCGGGCCAGAAACCCGCAGACGTATTGGATACGCTTTCCCTGGACGTCTGGCACGCAGAATTCCCCAGTTCTTGTTGATCTTTGTCTGCGGGAGAGCGTGCGCCTGACGATACGTGGAGCCCCCGGGAGCGACGTGCTTCTTGAGAAGGCCAAGCAGGGTGACAAGGTCGAGGTGATTCCGGACGGATCGTACGCAACGTTCCTGCTTGATCTAGCTCATTTTAACCCGGAAATTTATACTGAGCCATTGCGCTTCGATCCTAGCCGGTATGAGGCCCACCGCGCCGAGGATGAAAGAGTCCCGTATGCTTTCATAGGCTGGGGCGTTGGGAGACATCCGTGCTGTAAGATAACCTGCGTTTTTGCTTTTCATTCCTCCTCTGCTCATTTTTCAAGCCCAACAATACTCGTGGGTAATTAGGAAGCTGACCTAAATACGCCAGTGGGAACTCGCTTTGCGAAGCTGGAGATCACCTTGATCATGGCTTACTTTTTCGCACTCTTTGACTTTGAGCTAGCTGCAGATGCAGGTGGCGGTCCTACAACTGTGGGTCCGCCCCTGCAGGACCATAATGCACATTTTGCCTCAAGGCCAAAGCAGCCAGTCTATTTACGCTATAAACCTCGGCCGAAGGCCTTTTGATGGAATAGTACCCGGTGTTTGAAAAGGCTGCGCGCGAATAAGCTTTACAAACAGCAATCCAAGGTGAAAAAACAGCGATATAAAAGTTGAGAGAATAGAAAGCAGCCAGTTCCCTTTAGTAAGGAATATACATATGATTACACCAGCGCCTAATGTTAAGGAGGAAACAATGATTTCTGTATGCATTAAATGAATGGACTGGATTAACTATCTAAGGAAGGATGAAGAGAAAAAAGCATAGATTGTGTAGTTTTATATAGGATAAAGGTCAGAGTTAGGGCTTTTGCTCGACAAATGTACTTTTGGTCTTTCATGGTATATAATCTTCTCATTAGCAGGTAAGCAGAAATAGGAATGTTCCCCCGATCACATGCTCCACGCTCTCCTCGTCCAGAGATAGCTCGTTACGGATTGCGTCCATGCTGCTTATTCCACTAACACCTGTCCATCCATCGACAATCTCTGCTGCTTGACGCCCCATGACCTGGGATATTTTATAAGGGCAAATAAAAGAGAAAGGCCTCGACTCCCAGCTGTGCCAAATGTCAAATGCCGTCGCCGCTCCAAGCTCTGGTGAGCGAGAGAGAAAAAAAGAAACAAGAAGAAAAGCAAAAGCCGGCCAAGCCAACGTCAATCAGCCGACAACGACCTTGGAAGACAGGCTCTCCAGGAAGCCAGAGAGGTCCTCCTTGCGCACTTCGACCACGCAGTGCTCGAAGCTGTCAATGCGCACGCGGGCACTCGTCTCGGCAATGACATCCTGGAAGGCCGTGCCGAATCTGTTCAGGCCAAAGCCCTTGCCGCGGGGCCCGTCGTCATCTTCATCAGAGTCCGAGTCTGATGTGTCAGAACCTTCCGACTCGGTCTCGTCCTCGACATCATCTTCGTCGTCGTCATCTCCTCTGGTAGCTCGTCTGGCGGCCCTCTTCTCCTCGCGGACCTTCTGCTTGTTGCGCCTGCTCTCTTCTTTGGCCTTCGCCTTCTCCTGCCTTGCCTGCTCCTTCTTCTTCTGGGCCTCCTTGTCCAGGAAGGCCATGTCTGGGCCCCCTCCGCCACCCGTGCCGACGATAGTGTACACACTGCGCTTCTCGTTCAGGCTGGCCACGACAAGCGGTGTACCACGGCCGCCTTGTGAAAGCCGGCCGGTGGCTTCCTTCTCCTGTTCCGCTAGAGCTTCGCCAATCCATAGGGCAAGCTTCATGAGAGCCCCGGGATGGTTAAAGATTGAAGCCTCGGCGCTGTCCTTGACAACACACATGCGGAACGACATGAGGTGTTTGATCTGCTTCTTCCTCAAGAGGGCAGTGCCGGTGTTGAAGATTGCCTTGTGAAGAAATTGTGCCGTCGGAAGACCCTGTTTAAGCGCCTCGATACTGGGAAGTGTCTGTGTTGGCTTTCGCAAATAATAAAAAAACAACAAAAAAAAAACCAAACCATAATTGACGTTGACTGGTTCAGAAAGAAAAAGGAAAACTTACTTCTCCAATGCATCAAACGCATCCCAGAACCTGGGAACCCACTCTTCGCCCTGCTCAATAAGAGCGTCACCGACATCATCAACGATCTGAGATGAGCCGTCTTGTGCCGCAGGGTTGGCCAGAGTGGCATGCTTCCCAACTTCCAGAAGAGCTCCAATGACCACGCCAACGTCCTGCGCACTTAGCGTCGCCCGCCAGCCCCAGCTCCTCACAAAGCCCCAGCCATCCTTTGCACCACCTCGATCTTTGCCATCTGTCTCAACAGCCGGGACCAGGTCGTCAAGCTTATATAGGGGGCCTTGTTTTAATAGTTTCGAACGAAGTTCCCGCTTGAGCCCAATATCCATATGCGCATAATTTTGCTTGCACTGGACAAGACTGATGCCTATCTTCGCAAGAAACTTGTGAAGGCGCTTGAGTCCCGGCTCACCATATGTCTTGAGGCGTGAGAAAATGTAAGGCGAGTGCAACAGAGCATCGTATAGACTCCAATGCCTGACCATCAATAGTCGTGGCTCGGGCGATAGCCGGATGCTGTGGTCCTCCGGGCTTCTTGCTGTTGTTGGAATAACGCCAACTGCCTCGGGCAGAAGTCTTCCGTTGTTGCTGTTGATGAGCTCTGGTGGGTTGAGGCGGCGTACTTCGTCGCGTAGAAGCTGTCGTATGCGGGCCCCGCGCATGCCTAGCCAGCCGGATGCGTTCTTATTTTCGGAGTTCCTCACCGGCACGGCTACCCCTGCTGACGACCGGCCGTAGAGCTCCATTGACGTAACACCAACGATGGCCAGCCAGAGGATGTCATTGTCCTCTCGGCCGAGTTCTGAAGCCAGAGAATATACCATGGATGAGATGGGTTCGGAGTACTGTGTGCCATTACGGTAGTAGTCACGCAGGACGGCCTCGTTCTGCCGTCTCAGCCGAAGAAGGCGTCTCCTCAGGGTCCGCGCCGAAGGTCCTTTAGGAGGTTGAGCAGCAGTCGGCGGGTCTTCATCTTGCGCATCCGAGGACATCAGTGCCTGTTCACGGACTGAGACTAGTCCACGTTGTTTTGGACGCTCCGGTGTTTCGGGTATCGAGCTGGAAGAGTTGCTCCTCCTCCTCTGCCGCGGCCTGTCGTCGTCGTCACTCTCATCGTCTTCGTCTTGGTCAGACCAGGACTTCCGCTTCTGACCTGCGTGGGGTGCAGCCTCGGAAGGGTCGTCCCCGTCTTCTTCCTCACTCTCGGAATCACTGTCACCAAGATCCTCACCGTTATCCTCAAGATCAGGCATCTCCATGAGAGCCATGTACGCCTCGTTCTGCGGTGCAAGCTCGTCTTCGATGTCACCATCGTCGAAGACCACGATCCCACCTTTTCCTGGCTTGTACGCACGGTCAATACTTCCACCCGTCACACCGACAGGCGTGCGAGCCTGGTAGCTAGAAGCGAACTCTGTCTCGGGTTCGAGCGGGAAGCCCCCGAACACGTTGGCTAGGTTCCAAGGGCGACGCGAGTCGATGAGCCAGACCTCGACACCGCCAAAGGTTGTGTCCTCGCCCTCGAGCTCCAGGCCGAGCACGGTGCCCAGGTCGACCATGCCTCCTACGCCCAGACAGGCAACGACACCACCTGCGCCGCCGTTCTGCTCCATCATGGGGCTGACCAGCTCTCTGCCGACGCGCTCGAGATCCCCATAGCCGGCGACGGGCTGGATCTTGTGGGGGATGTAGTCGTTTTTGAGGAGGCGTGTGAGGATTCTACAGGCGCAGAGAGCGTCGGGCTCGAGGGCGACGAGGATGAGGACCGGCGGCGAGAGAGGATGGCGTGTACTTGTGAGGTGCTGGTAGAGCTTGGAGAGGAGGGAACGCGGCAGATACATGGCTAATTATCGTGGCTGGACGCGTCTGCTGGTTTGCATTGCCGATGCATAAGATCTCTGGGGTTGAGTGAAACGGTGGTAGAGGAGGAATTTGTGAGTCGTGGGCCTAGGTTTCGTTTGTTGCAGCGAACGATTTATCGTGAACCTGAGCGTGAATGTCGAGACGCTGGACGGACAATGCTGATTTATGCAGTGAGTGTGTGGGGTTGACGCGACGCGACTTTGGTAGGATCCAGATGCAGCGGTAGAATGCTCGAAATGATGCGCTTGAAAAGGCAGGCTGCAGAAATTATGGAATTCGACTGTCAATGGCGTGCAGACAGAATAGAGGTAGGACTATGGCCATGACAGGAGAGGAGGAAATTCTGGTGGTGTAGGGAGGAAGAGTAGGAGGAGGCGGCTGTTTACTGCGCGGGATCAAGACGCGGTTCTACAGTCCTGCAAGACGCGCTGCGGGTGTGAATTGTTAGTGCCACCCGACAGGGTTTTGGGGAGGGGGACGGCCCACAGACGTCACAGCGGCTTCTCTGTAGGGGTTGTACACACTTGGCGCTAGAGGCCCACAAGATACAGACAGTACCCGGATTACTGGACCCGCCCCCCCCCCTGAAGTCTAACCAGCTTGTCACAGCGTCAATGTAGCTTGAACCGCGACACGCAAAGGCTCCGAAGAATTCCTTCTGAGCTGAGAGACATGGTAGAACCTCTCGTGGATCAAGACTTCAACAGCTGTCTAGAACCAAATATTCCGCTTCAATGTATACCTGAGTTGGAGTTTTCGAGAACTCGGAAAGGAGGGCTCTATCCTGGTTAAACTTGTCGCAGCCAATGAGCCAAGCTTCTCGTCAGCGGTCACCCTTTGCTGGTGTGAAAATCTCAACAGAATGTCATAATGCACCTTTAAGTTTACAAGATGGAAGAGAAGACGACAAAGACTTGAATGGTTACGGAGGCATGAGCACCTTCGTTTTTGAGCAGCACAGATAAGAATTGCCAAGCTCAATAGAACAGACAGCCCAGACTCTCTATGAAATCAAGTACTGAGATACTGTACATGGCCTGCACCAACTACAGACATGCTAGGGAACGACTGAAAGTCTGCCGTCCACTTTCATGATTGTGAAATGCCCTCAGCAATACAAGTTAGGAATAGAAGTAATCAGAACTACATGATGGTCGTGTTACTCAGGCGTACGCATCGTGTCAGTTCTGTATTCCCCAAATACATCACAGCCTGGGCTGCGTCCCTACTATAGCAGTGCTGCTGTACATGTATTATAAGCCCTACCCTGCCCAGGACTGAGGCCTAGCCAATACCGCTGTACCGGGTCTGCCACTCGTTACGCAGCAGATTGCGCTCTGCATAGCTATTCACCTCCCACTAAGATGAAGGAATACTAACCTACTCAAGAAGAAGAAGGAGAGAGGGACAAAGAAAGAAGTAGATCGCACAGATTATCTTTAGTGCCCATATTGGTCCGCGCTCACTATGTAAAGAACACGGTGATGTTGTAAATCCTAGGAGAGACCAATCCTCTCTTGGTTCGTAGCTTGAGAGAAAGAGAGTGGGAAGGAGGGGAGAGATATTCACCTGCCTTTGCGACTGCAGCCTTAACCTCTTCCGGGCAGGCTGCCCCTCACCAGCAGGTGACGATCTGAGTCTAGGCTCTTATTCCCGGCGGGGGCCCCTTCACTAATACCCCCCCTCCCCTCCCCCCTTCTCGTTCCCCCCTTCGAGGCGATTCCAGTGGGGTTTCTCTTACTTTTCACCCTGATGCTGCAGCGCAACGCAGCATACGGAATACCGGGAATCTGGGTCCGGCCCGCCCTGGAAGACAAGGCATCACCGATCTCGTGAAGTGGCTTGGGACCCGACCCAATCCCTCGGGACAAAAAGAACGCAGGCCCAGCCCACATTCTCCTCGCTTGCTATAGGCCAGCTGCCTACACGAAGAAGGAGAAGAAGAAGAGGGAAGAGGAAACATCAAGCAACAGAAAACCAAAACAAAACAAAAAAAAAAAAAGGGAAAAGAAGAAAGGAGGCAGGTTGCATACATAACTCGGCCTTTTCCCTTTGCTTTCCCTCTTTGTGTGTCTCTGCATAGCCCCGCCGCAGGAGGATCTGGACCTCGTCGCTTTTTCCTGGGCGCACCATCTCACACTGATAGGATTCTCGGGGCGCGCGCCTAGTTTTCCCTTACTTTTCTATTCCTTAACTTTTCTCCTTTTCTTTCCCCCTCCTGTGGCCTAGCCTCTCAGAGGACACAACGTCCTTCTCCGTTGAGATCGAGGTGGCTCCCGCTCCTCCTCACTACTCTCCTTCTCATGACTTCGACCATTATGTCGACCGAGGCGGTTCAGACGGTCGACAGCAATGCGTCGAGTGCGTCGCTGTTCGACGGAGGGGCACCCTCGTACATGACTGCCGACGGCGAACAGTTCCCCGTTAAGTATATGATCGGCAGGTACGGAACCCACAACCCAACCCCATCTTCACCTGTGCTGCCTGGGTACTGACACCTCTTGCGGGCCTCAAGACGTTTTCAGACTTTTAAGAACAGCTAGTATGTACAGGCGCAGGCCCTCCGCGAAGCGGGAGAGGGGAGGACCAGGAGAATCGGGGACGAGTCGAGTTGAGTTGTGCTCACGCATCTTCTGCCTAGCACCATGCCTATCGACGATAAAGAGGCGCAGAGGGAGTACTTCCTCCACCTGGCCTTTAAGGAGTTTCTAGAGGACCAGCTTTATCTCGCGCCCACGAGGGACCCCAAGAGAATAACAGTGGGTGATGATCTCTTCCCAGCACTGCATCTTTGGCGGCGAGCTGCTTGCCGGCCGTCCTGGGGACATCGGGACCAGGCTGACTTCTCTGTGTTGGATCATAGGACATTGGGTGTGGCTTTGGTTATTTTGCTGAAGAGGGTGTGTGTCCTTGTCTTTTCTCTCCTTTTCCCCCTTTTCGTTTTCTCTGTCCCCTCTCCCCTCCCTTCTTTCAGCCCCAGACTTCTTCTGACGCCTGGAACCACAGTCGCGCAGCGCCACCCCGAAGCCGAAGTTAGCGGCATCGACATGACGCCAAGGGAACACCAGTTTGTCCCGGAAAACCTGAGGTACTACCAAGCAGATATCGAGGCATCGTCTGAAGATGGAATTGCACAGCCAGCCTGGGACAACCCCGCCATACAGGACTCCGATCTTGTCTTTATCCGCGAGATGGCCTGGGCAATAGTAGACCCCATCAAGCTGATAGAAAACGCTAAGCGGTAGGCCTCCTTCCAACCCCTCCCCCCTTTCTTCCTTACCTGTCCGCCCGCCCCGAGATTGCCGGCAGCTCCGGAAGTAGTAAAATACTCACTCTACGACGCTCCTTTTTTCATAGGACTCTGAAGCCTGGTGGCTGGATCGAGTTTCAGCAGGGCACCGGCACCAAATACGTCGATCCCGGTCCAGACTACCCGCCGTATACCGAAGTCGCCCTTCGCTGGGAGACCCTCCTCGAAAAGACCATGGCGACGGTCTGTCCACACTCCGATCCCCGTCTCGCCGGCAAACTCAAGTCTATGCTGTGAGTTTACTACCCCTTTCTCTCTCTCTCTCTCTCTCTCTCTCTCTCTCTCTCTCTCTTTCTTTCTTTCCCCTCTCTTCTTCCACCCCCGTTGCCTCTTATTCCTCCGTCTTCTCCTCCGCCCTGCCTCCCTCCGAAAACACCCATCGACCTTTCTCGCTAACCATCGGGCCCGCGCTACCTCTCACGCCTCCCCAAACAGTGAGCAAGCCGGCTTCATCAACGTCCAAGAGCGTGTAATTATGGTCCCCATCGGCGACTGGCCCCGCAAGCGCCGCCTTCGCAACGCCGGCGTCTGCATCCGCGAGACCTTTCTCGGCATCCGCGACGCCTTCGAGGTCATGGTCCAGCACACGGGCGCCGTGCCCGTCGACGAGTTCCGCGAACTACACGAGGCGTTTCGCGCGCAGCTGTTTGACAGGAACATTCACATGCACGCACCGTATTCTGTCGTATTCGGCCAGAAGCCACCGGCGTGATTGGAGCTTGAGACACGTAATAGTATTTTTTTCTTTCTTTGGGAGAGAGGTGAGGAGGAATGATCCATGGATGGTTTCCTTGGGCTTGTGCGTGTACGAACGCTCTATGCCTTTGTGTGAGAAGGCGGTGAAGGACATGGATGTGGTAGGTTGACTGCGTGTGTAAGGTCTTGGTTGACTTCAAAGCTTGTTATTTATGACTTGTGCGAAAGTGGAGGAGAGACACAGAATATGCCTTAGAAAACAATTTAAGAACAAAAGGAACGAAAGAGAAGGAAGAAGAAAAAACATCCAGGCTCGTTCATTGGAGCTCGTTCATTGGAACGCGCAAGTCAAGAAGGATAATTTGAGATACTGTTGGAAGTTAGTTTGCTCAGTTAACAAAGTCTTTTTGATAGGATCGGTTGTTTGCTGCCTTCTCTTTTCTTCTTCTCTTTTTCCCTTGCTTTAACCGGGTGGCTTACGTACTTGATTGATGGTCAGGTGGAGGGGAGAGTATTACCCAAGGAAGTCGAGTCGAGGAAGAATCGTTTAAGGAATAAAAGAAGAAGAAAATTTTGTAAAAAAATTATGACAGCATTAATTTGAGATGATCGTCAAATTTTGTCGATTCTTGTTCATTATGCCCACCGCCTTCACGTATAAGCCCAGGAACCGCCTTTGGTTCCCAGGATATGACCTGTCGAGAGTGAGCGTGACACAAGATCTAGTGACCATATATATAGATAAATAACTCAATCCTCTTGTCATGACATGGTCTGCAAAGGATGCTGCACCAGGCCTCCGCCGGATGACGCTCACTGCCTGCTCCGAGCAGTATGCCCCCTTCGCCTGAGCATTGCGCTGGGCAAAGATGCCGGTTTAAAATTGTGAGAACATTACTAGTGCAAATAGGTATCTTGATAATCAGCATCATACAACCATTTTAAGCCCCTTTCCCCCTCTTGCAACATTGCCGTCGACGTCGGGTAAGATCATCATTATGCCTTCCTCCCATACGTCACCCACAGGTTGAAATAGGCATGAATCCTGGTATCCTGCCACTCGCGGTCGACCTGTTGCGAGAACTCCTCGACCTGCTCCTTGGACCAGCCCATGAAGCGCGTGAACAGCGCCATCATGATCCCCTCCATGCCATCCCTGAAGTTGATGGCCGTGCGCCGCCCGACCTCCTTCCACTTCGCCTCCCGCGGCCACTCGTTGATGGGCCACTTGTAGGGTATCCGCACTATGTCGACAAAGCCTACCTCATGCATCATGTCACCTGCCCGCTCGCAGGTTGTGAGTAAGAATCCGGACTTATCGCCCGCCTCCACCATCAAGTTACTCCATCTCCGCAGTGCGCCGTCGGCCGGCAGTGTATTATCGTCGCAGTGCAAAGGGAACTGGATATCCTGGATCTCGACCCAGCCATCCGAGACAAGGCTTCTGAAGGATTGTGATGATCGTTCAGCTCTTGCAAGGCGGCAGTATCAGCTCGCTAGGGGGAGGGGGCGGGCGGGTCCAGAAGGATCGAGACTCACTCATGGGCTTGCTGGTAAAAAGTTGGCCAGTCCCTGAAGGCCCCGGTCATCATCATGGCGTGGACGTAATCGAACGGGTAGCTGAAGTTCCACGGTTCCTCGAGGTCATCGATCTCGAACTGGACATTCGGAGGCTATTCAGCCTTGTCAATTTTCTGTATCCTACAAGCTGTTTCTCGAGAATTCTCTCTTTGCTCACAACACTGTCGATGTGTTAACGTTGACAACTAAATCCAAAGTATGATACAACTCACTATGCCGGCTGAACGGGCGATAGGTCAACGCCAATCACCTAGACCAACCATCAGCACGCCACAAATGGTTTAGCGAAATGAAGTAGAATTCACCTGGGCCTCGGGATGCATCTCAGCTTTACAAGCAAAGTTATTTAGCATAAACTCTGCTGCCGGAGTGGAAGGGGGGAGGGAACAAGCATCAGGGTCCTTACCGAAATCCAATGCCCAGTAACCTGAAAAGACGTGTTAATTCAGAGCTGACCATAACTTCGTAGCGTCTGGTCTAACTCACCGACACCACATCCAACATCCAGCACCCTGTTCAGCTTTGTGAAGGGTGCAAACGAGAGGTGGTTGTCAAAGGTCAAGAGACACAGGTCGTACTGGAATACTATCCTCTGGGTCAGCTTCATGTTGACACAACATCCTCAAAACTGGGGACTGCATACTCTGCCTGTCAAGTTCTCGCTGCTCAAAGTCAGTATGGATGGCCAGATAAACGGGGGCATCCAGAGATCGGACTCGGCCAGACTAACTTCGTCGACGGGGAGTACATATTTCCCCTCCTTGTAACCATGGTATTTACGGCCATTCTCCTCCATGCTTCTCAAGATGGATGACCTGAGAGAAGCGGTCGAGGAGAAGAGTGACATGTCCTGCGGCAGGTTGCTCATTAGAATCACCGGGAGAAGGCAGAATCGATTATCGAGTTACTTGCAGATCCGAGAGCCGAGTCCGCATCCGAAAATAAAGACTGTCTATCCTGTTTGAAGGAGAATCGTTAGTCTGCGCCACATCCAAGTTCCAGAGCACGGTGGGCAAGCTATTAGGCTGCATGCCACTCAAAGCTCCACGTACGTCCTCAATAGTTGAACCGTCGCTAGGAGTGTCTGGCTCGATATGGCCTACACCGAACGCGTCGGGATTCATCTGATCGGTCATCTCTGCCGCGCTTGTCTCGAGGGGGAGAAATGCATGCGTAATGGCGAGGACAGCTAGGACAGCGTAGGGAGCAAACTTAGCCGCCGGGTGCTGGTCCGTAGCGACTGAATTTGTGTGATATGCGGCTTAAACTGTGAGCTAGACCGTAGAGTCAAGCAAAGCTTTGGAGCAGAGACTCAGAGCGAAAATTCAAGGTTGAAGACGTTTGAGGTTTTCCTGATCTGGAGGAGGAAGATCGCAAGACAGCCCATATAAGCGCATAGGTAGTCAAGAAGAGGGGTCGAGGTCCGGGACCAGTAAGCGACACGCGAAGCGACACGCGAGCAGCTGGTGGCTGCAGATGTCAAATCTGCCAGAACGTTTGACGGGTCGCTAGGGTGCAGAAAATCCAGAAAGGGGTGGGAGGGATCAGGGCAAGCCCGGATTGGTGGTATTGTTGGAAAAGCCGGCGTCGCAAAAGCATCGGCGAGGGATGGCTTGTAGGCGTGGACGGGATGTGTGGGTGCACGCGTTTGGGTCGTACGGGTTTTGTAATGCTGCGGGTGAGCCGTATGAATATGCAAGCACCCTAATCAACCAACCAGTTTCCTCTCGATCCTCCAGAATCTTCGTGCCTAAGAGCAGAGAAACTCGAAGGAAAGAGGGAGAAAATCAGAGTGTCGAGAGGAGTAGCAAGGGAGGAGATAGGGACAGAGATCGGTTGGCGTGCAGAGCCAAGTATGTTATGGCCAGTCGGTAGGAAGAACGATGGCGGTGGATGGGGACGAGGCAGGTTGGTCAGGTCTGCCGTAGCCGTCCAAACTTTGCCAATTGATAGGTCTTGACGCAGGTTAAGTTGCTTTGTATCACGTTGCGTATACCTGCTTAAGCGAGGGGATAGCTCGCTCGGCACTTCTTGGTGTTGGTCCTCCTGATACGCAGGGCGGCGCGAAAGTCAAGGAAGAGGGTAGTGGATCGACGAGATAACATGAGGTCCGTTCTTTGGTTTGTTGTAAGGAAAAAGATTGAACGAATAAATGAACAGAACGGGTGCGAGAGCTATACTGGGCAGAATCGATCTGTCAGAATGTGGCGAGAGCTATCAGCCCGCCAGAGCATGAACCCGCGATGTGATATGAGGTGGCAGGCCGGCAACTTGAACATGTGAGAGTCGCCGAGAGATCACATATCAGCCGGACCTCCCTTGGCTTAGGTTGCATCGCGTTCCGCTCTGACATGAGAACGAAAGACGGAGGCCCAGTAGAACCAACCACACGAAGAAGTTGGTAGAGGTTCCGCGCGCAGCTCTAGATGCTATTGGCTCTGTCGAATGAGGAGAAGACCGCGGTAGACGGGAACAATACGCAAGGGAGGACGAGCGCAGTCGAAGACAAAAAAAAAAAAAAAAGAGAGAGAGAGAGAGGAGACAACACTGTTCTACCCCTCCTTCTAATCGAGTCACTCCTGCGTGCATGAAGGAGCACTGGTAAAGAATAGAGGGAGCTGTTATGACAGGGTGTGGATTCGGTCTATCGTCATGGGCCAATTAAGCCACAAACAGGCGCAGAAGCTGGATTCTTTCTTGATTTTGGTTGGTACGCGAGAGACCCCGGTGTACAGTAGCCAGCTCCCTCTGCCGGTCCGAACTCGAGGTCAGGAAGTCGCGGGACCCATTGAGTGAGCTCTTGCGTGCTCTCGCTCTCTTGCCTCTTTCCACTTTCTCCTCTTCTCCAACCCTCTCCTTCCGACAAGCTCAGGAGGGAAGAAACCTTGGCACATAGTAGGGTTAGGGCAGGTCCTCTGTTGATCACATGAGGAAGGAAACATCAACATAGGCCCCCCACTTTTCCGCAACGTCTTTCCTCCAGCACATTTGCTGACTTTGGTCAGAACCTACCTGCCCTGCTGCCTAAGTAGCCTACCACTACGACCAATAGCATGTGCGTACATTAGTATGCATGTGCTATATGGTTAAGACTGCATGCTTTCACCCTCATTTAATTTAGACTCCCTTCATCCGTTCCCTGCCCAATAGCTGAGCATCGCACACAGTACGGAGTGGACTACAGTTCCACGAGCGCTATTCACAAGCAGCAAGCATTTCTCTCTTTTGTGCAAGCACGACCAAGAAGATGCAGGACAGGACCAGCACCCACCAATACGAGAAAATCACAGAAGGGTGGCTCTGCGCACCACAGGACGCAAAACCACACATCCCTCAACATCCCGTCCCCCCCCTCCCCTTCTCTCGTACCATCTGTGTGTACGACGAAGCTCTTAACCATCGTCCGTCCTGCAGCTGTGCGCCCTCCTGCTACTTGATATGGCCGTCCTCCTGCTTGCTCTGCTTGCAGCACAAATGAGCTAACGACCTCTCGATGTGACGATGTGACGGCATGATGCGACTGTCCTTTCCTTGCAGGACCTTGGGGCCTACCAGTCCAGGCCGAATCAGTCCAACGGCTCATTGTCGGAGGTAATTTTTCTCCCCTGCGCTGCGTACATGGTATGGGCTACGAACTACTAGTACGGCGTTTCCGCGGATCCTTTACGCCCGCTCTTGGTGGTTGGTAAACAATCATCTTGTGTATACACCACATTTTACCTCCTCCCACTGTTTACCCGCTGAGATGACACCCCCCTTCCTCTGCCCCTCCTCGACCTGTACATTCTCATGCAATGGAAGCTAGGCAGACCGCTACATTAGCACGTTGGCCCCTCTCCGGCGTGGGGCACCAACCCTGTTACATTGCAGGCTACAGAGCAGTCGGCGACGCATCTTTGCCTCTCCAGGATAGCACCTAGGACAGCTCTGGCTCCAAAAGTCCAGGAACGTACCCCAGAGACTACTCCTCATGATGCGAACACCCCCCCTTTCTCCCCCCCATATGCAGCTTGCATGTTGTGGTGCGAAGGTTTCATGCATGCGTGGCCCCATTAGGCTAAAACATAGCCACTACGAGCCCGCCCTCGTTACCAACTACCCTGTTCTTGGGTCCGTCCCAGCGTCGGGAATTTCTGGACATGTTTTCTTCATGTTGGGATCCGGCTGAGGCAGAAGCTGGACCATGCTTCCTGGCTCCCTGGACGCCGAGGAGACGGTCCCCGAGCACCCTTGTCCCCTCCAGGAGGCTCTTCAGGTATGGTGTGCGAGCCCCACCGCACTGTGATGTGGAGGTGTGAGAGGAGCTCGGCCACACCCCTGGCAGTATCTGTATGTACAGCGAAACCCCTTCCGGCGATGGCAGACTATTGCGATCTGGCCTGCATATCTTTGCTTTCTCAGGAGATGATGCGGCCTGTCGACCTGCGACCTGTGCTGATATATCAACGGTTTTAGGCTCGTGAGTTGGGAACGTAGTATCGTTTGCCTGCAGCAGTTCTGTTACTCTTAAGATTACGCTGCGTGTCTTGACGTCTTACTTCGCCGTCCAACATTTTGTCTCCCGCTTCCAGATGGGTGGGTGTGTGGGCTGGGTGGGTGTGGGTGGCCTTGCAGCCTCTGTGACTGGCTGCAACGTGCCAATATCAGAGCCCGATATGTCTATGGGTTTGGTACAGCTCCATGACACCAGCCCGCCTCACAACACTATTCTTCGTGACGGTCCGTCGGCTTCATCGAGGCCTAGTGGACGATGATGCACCGTCTCGGTTTTTACTCATTACAGGCCACCCAAGACCGTATCGTGCGTCTCTCTCCCCTCACCTCCCTCCTGCGCCGCCAAAGAAAGTCTCTTCCCACCTTGGACAAGTGAACAATTTGAGCCTGTATATGTTGGTCTGTGGTCCATGACTGGGTCCCTTCAATGACGTGGCGTTCATAACGCTGAACAAGCTGATCCTCCTCCTCCTCCTCCTCTTCCTACTCCACCACCAACACCTTGTGTTTGTCGAAGTGTTTTGTCGACTGCTCCTGTTGTCTCGAACGGAACCGAGGGCAGCCGCTCGAGGCTTGTATTGTCCTGGCAGATTACACTTTTTCCCTTGCCCTTGATTACCCCCCCCCCTTTTCCCTCTCTAACACGAGTCATCGTACGTTACTGACATCTTGTCGCCACATCAATCCTGGACTACCCCAGATCTGTTTCGTAAACCACGCCCGTGGGATTATGGCAAAACAGTGGCTGGCTCAATGTTGGCTCTTCATTGACGATAGTTTACTCACACTCTCTCACTCACTGACCTTCCCCGTTCGTCCTGCAGGGCATCGCCCCGGTCACCTCATGCTCTACCTGCATTCACTATTGGAAACGGACTCGTAAAAGTCAAACCACGTGTACATGGAAGGCCCGGCTTGACCTGTAATCAAAGAGGAGAGAGTACCTAGTCAGGGCACTTCATTTTCCCACGGGCATTAGCGTCCTCGACTCCCATGCCTGGTCCATTCACCCAAGGAGGGTGGAACACCCTCCGTTTGCACTCCACACAGTCTTGCTTTCGTCTCCAGTCTGTCGGATGCATTTATTCAAATCCAGATAAGCGAGTGCTTATTACTTGATTCGCGATTCCTGTCCGAACCACTCCCCACCCCCGTTCGACCTCGCTAATCTTAAATCCTGTCCCCCTTCTCTTGATCTACATACCTACCCTACCCGTCTTCCCGACTTCTCCTTCCTGGTTTCTCCAGCACAAACTTCTCTTTGTCTTTACACCAATAAATCCTTGAGAGCATGGCACTGCTCAATCACATATTACCGTCTTCTGAAGGGACAGGGACGGGCATCAATGGACTGTCCTTCACAGGCCTCGTTGTCCTCCTTGTCCTAGGTTTTTCCGGATACTATTCAGTCACCACCTACACTACATGGCGGCGTCTGCGACACATAACGGGCCCGCGGTCTGCTGGGTTCAGCAAGTGGTGGATGTTGCGTAACACTCTTGGTGGAAATATGCACCTAGCCCTCAAATCGGCTTGCGAGACATATGGTAAGAGCGGACTGGAACTGAAGCCCCCGCCCCCTCCGCCAAAAACTCGGTTCCTCTTCCCCATCTATACGATACGAGACATGCAGACGTTGTTTCTTTTGACACAACAGCCCGAGACATTCAGAAACAAGCAGTGTCAGCCATGGCATCTATGCACCACCACCACCACCACCACATCAGATAGCATGCACACAAAAGGGACATGACTCTGACGCTTTCTTTTTGTACAGGTCATCTCGCTCGGATCGGTCCAAACACTCTCGTGACGGATGATCCTGAGGTCATCAAGCGCCAGTGGGCCGTCCGTTCCAAATACACGAAATCCGACTGGTATGACGCCGTCCGGTTCGACCCCAGTCGCGACAACATCATCTCTATGCGAGATGACGGGCAGCACAATGCGCTGCGAGCGAAAATGGCTGCAGGTGTAAGCCGCCGTGTTACCACACTTTTGAGAAAAAGAGCCCTTTCCCCCTTTTTTCGCTCTTGAGAGGTATAGAATCGCTAAAAGGTGACTCGTGTACAGTATGCCGGGAAAGAAAATGAAGGTCTCGAGCGCGGCATCGACAAGGGCATCACAGCCTTCATTGACATGATTGAGACTAGATATGTCTCGGAGGGGGCAATCTATCGGCCCATGGACCTCGCCCGGAAAAGCCAGTACCTTACCCTGGATATCATTGGCGATTTGGCCTTTGGTAGGAATTTCGGCCATCTGACAGAGGACAAAGACGTCTTTGAGTACATCGACCAGACCGAGGCCAGCATGCCGGTGATGATGCTGGTGGGCGTCTTTCCCGTGCTGGCAAGGCTAGCGCAGTCGAGGTTTCTACGACGTTTCATGCCCTCAGAGAATGATCCACACGGCTTTGGCAAATTCATCGGGTTGGTCGATATCCTTCCGCCCATCACCTTCCACTCCCTCGCAATATGACTTGTCATGTCGCACAAGGCGGACCTTTTCTGTTTGCTGACAGTTCTCTTGCGCCCGCTCTCAGGGTGGCCAAGCAGGTAGTATCCGAGAGACTCGCGTCCAAGGGCCCCGAGCGCAAGGACATGCTCGCGTCGTTTCTGCACCACGGCCTGACGCGGGAGGAGGCTGAGGGCGAGGCGCTGGTGAACATCATCGCGGGCTCTGACACGACGGCGACGGCGATTCGCACGACAATGCTCTACCTGATGAGCTCGCCGCAGGTTTATCGCCGGCTAGCGCACGAGGTACGAACAGCCGCTGCGCAGGGACGTCTGTCGAGCCCGATCACAGACGAGGAGGCGCGAAAGCTGCCGTACCTGCAGGCGGTGATCAAGGAGGGCCTGCGTGTGTTCCCGCCGGTGACGGGTCTGATGCCAACGGTGGTGCCGCCGGGGGGCGACGTGATCCGTGGGGTGCCTGTGCCTGAGGGCACCGAGATTGGCTGGTCTGCATTCGGCGTGCAGCACAACAAGGAGGTGTATGGCGTGGACGCGGAGACCTTTCGGCCGGAGCGCTGGCTTGACATCAAGGATGAGGAGCAGCTGCGCGCCATGATCAGCACCTGGGAGCTCGTCTTCAAGTACGGCAAGTGGCAGTGCCTCGGCAGGTCGGTGGCCTTGATGGAGCTGAACAAGGTTTTTGTCGAGGTAAGTGATGTGACCCCCCCCCCCCCGGGCAAGATGTACCCCTTTCTCTTCCTTCTCTTTGTTCCTCGATATGACGCTAACCTTTTTGTCTTCTTTTACTTGCTCAGATCCTCCGGAGGTACGACTTCGGCCTCCTCAACCCGCCCTCCCCGTGGAACTCGTTCAGTGCTGGTATCTTCATCCAGTCAGAGCTCTGGGTGAAGGTGACGCGCGTATAAGGTGTCCATGCAGTGTAGTTATGTGCAAATAAAGGGGCTGGCTGAGCGGCTGAGGCGCGCAGGTCTTAGCTGAGCAGAGCGTGTGCGTGGGAGAATGGAGCTGGCGTCAGCACATTTTCGCCTTGTTTTTTCTCCTTCACCCTTGCATTCCATTTCCGGTGGCCCAACCACCCAAGTCGAGCTGCCAATGGTGTTGATCCGGGGGTAGCGTAGGAGTCTCTTTGTTCCTTTTCCTTCTTTAGCATACCCTCTTGGCTGCATGAGCGATCTTTTCTCTCTCTTCTTAATCTCATTCTTTTCTTTTTCTTGTCTATTCCCCGATCTTATTGCCCCCATCCCTCGATAGCCCTCCTGCAGGCGTGGGCCCATTTCTCGGGTGGGTGTGAGAGTTCTCTGCAGGCTTAGCTGGAAGGGGGGTTATAGTACTGCCACCTATGGGACCACATGATTACTATTGATGAGGTTGCCAATCCAATTGAGGAAGAAAGTTTCGACATTGTGATGGAGCCTTGCCAGGTGTGACAATGCTGCAGTGCGGTGAACGGGTTTTGTAATACTGGTCATACCGCACTACATGGTACATGGTAGTAAGTATTGTGTAGTAATCGATACTGTACAGTACATGGTACAAAACTAATCAAATAGTTCCCTTCAAAGGCAGGCACAGTCGGGTTCCCCACCCTCTGTGGTGTGGAGTCATGATCAGCGGCATAGAGCTCGCTTACGCTCCTACCCGCCTACCCACCTGCCACCGTTGCCGTGCGTGCCACACCTTTCGCTCCTTCTTTCTTCTCTCCAACGAAACAACCTTGTTTACAAATAGAGGCGGCAGGCCTGATCCCTGAAGGCTGCTGCAAGTATACTAGGCGGGCAAGGCGGGGTCCAATCACTGAAGAGACATCCGGGGAAGGAAATCTTCAGCAGCGCAAATGAGGACGGCGAAGGAAAGAGTTGGATCTTCAACAGTCAACAAATTTCCGACTTGTGAACCATTCCACTGGCACTCTCACTTCTGTACTGCGACTTTGTTGTCATAACCTCTTCTTTCTTACTCTTACATGGCCCTTGATAGTCACCTCTGCCATCTCTTCTCTTCTGTCTTCTCTTTTGTTTTGTTTAATGTTCTTTCATTAACTCTCCCCCCCCCGGGGGGGCGAGAAGGAAGGCATCAGCTACTAAGACAATCCTTCCACCAAACAAGCTGTACAACCCAGCACAAAGCACAGCGCGGCCCAACCCTACCCTCTCCTTCTATTCACCTTTGTTTCTAGGCTTCCTTGTCCTCCACAGCTTCATGCGAACCACGAGAGTGGGTACCACATGTACGACAAACCTGGCTGCAGTAACCCGTCCCACAGCCTCCTGCAGGGTGCTGTGCGCCCTCGCCTAAGTTGGCCGGCAGATAACTCGTGGTTCTCCGTGCCTGGTCGCTTACTCTTTGTCTCTCGCGTCCCCCGTTGTCTTATCTGGTATGGGCGATAGGATGGGAACAGAAGCGGCGGTGTCTGAAATGGTTACTATCAGATCAAGAGCCGAAATGGCAGGCGCGGGAGACGAAAGGGCCATCGGTCTCACCGGCCCGGAAAGCAGGTTGTGGGAGCTGTGTGTCTCTGCGGCGCGGGATGTCAAGGAGGAATGCAGAGATGTCTTTCCAGGGGTGCAGGAGGCCTTTGGTAGCACCAACAAGACTGAGGGGAGCCATGAGGATGACCTTCATCTTACGACGAACGGGAGCGGCGGCAGCGGCTACCAGGCGAGCCGAACCCTAGCAGGCTGTGGTGAGCCGCTCGTGCACCTCCTCGGTCGACAGGCGTCGCGAGTCGCCGCTCTGTACGAGGCGACGACGCCTCTGCCATTTTGGCAGCCGCCTTCACCATCATCGCCACCTCGACCGGAGTCGCTATCCGTCGAACCGGGTGGCCTTACCGGTAGCGAGCAACAGCCCGATGCTGTGCGCCCCTCCTTGGCGGAGGAGAGGAACCAGGGGCGCGAGGTGTGTGACGAGGCCAGCCAGGGACGACACGGAGGCGGAAACCAGCAGCTCCTCATCACTCACAGCGTCAATATCGACCATGTCCTTCTCGTAAAGAGACTTGACGATGTACTCTCGGTCGCGTATTCAAAGTTCTACGCACACTTATACAAGATTGTGCCGCTGTGCTGGAGGCAGCTGTATACAGACGCCGCTATCCTGAAATTTGCCTGCCTCTACCTGCTCTCCTGCCAGGCCTGGCCAGGTGGGGATGCCACTCTCGGCAGCCGTGTTGGCGCCAATGTCAGAGATGCAGCTTCCCGTTCGCCGTACGACAGCTCAGCCAACAACTTGGCAGGAGGCTATGCGAAGACAAAGGATGATATGATGGACGCCATGGTGGAAACGCTGGACAAGGCGCTGCTCCTGGCAGGAGCTGGCGGCCACGCTAGGGGCAGAAGGTGGGTCGAAGAGGTCTTTGAGCTGCTGGAAGGCATCACCACGATGGAAGCGCCAGTGCCGCCGTCCGTTGTCAATACCCATCACGAGCCGGACACCCAAAGAGCCCGCTCGCCTGTGGTGCCACCGCCGATAAAGAGACAGAGGCTAGACGCCTCGTTTCCTGGGCGTGCCCCCATCACGCCATGGGAAGGCCAGCCAATCTTTATGACCCATGAGCCCTTCACGCCACCCGTCCGCCACCCGATCCGTCGAGAAGCCGCGCAGAACATGGACATGCCCGCCTTCCAGCGGTACATGGACAGCGCACCGCGCGGCCTAGGGCCCGAACCGCTGGTTTTAACCGGGCTCGTGGACGGCTGGCCGGCCCGGTCAAGTCGGCCGTGGGACAGGCCCTCGTATCTCCTACACCGCACGCTCCAGGGTCGGAGGCTGGTGCCCGTGGAAGTCGGGCGGAGTTATGTGGACGCGGGCTGGGCTCAAAAGATCCTGAAATTCTCTGACTTTCTCGAAAAGTACATTGTCGACCCCCCACCTGACAGCAGACCCATGGCCTACCTCGCCCAGCATCAGCTCTTCGCCCAGCTGCCCCAGCTACGCGGGGACGTCCTGGTCCCGGACCATTGCTACACCACGCCGCCAGGACACCCGCAAGACCCCTCACAGGACCAGCCCGAGCTCGACGAGCCCATGCTCAACGCGTGGTTTGGGCCTCCAGGGACCATCACCCCCCTCCACACGGACCCTTACCATAACTTGCTGGTGCAGGTCGTGGGCAGGAAGTATGTCCGCCTGTACTCACCCCTCCAGCGGTCCAAGATGCGCCCGAGGGGTAAAGAGGGTGGGGTCGATATGGCAAACACAAGCCTCTGGGACGTCGGCGTAGAGGAAGGGTGGGATCCAAGGAATGAACACGATGAGGAAGAAGAGAAGGCTGGATTGTTATCCAATGTGCCGTTTGTGGACTGCATCCTCGAGCCGGGGGACACTCTCTACCTGCCCATCGGCTGGTGGCACTACGTGAGGGGACTAAGTGTGTCCTTCAGCGTCAGCTTTTGGTGGAATTGAGCCTTCTATTCTTCCTTTGTATAAGCTTATTGCAATAGTGGGGTCATTGAACAATGTGATAATGTGATAGAATACCCATAGAGAGCTGCAGAGACGTCTTTCTGCCGGAACAAGTAATATAAAAGAAGGGGGGGGGGGGCGATGCCGAAAACAAAAAAGCCAGAGAAATATACTATAACTCCTTCACTTCGAGATACCAATGAAGAAAAAGATTTTGATAGTTCTCGTTGATATGTCCTGTTTTCTATTCAATACAAGCAAGCATACTCTTTTCGAGTCATGGATAGTTCTGCTCTCCGCATGGACATCCTCCTCTAGGTAGGAAAAAGAAGGGACACGAGCAAGGAAATATCTCAAGAAACTAGAGCAGAAGAGAGAGAGATAGAAAGAAAAAAGGAGAGCATTGCCTTTGTTGAAATTGCCCCAACACCGGCTATGGTTTCCTGTCCCTAGCCCCGAGTCAAAAAGAACGACTTCCCTTATATATGATTATTCACTGGTTTAATCCTCCTTATTTTGTGTGGGGTATCTTCCATATATGTCAGTTCATGATGAAGTACGATCCCGATCGCTTTGTCTCGCATTACGCCACGCCCCGCTTAAAAAAAAAAATTAAAGAACAAGGAGAAGAAGAAGAAGAAGAAGAAGAAGAAGAAGAAGAAAAAGAAACAATAGAAGGGGGCCAGAAAAATCCCTTTGCTGCTGCTGGTGGCCCCTTCAAGAGGTGGAACACGAAATGAATCACAATTGCCCTTGGACAATCTCCTTGTTGAAAATCTTGATGTCCCATGCCGCATAAAATGGCACGCTGTCGGTCACGATCCTGCCGTCGCTTTCGTCATCCTCCTCGCTGTCGCTGACGACCCCGGGGTCGTCTAGAGTAAGCACGGGAAACGGATCGCCATTCAATGGGAGCGGCGGCGGCGATGGCTGCGTCGTCAGGGACGCCTTTTCCTTTCCCTTGGCGTTCGCGTTCTGCTTCTTGCCCTTGCGGGGCTCCCTCCATCGAAACATGTGCTCGACGGTGTCGTCCTCATCGATGGCGAGCCACTCAATTTTAAGTTTGGGGAGATGGGTCAAGGCGTCGATGATGAAACGCTTGGTCTCCCGCATCACCCAGACGCAGGTGTCATCATTGCGCAGGTTGATGATGTGTAAGGCGCGCAGTTTGGTCAGGTGCTGGATGTGTTGGAGGAAAATATGCTGGCGTGCGCCTCAGGTCAGTCCAAGATGCCATGTGCAAGACTCGGACAACTGGAAGGGGGGGGGGGGGAGAAGAGAGGCGGAGAGGGGTCGGCCGGGACGAGAACTTACAACCTCGCGAATACCGCTGCTGATAGCCAACTCCTCAAGAGCACTTCCCTGCGTGCACAGAAGATATGCCGTCTTTGAATCCATGTCCCATTGCCAGCCTGCCTGGCAGTTGATCATGAGCCGCTTCAGGGTCCCCAGGTGTTTCTTTAACACGATTCGCCTGATCTGAGCTATGGAGACGTTTGAAGGCGGCGCAAACGACTCTGGCTTGAACTTGCGCGATCGCTCCAGCATGTAGAGCTCGTGAAGCTCCGGGAGCTGAAAGAGAAAAGTTAAAAACGTAAGAGACACATTGTCGGTAAAGACCTTGCGTAGAGGCAGCGGATGAAGCTGATTCTCTTTGGCGAAAAGAGACCAGATAGGAGCTTGGTTGCCGACGCCGAGCAGCGTGATGCTCTGGAGCACCCGTAGGTCGATAGCGCGCGACAGCACGGAGCGCTTGACGGGGATCAGGTAGATACTTAGCGTCTCGAGGCTGAGACCTCTCGTCGAGCGTGCGTATTCGTTGATGCGCTGTCGCAGGGTGTCCGAATCGCCGGTGCCCGTAGCATTGGGCATCTGCTTTTCCGCGTCCTCGATTCCTGCAGCCACGACAGACATCTCGTGTTTGATGTCCTTGATACTGTTGCTGAACTCCTGCGTCTGCTTCTCGGCATCTTTCACTCGCTTATTGACATCGGGGCCCTCAGGCCCTGCGTTCGCCAGTCTGTCTATTTCCTTCTGCAGCTCCTCAGCCTCAACCTCGAAGAAGTGCAGCTTGTCTGACAGGACCTTGAAATTTGCCCGTTGCGCATCCAGGTTGGCAACTACTGCAGATACGTTTGGGATTGGGTCCTCAACAGTAGCATCGCCGTCCTTCATGGTAGAGCCGACACCGTTGATTTGTTTCGCAGCCTGTCCAGATGCCGGGGTTCCCACGCCGTTGACAGCCTCTGCCGTGTCAAGCTCTGCCGGCTCATCGGTAAAAGAATCCTCCAAAGGTGCCTCCACATCGATGTCGTCGGGGTCGAGGTCTTGCCCATGCGCCTGGAACTTTGGCGCCTCCTCTTTGAACAGGCTTGATTCCGCCTGTTGTTCATTATCCTCTGCTGCTGCTGCTGCTGCTGCTGCTGCTGCCGCCGCCTCCTCCTCCTCCTTCGCCGCTTCACCGTTCACACCAGCACCGCTCGCTTCGCCATCTGCGCCGCCCTTCTCTTTGGAGGCTGCTGCTGCTTTGGCTTCCTCCTCGCCGACGTATTTCCTCGCTGCGGTCTCGATGACGTTCAGAATGTCCTGTTGAGCTGCCGTGAAGTCCTCTGAACCGTTCAACTGACTCATGAGTTTACTCGAAACCGCCCTTAGGGAATTGATAAACTCATGACCGGGAGGTGCCCTCTCGTCCTGCTTCGGAGCCTCGTTCTCCTTCTCCTGTACCTTCAACACGGCAGACTCCTTGACCAGGTATGGTTCCAAGTCAAATATGCGGCCCAATACCGCCTCCTGTGTCTTCCGCTCCTCCTGCGCACGAAGAGCCCTTGCTGGCCCGCTGAGATCATCGAATGTGACCGGTGGCGGGAGGTTCACTGGCATCACCTGGAACTCATCGTCGGGGTCAGAATCTTCAGGGTCGATTTCCTCCTGTGAGGGCTTTCGGGCGCGCATGGCGAGGTTCGTCGAGAACGACAGACTCAGCTCCTTAAGAGTCCCCTGCGAGTTTCGAATGCATGACTTGAGCTCCGTGATGACCTCTAGGCTGTCGATTTCCAGGATCGCCAGGGATGACAGGTTCTTGAACCCTGAAAGGGTCGGTGGACTCGTAGCCGCGACGGGATGTTTTGACAGCCTAGGCCTGGGGGCCTTGGGAAGGGGTGGCGGCGGCGGTAGCGATAACAAGTGGGGCGGAATGTGGAAGAGGTAGGGCGGAGGTGGAGGGAGGATGATGGTCGGCTGGGGAATGGAGGGATCGTGGTTTGGAAGGGGCGTTGTAGAGACCTCTGGAGACGTCGAGGGCGTGTAAAGAGGGAGAGGGGGTGGGGCCTCGTAGGACGAGGTCCCATGGTGCATGCGGATATACAGGCAGGTGAGGGTGTCGATCTGGTGGAGCGCCTGGTATACTGGCCGGCTGAGTTCGACCCGGATGCTCCACTTCAGTCTTTCCAACGCCTTGGCCTTGCGCAGCGTCAACAGGAGCAAGGTGTTGAGGAACCTCTCGACGCAGCGGACGCCCAACGTGAGCTTGTACGGGATCTCTGCCTTCTCGCCCCTAAGCACGGTGTCGAGCGTGATGTCCCGAATATGATTCGCGTAGTTGTAGTCGCTTGTGGCAAGAGTCTCGAGGCCCTTAGCCAGCCGCTCTATGGTGTCGATCGCGAAGTCATCCTCGTCCGAAAAGACCATCTGGAGGCTGCGGTAGAGCTCGGCCGCGGCGAGGTCCCGAAAATGCCTAGAGACGAGCGAGACACAGATCAGGTCGAGCCGTGAGCACTACAAAAGAGTTTAGCCACCCACAAACACTACTCGACAGAGGTTGGATTCTTGACCATGGAAAGAATGGAAGAGAGACTGAGAGATTGTGTGTGTGTGTGCGCGCTTACATTGCTAATGATGGCGCTCTGGATTTCTCTGGGTAGACCGGTGAAGTGGAGGAGGGGTCGTGGGCTCCTCTGGGGAGCCTCCACTGCTGTGTCTGCTTCCATCTTGGGAAGCTGGGGCGATGTCTGTGCAACAGTTTGCTATTTTTCTGAATCCAGAGACGGATTCTATGATTGATCGTGTGCGAGTGTTGAAGTGTCGACGACACAACCCGAAAAGGGATGCTGCTTGCGTCGTCGTTCACCAGCTGTACGGGTTGCCCCAGCGCTGCTGGATCAGGAAACGGAGCGAGCCGAGATGGTTCAGCTGAGAAGGACCCGTTGCCTCCTTCCTGAAAAGGATGGCGTAACAGCAGCGGGATCAAGCTTGGCAAGGCGAGCAGAGCAAGGTGCAGAAGAAAAAAAGACCAAGCTCTGCCCAGTAAAACAAGTGGCAAGGCAAACAGTGTTTGTTGTGGACGTTGCTGTTGTTGTTGTTGTTGTTGTTGCAGAAAGGTGCAATCCCCAATACGCAGTAACAGTATATGGTACAAAGTTGACGCTGCTGCGTCAGTGGGCCTCTTCTGGAGAAGCCCATTAAAGCTGTTAGCGCATACCTTACCTTTGTAGTATGCGCTTTAGTACTGAGGATGATGCAAGAGCGTAGGCAGCGGGGAACATAGGGCGGGCGCTTACAGGGATCTGTCCCAGTCGTCCAGCCCAATCAACACCATCCACGGCCGATCCGGGGGGCCCCCTGCCACAGCTCCAACAAGGCAGGCTCTACTACGGTATGCATCCAAGCAGGGCATTTCTTCGCTATTGTTTTTACAAGGCTACCTCTTGTAATAAGCAATTGGGGAACCCCGTCATGGAAAAGTAAGTTTCTTGTTAAGACTTCTCTATAATAAAGGAACTGCATGTTTTCTTCTATTTTACAAGAGCCTCATTTCAGATTTCAGATGCTTTCTAGAGTTTCGATGCATACTCATGCAGACCAATATGTTGTACTTGAATGCTCAAGATATTAGTTTGTTGCAGAGAGTTGACCCTACTTACTGTAGAATTACTATACCCACATAAGATCTGTAGGTCAAAGTAGAGATGAGATTGAATGATCGTATTTAGCTGCTGGACACAGTTCTGTATATGGTCAAGGATCACTTGCGCCCACAGAAACAGAAGACACAGTATCTCACCCATGTCGGATTACTCCTGTCATGTACAAGGAGATATAAATGAATTTTTAGAGTATTGGAGCTGAGGACTCTATATGCATGCGATTATTCAACGCATTGTGATGCTACATATAATGAAATTTCCTCGTGGACTGTCTACAGAGGAGACAGGGGACATGCCAAGTAGAGGATGATGAAACTGTATTGGTATAATGTAGCCAGAGCTCTTGCCTGGATGTCTGCTGTAAAACACTTCAACACTTCCTCGTCTCTATGCAATCATCCTCACACGAGCTCCCACTCCGCAAAACTGACCCAGGCCATGCTGTATCCACCACTGGATCTGACCCTTTGGAACTCTTGCTTGGTAACCCCCATAGCATCCTTACCATTCAGCACATTGAGGCCATAGAGCTGTACCTTCTGTCCAGGGCTGCCCAGATCTCTGAACAAAAATGGCAAATTAGTGGATGAACAGATCGCAAGCAGGGGAGGGGTTTTGAACGGGCTTGAAGGAAACGCACCTTGCCGGGATGTCACACCACCACCAGAACCCGTCCGAGTCCAGTGGCACCTGGTCTTTCTTTCTCCCGTCTACACCGTGGATGTTCATCATCAGGAGCCTAGGCTTGCCCCTTCCGTTCCTCTCGGCCGTCCAGTGCTCGCACAACTTAGCGAATTGGAAACGGACCATCTCACCGCTATATACCGGGATCTCCTTGTGCGGAGGGGACGCATTCCACTCGGATATGCCCTCCTCGACAGTGCTGCCGAACCAGCGAGGACGCTCCCCGCCTGTAGGGCCCATGATATACTCCTCCCATGACAGGGCACGTCTGTCATCACGGTAGGAATACCGGCTGTCCTCTGGGAAGTGCCTCCACCCGAAAATCTCATTGCTCATCGTGAACTGCTGGGGGTTGAATGCTCGCTTGTAGGATTGTCCATCCAGATGGCCGGCGCCCCAACATGGGTCGATCAGCTTCCAGTGACCATTGTCAATACGGACGGCGTTCCAGGCGTGCCCTGTAGCTTTTCGCGGTGGAGGCGGCTGGCCATCCTTCACAGGCTCAAAACCGAAACCCTTTCCATGACCTCCCACAACGATGCATTCCAGCCCTGCGCGCTTGGCAATAGCCTCATACGTCCGGGCATAACCCTCGCAGACCGCTTTTCCTGAGAAGACGGTCTCGCTCGCCGTGCCCCGAGCAGGACACCCGGCAAAGAAGCCTGCAACGTCGTAATCAATATTATGATGGCACCACGTGAATATGGCGCGGGCCTTGTCAGTGGGCGAGGGAAAGGGCCCGCAGAGGTGATGGGCGAGGTAGCCGATGGGGTCGCCACGATCGATGACGGAAGGAGGATACTGGGCGGCAACACCATCTGGCCCGGTGAAGTCTCGACAGATCAGACATGATGCCTGCTGTTGTTGTGCAGCGCCTCTGGAGGCTGCCGCGTCGACCTGTGCCGCGCTGGGGCGTGACGCAAGAGGCACTGGGGGAGGCGGGGCAGTGCTGGCTGGATCCGCCGGTGTGCCACCAGCTGTGTCCCCTGCGACCTCTGGGATGGTCCTGATGAACTTGGCGGGCGGAGGGGGCAGCCGTCGTGTGGGAAGGTTTGGAGGCGGTTCCTCGGCCTCCAGTATGCCGGGCGATCGGGCTGGTCTGTTAGGCAGCCGGGGTGGCAGAGAGGGCCGGAGTTCAGAGTCTCCATTTCGAGTTGGCATCGCAGACACAGATCGCTTGGGCAGCACTGGCGCCTTCACGATCTTTGCAGCAGTGGCTGCCCTGGCGTCCTCGGCCTCCTGTGCCTGGGCGGCTTCTCGCTCTTTCCTTGACGGCGGAAGGGGTGGCAGTTTGGCCTGTTCCAAGGGCGGTGGTAGTCTCCGGCCGTCAGTGGAGCCAACGCTGGTGGCCGTTGAGAGGATGCTGTTGTTTAGGGAGAGGGACGACATGGTCGACCTGATGGACTCGTTCGAGCCTCGACGAGGGCCTAGCGATTGAGTTGACGGCCTCCTAGGCGGCAGGGCAGGAGACGTCTTGGTCTGCTCGGAATCCCGTCTGGGCAACGGAGGCGCAAGGCCACGGGTTGGTGGTGATGGCATATGGCCATGGCTAACGATGTCCGTGTTGGTCCTCTGAGGAAGAACAGACGGTGACGCCTTCTTTACCGGACGAGCTGGCAGGGCGGGAGATGTGGCCTGAGCATGACCGTTCAGAGGAGGTGAGGCTGTTGCCTGTGCCTGTGCCTGTGCCTGTGTCTGAGCAGGCGTGCGCGATGACGGACGCTGCTGATTCGAGGGTGGCGGCGGTGGCGGCTTCTTCTTGGGCTCGGTGAAGTTGGGCTGTTTATTTAGTGCGGCGATTCTCTCAGCCAGCGAGTTGAAATGTTGAGGTTCCTCCGCATCAGCCATTTTCCTCTTTTCAGGTTAGATCAGGCACAAGAGAGACTGAGCGTGAGGGAGAAAGCCTGTCCTGAAAATGAACGTGGCGATGGGTGGTTGATGGTCAATAAAAGGTGCTGCCAGCCCTGAAGAGCTCAAAATTGCCGTTGAGCCACCCTGGAGCTTATGAGTCAATGAACGAATGGGTAGAGTAATGACGTTCGTAAACTACAAGACCTGCAGCCTTAAAAGTCAAACATGAGAAGAAGAATGGACCCGTAAGACCAAATGCTGGTGAGTGCATGCAAATAGAACGAAAGGGACAAGTGTGAGAGAAGAAGGTTGGGCCTCGGGTCGGTCTTGTTCTAGGCTGAGAGAAAGGAAGAGGACCTGCGCAGATGCTGCAGTCAGGTGGCGCGGGTGGTTCGATTGGCCGTCATACAAACGTGGAGGCAAAAGCAGCCACCGTGCAGATCAAGAGGGAAGGATGAAGATTATCCAGAAAGGACAGACTGAAGAGCAAAGTAAGGAAGTAGAAGGCTTAGAGAAATAAGAAACGTAAAGTTGGATGGATGTGCTCGGTGGGATCGTGATAGGCCTGTAGTTGTCCAAAACCAGCCTGGGCGCAGCCCTACAGTAAGATGGTGTTAGGGACACAGTTATGCACTAACAAGCTCCTGGGGCCGGCCGCATAATGCTACGACAGGGTCATCCCACAGCCCAGCAGACTAAGAAAGTAGTTCGGGCCCCGTATCATTACTTATCATAATCAGTTGAACTGGCTGCTGCCTATCCCACAACAATCTGGCAGGTAGACTGACTCGAGGTTCCTTCACCCATTAAAACATGTGTGTGCTCAACGAGAATATTGAACAGCCTGTGATGTTGATTTCAGGACTCAAAGGCTGGTTTCAACTCATTATTCTTTATCCAGCTTTGTGGTCACCAACTTGGGGAAACGTCTCCCACCCAACATTATAGAGAAGTACTGAATTCTTATGAAAGGCATAGGAGTCTCATTTCATGAGCGGTGAAGTATTATTATCTTTACTCTACTTCTCTATAGTCATGCCCAAGACGCAGCCTCAGGCATTGTCCAATGCAAGATTCGTCCACGGTGTCAATCTCTTCCTCCTTCTCTTTGACAAGCAAACAATCAAAACCAACACTGATATTCACTGCTCATTTCCTCTCTATGCTGTCCAGCTCAACATCACCAGCTGGGCTGTTGATCTGTGTATCCTGGCTGCCTCTTGGTTTCTGCACCGCCACCGTAGATGAGCTGGTAGCAGCAGCAGCAGCAGCTCTAGATGGAGTAGGAGGAGGAGCCCCGGCACCAGGACCACTATGGCCAGGCTTTCCCTCCTTGATTGACCTCCATTCCACCCCTGCAGCCGCCAACAATGCTGCCAGGGCCATACCCATCGCCGTTAAGAAGATCCTCGTGAGCGCGTAGTCGTACACGCTGATAACCGTGTCAATGTCCTGCGCGGGCACGATGGCCGTGAGCTCCGTGGCGCCGTTGTTCACGATCTGCTCGGGATCGATCCCCGGGATCCCCGCCAGCCGCGAGACAAGGAGGTTGCTGAGGATGGTCTGCCCCATGCTGGTGGCAACGGCGCCGCCGAGCTGCTGGACGAAGAAGATGAGGGCGATACCCATGGGCACATCGGACATGGGGAGCACCGTCTGCACGACCAGGCCGCCCGTCTGCATGCCGAAACCGAGGCCAAAGCCGGAGAGAAACTGGAAGCCAACCCAGCTGGCCTGCAAGGAGGAGCGCGTTAGCGTGCTTAGGAGGCCCTCGCCGACGGCCATGACCATAGGGCAGAAGAGCATCGCTGGTATGTAGTAGCCGATCCTTTGCGTGAAGATGCCGCCCAGCATGCTGGAGGCCACCAGAGAGAGGACCAGCGGCAGGGTATAGATGCCCGACTTCAGAGGGTTGATCAACTTGACCGTCTGGAACCAGACAGGCAGGTAGTAGACCAGGATCAGCATGGATCCCGCGATGAAAAAGGTAAACAGCGTGGCACAGATGACGCTGCGCTGCGTGATGATCCGGACGGGGATGGAGGCGGTCTCTGGTGTCAGGACTTGCACGATGGCGAAGGCAAAGGCCAGGACGCCGAACAGGACGAACAGGAGGATAATGCGCCAGCTGTTCCATGCGTAGGTTGAGCCGCCCCACTGCAGTGCGAGGAGTAAGCAGACAATGCTGGGAACGAAGAAGAAGGCGCCTAGCGGGTCGAGTCGCTTGATGTGCGTGAAAAAGGGAGCAGGCTCTACCTTGCGAGGCGGCGGGTTCCAGAAAAAGAGCATGAAGACGCTATTGCATATGTTTTAGTGCGCGAAGATCTCAGTAACGTCTCCACAGGAAAGGACTTACAATGCAAAGCCTCCAATAGGCAGATTGATGTAGAAGCACCATCTATTCCTCAGATCAATACGAGTGTCATGTGTAAAAGGCAGAAGGCGACTTTTCTTCTCTTACCTCCAGGTGACCCCGTTCGTGAAGCCACCACCGACCAGAGGCCCCAGAACGGAGGAGATACCAAAGACCATTCCAAACATGCTCTGAAACATAGGCCTCTTGTGCAATGGAATCATAGGAATCATGATCATCATCGCGCCTGAAAAGATCCCCGCCGAGCCAAGTCCTGCAACTGCTCGACCGAAAATGAAGACTGGCGAGGTGGGAGCAGCGCCACAGATTGCCGATCCGGCCTCAAAGATTGCAATAGCGATCAAGAAGACCCTAAGGCGTCTGTGTTAGTAGGGATTCCACAGCGCCGAGAACACACTTTCTCGATAACCTTTGGGAAGACGTTTACCATTTCATATTGTAGTGTTTGTAGAGCCGGCCAAACACAAGTTGGCTTGCGGCTGTGGTCAGCATGTATGCCGAGCCATACCAACCAATGTCTCCGAGCGAGTGAAAGTCGTCTGTGATTCTCGGGATCGCAGTGGCCACGATGGTACGATCCAGAGCAACGAGGAACATGGCCAGGAAGTTGGACGCTAGGATCAACCAGAACTTTGAGCTCCTGGGCTGGTATAGGTCGTTTGTGTCAAGGCCTCCGCCAGGGCCTGGCTTGGTGGTGGTCTTCTCTGGATCTGGTGAGGGTGTGGGCGGTGATATTGGTAACGCTGATGATGTCGGGACGTCGTCGATCTTCGCAGGCTGCTGCTTCTCTACATCCACATCTCTGTCATCACCTCGAAGCTGTCCGTCCATGGAATGCGCTTCTGTGTGGCTACTCGCCAGCGACAGCGCTGACCGAGACATCCTTCCTGCAAATTCGATCCCAAATGCTCACAGACGAACAGCACGAGATACAGTTGAGACCAGCCTTAGGAGGGAGAGGCTTGTTGCAAGCTGGCGGGAAAGAGATACGAGGTTTGGAGGGACCGTGGCAACAGGGAGAAAGAGTGAGTAGGGAGCCACGCGTGAGTGTTTTCTGATATAGCAAGGAGGTTTCTCGAGACAAAGAGAGTGAAAAAGGGGAAGATCTGGAGAATGCTAGCGGGCAGGAAAAAGACTGCATATACTTCTCACCGCTATCCGGAGGAGGTGAACATGTAGATATGTAGGTCAACAAATTCACCCACTGGGTTGGATTGGTCTGTGGAAAACAAAAAGATGTTGATGCTCAGACCCTAAGCATTTACTTTCCTACCTTTATAGCTTACCTTGCTCAACGAATCTACACGAGAATAATTGAAAGTCGGACGATTCGGACGATTCAGAAAGTCGAGTAGTCATTCATACTGGAGTTTCGAGTAGACACAGCAGAGTTCGGTCGAAAATGATGTGGACTGCGCGGAGGATGTAAAGAATTGATATGGCATTTCCCCAATAGCGGCTCCGTAGTGGTCACCGCTCGGTGGATTCGGAATATTCAGAATGAGAGGAAGGCACTACTCGGCGATGAGACAGAGCTACCTCGGTCCCGACAGCTGACTTGGCCCCTCCTCACATACAGACGTCCCACTATCCCCCGGGGTGGGGGGGGGGGACCCTACCTCAAGATAGCGTTGATACATACAGTCCCATGTACATTCCGTAGTGCTGGCCTCCTTATTTATCACGGTACTTTTCCTACCATTCATAAGAGTAATCATGTAATTTACGTGCTTCGCCGGTTTTCAACCTAGAGCACACATATCCATCAATCAGATCACAACCTGAAACGGGTCTGCTGTCTGTTACCAACTGTTCTTCATTCTTAATGTTTACATCCAGGCAAGGCTGAGCCCTCATCAGGCCACCCAATTCGCGATAAATAATAATCCGTCCATTTTAACTCATGATCTCCTGTTCCCCTCTTTGGATCCATACATGAACGATGACATAATAATTAGAAAGAGCGCGTTGTGACCCTGCTGTATCTGCTGCCCGTCTCCTTTAGCCGGCCTGCGACTCTGACTGTCACTGTGCTGTACCACCCAAAAAGTATCCAATCCGATCCAGTCCAGGACAGTACGCCGTGCTCGGTAATGCGTGGCTTGCAGTTGCTGTCTCACACATTCCCATCTTCTTTCACTGCCTGCCTGCCTGCCTAGCCCGCACTGCAATTCTCGCCCTCAAGTTGGTCAACAAGCCCAGATTTTGTTGGTTGTTGCCAGTGCGGGGAAGGAGTGATCATTTATCACCTCTTTCTCTTTTTTATGTCGATGCCTGGAAACCGCGACCTGACCAGACCTGACCTGTCCTGTCCTGGTTCCTGCTGTGAACAGTTCCACTGACTCATTTCCCGCCCCTCCCTCTTCCAGCTTATCTCTTCTCCTTCACATCATCGACCGTCAACACTTCTCAGAAAGTGGCGGCGCTCACACCCAAGGACCAGCCTGGCCTGGCCCAGTCCCAATTTTAATTTTTCCCAAGCCTACAGACGACTACCGTGACTGCCCCTGTCTATAGCAGAATCCATACAACCAACCAACACGCACTGGACTCACATAGTACATAACCACCATACACACACGTACATCTTAACTACGCAGTACTTACAGTACAGTCCAAGTTGGGGCCGTTAGCGCACATCTTTCCCTCTCCTCATCCGCCGATCCGACGGCCTGGTTACGCACCCACAAACACGGCCAGACTATTTTACTGCCTTACCACCAACCACACACCACACTGAGGGCTATTGACTACCTCTCGGCTACAAGAGACACGCCTCGTGGCCGGCGATATCCCGAGACAACCACGCGCCTCCACAGTTGCAACCAGCCAACGTCTCTGCACACAAAGGCTAATGGCCCTGCCCTGAACGTGCACTGCACTGCACTGTCTGCGGCCACTCGCCCGATTGCCTGACAGGCAGCAGCGCCCTTCCTAGTCCTGTCCTGTCCTGGCACGGTCACCTTTCCCCTTGCGGTGCCCCATCCCTTGGGCGCCCAAACGTCCCCTTACCCACGTCTATCTGCATGGGATACAGGGTTTGACAGGTCATACCCGTACGTGCCTCCCCTCCCCCCTTTCGTACCACCCACGCCCTTTGCTGTAAGAATGAATCCCCCATCTCCTACTACTACTGCTACTACTATACGTACTACGTATACTCCTCAAGGAGGACCTACAGCAGTAGTGCTTCCATCCGCCCTCTCCTGGAGGCTTATTCCCAAAAATTTTCCTTTTGGCGGGCCTGCTGGCTAGGGTGTCCGTACAGACGGCGCCTTCGGTCGCCGACCCTCTCACATGTCCTACATCAAGAGCACAGACTATCATGAGGGCCGTCCTCTATGGATCATCCTCGCTTCCCTCATCGCAGCCTCTATCCCCAGCCCCCCCCCCCCCACACCTTCTCGGGCCCGGGTGGTGTGTGAATCAAGGCTAACCCCGGCGTCCTCATGGCCCAAACGTTTCAAAGAGAAGAATATTGTCCGGGAGCAGCAGCAGCGGCAGCGGCAGCAGCGGCAGCATGACGGCTCAGCCTCCTGGGGATAACATCCCTCCTTACATCGGCCAGGCGCAGTCGGCTGTTGTTGCACACGAGCCCTCTGTCAAGCTGACCAGGGGCCACAGCTGTGTGCTCTGTCAGCAGAGGAAGGTCCGCTGTGACAAGAACAAGCCATGCGCCAACTGCGTCAAGGCCGGTGTCGAGTGCAAGGTGGTCCCTCCGCAGCCGCCCCGCCGCCGCAAGAAGAGGCCGCACGAGAGGGAGCTTATCGATCGCCTCAAGAAGTACGAGTCGCTGCTCAGCCAGCATGGCGTCGACTTTGAGCCGATCGGCCAGGCTCTGCGGTCTTCTGACCCGTCTGCCATCGATGAGGTGGACGAGCTTGAGCATGGTAGTAAGTTTCCATTTGTCGTTGCGTCAGGGCTCCGATCACCATGGAATGACTACGCCTCACTGGCTGCTGGCTGACCTGTCATTTGATTTCAAGTCGAGGGGTTGAAGACGTCTCCATCGTCCACTGGTAAAGAGAGCGAGAGGTAGGAGATGCTCAGACTCCTGTTGTACTTATCCATGATGTTTTATTACCTGGCTGACCGTCAATTTCAGGCACCCGAATTGGTTCCCCTACAGTAAAGATGTTTGTATTGCCCTATTGTCCTTGATGTTCCCTCTACGACATACTCGATGCCTGGCCATCATGCTGTTGGGGTCATGACTTCTCTCTCTCTATACTTCTCCAGAGACCATGCACGATACAGAGACATTGCTGATGATTCTGAGTTGAACAGTACAGGAGCCAGGACTATCCTTTTCGAGATTCCTCGGATGATGGTTCTGACGGCCCCTTGATCCATCAAGCGTTTGACAAGATGTTCGATGGGTCAGACGGCTTTCCATTCGCCATTGGCGGGTCCATCATGTCCATCACCGAGCTGCATCCTCCTACTGTACAAATCTTCCAGCTATGGCAGATCTACTTGGAGAATGTCAATCCGCTCCTGAAGATCATTCACACACCCACCTTGCAGAGCCAGCTGATAGAAGCAGCAGCGAATCCCGCCAAGATCGCGAAACCGCTCGAGGCTTTGTTGTTTAGCATCTATTACATCGCCGTCCTCTCACTCACGGACGAGGAGGTGCTAGAAAGATTCAAGGAAGAGAAGAGCCGGATGATGTCTAAATTTCATCGTGCCACCCAACAGGCATTGATCAATGCCGGTTTCATGCGAAGTCCGGATATCGTTGTCCTTCAGGCTTTTTTCACATACCTGGTGGGTCTACCATCTTTTCTCGAACTTTTTTCTTCTTTTCTTTTCACTTGGACCGTGTCCTGACTGGAACTTAGATCGCCGTGCGCCAAAATGTCGACCCACGAGCACTTTTCTGCTTGATAGGTATCGCTGTCCGGGTGGCGAACCGGATGGGGCTCCATCAAGATGCTGAACAGTTTCACTTTGCACCCTTCGAGGTGGAGCTTCGACGACGCCTCTGGTGGCAGCTCGTCATATTCGACAAGAGAATTGCAGAGATAACAGGGTCTACAATCACGGCTCTGTCCTCGAGCAGAGGCGACTGCAGGCCGCCTCTGAACATCAACGATCCCGACCTCCACGTGAATGCCAAGGAGCCCATTCAGCCTCACACCGGCCCTACCGAGATGCTCTTCAGTCTCACGCGCATCGAGTTGACGGTGGCTGCAGATCCAGAAGGCGCGCGCCCTGTTGCGAATCTAGCTGGGAGCTCCTCGGGCGGTAAACAGACCTGGCATTACAGTCCTTCTCCCGTCTCGTCCGACGTGTTTACAAATGCTACCCGGCACAATCTTCCCCTGGCGAACCTGAATGACTATATCAAGTACCTGGAGGAAACCTATCTGAACCACTGCGACAACAAGATCCCCTTACACTCCTTCACCTTCCTGATGACCCGCCAGGCGATCTGCAAACTCCGTCTCATTGACTACTTCTCCCGCGGCTACCTCCAGCGATTCCCGGACCCCAACACCATGTCAGCGCCCGACCGCGCCGTCCGCGATGCTATGTTCTCCGAGGCCATCCAGGTCATCGAGTACGATAACGTGATCCAGAGCGAAGAGTCCCTACTCCGCTTTAAATGGTACACCTTCATGCACTTCCCCTTCCCACCGTTCGCCTTCCTGGCCACGGAACTCCGCTTCGTCACCACGGGCGACCTATGCGACCGCGCCTGGGCCGCCATCATTGATAATCACGAGAAGCGGAGGATGACAGACAATCTTAAGAGCCCTATGTACACCGCTATAGGTAGTACGCTGCTCAGGGCGTGGGACGCGCACGAGGCCGCAGAGGCACAGCTAGGCAGGTCTCTGCCGCAGCCAAGGGTGATCACCGTCATGCGGGAGGTGCTGAAGAAGATGAAGGCCGAGAATAGGGAGACACAGCCCAACAGAAAGGGCAGCGCCAACACAAGCACCAGTGCGACTGGCGATAACTACACTGTCGCCTCACAACAACAACAACAACACCACCACCATCGACACCAACAGCACCCACAGCAACAGCAGCAGGCCCCGTCGGACATGGACATGCACAGCAGCACGACCAGCTCGCCACCGATGGTCACCGGCCCTCCTGGATCCAGCGGGATGGACCCGATGGCGGGCGCGCTGTTTGGCCCAGGCTTCAACAGTATGGGCCAACAGATGTTCGGCTCGTCCATGATGTCAGACGTGGATCTCAGCGTCATGGATTGGAACGGTATGCCTCCGTGGACCGGCGGGTTTATGGCGCCTGGCGGATACGACTTCCCGCCACAGCACATGACGGGTTATCCGGGACAGGGCCCCCGCTGAACAAGCTCGAAGTACGTAATGAGGACGGCGACCGTAGGACAAGCACGACAGCAGCAAGCATATGGGAGGGCTTTTTCAAACCAGGCAATTTGGATGTAATACTTGTTAACGCGGCGAGGACGTTCGTTGCCGTATCGGCATGCCAAATTATAGCTCACGCAGACGAAACGACATATCATTGCTCCTCTTCATCCCAATGGCGAGAAGGGATCTCCCACCTCGAATTGAGGCAGGCCTTCTAGTCAGTGACTAACAGATGGACCTTATCCACCATCAGTCACCTCACACCAGCCAGCCAGCCAACCTTTGTAGCCCGCGAAATTTAGCTTCGTGTACTGGGCAAGAACAAGCCAGACGAGGAAGAAGAATACTCAACAGTTAACTTGGATATCGTTCCATGAGACCCAAAAGAGGAGCCGCTCAGTCCATTCCATGCGTGTTGTGGTGGAGAAGGACGAGCCAGGAATGCTATAAGTGAAAATCCAGTGTCGTCTGAGTGATTACTCACTTCAAATAAAGAAAAGGGTCGGGCCGCGGGCGCAGGGATGAATGAGGATCCTCAAGGCTGTGGACGGTCGTTGTCGATCGCGGTAGGTTGATAGTAGGGGTTTTAAGTTAGAAATCAGGGTGAATGACACAATCTTGGGATCTAGTTTGTAATATACTCTCTGTCTTGGCTGGAAAGTGAACTCTTCGAGGGATCATTGAAGGGGGAGGGGGTCGGTTGGTGGGCTTTCTCTTGACTCATGAGTGGGTGAGTACCTTAATGGATGTTATCGAGTGCAAACGGGCTCGGCATGGATATGAGTTGAAGCCAGCTGGTGGTGCAAGGTGCTGTGGACCCCACGTAATGAGGAAGTTGAAAGATCCACAGCGTGGATGTAAACATTGAAGGCTAAGATTGCTATTACAAGATCTGCCAAATAATCATGATCGGGAGGACCGAGTTTGTGATGAAGGTGTGGCTTACCCTCTCTTGCTTTGCGTTTCTATAGACGAGAGTTTCCAGGACTTGAAACTGGATGCTGAGCCAGATCGTGAAAGAGGTCATCTGGTTGAGGGTTTCGGTCATGTCACTGGCTTTTCAAGAAGTAACCATTTGCATGATGGCATCTCTTTTGAGCAAAGGTGATTTGTGTAGTAGACATCGGCCTCCTGCCCACGTGTCTCCACGTCCATGACTCTAAACACAGTGTTACCGTTCCTGTCACTGGAGCAAGGGTAGTATCATGTTCCTTGAGGAGCACGACAGAGGAAAAGAAATGTGAGTCTCTGTGTGTACACAGCACGAGGTTAGTGCGCAAGGAACCAAGATCAGATCACATTTCACTGCGGGACAGATTCAAAGAACTGACTGTCCCCTATCTTCTAGGCAGAATTCTGGTTCACAGGATTTGGGTTTTTTTTGGTTTTTTTTTTGGTTTTTTTTTTGGAGTAGAGATGGCCCTCAGGGGTGCCAGAAAATATAATTCCCCATACATGCGATGGGAGATGCAAGCTTCTATCGTCATGAATACATTTTGTACATGCCCAGGCCTCTCTCCTTTCATTACTCCTTCTTGTCACTATCAGAATTCTTGCCACTGTCAGGCGTCTTTTCGCCTTCAGATTTTGTGGAGCTGCTGGACTGGCCTTCTGCGTCAGGCTTGCGGTGGGCTGGATGGTTGGTAAGGTTGTGCCATATTGACTTCAGGAAACCTTCGTTCTGGTGGTCTTCACTTGTAGAGGCATTGTTGCTGCTGCTGCTTCTGTGATCAGGGTCTGCGTCAGTACAACAAGAACATCATCATCATCATATGAGCACAAGGGGCCTATGAAGAAAGGGAGTATCTCCACTCACGCTGATCCAGAAGAGGGTTTCAACATGACCCTCTTGGCCGTCTTGTCGCCAATCTCATCTGCAAGCATCTCCACCAGAGTCCGCTGGTTGGCCGTCAAGTACTTGGGCATATTCACCCTAAATTCGACCTTGAGGTCTCCCGAGCCACCGCGCCTGCCGCTCAGCTTCTTCATGCCCATGCCCGTCAGGGTCATCTTGTCACCCGTGGCCGTGCCTGTTGCCACCTTGACGCTGACCTGGCCATCCAGCGTCGGCACTGTGATGTCTCCACCCAAGACCGCCGTTGTAAAAGGGATCGTCGCCGTGTAGAGGATATCGGAGCCGGCGCGGCTGAACTTTTGGTCTGGTGCGACCCGCACAAACACGTAGAGGTCTCCGTTGATGCCCCTCGCGCCGGCGTCTCCCGAGGCGCCGAGGGCAGGCGCATCGCCCTGTCCGTCGACCCGTAACCTCATGCCGTCCTCGATGCCGCCGGGGATGTCGACCGTCAGGGTCTTCTTCTCCCGCACCACACCATCGCCGTGACACGTCTTGCACTGCGAGCCCTTGGCCACGGTGGTGCCGGAGCCGCCGCAGGTATTGCACGTCGAGGCCATCTGGAAGCCGCCGGACATGAAGTGCACCCTGGTCCCGCTGCCGGCACAGCTCTGGCACGTGGAGCGCTTGGCGCCCGCCTTGAGCCCGTTGCCGCTGCACGTGCCGCACGTCACCATGGGCGTGATGGTGATGGTCTTGCTCGTGCCCTTGGCCGCCTCGAGGAACGAGATGGTCGTCTGCACCTGGATGTTGTCGCCCACCACGGCCGTCTCCTGCTGGAACGGGTTCCGCCCCCTGCCCTTGGCGCCGCCTCCAAAGGCCTGGTTGAAAAGGTCCTCAAAACCACCAAATCCTCCTCCTCCCGCGCCGCCGCCGAACCCGAAGCCCCCCTGGCCTCCTCCGAACCCGCCAAACGGGCCGCCGCCGAACGGGTCACCACCGCCGGGGCTGCCGCCTGCACTCGGGTCGAACCCTGCGGCACCGAATTGGTCGTACTGTTCTTTCTTTTTCGGGTCGGACAGGACCTCGTAGGCGGCCTGGATGTCGGCGAACTGGTCCTTGGCCTTGGGGTCCTTGTTCGTGTCGGGGTGGTACTTCTTGGCGAGGCCGTAGTAGGCCTTTTTGATATCGGAGGCCGAGGCGCTCTTGTTGACACCTAAAGCCTGGTAGGGGTCCTTCATGGGCGCATGGGTGCGTGCTGTCGCGTGGAATGTCTATAAAAACAAAGAGAGAGAGGGCGCGTTTGTGGTCAGCTTGCTTGAGTTTACACAGCGAGGGGCTGCTGGTGGTGGTGTGATTTGAGACTTACCCTCCGCGATGACGGCTGTGACTGTGCGCTACATCTCCTCGACAGCTGTCTCCTCGTAGGTTTCAGCGTCGTCGTCGTCGTCGTCGTCGTCGTCGTCGAGGAAGAGAGTGTACTGAGCTTCCGCGCCTGCTGTGGCCGTGACCCCGAGGTTCTCAGCGCCCGGCTGCATATCTGCGCCGGCCGGGCGGCGGGTGCTGCTGCTACTCGACTTATAACGCTGGGCTGCATTTCCAAAAAACCAATGACAACTCGGAGTGTCGAAACATTTAAAATTGCTATAACGTTCTGGCTTCGCGTCCTTTCGACGTGATCGAGAATGCCTGGCAGCCGAGCAGACAGACAAATAGACAACGGTGGAGGGTGTTGTAACTTCGTTATAGAAAGAAAATTCGTCTGGCAAGGTTTTTTGTTTTTTTTTTGTCTGCTTTGCAGCTATTCGAGAATTTTCTCCCGCGGCTGATGACATCGCGACTGGGGGACGCCGGGTTGAAGACCCACTGGGCTGACCCGGAGCCTGTATCAGCGGCGTCGTCATTGGCCAGACGGCCCAGGTACAAGAGCGTGTAAAGTCTCCAGGTACTTTGAAGGCGGAAAGGGTTCTCGCGTTTCTTTTGCCTAATTTCTTTGATTTTCTGAATATCTTACTTTGAGACTCATGCTTCTCTTTTTCTCAGTAGAACTACCTTCTTACCGTAATTTCAGCAGTCTTTGAACATGAGAATAATGAGCTCTACAAGTCGCTGGCAAAGGTACAGTAAGTAGCCATTTCGCTGATAAGATAAGGATTTGGGGCGCGGCATCGGGGGTCTGGTCTGCTGAGAGAGCGCGTCTCTCTGAAATTGAATTGGCAGGAGGCCAGGAATCGCATGGGTCAAAGAATCATTACGCGGATGCGTGAGCTACTGCAGATGTTGCGATCATAATAAAAAAACGAAATACAAGAGCCTAAACAAGATTCCAAGACGCCTTCCCAAATCCCTCTGCCGGTCCCATAGAAATTTCAAACAGTTCATAATGTGTGGTATCAGTGTTCCCCAAAACCCGTCAGACTCGAGTGCCCCGGGTCCCGGATCCCCCTCTTTAAACGTAGTAGACTCCCCCTTAGGAGGCTCAACTTTGTCCCATATGATCATCATATCATGTATAAAACATCAAACAAGTTATACCCTTTCCTGGTCCGTCAGCTTCTTCCCCGCCTTGGGCAAGTCGCTCAGCTTGGACAGCCGCCCTCTCCTGACGCGGTGCAGAAAATCCACAATGGCATCGTTCTCCTGCACGCCCTGGCTGTTGAAATGCTTCCTGACTGCGCTGACCAGTTGGCCTCTGGTCTGACGACGCTGGTCCTTCTTTCTGGTAGCCGTTGGAGAGTATAGGCCGATGCTGCCTGGCCGCGTCAGGACCCAGGAGCGGTAGTCGCTTGCGTAGGCGGCAGGGACGTTGAGGTGGCGCTCGCGGCGGTATCGGTGGAGGAAGTCTCGGTCAAAGGTGGCCCATTGGATCTGTAGAAAGCAGGAGAATGGCGTTAGGAAGAGGGAGTGCAGTGGGAGTGCGGGCTGGGAGGTGAATGCATAGGCTCACTCACACTTGGGTTGGCGGCTGGAGCACTGGTCGGGGGCTCAGGAGCCGGCGAGGGGAGGTTCGCAGCGCTCGTCACATCTTTCAGGTTCGAACCTGCCGAGCTGGCGACCCGTCTCATCTTCCCATTTGTGTTGCCATGGCCATTCTTCTCCTTGGAGTTGCTCGGCTTGGACTCCGAGTCCTCGTGCCCGCCAGTCGTACGGGATGCCTTTGCAGGAGGCATTTGGGGGGGAGGGGCAAGTATGTATGATCAAGAAGCTGGGTTTTCAGTCGAGGGGTTCAGATATATTGGCTGGCTCTGGATACGGGACTGTGTAGAATTTCACCATCTTCCTTGTGTGGGAATTTCTGTGTGCAGTGGCCGAGTTGTGGACGAGAAAGGAGAACAAGGGACCGTCTTTTCTCCAAGGCTGGCCGGTCAGGTGGGGTACAGAGCACAGCTCTGACGAAATGGGCAGCCACTAACCGACAGGGGATAATACTGCCACTATATTATAGCATGGCAAATGCTATAGTAGCATACAGTAATAGGTCAAGTACTATGTATGCTTCCTTGCGTGCCTGGCACTAGTAGTACAGCGGCACACAGTACTTGTGTACTTACGTAGCATACATACTACCATAGTACCTTCCTTTGTACAGAGCGTGATAGGAGCAGCAGCAGCAGCAGCAGCAGAAAGTAGGTCATTCATTATTCCTAACCTTCCTCCACTTCCAGGACAGCTTCACAAAACGATCACAGGTGTCAAAAATGACAGGATTGAGAATGAACGACGATCAAATATCCATCACAAATCATTTCTTCTTCTCTTTTTTTCTCCTCTCCCTCCCTTCCTTTTTGCTTTAATCCTTGTGGCAGACGTTCCCGCACCTTGACCAAGCCCCTCCAGGTACAACATCGAGCCGGACATCGCGTTCGATATTCAGCGTCAGCACAAATGACGCCCCCACTCCAGGAGACGTGACGCAAACTTGCCGGGTGTCGATCAAAAGTGTTGAGTCTCACACAAGCGCAGCTTCATTTAATCACGTGTCAGAATCCATGGCCCATTTGCTGCAGCTACCCACACGGTTTGGTGTATCGAGAGCAACTCTATTAGCTTCAGCTGACCAATCTTTTCACATAGGCTATAGGCAGAATTCGACCTTTCCAGCCCAATTCACACTCTGGACCTTCTCGTTCCGAGCCATGCAGCCAAAGGAAATGCCCCTCTCTCTCTCTCTCTCTCTCTCTCTCTCTCTCTCTCTCTCTCTCTCTTTCTCTCTCTACGTGTGTGTGTGTGTGTGTGTGTGTGTGTGTGTGTGTGTGTGCGCGTGCGTGCGTGCGTTCTGGGGGAGGGCCTATCTCGACCAGACACACGGCCAGTCGGAGGACTGCCATCTTGATTATTTGTCGACAAAGGAGGGGCGCTAGACATGCTCATGTCATCATGCAACCTGCATGCTCTCGATACCGCTGCTGCTTTTGATTCACTGCTCTTGGTAGGCTTTTTGCACAATAGCATTGTGTAAGGACTGCTCGATGTGGGTTCCACAACGACGTTTGCCCAGCTATCTATCAGATGACGACTTCGACGACCTGCATGTTCTGCACAGGCGCCATGCGACAACTACTCTAGGTCGTCAAATAGGAGAGCCGCTAGCTGGTCAGGTGCACAATATGGCGGGAGTCCACTCTGAGAGGGGGGGCCGCTGCTCCAGGCCGTCACTGAACCTGTCAGCACCGGACTCGCAGCACCTACATGCACAAAGGTACTCGGCTCCTCAGCCGGAGAGATGACGAAGAGCAACACTTCGACGTGCATAACCTCAAGCGTTGTGGTGCAAACAAGTTAGATGACCAGCTTCGCTCCACCTTGGGAACTCGCGCAAGGCGGCACACAGCGGGACTCGCTCTCGGATGGACCCCCACGCCACCCACGGGAAAGCAGGCTGAATCGCGTTTCCAGCGGGTGTTTTGTAAGGACGCCTGTCCTGGTCTACCCGTTGTTAGCTCGAGTCTCTGCCAGCAGTTTCGTAGACGAGTTGTTCGGGCTGATGCCCCAGTCTGTCGGGTCCGGCTCGCTAAGCGTCTCTCCCCGGCCCTGGTCAATCGATACTCGCCTGTTGTTACCAGACTCTGCTCTCCTCAGGAAGCCCATTATGGCGTTGGGGATGGTGACCTCCGTAAGACGTGGACGATAGGCCCTAGATGGGTGTGTTCTTGGTGGTCTCACATCCAATTATGCACAGTAGTCGCTCAACGGCCTCATGTCGCGCTGCTGCAGTGTACCACAATATGCAGTGTGCCCTGCGCTGGGCCTGGTATCCTGACCATCTTGCAGCAAGGCAGCACCCTGTTCTTGATCAACGGGCCAGCAAACCTCCCATGCCTATGAGCACGGCAAATCTATGGAGCAAGATACTACTACTATTATTACTACTACTAACCACCGTGGGACCAGGCCTTCGACACAGTCTGCTCGCGTGGTCTCGCGAACACACTTCGGCATTTAATGGACGAATGACGGAGTTGGTAGCGAGGCTGCTTTAGCTAGAGTGCCAGCCCAGACGGATCGCCGTCCGGTGATGTTGCCAGATCTGTTGAGCTGGGCATGCATCTGCCGCCGGCACACATGCAACCACTGCTAGCCACATCGATGGTGATCGAAATGCGGAGCTCAATGGGTGCGGGTGGGGGTGACACAAGGCTCGACGAGAGGGAAGAAGATGACAGCCTCAGCGGGAGGGTTCATCACTGTGGAAATGACGTTCAGCGGGACCGCCAACCACAAATATGGTGCAATGCAGTGGCGTGCCACAGCAGGAGATGATACGGCGCATGCTACAGTGCATTGTGTCAGCTGTACGGCAGGCATGCTGGATCATCCTCTCCTGCAGCTAACTATGTTCAGAAATGGGGCCCTCGGTGGACTGGCGCAGATTTCAAAGGAACGGAAGACGGGGCCCTTACGCCCTGTGGCGAGGCTGGCCCCGACGAGACCCCTGCTCATCTCTTCTTAAGCCCTCGAATCCCGACGATACCCTGAGGTCGATATCGTGATCCAATACTCGCCGGACGACCATCGCAGAGATGTCCAACCAACATCATATGTCCTCTGCAGCACCAGGTCGGACGACGGCTGGCGCTAGAAGGCCTGTCACAAGCAGAGCATGGGGGGGCATTCATAGTCACGATGCAGATTCATGTGGGTCTGTACCTGCGGCTGAGTTTTGATGGCCCAGGAGCTCTGAAGTGACCTTCCCCATCTTAAGCCGTCGATTTCGCACAGGGACCCCTCTCGCAAGCATGGCACTGACGCATACCCAATTGTGGGTGGGGTTTGCTGACATTTTGCCGTCTTTGTAGACGCACGGTCAGATTTGTGTCCCAACGCCAGAAAATTGTGAAGTTGCGGCGGCTGGCAATGCCTTTCTTCTCTTCATGGAGGATCGCGGACGGGAGCAAGACACAGCATACCAAATGGGGGGGCTCGATCGAAGACAATCCCTTCCTATAGTATGGCTAATAACTAGCAATGGTTTGCCTGCCTGCCTTGCAAAGTTTCGTAATCAAGAAGAGGTGGATTGGAGGCAGAACCTGTCTGTCTCTTCGCTGTCTCGCTCACCCAGTCACTCCGCTTACGACCGGAACTCGGGCGGACCGCCTATCGGGTGTCAGGACCCTCGATTATTCCTTTTTCTCGTTCCCCTCCATTCTTTTTCGTACCAGGACGATCAGCATGGTGGGCAGACCCCAACTACTGCATGTCTGGCCGGGATCACAGTATTTCTAAGGTCGGGTAGCGTGGAGGCGAATCTTGTTTACAAAGAGAAATACGTTGGTTGAAGCTTCTGGACATGGTAACCTGGGACGGCTCGAAGGGACAGAGGCGGGCCTGGCCGCAATCCCATAATAAAGACGGGCGAAGACCCCCACACGCGCGCTGTCAGCTCCCGACCTTTCACTTCTCCATCCCACTCTACTTTCCCCAGAAAAAGACGACAATCCGCAGAAACGGGGAACCCGAGACCATCGATTTCCTGTGCGAGTCTAAACTGACGACAGGGCTGATAGCCAACGGTCAATGCTTCCATCTGCAACAGAAGATTCCATACAGGACGTCGGGGTAACGGGGCACACAAGACTGACCTCCCTTCTTCGTTCCTCTCGAGACTTGATTCATCATAAGGTCCCAAGTCCAAGTCCACAGTCCCACACGCGACAATATTTACCCAACGACCAGCTCAGCACCCGCAAGGCCTACTTGTACCTTGGAACGAAACCCTTCCGTCGTGGCACCCTTTGGGCTTAAGACTCTCTCTCAAAAGACGCCCTGCGAAACCCCCCCCCCCCCCCAGTTCTCTGCAGACTGGCCTCCCACCACCCTCACTCACTCCCTGTCCCTGCGAGACAAACACAACTTGTTCAAGCTTCCCATGTCTTAGAACCTCGACGCCGCCTTTTTGCCTCCCGGCACACACAACTCTCGTTTAAGGTCAGAATCTCTTGTGCTTCTCATTATCCCTTCGCGTCATCTCCCTCAGTTTACACCTCTCTCCCATTTGTCGTTGCGTATCTATCTCCCTTTTAGTCTCATGAGCCAGGCCGTGCGCAATGTTCAACCGCCAGAGTTTGTCCCTCTCCCCCCCCCCCTCTCCCCTCCTCCTAATCATCCTTGGCACTGGATCTCCGTCATGTCGATTCCCGTGGCGGGGCCGCTGTACGAGTGTACCCACGATGGCTCCTACAAATTTGCCGTCGGCTCAACTACTGTGATTGTTCCCGTTCGCTCTGGATGTGCCACTACTTCTGGCATGTTACACAGCAGCAACTCTTGAACATGTGGTGAATGAAAGATGGTTACTACCCAAGGCTTTCACGGCCGAAGAAGCAGTTGGGTTGCATCACATCCCTTCGAGCAGGTGAACTGTTACTTGACGTGTGGATTTCCACTGCATTGCATTGCATTGATATTGCAATCGCCCAAAGTTGCGGAAACATACTTGTTTAGGTTGCAGTGGCCGGCGCGATTGTAAAAGGCCCCCCTTCCGATGCCCTCCTCCCCCCTTCTCTCGACCTACCCAAACCCCTGTTTGCGCTCGTTCTCTCTACCGCTGCTATCCACTTCTTACCGGCCCCATGCAATTCCCGTTTTGTCCAGGCTATTCCTCCACGCGCTCGCTGTCCGGTTCGCACGACTTTTGCCTCTTAACATCGGGGCATCTTTCCCGACAAAATGTTGTGTGCTTTTTCTTCTTTCCTTGGATACTGATTTTCGTACAGCTTTTCTCAGCAACAAAAGACTTTTGTTTGGTCTCGATCTTGATTGTTCCTCTTCTTCCTGCCGGCGCTTGTTCTGTCCTGCAGGACTTTGAGAGCTTTCCGGGGATCCCATTTTACGCCCAACCCGCCGCCCAAAACTCCGCTGCGGCACGCCACCCCTAATCATGCCCACTTGATCACTCACTGTCTAGCCTTGTCGCGGATGAGATCTCGGTGACGGTGACTGGCGTTCTGAGAGCAGTGCACGTATTAGTGTTACCAACGCTAAGAGTATTCTCCAGAAAAGGCCCCCATACACACACACACACGCACACATACACATACACATATATACACGCTCACTCAGAGGGGGCGGTGGCCGTTTGTTTTTTGGTCGTGTTTTGTATACGGAACGTTGGTCCACCGGCTTCTTTTGGAGAAGTGCGCTGGGTTGCGCTGGGTGGGCTGTAGTGTCACGTCAACTTGACCACCTCCGATTCGCTCACGGGTTACATTTTGTTCTCCGAGTCGCGAGTTCTACCATCGATTTTTCTGGAAGCTGTCTCGGATTCCCTCCGTTTTAGCTGTTAGCTGTTGTCCCACGAGAGCGGCGCAGGGCCGCTCGACGAGCTACAGGGATTAATCATTCTCCACTGGCCCTGCTGGGCGACAAGACGATGACTTCAGTCTTGTCATCACGGCCCGGCCACAGTGCGCCGAATATGCTAGCATCTGGGGGCATGTCTCCCATGCAGGAGCCAACCCCTCCAGACAATATGAGGCATGATGACGGCCATGCAGAAGACGTGGACGACAACCAGGACAACTCGTCCAATGCCGACGAGGGCCCCAACCGAAAGCGCCGTCGAAGTCGCAAAGGACTGGACAAGAAATTCGAGTGCCCTCATGACGGCTGTGGAAAAAGCTACTCGAGAGCTGAGCATCTGTCTGCAACCCCACCCCCTTTTTCCTCCTCCTCCTCCTCCTCCTCCTCCTTACCTCTCTCTCTCTCTCTCTCTCTTTCTGCCCCCCTCGGCCGCATCATCATGCTCGGCCTCCCTGACTGACCGGCTGCTTCTTAGCTATCGTCATCAACTCAACCATAACCCAAAGCAGATCTACAAATGTGATTTCCCAGACTGCGATCGGCAATTCGTCCGACTTGACCTGTGTAACAGGCACAAGGAACGGCACACGGCAAAGGGATCTACGCTCAGCAGGAGAGAATCGACCATTGGAGGCCAATTGTCACCTGGAAATGACGGTCGTCACGGGTTTGCTGCGCCTGGTTCGATCTCCCCCGAGGCCAACAGGCCCGGCAGTGCCTACGCCAGACCACCGCTACACCACCCTCAGTTTCAAGACGTCACAGGAAGCCCCTACACTCCCATCACAAATACGCCGCCAGTCTTCCCTCATGCCGCCGCCGGTGGACCGCATCCGAATGGTGGTGTTGGCTACATGCGCCCTGATGGCTCTTATGGGCAGATGTCTGGGCCACAGCACTCACCAAACGGCCCACAGCGCCCCTCGGTCCAGACCAGCATGCCGCCTTACGGAGTCTTGTCCCCAGCGTCACAGCATGGCTTTCAGGGTCACGCGAACGGCACCCCCCAGTCGGCCACTCCTTACGCCGGGCACACCAACTTCCCTGCGTTTAGCCTACCTCCTTCGAATTTTTCACAATCAGCGCCGCCCTCAGCAAACGTTCCGAGGGACGGCGGCGGCCAGGGCTATGGCCCTCAGCACGACATGAACGAGCCCTTCTCGGGCCAACCGCAGTCCACAGGTGAAATGGTGCTACTAGACAACATGACAAGCCAGACGACCATGACCGTCTTCGGCAGCGATAGTGTGCTGAACAAATCCCCATATGTCGGCATGCCCGAGGATTTCATGGCCTATCTGTTCAACACCCAAGCGGGCGAGAATCCTCAGCTGAACCATATGATGCCCCAGTACACTAAGTAAGTTGGTCATCATTTTATCCTTTTTTTTTTTCCCCCTTGTTCTTTTTGTGCTCTCTCTCCCTCTCCTGGTTGAGCACATGGGTTGGCCCGTTTTCTTTGAGAGGGTACCTTGGCTGACTAGCAGTACAGTGTTCCGTATTACGGAACGGAGCCGGTTGGCTACTTTCCGAACGGTGGTGCGCAGCAGGTCATGGCCGTGACCAATCTTTTGGACCAGAACCTCCCCGAGACGGTCATCTCGGAGGACAAGGCAACCGAGGTCTTCGAGTTCATCAAGGAGAGGTTCCACGAAAACGGCCGCGCTCCGGTGGAGCACAAGAGGGAGACGTTCATCGAGGGAGACCGCACCGACGACCACATGCTCAGCCGCAAGATGATGCAGGCCTACATCGGCTCGTACTGGGTACACTTCAGCGATCAGATCCCCATCCTGCACAAGCCCACCTTCTCACCCGACAGGACGCCGATCCTGCTGCTGATCTCCATCATGGCCATCGGTGCAGCCTGTCTCGACAAGGCCTACGGGCCCAAGGTGACCATGGCAGGAGCTGAGCTGTCCAACTTCCTGGCCTGGCACCTCAGATGGGAAACTTTCATGGACAGCAACTTCCGGCCGCCGGCAAAGCTGTGGCTGTTCCAGACCCTCATCCTCCTCGAGCTCTACGAGAAGATGTACTCGTCGAGGGAGCTGCACGAACGGGCGCACATCCACCACGCGACAACAATCACCCTCATGCGCCGTGGACGCTCTCTCATCGGCAAGTCAGCACTTGACTCCCCTCCAAACCCGAGAGATGACAAGAACAGCTCCCGGCACTCGTCCACCTCGGGCGTAGCGCACACCGCAGACGAATGGTGGAACCACTGGATCACGAACGAGGCCACGCGCCGTGCTGCTTTTGCTGCCTTTGTCATCGACTCCATCCACGCCACCATGTTCGGCCACTCGACGGTCATGGTGGCGCACGAGATGCGGCTGCCCCTGCCTTGCGATGAGAAACTGTGGAGGGCTACGAGTGGTGCGGAGGTGGGGAGGATCGAGGCGAACCTGATGTCAAACGGCCTCAAGCCCATCCCGTTCCTAGAAGGGCTGAAGCGGACACTGAGCGGCCAGGAGGTCCAGACCAACTGCTTCGGGCGGATGATCCTGATGGCCGGCCTGCTGAACGTCAGCTGGTACATGAACCAACGAGACCTGCAGGTCAACTCCCTCGGGGGTGGTGTCTCGTCGGCTCTGGGCGGCCGAGACAAGTGGCGCGCAACTCTCACCCGTGCCTTCGATTCGTGGAAACACGACTTCGACAAGTCCCTCAAGAAAGGCGAGAACCCATCCGACCCATACGCGTTTAATTCGTCCGACCGGGGCGATGCCAACACCGTCTTCGAGAGCCGCGTCGTCCTCCACCACCTTGCCCACATGGCCATGCACGTCGACATCGTGGACTGCCAGATCTTTGCGCGCGCGAAACGCCTCCTGGGCCGCGCCATCGGGGCGCAGGACCTCAACAGCGCGCAGCGGCGCATGAAGGACATCTGGGCCCCCTCGGTGCGGGCACGCGACGCCACGTGGTATGCGCTCAAGTTCCTGTTCTCGGTGCTCGTCGAGGGCAGCGGCAACCCGCGCTATAACAGCACCAACAGCACCAACAGCAGCAGCAGCAGCAACAACAACAACAATAACCGCCAGCACCAGCACCCTCACAGCAGGGACATGGAGCCGTCGTACGTGGCCCGAGACGATGTACTGCTCAACAGGCCGTGGGTGCTGTACTTCTCGGCGCTGGTGATATGGAGCTACGGCCACGCCCTCGAGGGCGCGTGTCCCGACGCCGTCATCCCCACGAGCCGGGCTGAACAGGTCCGCCAGATGAGGGAGTACCTGATCACCTACGGCGGGACGGACGACCCTGAGACGCTGCGGACCACCAAGGGCCTAAACAACAACAGCAGCTTGCTGCTGGTCCTCAAGGACACGTTCCTGACCACCAGATGGGAGCTGTTGCACGAGGGCGCGACCCTGCTGAACAACTGCGTGCAGCTGAACGCGGGGACCTTAGTCTGACGACGGTGCGCTATGTGCGCGAATGGATGATGACGCCGTGCTTCCTTGTGACAAACGATGCCAGGAAGCAAAGGGAAATCACTATTGAGAGAATTTCAGCAAGGAAAGTGAAACAAGAGTTGGAAACGGATCTATCTTTCTTCCAAATGGAGCGGCACATCTTTCTCTCTTTCTCTCTTTCGAGATGGAGTAAGCCCTGGTTTTCTAAAGAGCGGATCTCACTTTCTAAGCGGAATGGATTGGAGTGGCTCCGGAGGCATGTGTGTGTTGTGTACATTTATATACCCCTTTTTGCAATCTTCTTTTCTTTTCTTTTCTTGCTCTTCAATATCTGCTTCTCATAGCTTGTCGTTGGTATCATTTCATGTAGTTTTTTCTTCTTCTTTTGTTCATGATGGAGCTACGTGGTGGAATCCCAGATTGATGAAATTGAGAAAATATGAACGCACCCGCGTCCATGATAAAAACTTGCAGAAACTCCCGATGCTAAATTGGCCTTGTGCGCCCTTACCATATAGTCATCTCTCATCGGATCACTAATCTCATCGCAAATGACGGATTAACTTACGACTCTATCGAAGATATCAACATTCTTTCTCCGGCGGCTCATCCGAGTGCAGAAGCCATTTGGACGGCCACTCTCCTCCACATCCACATCCTCAGGCACAGGCACATCAGAGCCTCCAGCTGTCATCCTCGTCATCCTCATCCTCGGAGCCATCCTGAAACGAGCGGAGATAATCACATTAGTCAGGATGGGCGTTTCTTGTTATTCATAGCAGGAACGTCGCATCTCTAGAAGGGAAAGCCTACCTGAACCTGAACCGAGGACGCGCCGTAGCCCCCAAGGCCGAGACCGTGAAGAAGGCTGAGCCCGGGCACGTTGCTGTCGGGGTCCGGAGCCTCAATAATGGGCAGACAATCGTCCTTAGTAATATCTATGTATAAAAAAATCTAGGTGTGAGCGACGCGGGTCTCAGTCATGCAACGAAGGATGTATGAGAGGAGGACTTTACCACCATTATCGCTGCCGACAAGTCTGTCACCGATTTTCCAAAAGGCGCTTGGCCCACAGGGCCCGGAGGGATCGTAGTTTCTGTTCAAGGAGATCAGACGTCAGCGGTACCCCGTTGCCAAGCGAAGGAGTGGTGGTGGAGGAGAAGGCATACGCGTCAAACCAAGTGCCAATCACTTTGCTCGACTTCATGCCTCCGAGTTGGATGCCCTCGCTGCGCCATCGAGATTCGCCGTCGAATATGGAGTAGGTCGTCCAATGGACCTCGCCTTCTCGTGTCATTCGTACCGAACCTGAAGATGTGGGTGGGGGGAAGGGGTAACGTTGTTAGCCACATGACGTTCTGCTAGAAGAAAAGACAAGGAGAGGAACAAGGTGAAGAAGAAAAAGAAGAAAAAAAATAAGGAAATACCTTTCAGAGGGATAGTACCTTTAAGATTGGAGCTTCCACTGTCAGGCCAGCTCGCGTCGAGAGACCGCGTGATCCCTTTCAAGTGGACGACGGGGTAGTCCTGGTGGTCCTCGGGGCCTGGCGGGTCAACCTTGGTGACCCAGATCTTCATGACTAGGACGCGCGTGGCCTCGGTCTCGTCGAGAGAAGGACGCGGGACGTGATCGGGTAGCAAGTCGTGAGGCGGGAAGTTGAAGGCGTAGTAATCGTTATAGTCGAGGAAACAGATGATCTAGTGAACAAAACAAACCACCAGTCAGTCGATCAGCCTCGTCTCGGTGTTCATCTTCAGGGCCCGCCCCTCATAGACAGGAAGACAGAGAAAGTTCTGACTTACCCTCAAATAGGTTCCAGAGATACCGTACGGATCCTCTGGCACGTCTTCTATCTCCGCCTGGTCGTCCAGGCCAAGGGGGAGATAACTGTTAGGCCAGCAGCCGGCGAAGGGGATGCCCCAGAACGAATTGAAGATGGGCAGGCGGTCTAGATCCTGCTCTTTCATGTTGGCCCAGAGCACGATCATGATGGCCTCGACCTTCTCCCAGTCCACGCGATCCGCGGGCGGGACCAGCTGGGGTGTCCCAAAACCTTGCCTAATTGGCCCTGGGCCCTCATCGAGAAACTGCAGATATACCAAACATCTCAGGCACTGGCATCCAGAACGAGAGAAAGAGAGGGATAGAACAACTCACGGGACCCCATCTAGTCCTTTGGGTGTACTCCCTGATATCGTAAAGCTTGCTACAAGCAAAAGGGTACGCCCTCGTCGACCGGGTGCGTCCATAGTTGAGGACCATGTCGCCGAACAGACAGTGCAGCTTGGCGGACATCTGCTGTTCGCGCGTGGGGGGCTGCTTGGGCTGGTCGAAGCTCTGGATAGGGGCGCGAGCGCGCTGAAAGATGAAAGATCGGCACATGAAGGTCTGGACGGCCCGATTGTTGGCAAAGCAGTCGCGTAGAATGTCCACACCGCGGCCGGCTTGGTAGGCCATGCTCATCTGGGGGCGTTCGCTAAAGACTGGGGACCGAGAGAGCAACCGGGTCGTCATATCAAAGACGAACTCCAACTCAGACTCCTAAAGGCAAAGGGAGGGCACATCTGGTGTGAGATGCTGTTACATACACAAGTGGTAGGGCAAGGCTCCTTGTTTCTTGTTACTCACCGGAGGATCCGAACTCGCGCAGATAGCTCTGAATCTTGCGAGATCTTTGACCTCCCCTACCCAGTCGAGCTCCTCAGGAGGACCATCCTGCAGTGTGTATTTGTCTCCCAGTCAGTACCTTCTGGTGATTACGAGGGGTTGAATCAGGTTCGCCTAGGAGCAGTAAGGACTCACGATGAGGTGGAGATACATGGTTCTGAACAGGGAAGCATTGTCCTTTACGAGACCGTAAAGATACTTGCATGTTAGGTTCACCTGAGCGAGATCCTTGGGGTCTGTAAAAGACAAGATGGCGGTGGTGATCTCCGTGGGAAGTTGAATTAGAGGAGGCATCTTTTCCTCTCGAGTTCACACACACACACACACACACTAAAGCACCACTTGGTAATAGTGGACATATGTGATGTCTGCTGTGTGTCGACTGACCCTGCAATGATTTTGTTACTGCAGATCAGGAAGCAGGGCGCGTCTTCCAGGGTAAACGCTACCCCAAAACTCGAAGAGACAGGGTTGAGATTATGTCTTCAAGCTGAAGCCTGGACGTTTTTGGGACGAGAGTGTGTGTGGGCGGAGTGGGGGGAAAGGGTACGGTGAGACTGGCTATGATGATGTATGCTCTGAATTTCCCACGTTGGACTTGCTTTGTTTGGCTGCGATCGTCTCAAAGCATATTGGTTGGATCCTTGTAAGATTCGGTAGATCCTATCGTGGCAGTTCTGAGGAGGAAAACGAAGAGAGAAAACAACTGGGCAAACGGGGGCGAGGGGATTCAGCGAGAGGAGGGGTAGCTATGGCCAAGTATCACAAGTACAACGGCAAGCTCCAAAGAGCTGAGACAGCGCTGCAGCACGATAAAGCAAGGCGTTAAGCATAAGTCCGAACTCGTACAATGAGCTGGCAGACACAAGGCAGGATCGGGGCGCCCGGACAAAGTATGGGGTTAAGGGAAGGAAGGCGCAAGTGTTAATTACTGCCGTTCGTGTACTATGGTATGTACTTGATTATTTAGGGCAGTGACAACTCGGCATGGGGAATTGAGGAGGGGCTAGGGCGTTTTCCCCAGTTTGTACCCAAGACGAACCAATTTAGTCGCCTCGGAGTTTCTGGAGTTTCACACGGGATTCCGTCTGGAAATGGAGCAAGGAAAGAGAAAGAAGAAAAAAAAAGGGAGGAAAGACAAGAAGAAATAGAAGACAGAGTCACTGAATACAGCTTGTGCAATAGCCGCTACTTGGTCGTCGAAACAGGCCGTTCTATTGCTCTGGAAGTCTTTCTCTCTATCTGCTGTCTGGTGGAGAATCATAGTTTACTCTTGCTATTGTCCTTCTCAGGTTCTGGATCCGTATTGAACTTGCCATGCTCACAAGTCGCCAGCGCAACACCATCGCTCTGCCTCCGCATGATGCCCCTAATCGTACACAGCGTCTTCCCGATACTCATAATCTCACACTCGATGAAGATCTTCTCGCCCACAGGTATCGGCCTGAGGTAGGTCACATTCAGCGTCCTGCTCACGCCCAGGTAGAACCAGAATCCGGGCTTGTTTATCAAGCAGACCGGCAAGCTCGTCGCAAAATCGAAGAGGGATGCCGTACACCCGCCATGCATGTTTCCCATCCGATTGGAGTTGTGGCTGGGCACCTCGTAGCTGAAAACAACTCTGGGATGCTTCGGGTCGTCTGTTGACCACGAGTGTAGCTTCATGTAGGGCATACAACCGGACAGCCAGTCCTGGTCAGGGCCAGTGTCTGGGCGTCAGCTGATCTTGTTCTCGATAGAAGATTGTAGATGGATATAGTGTGTGCGTGGGCGCCGTGACAGCTTACAGGCTTGTCCTCATCCTGGTCCTGAAGTAAGGTGTAGTCCATCCACAACTGCAGACGCTCCCCGCCCTCTACCTGGTACATTTTCCGTCTTATGTCTTTGAGCTGTGCTTCTCTGGCGTGATTTTCTTGTGGCATGGTATCGTCTTTGAGAGAGTCAACAACTGTATACACAGAGGGTGTATTATAGGCAAGCCTATCACAACTCCAGACGCTTCCTGTACTGTAGTGGCGGCGACCGATGGAGAGAAGAGAGAGACAGACGGAGAGCAGAGACAGCCACTTAAAATCTCACTTGTGAAGAGTTCAACGAATCAAGAAACAGCAAAAAATATATCTTTATCTGATATATCCGTGGAAGCAAAAGATTGGAATTCATGTGTCGAGGAGGTTCTTAAAACCAGAAAGTTGCCCCTCGGTTACAACTATGCGCATGCATTGTATCTAGGCACGCTAAGCACTGCAGAAGGCACGATCCTCAGCTGGACCTCGGTAGATCGAAGCTCATCCAGGGATGTGACCTCGACCATAAACTCTCGAAAGCATCTCAACAGCCGGCCGCTCTTTTGCTCGACTTCCAAAAACCAACATCATCAACCCCAACTTTTCCATCCACAGCCCAAACATTCTACATACTCACACTCACATACGAGTAGTTGTAGTGGTGGTGTACCCGTCTGGCCAGATGCTCCTCCTAAATTCCTCGCCGTCCTGACAGCCTGGGCGAAGAAGAAGAAGAAGAAGAAGAAGAAGAAGAAGAAAAGATGGAATTCATTACTGCCCTCCGGGGCACCAGCTTCGACGACCAGAAGCCCTCGCTGTTCGAGCTCCTGTCCGAGCAGCAGCTCTCCTCTCTCCTACCGCCCACCCTTCGCTACCTCCTTGTGCACGCGACCCACCGCTCGCCGCGCTACCTCCTCCCCGTCCTCAACTCCTTCGATGAGACCTACGCCGTCCTCATGCTCCTCGTCGAGCGCCACTACCTCCTCACCCGCGGCGGCTCCTTCACCGAGCACTTTTACGGCCTCAAGCGCGAGAAGAGTCTGGCCTCCGAGATCCCCCGCGCCGCCGCCCGTGCCCCGGCCCTCGTGCGCGACACCCTGGCCCTGCGCACTGCCGACGTCTGGCGCAACCTCGCTGTCATGGTCGGCATCCCCTATCTGAAGCGCAAGCTCGACGAGGCCTACGAGGTCAATGCCCCGCGCGCCCTGCTGGGCACCGCCTACACCTCCCTCCCGCCCAATCCGAGTTGGCGCGACAGGCTCCTGCACTACTACCGCTGGTTCCTCAGGAACATCTACCCGTCCGTCAACGCCGCCTACTGCTTCGCCTTGCTGGCTTTCAATCTCGCCTACCTGTTCGACAGCTCCAAGTACCACAATCCTTTTCTATGGCTAATCGGCACGAGAGTAAGAAGGATGACAGGCGCCGACTATGCCGCCATCAGAGCACGCGAAGAGAAGACCGCCGACAAGGGTGCGGGGCCCGGGGCTACATCGCTGTTCTCGCCCAGGAACATGGGCGCCAAGGTCCTGGGCAGTCTGTCGGTGCTGCTCCCGACAAGCATCTTCGCCCTCAAGTTCCTCGAGTGGTGGTACGCGAGCGACTTTGCGAGGCAGCTGTCAAGGAGGGCCACGGAGAGCTTGGACCTACCGCCGCCGATCGTGTCGGGTGTGTCGCCGGACAATGACGGCAGGGGCAAGAGGCAATCCCACCAGGCGGGCGACAGAAACTCCGCTGCTGCTGCTGGTGGAGAAGAAAAAGGCAACGATGAGAAGGAAGATGACGAGGCTGAGGCAGATGAGAAGACCATGGCTGAGCGTGCGCCCATCGCCAAGCCCTCTCTGCTGCCTATCTACACTGTCTGCGCGCCGGGGAACTCGGAGCTGTGCCCGATCTGTAGGGACGACATCACCACGCCCACGGCATGCCAGACAGGTGTGGTATACTGCTACGCGTGCATACACAAGTGGGTTAGCGGCATGCACCCGAGGCAGGAGGCGTTCATGTCCGACAAGATGGGCAAGTGGGAGAGCGGCGAGTCGCGCTGTGCAGTCACTGGCAGACGCGTGCTAGGCGGCACAGAAGGGCTGAGGCGCATCATGGTATGAGCCAGACGGTAGCTGAGTCACTCGTCTGTCTGTCTGTTCTGTCTGTCTGTCTATCCACACCAACCATCACCGTCTCGTTGGTGTGGTGACTATTCCTTGTATTTTGTGGGCCTTGTCTTTTCTCAGCGGCCAATCTTGTTCTTCATAGCGTCGGCGTTCTGGATCGAGAAATGGAAAGAAAGAATGAACTGCCAGTGTCCAGACTCAATCTCGTCTCATCTCATCTCGGTGGGCAGGGTGGCTGCCTCCCTTGGGAAGCGGAGGAGTCAGTGGAGAGAGAGAAAGAGAATAAGAGAGCGACAGAGCCAACGCCCCAAAAAACCCTCTTCCTCTCCACACGCCGCCAAGGCCATGATTTCCGGACTGCTCGTCCTCTGAATTCCGACGCGAACCCGGCACACGACGTGTTTTGCAACGCGATCCTCTTGCGCGTAAAGTGATCTTACTCTTTAAGCCGCGACGCCGCCGAGATGCGCGTAGAGGGAGGAATGCCATGTGTCTCTGCTAAATGTAGAGAGAAACCGACACGCTTCGCGGGTGGGTGTTCTGTCCCTTGTTACGGATGGGCCCCTCTGAATGGACATTTAAATCGTCACATCTCGACTTGAAATGGCCATGAGAGAGAGAATGAAAAGTTTGGAATTATTGTGCCTCTTTGCTTTTCTTCTCTGCCGGAAATTGTTTCTTCATTCTCGCTCACTTTCAGGTCACTCTTTTGCATAGGGGCTCTCTTCCATCATCTTCTTCTTCAATTTGGACACTCGCTCATTTCATTAGTTCACTTCCCGTTCTTCCTTTATTTTTGTATTATCCACGGAGAGAAGTTTTGTCTGTCGGTACGATGTCTTCGTACTCACTGTCGACGTCCTATGTAGGACAGTCTCTCATAGACGGGTTTAATTTCGTCAGTATTGTAGATCCAACCGGTGGTTTTGTGGCGTAAGTCTTTTGATATATATATTCCCTGCGCTTCCTACTTTTAAGCCCATTGTCTCTTGGACTTTTACTAACAATGTCTCACAATTTTTCAAAATAAACCAGATACCAAGACTACAATGACGCTGTAGCAGCCGGCCTCGTCTCGGTCGACGATACCACCCAGGCCGTCACCCTGAGCGTCGACACGACAAATATTTATAATCCTGACGGCAGCCAAGGAGGTCGCCCGAGCGTCCGCATTGAGAGCTTTGAAGCCTTCAACGAAGGTCTGCTCATTGGTGACTTTGCTCATATGCCGGGCTCGGTCTGTGGTGGATGGCCTGCTTGTAAGTCTTCCCTCGAGTTTTCTCTCTTGATGTACCTGTTGTGGAAAAGAACAGAAGAGGAAAAGAAGAAGAAATAAAGACTGACAAGGTTTTGTGTTCTAGTCTGGATGTATGGACCTAACTGGCCAAATGATGGCGAGGTCGACATAATAGAGGGTGCCAATATGGCATATACCAACCTGATGTCGGCACATACGTGAGCCTCCCTCCCCACTTTCCACTCCATTATTTTCTCCCCTTCTTCTCCTTCTTTTTCTTTCCTTGTCCTCTCATTTTATTGTCAGCCTTGTGTACCTTCTGCCTTCCATGCCTTGACTTGAGAGAGAAGACATGAGTTCTGATATTCGTATACATACGCATAGGAGTGCAAACTGCCTCCTCCCTTCCACAGGTGACTTCAGCGGCACCCAGGAGATCACAGACTGCAACAACCCCGACGGGTGCAACTACATCCCACCGACGTCTGACACCTCAAGCTACGGCGACGACTTCAACGCCGTCGGTGGCGGCGTCTATGCGCTCGAGTGGACGTCCGACATTCTTCGCATCTGGCATTTTGCGCGCGGCGGCATCCCGCAGGACATCATCGACCAGCAGCCCAACCCGAGCAACTGGGGCACGCCTCAGGCTCTATTTGGGACCGACTCTTGTGATGTCAGCACGCACTTTGCAAACATGAGCATCGTGTTGAACATTGTAAGCATGCATCTTCCTGCTCCTTCAGTTTCCACCCCTTATTCTGTATCGAGTGCTTTAGCGAAGGGAGAAGAAGGAAGACAAAGAGACAATAAGCTAATCGGCATCTTGATTCTTCTTTAGGACTTCTGCGGCAACTATGGAGATGCCCTTTGGGGTTCTGGATCGTGTAGCTCCTATGCTGCTACCTGTGAGGACTTTGTCGGAAACAACCCATCTGCATTGACGGACTTGTGAGTTACTTGCTGCCCTTCCTACAAAACAAGAGAGAGGCGGCTTCTTACCTTTTCTTTTCTTTCCATTGAACAGGTACTGGGAAGTCAATTACATCGACTTTTACAGCATGTCTGCCGGCTCCACAACCACAACCCTCCCCAGCATAAGCACTGAAAGCTCTGTGCCTGTGAACGGCTCTGTAACTCGTGGACCGTCTATCAGACGCTCAACTACCCTTCCTTCTGCTTCTGCTACCACCACACCCGAGACTACCTCGAGTGGGAACGGCAACGGAGTTGGGACTCCGACCACGACCGCGGCCTCGTCCTCGGCGCCATCACCGGTGGATAGCATAGTGCCTAGACACAATCCGGCCACTATTGGGCCCTTCACATATCTAGGCTGCTTCACCTCTGGCACAGGCTTCAGCACTTTCGATCTGGCGGGTACCGATCCGGCGTTGACCCTGGAGGAGTGTACGTCGCTCTGCGGAGGGAGCACGTATGCGGGTGCTATAGACCAGTAGGTTTTCTTTTTCCTTTTCTTGTTTCATTCTTGTCTCCCCTGTCCATGAACACAACTCTTCTGTAGGGAGTATATCCAAGGCAAGTAGGCATGCAAGCTAACCAGTCAATTCTCTCACAAAAAAGAACATGTTATTGCGCCGATGTTCTTGACGCGAATACTTTCGCGGTGGCAGATCGCTTGGCCTGCGACCACGCGTGTCCCGGTAACGACGACGAGTACTGCGGCGGAATTCTCGGCAGTCCGTTGCTCTCATCGCGTGTCACATTGTCCAAGGACACGCTGCTGACCATGTATGGCAACATTCATGGCGCGAACTCGACCGCCCCCAAACCCGCCCCAGCACTCGGCAGGAAGGGCTCGTCCAAAGGCAACGCAACCGTCACGCAGACAATCACGTCGACTGTTACCTACGTCACCGTGTGCAGCACCAACCCCGCGCAGCTCGAGACACTTACGTACTGCAGCACGATTACTGTCTGCCCGACGGCCAAGGAGGCCAACATTATTCCTCTGGCGACGCTCACGCAGACCTGCGACCGCTGTGGATACAAGGGGGAGTCGACAGTGACATTGACAGTGCCCAAGGTGTTCGATCCGACGCAGACTGTAAATGTGACGGCCGCCACGGGCGCGTATAGGAAACCGCAGGCTACAGCGAGCCCCTTCACTGCTGGCGCTGCTGCCAGTCCCAACGGTATGAGCGCTCTGGCGCTGCTGATGGTGGCTGTTGCTGCTGCAGGGACGTTCTTCGTTTGATCTGGTTTCAGTTCGTGTGGAATTATAAATTGCATACTTTTTTTTCTCGAGAAAATATCCCTTTTTGTTTCTTCATTTCTTTTTTCCCTGTTTTCCTCTTCCATGCTGCTATTTCTTTCTGATGAGTCATTACCGCAACAATAAGCTGGAGATGAGACATAAGATGCAAGGCGGATGAAAACTTTGATGAGAATCATATCGCCACAACCTGTGCAGCATTTTTCTTCTGAAGCCTACCCGTGTTGCCTTTCATACAACCCGCGTTGACCATGAGGCTCGCGTTGTTGGATCCAGGACCTAGCATGAGATATTTGAAGAGGATCGCGTTCAGGCCATAGTAGATGACTTTGGCAGCGGTGATCCAGTCGCGATTCGGAAAGAAGTCCAAGAGAGGCCCTCGAGGCGTCGTGGACATGAAGGTCTCGTAGGCCCTCTGACACTCGTCAAAATAGACACTTTCCTGGCCCCGGCCCCAATGAACGTGGCCAAATACATGCAGCCTGGGTCTCACCCTCCACACCTCCCCGAGAAGGCCAGGACAGCCCAGGCCCAGATCTCGATGCCACCGCGGGGGCGTGTGAGTGACCAAAACGTCGCTGTCTATGGGGATCCGGCCCGCCCACGGATTGATTTGAGGTGGGTATTGAAAGGCAAACTCATCACCCCCACAGACAGGAAGGTCAGCAGCACCGTAGATATTGAGCCTTCTCCCGTCTGCAAAATCCAACGACACAGAGCTGTTCTGCAGGTAGTGCAGCCTCTTGAAGTCGACCCGCCTCCGGGCCGTCTTGTCCTCTGGCCTTCGGGACCGCACGTCAAACCAGCTGTCATGGTTCCCTGCGATGACAATCTTGTGGCGGTGAGGCAACGAGTCCAACCAGTCGATCTGCCGCTGGATATCCTCGACGGTGCCAGCGTTGGTCAGGTCACCGGCGTGGATGAGGAGGTCGCCGTCGGGCACATTGGGCACGATAAGATCGTGCGTATCTGACAGGCAGACGATCCTGATCGAGCGCTTGTCCTTTGGCGGTCGAAAGGGCCTGCCACGTAGAAAGATGAGGATATGGTAGATATGGGCGATGAGGCAGTGGAGCGGAGAGCTCAAGAAGTGGTCGAGAAGGGTGGGTGGCTCCCATTCATCTGGTCGGCGGATTCCGAACTGTTGAAGGAGCCCCATGGCGGGTGGTGATGGACTCTTGTGTGTTGGATCTAGGACCAACGTCAAATGTGCCACAGACAAACGTCAAAGCCCTTCACAGCTCTCTCCACGATGGGAGGACGACGAGGTAATCTTGTATGCGCAGATGCTCGAGCCATGACAGCTGTACCACCGTCATGGTGGAGATGGATCATTGAGCAGGGGCCACTCACTACTGTACCTCCCTGTGTACGTACTACACTGCTTTGTTGCTGGAAGTAGCTACTTTTGATGCTGGTAAAGCCAAGGGTTAGGGGCGAGATGATGACTAACACAAAGCTCTCGCAGGGGGGCAGTCTCTGGTGGACGGGGATGACGAAGATGTTCCGTGTTTTCGTACCACAACAGGGAAGCAACATTTAGACCTGTCCTGCCGTCTCCGTATCACAAAGTATGATTGGCGCGCAGCTTGGCACCACGGCAGATAAGCGTCAGCGCACTGCGATGGGTCGCATCTGGTTGCATCAGCTAATCCTCCTTGCAGGACGCCACCCCTGCCGTGCGGAGTACCCGGTACTCAATTAGCGTTCCTTTAGACGTATTGATGGTAGCGTATGAACCTGAGACCAAGGGTATCCTATACTTTGGGCTTAGTGGCATTGTGTAAGGCTCATCAGTGTCACTGCATTTTTGCTCATGCGATGCATTGGAGTCATGACTTGGCATGGGCTACCCCTGCTCCTTCTTGGCCCTGTCACAAAGTGTGAGAGGTCTTGCACCGTCAGTTTCCAAATTTGAGCCCGAGTCCTCTTGGCACTGCACCAACCCTCGCGCCCACGAGGCTAGGCTACTGGTCAACTCGCGCTGAACAAATTTTATTTTATTTTATTTTATTTTATTTTTTATTTTTTATTTAAATTTGCCCTCCCATCATGAAACCTGTACTCCAAGAGATGGTAAATGTCGATTCACCCAAATTTGACATGGGGAAAATCCGGCAATTCTCGACTATGAAGTATCCACGATTCTACAATATGCTCAATACGCATTGATTGAACAGTGACAGAGAGCAAGCTTGAGGGGGTGCACGGCCACCCTGCAGTCGATCGATTCCGCAGATCTTCGTAGCACAAAGATGTCGCCATCAGGCTCGGAATCAGACCCAGGCCAGGCAGCCAGGTGGCACGCTCCCCTCGCTCCTGCGGGCCGGGGGGGGGGAGGCTGGGAAGGAGGCCGTCTTTTTCATCACCTTAGACCTGAGGACAACCTGCCACCTACTCGCTGCCCTTTCCCCCTTCCCCTCTCCGATTTTCCCTCTCTCTCCCCTCTTGTGCCCTGATTCCGCATGATCTATCCTGGTTTCTCCCACCCACGTCAGGCCAGGCCAGGTCAGGTCAGGCCGCCACTCACAAACAAACCTTATTCTTGCCTACTGCTCAGACTCGGGTTGCCCTTCATTAAACATTTGCTATCCATCACAATCTTGCTGCTGGCCACATCGCAACGTCAATCAAACATCATCACCATCATGCTCTCCAACACTATTTTTATTATACCTACTCAACTATATGACAATTCCTCATCTTCATCTATATTATTTGCATCGTATCTCTCGGTTTTATGACGTTTCCACTTTACTGCTGCATGCTGACAAGAATGGACCTGGACAATGTCATCACTACAGGTTGAGTCCCAGACATGGAGTTTCATCACAAAGAAAAAAAGACATCAACTTTCCAACCACTTTGTCTCATCTCTCACCTCTCCCACCTTCATCCCCAGCAACAACCAGCTGAAAGGTCGCTGTTGTTGAGCCAAGAAGAATCCATTGCAGTCCACCGATATGGAGACCTGGTGAGGGCCCTAGAATACGGGCGGGCGTCTCGACTCAAACAGCACTCTGCCCTTTGTCACCACCTGCGGTACATTGTGGTGCACCCTGGCAGGCATTCTCCCAGCAGGTCCCGGCCCAGCCCTGAAGCCTGGAGAACTAGCGCATAGGCGCCCACAGGTCTCATTGGCCTTCTGAACCGGCACTGGGAACCAGAGGGAGCCCCCCCCCCTCCCCTCTGCTCTCCCCCTTCCAAAAGGCGCACCTGCAACTCGCGCCCATGCTCCTCCTGCGGCGCACTTCCTAGGTTTGGTCAGGTTGGTCTGGTCTTTCTTCGATCTCTCAATCTCCCTGTGTTGTCGCCCCCTCTCGTCCATTCACACTCTTCTTCCTCTCCCAACATTCTCTCTGTTTGTCCTTCGACAATCGTCCTCCCCCAACGCGGCCCAGCCTTTCTCCCCTTTCTTCGAGTTTGCATGAATGACTCGAATTCATGATCTGTTCCTACTTTCTCCCTTGCCCGACTCCTTCGACTCTCTTTGTTCCTCGAGGCGCATCTCACGCACCATCCTCTCTCGTCCCGACAATCCAACACCTCGAACCCGCTGTCCTCGCCTCCTGTGCGATAACCTCCCGTAGGACTTTATTCTTGAACGGCGACTCGATTCCCGCTGCTTCGATCTCGATCAAGAATACACCAGACCTTGGACCCTACCCGCCGTCCCATTCCTCGCCGAGGACCTCACTTTCCACTCGCGGCGTTGGTGGTGTACCCTCGACGACGCTTGCATTACCCTGTTCTATGACCTTGACTGGCCCAGTCTGGTTCGCGATCGCGTCGCTCGGCTGATTCTTGCTCTGAGCACGTCTTGTCGAGTTCATTTCCGCAAGCAGTCATTGCCGGCCATCGATTTCTCGACCGTTCCTACACATTGCAGTCCTCCGCGTCTGGTCGTCCTCCGTCATGCCCTCCACAACGCACACATAATCATTCAATCCCAATCGATTCGACCTTCACGCCCATCGTGAGGCTCAAAAAGAGTATGACAGACAACCTGGCAACGCCGTCGACGCTACCCGCGCCTTCCTCTCTGACTGTCTATCCTTTCGACAAGCCATCCTCGAAGGACGCGACTCTAAAGGTCAAGCCCAAGAAGGAAGAAGATTCCATCCAGTGCATCTGCGACTTCTCCGGCGATGACGGAAACACAATCTTCTGTGAAGAGTGCAAAACATGGCAGCACATCGCGTGCTACTACCCAGGTCGCGAGACCGAAGCACTGGAAGAGGAGTTCCGTCACTCGTGTGCAGATTGCGAGCCCCGAGAACTGGACAAGAGAAAAGCCGTGGAGCGGATGATGCAAGTCAAGCTGGGCATTCAACCCCTCGACTGCGAAATTCATGACAAAAAGGCCAAGAAACCTCCGTCCAAATCTCACAAGAAGAAGATCAAACCCAACGATCTGCACCTGAATGGTCACCTGGGGACGGATGGCCACAAGCACGGTAGTCCACCTGACCACCCGCCTACGAAGAAAGCAAAGACCTCCCACAAGTCTAGTCATTCTGTCAGTGCAGCACCAGCATCCAGGCGCAGTCCTTCACACTCCGCACCGAAAGCCAACCATCACGGCCATCCTTTAAGCCCCGCGACAACACCTCCGGATGTTCTTGCGGACTTCGAATTCTCGGCCTACACCCCTCGTTTTCTTTCTCTCTACGATGATCCCGTCGAGATTGTTGATACCAATACCATAGCTACTCTCAAGACCACAGATCGCATGTCACTATGGTCGAGGCCAGAGGGTGCTGCTATGTTTCGGCAAGATACGAGAGCAGAGTTCGACGAGGTCGTCCAGAGGAAAACTCCTTCCCCACTCCAGCCTCCCCTGCGCGTAGAAAGGAGAGAGCTGCACGTGTCCAAAGATATCGTCCTGTCCATGCCGCACCTCGTCACGTCGTCGCCTGTTGACCAGCAAGTTCCGATGATAGAATTGAACGGTCTCGTGGGCCTGCAAAAAGACTACTGCGATGACTCGAACAACCGTTACAAGGAACTAAGCGCACCCCTACCTTTTGTCTTTTTCCCATCACACATTCCTCTGTACATCGACACCAGGAGAGAAGGGTCCAATGCCCGCTATGTCCGCCGATCTTGCCGGCCGAACGCCCGGCTGCTCACATACTTGTCCGACGACTCCGACTGGCATTTTTGGCTGGTGAGCGAGCGGCCCATTGATGCGAATGAAGAAGTCACTGTTGGTTGGGACATATCCCTTCTACCACCTTATCGGGCACGCCTAGAGCGCCTCCTCAATCATAGCGGCGAAGAGGCAAACGAGCACTCTGCCACGGATGTGGTCGCGGACATGGAGCAGTCGGAGTATGATGCCCTCTCCCACTCTATCACCTCCGTCACAATGGAGTACGGAGGATGTGCCTGCGATCTTGGCAGTCATTGTGCTTTTGCCCGCTTCGACCGCCCATACCACGACAAGTCGCAGCACAGACCGAACGCACCAAAGCGGAAGCGAGCCAAGTCGAAGGCGCACACTATCTCTCCGACCAGCACCAGCCAAGCGACCAACAGCCGGGCAGCCAGCGAGAACCACCTCGATGAAATGCCCGATCATGACCACCATTCCTCCGCAGAGTCCTCGCGAAGCAAGCCTCCAAGCCGGGACAGAACTCCAGCACGACTGGGATCGTTCGATACACTTGGAATACTGACAGAACCGACAAACCGCGACAAGAGAAAGGTTCAAATAGCCGAGAACTTGTTCCAGAAGTCAGCGCAAGAGGAGCAACTGCCGCGAAAGAAGAAGAAGAGCGTCGATGCGCCAGCAGCGCTTTCGAATGCATCAAGATCCAAGAACCGCAGCAGTACCAGTCACGCGTCCGAAAGGATCAATGGAACAGATACAGGAACCTCTGGCAGCAAGGTGGTCTCACCCGTGAGTATCGCATCGCGTGCTTTGGCGGACACGACTCCAAATGTCTTGATGCGCCACCCTTCTGCTGCGTCGGTCTCGCCGCGTCGCAGCCCGTCGTCCACGTTGAGTTCCTACTGCGATGCCGCCGTGCAAACAGAAGCCGTGGCCGTCAAATACCCGTTCCAGCAGCCGGCCCAGCCTCGTCCACCGCGGAGGAGAATCATCTCTCTCACAACGAGGTTAATGCTCCAAAAGCAGAGAGTCACATCCTCGCCACCAGAGCCAAGTAGTGCGATGGATCTGGACACGCTAGTGACGACAAAAAGTCCTCAGGGCTCACCAACGAGTGTGCTCAAGCAGACTTCCCTGTCATCACCTACCTCGACTGGAGACGACGCCCCTATGCCAGACGCAGACTCAATCACCATTGCCGACGACACGGGTCTATCGCAAACCAACGGCGCCGATACAACAGTCCCTATCAAGGTTAAGTCGCCCGAGTTGCGCGTCCAGATGCCACCTGTCCCGATCTTTACAAGCCCTCCATCCGCTGCGGCAATCTCCACGCCTGTCTCTTCTCATGGCTCAATGGTGCACTCGCCATTCTCTGCCACGAACCTCGCAAACCCCTTCGCACCTCCAGCAGTCAATGGGGTTGCTGCCCACCCAAGCCCCATCAAAAAGAAAATGAGCTTGAGCGAATACAAGAACAAGGCGAACAAGGCGGCTGCGACCGCCAAGGGTCCTGCAGACTTTCTACCCCCCTCGAAATCGGTTTCGATCTCGGAAAACACGACCAAGGCTTACGCGAATCACACAACCAATGGCGACCTCGAAGCCAAGGACAGGTCAAACCGGGCAGAGGCCACAAGCGCGGAATAGACCCAACGTGTCGAATGCGACTTGCTCAGCGGCACGCGGCCTTTCGAGGTGTTCACATGATCCACAAAAGACGGTGAACCCCTAACACGACTTTGTGGCTTGGACAAACCAGCTTTCTTAGCGACACGGATCTACTTATACCTACACAAGCGTCTTACAGAGCCTGGTCGACCATTTGGCGTGTCTAGAATGTGTGTCGGGTGCGGCAGGGTCTAGATCCAATTATCATTCTGACTTTTCCTTTTATATATTGTAATGCGGTAGTCGGGGCGTTCGTTCAGCTCAGCAAAGCTTTTACTTTGTTATCTGTTCAGATGTCGATTTTCTGGCGGCGAGGCAAGAGCTCAAAATGAATGCTTTCCATATATCTCTGGGATGGTGGGACACGTTTCTTCTGGGCGGGCTGGCACAGGCGTTGATTGGTACAGGACAGGTCATGCGACGCATCGAACGTGGCCGAGCTGTTCGCGCAACTTCTTTCCTTCCAAAATCTACATTGACCGCCGATACTGGACTGGCTGGAGGTCCTTTCTTTCTTTTCTCTTTTTTTGTTCTGGGGCTGCTGTGTGACGCATGGGGTTATTTGGAACGAGGCAGATACCGGACTGGGCTGGGCTAGGGAGGGTGTCTATGGGCTTGTATGCCTCATGATGGGTGATGAAGAGATTCCCGGGTCTGCTGGTCCCAACATTTTGTTTCGAGAGAAGACGGAAGTGGGTTGTATGCTAGATGCAATCCTAGAAATCACGTGAGAACATGGAAGAGAATAAAACAATCCAGCCTCGCTGCTTCCCACCTCTTCATCTTCTACGTCTTTTTTTTACGAGTGGCTTACGCGCGTGCTTGCTGGGACAATAGCCGTCCGAGTCTGATTCAACATAAATACAAGGCCGTCTTCTCATACAACAACGGTGGACCAGTGCTGAGCTCATCATGGCGAACTCGACGTACGAGACGTATAGAACAAAACGTAGGCCTTTGAGGTCTATGTATTTTCGTCACTCTTCTCCAAGTCGAGACGGTTCCCCATATCCTTCGATGCACGGCCAGACTTGTCTTCGGTATGTACAGGGTATCATGCGAATCCGTCACAAGAACGGCCAACAAAAAAAGAACTCTCTTGTCGGCAAGGAGAAAAACAGAAAACGAAAACAAACAATGAAGAAGCAAATAGGGGGGGGGGGGGGGGGACCGCCGGGTGGTATCTTTTTCTACTCCTGATTGCCAGAACGCCAGCCAAATCAAATAAACAACACAAACCAGATATGCAGGGCTAAGAGATCTCTCTGCGCCGGGCCTAGATGTCGTTGAGAGGTAGACTTTGGGAAAAGTAATTTCCCATATGATCCTCCGCCACAATTCTTCAGATGAACGCTGTCCAAGGCCCCCTCCTTACCCTTGGACAGCACGCAGACGGGGCCAATACACTACTATCATGTTCCCTCTTAAGAGCTGCTCTTCAAAATTGAAACACCATTGACCTAGACCGATATACTACCGAGGCCCAAGTTATCTTCCCTGAAGAGGAAGAGGGCCATCTTGTGGCGAACGACGAGACCAATGAGTCCGACAAGCAGCTGCATAGCAGACACTTCCCAGGCCAGACGGCTTTCGTGCATAGGGCCTCGTGTGACGAGCCATAGGTTGATGATGGTCATGTTGCTGGTCTGGTCGAAGGTTTCCTTGCCATTCTCGTCCTGACGATAAACAACCTTGAGGAGGCGCAACTTTCCCAGCAGGCGGAGGCAGGGCACAGCGTAGGCTCGAGGTTGCTTCTCCGGGGTCCATTGGACCATGCTCGGCTCGAGGACATCGCGGTGGGCGTTGTACTTGGGCAGACGGTGGCGGGGGCACGGGATCAGATGGAAGAGCTGAGGAACCGAATAGACGAAGTTGAAGATCTGCGGGATGAGCAGGAGAATGAGAGTCTTGCTGAAGTGGCCCAGTATGCTGACGACTATGAAGACCATGCCAGCAAAGTAGCAGTAGGTGTCTCCGACAAAAACCTTGGCAGGGTACTTGTTGTGCCAAAACAGAGCCAGACTCACACCCAGGAAGGGCAGCAGGAAGGAGAGACTGAAGAGGTGGCTGTCAGTCGCAGGGTGAGGGTATGTTGTCATCAGGTAGAGGCTATCGTTGAGGATGAGGAGCAGCGCAATGACAATGGACTGCATGACCTCGATCCCGTTGATGCCAGCGAGGATGTTGATAGAGTTTGGACAGAAGATGGCCAGAGCCCCCATATAGACGTAGTATGCCCAACCCAGATGCACCAGTTCTGCCCCAAGTATCTTTTGTAGGAAGTTGGGGACCACAACAGAAGTGATACCGAAATCGACATAGTAGACAGTCAAGAGAGGAATGGCTGCGATGGAGGGGATGAAGAACTTGTGTCGCCAGCGGAGGTCGAAGACATCATCACCAATGCCGAGGATGGTGATGGACTGGAGGGAGAGGACGGCAGAGAGGTAGGACGCAAGCTGGGCAGAGGAGGCACAAGGTTAGCAACTACAGGGCAAGAAGCACAAGATGGTAGCTCGTGATGGGAAGGAAGAGAAGGGTGTCTGCTTGCCTTGTTGTGGGGGAACCAGTGCAGGAAACGCCCCTGGTTGACATGCTCGACCTCGATAACAACATCTCTGTTGCCACCGCCACTTGTGGCTGCCACAATATCCTGGTAGAAGGCAAAGGGGATAAAGATCATGACGATGAGCAGGTAGACAATGGCGCAAATGGCACCCACGCACTCGGGGATCTCCTTCTTGGTCCTCTTAGACATGTCAGTGCCCTTGAGGCCAGCCTTGAGGAAGCTGGAGGCTGTCTGGACTATGAGGTAGTAGGTTGCTGCGAAGGCAAGCCCTGAGAGGGCCAGAGAGGTGTAGATGGGCTCGCCACCTTGCAGGGCGCGAGAGAGGAGGAGGATGGAGATGGCGACGACAGCAGCCAGGATGGGGAACTCCCGGCTGGAGAGCTCACCAGCAGCCATCTTGACGGCAAGAGTGGTGGTGGTAGCGATGGCAGTGTACTTGTTGCCGGGCAGGTGGGGGGTATTGGTGGTGGTGGTGGTCAATTGGGTTGTGGTAGTCGTGAAGGAGAAAGTTTCACAGAGAGAGAGGTCTCTCAAGTTATCGGGGTTGTTGAGAATGGGCATCAGTTATTTACTACGTATGTATCTTGGGGTCTCAGACCCCAAAGTGGGCTGTTTGGTCCGTGTACTACCCCTACCCCACTAACCTAGGGGATCGGGGTGTCCTATGAACACGCGTTTGCCAGAGAATGTACACATTCATAAGCCCAGAAAAGAGATGTTGAAATGGGGGGATTTATTTGGCAAAGATCTGAGATCCAGTCTCAAATTCTCTCTTTCTTGATTTTAGGGTTATCAACTTGGGAAATTCCTCTTTTAATAGCAGCAGAGAAACTTTCCCAACCATTTCATTGATTCTGTTCTGGGATGCTAGTAAGGCTGCCAGTGACACAAGCTGCATGGGCTCAATTATTATAGATGAAAGAAGATGTGGCTGTACTACTATTGCATGTGTATGTGTTGGTCTTCACTCATGAGGCTCATGCCCAAACATGTGCACTCTCCATACTACTTCAGTATATGCTTGTTTTGCAGTGCCTACATGAGCTGCCAGCAGGCACAGTAGTAGATGTGACGACTCTTAAAAGGCTAAGAAAATACTTTGACAAGATTACCCTGCTTTCCGGATGTCTCTCCAAATTTTTGAATAGCAGAGTATGTGGCCATATGCCTGTGGTTTTGGCGATATCAAACTGAGTTCTGGCTACGTTGCTTCTTCTTTTTTCGATGCAGATGACGAAGCTGTTTACATAGCCCCCATCTGCTGCGGTACATAGCTCCCCACACTGCTCCACTCCCTCCACAGGGATAACGTGGAGTCGCCGCAGGGATTAGGGGAGCAGCATTCAGGAACAGGAGGTTCAGGACAGGGGAATGAGTACTATAAAGAGAATAGGAAAAACAACATCATGCTCGAGACAAGAATAGACGCGTGAAGTAGAGCCAGAGTTTGCAATGACAACAGAGCGCAAAGATTGACTTCTACAAAGATCAAGCATCCTTTTGAGGCCATAAAAAGGTTGGGCTACTACTTACAAAGTACATACTAGGGCACATACTATATAAAATTGACAATGCCCCCCAAAAGTATATACAAGTGGAACCCATGAGGGGCCCATTTCTTCATCCCCTGCTGTTGACAGGTCCTGACATGTGAGACAGCAACCAAGAGCACATCGCCATACCAGGCATACTCGTCTATTTTTAGTTGATCCAGTCAATGCCATAGGGTCTACTGAAAAAAATACAGACAAGCTGTATAAGGACCTTACCTGAAAGGCATTACTCCACGGCATATCACTTCTTTAGTGAGCATAGTCATATTCATTAAGTTTTGTTATCTATTTGTTTTCAATGTAGGCAAAGTGAAATGACCTTGTCCAAGAGCATCGTCTGAACAGAGTAGAAGAGGCAGTTTGGTCTCAACAAAGACCTGGCCTTGACTTGTTATGTCCTGGGCAGTTGCCAGATGAACCTGCCATCCCGCTCCAGGAAAGGCGCACGGGCCACTTCTGGGTTAGCAGCATCAGATTTGAAGTCTAGATAAGTAAGTAGCAGTTGAGACCTTGACACATGAAACTATTTGTCAAGTGAGAAACTACATCCCAACTCACTGCCCAAACTCAAGTCTCCCAATCAAAAATGCCCCCACCTTTAACACCACCTCCCATGATGGAGGAGAGGGCTCCCTTTGAGCTGGTCATGAAACATGGGCACCAGGATTTGGTGCAGGCGGTCGCATTCAACAGCTATGGTGACAGGTGCGCAACCGGCTCAGTCGACGGCAAGATCAGGGTCTTTAACCGACACAAGGACGGTGTATGGAGGCTATGTGACACATGGACTGCACATGGAGGAGAAGTACTAGAGGTGAGAGTCTACTCCTCTTTAGTAACTCTTCAGAGTTACTGTCCCTCTGTCTTTTTCTATTATTTTTTATATTTTTTTTGGCCTTGACAAGCGCGCGCTACCTCTGCTGACCGCCTTGCCCCTCAAAGCTCCAATGGCTGCCGCCCACCGTCTATCCCAACCTCGTCGCCTCTCTGGGTATAGAAGGTCGCTTCAAGCTCTGGGCCGAGGACCCCTCTGCAGCCCCAGGGCGCCGCTTCGGTAGCCGGTCCAAGGACAATGCCAAGGCGTTGTTTGACCACCGCTCGCCGCGCGCCCCCTACCGGTCCTTCTCATTACGCCACAACGAGGAGACGCGCCAGACCCACCTGGCCCTCCTCGCTGCCGACGGCCAGCTCACTGTCTACGAGAATGACATGTCCGAGAACCTGTCCGACTGGATGCAGACGGACGAATTCTCAGTATGCGAGCGGCCAGACCGCGGCGTCGAGACGAGCTTCCACGTGCGCTTCGACCCGAACCCGGACCCGTGCTACACCGCCCTGCGCGCTGGCATGCCCACCGACACCCTGGGCCTGGTGGTCGGCGCTATGAACGCCGTCAAGGTCTACCGTACCCGCGACGTCGTCATCCACGCGTACGGCGTGCCCTCGACTAAGAAGGAGTTCTACGAGGCGGCCGTGATCCCCGGCCACCGGAACCTGGTGAGGGATGTGGCGTGGGCGCCGGGCAACATCAGGGGCTACGATATCATCGCCTCGGCGTGTATGGACGGATACGTGAGGGTCGTGCGGCTGGATACCCCGTACGACAGGGCGGATGGCAGGACGTGGTCCTCAGGTGACCTCGTCAAGGGCGGTTCTCACCAGGACGGGCCTGCGAGGGCCGGTGGTGGTGGTGGCGGCGGTTCTAGAGGCCAAGCACCACCACATCATCCCTCGGGCATCAGCCAGGGTGTGCACCATCCACCATCCGAGAGCGACCGGAGGAAGAACCAGGCCGGCCACATACCTCACTACGTCTCCCTCCTCTCGAGTCTAGAGAACCACAGGTCGCCGATGTGGCGGGTGGGGTTCGACGATGACGGTCAGATCCTCGGATGTGTTGGGGATGACGGGAAGCTGTTGTGCTTCCGCCAGAACTCTAGTGGACAATGGCTAAAGAGCTCAGAGATTGGCATCACGAAGATGAAGATGGCCGTCCCGTCGTGAACCATACTCAAAAGGCGCTCGCTCTCATCTTCAAAAAGCACGTCGTCAACGTCGTCATCGTCAACGTCATCGTCGTCCTCTCTTCCATTTGCGAAATACCAAGGCGAGAAATTCACCACCAGATGCTCATCAAAAGAAAATGGCTGGCACAGATTTCAACGATCCACATCTTCACTGGTGATCGGATTATTGTAGAAACGACCAGTTGAGAGGAAAAAGCAGCTAGTTCAACTAGGTCTCCGTTTGGCCGAGTGCCATTGCATATACCATAGTAGTGGCTCATGCCGGTGCTCATCGATGGTTGGCGCGGCTATAGTCACAAGTATCCCCGCTCATCCAATGGCTGCAACAAAAACTGCCGAGTGGTTCGATAAACGGGCGAGCAAGCAGCTTCGTTGTTTTTCAATGGGCAGTTCTGGTACTTTCTCATGCGCTATCGTCTCGTGGTATATGACATACACAGTGGTGCGTATACCACTTATAGGACAGTATATACCGTACCAGATTGGTAGGTACTCACTTAGGCAGGGACGGGAGGGGCTTGACACAAGGTCATTAGTGTACTATAGCATTGGCAGCTTCCACGGGACGCATAAGAGAAAACCGATGCAATGCAGGATGCATTGCGGCTAAAGAGGTAACATCGTATGTAAATTGAGAACCTCGATGGTCAGTCAAGACAGTTTTTGTGTCACGCTACCATCCCCACCTGCGATAAGTTCTCCAGCAGACAGCGTTTCCTCTCCGTTCCTCAGTAGCTGCAAACCGAACCACCGCCACCTTAACAAGCGTGAGGGGCAACTTCCTGTCTCCATTTTATCTTCCCCAAATGCTTCGATACGCCCTTCGTCAGTTCACGACCACACCATTTGCAAGATCATACGCAACAACAGCAGCCAGGATGACTAAATCCATCACGCTCTCCTCTGGCTACGAGATGCCCCTCGTGGGTTACGGCATCTGGAAGGTCCCCAAGGAAAATGCCGCCGACAGCGTCTACAACGCCATCAAGCTCGGCTACCGCCACATCGACGGGGCGCACGACTACCAGAACTCGGCCGAGGCGGGCGAGGGCGTGCGCAAGGCCCTGGACGAGGGCGTCTGCAAGCGCGAGGAGCTCTTCATCACGTCAAAGCTGTGGAACAACTACCATGCCAAGCCTCATGTCCTCGAGATGGCGGCTTTTGAGAACAAGAACTGGGGTGTTGACTACCTGGACTTGGTGAGCAGCCCAACTTATCCAACACTCCTTCTCCTCCTCCTCCTCCTCCTCCTCCTCCTGCGTCTTTTGCCATCATAAGGAAACATTCTGACCTCGCACGCGCACAGTATCTCATCCACTTCCCCATCGCTCAACAGCACTTCCCCATGAGCGAGCTGAAGTATCCATGGTAAGTCAGGACAGAGATCTACCCCACCCTCTGCTCAAGCAGGGACAACAGGGAGAAAGTCTCAAAAAAGCAAGGTGCTAACGCATCCCTCTTCCCCGAAAAAAGCTTCTGGTCCGACGCTGCCCAGAAGAACGTCGCCCCACAGGTCCCCGTACCAATCCAGGAGACCTGGCAGGCCCTGGAGTCGCTGGTCATCAGCAAGGACAACCCCAAGGGCATCCTCCGCTCGATCGGTGTGGCCAACTTTAACGCCAGCCTGCTCTACGACGTGCTCCGCTACGCCAAGATCAAGCCAGCCGTCAACCAGGTCGAGCACCACCCGTACCTCGTGCAGCCGGGCCTGATCCAGATGTGCCAGGAGAACGGCATCGTGGTGACCGCCTACAGCTCCTTCGGCCCGCAGAGCTTCCTCGAGCTCAAGAACAAGCGCGCCCTGGACGTCGGCCCCTTGTTCGAGAACGAGACCGTCGCCGGCATCGCCAAGAAGCACGGCAAGACCCCCGCCCAGGTCCTGCTCCGCTGGGCCACTCAGCGCGACATCATTGTCATCCCCAAGAGCAACAACCAGGAGAGGCTGGCCCAGAACCTCGACTCCACCGACTTTGACCTCACGGCCGAGGAGCTGGCCAGCATCTCGGCGCTGGACAAGGGCCTGCGGTTCAATGACCCCGCCGACTTTGGCATCCGCATCTTTGCCTGAAGAGGATGTGGCAGATTGGGTCTCTCACACGCAATGCTGGGCATACAGTTGCGACCTCTTTAGATCTATCTCCTGCCATACCTAACCAACAATCAATGCTATGCGTCTTCAGATCCACAATGTCTCGTTCACGACCTCAGTAAAAAGTGAATGCGATCCTCGCAGGCCTTTACCTATCTCACTTATTCATATTTTCGGAAGCTCAACGACCTGGCCTCCGAAAGAAAAAAAGAAAAAAAGATGATAAAGGGGGCGACTTGTCATACAGAATGAGCTACACGATACGGCATATATAATTTTAAATGACCAGCCAGAATGATTTTAAGTTTTAAATGACGGATCGAAACCAAAAATAAGAAGGAAAAGAAAAAAAAATAAGGCCAAAACATGCAACACCGGGTATTCGCTAATGGTCACCCACTTAACTACTAATCCGGCGGTTAGTGGCTTATTTAGGGGAGAGCAGACGGGATCCCAAGTTTTCCACTACCTATGGTCGCATGTACTAGCATTTGCATGTTCACACATTATAAAGGGAGGACGGTTATTGCAATTAACATTTTCTTGGTGAATAAAGTTCACACAATAAGGTTTCTGTTTATTATATAATACTCAAGTACGGCCTTCAGCTCTTCTGAAAGTCTCAGTGTTTTCCGCGGAGTACCCATCAGAGAGCCCAAGGATGCATTGAAGCTTTGGGCAAAAACAGGAACTGCATCAAGACAACAATGGATATCTCCTATCGATAACGTTATAGTGCATGCCCTCGAGCAAGGCTTGCCAAACCCCCCTCCTCACGCATCTATGAAATACCGACGGTTCGTGTCACGAGAAGGGGGTCGACGAGTCTTAGCCAGCGCCTCGACCTCACCCTCGCTCGGCCACGAGTCCATCTGGCCATCGAACCTGCTGCTCTGATCTGCCTTTTGGAGGGGTACACGCTCTCGTGAAGATCGGAGCCTTGGTATAGCCTGCTGCAGCGGGTCGGAGCCGGAGATGATCCAATAGTGGTGATGGTGGGTATGCAGGCAGATTTTGCCGTCACTGCCGTTCTTAGGTTCGTGGTATTGTTTTCCTCTGAAGGTGGTGACGCCGTTGCTCTGGCTAGTAGATGCTGGTCCACCGCGGGGCGAGACAGACGAGGACGGATGTGTGGAGTTTGGACCGATACGTCGCCCATTGGGTCCTCCCCAGCTTGATGGTGTGTCATAGGGGCTGGCTAGCTCTCCCATCATCCTGTTATTTGTGGGTACACGAGGGGTGCTTAGATTTAACTCAGGCCTAATCGATGATCTGGTGTCGAGTGTGGAAGATCGCGACCGCTGTCGAGTAGTTGGCGGATCACCCGGCCGTGAAGCATCAGAGTGGAGTTCCTGTGCGCTCTCGCTCCGCCTGCTCCAGCCCGAGCTTGAAGCATGGGGGATAGTGTTGGGATGCGAGTGCCCGGCCACAGATATGGAGTCGGACGGCGTGATGACAGCAGAGGCTGCCCTCCTGCTTTGTTGCCCAGGCTGCTAGCCGACCGGCTTCACACCGACCTTGGGGGGTTTTGGAGGTGGTTCTGGGGCAAAATCGGATTCTACCGCGATGAGGTCGCTGTAACTCTTCTGCGAGGATAATGTGTGGCGACAGAGCCTCGCATTCATAGGAACCGGCTTTCTCCTGATGAAGCGGCTTGTTCTGGTCGTTGGAGAAGCAGACTGCGCGGTCGTTACGCGAGATGTGGAATACATGCCACCCACGGCCCTATGCTCCTCTCTCTCTTGTTCCTCTTTCTCCTTCACCTGGCTTTCAGACCGCCCAAACCCATCGCTCGACCCGTCAAGGCTTACACTGGACACTCTCGTGGGAGTTCTCACAGGTGTCCTGACGATTGTGTCCGTCGACTTCTCCCCCTCCCTCGGCGTCGTCGCCGCACTGCTCCCCTCGATAGGGCTCAGCTCCGGCTCGACAGCTGAGCTCCACCCCTCCCCTGCCCTCCGCCACCTCACCTTCCTCCTGCGCTCTGCCTTGAGTGCCTCCTTGTCCATCTCCCACCGCCGCATCTTCTCGGACCGCAGCGCCCGCCTCGCGCTCTCGTACGCGTCCCGCTTGCTCTGGACCATCCTGGCCAGAGGCGCAAATGGCGAGCTGGCGGAGCTGGTCGACGGCGTGAGCACGTCCATCTCGCCCGTTGATGGATTGATCCCCTGCACGCCGAGGAAATCGCCCGACTCCTTCAGCGAGCGCCGCTGCCGGCGCTTCTCGCGGCGTTCGAGATAGAGCTGTGTGGACCGTGTGCTGGGAGACACAGAGCTGCTGGACGGAGCTGAGGCGGGGAGTGGTGGCGGGGGGCTGAGGGCTGTGTTGCAGCGGGCGAGCCTCTCTGGCGGGCTGTGCCTCTTGTTGGCTTGGGAGACGGAGGGGCTGGACAGGCTGGTTGGGATGGGACTCTTGTCGAGAGAGTCGGAATAGTGGAAGCCATGCTTGCGCAGGGTGCCGCCTCGCTCAGGTTTGTTCTCTGGGAGGAGTTTCTTGAATACGCTGACAAGAGAAGCGGACCGCCGACGTCTCTTTTGTGTTGATGCGGAACGATTCGTCGAGCTGGGGGGCATGCTTGACGATATTATTGGACTGACCAGAGATGCGTATGAAAACAATACTCGTGGGTTGAAAAATATATATATACTGAAACATGGAGGAAGAAAGCGAAGTGATCGATGGACGTGGCTCTGTGCGCCGCTGACTGAAGGAAAGTCGAGAAGTACAAGGAAGGAAAATGTCATTGACTCACTCAACGAGCGCTCAGATCGCGACTTCCGTTCTGGGCACATACGATAGATTGTGTTGGAAACGCGAAGCGTCGTCTTCTTCACCAAGTCTCATGCAGTCCCGTTCCTATCAAAACAGAATGTCGATCAAACAGAGTATGTATTGTGTTATATGCATCCGCAATGCCATGTGCTCAAAACAGATTTGCAGTTGCAAAACAGACAGAAATACCTGGCCATTGACGCCGTACCGTATCCGCCTTTCCATGCGCTTCTCCCTGATGATTCGTAACGCCGTAGGATGCAATGTCCCCGTCCCCCTTTCCCGTACAATGCCTTCTAAAATCTGGAAGGGAATCTCTCGTATCGACTTCGATGTCTGCCCATGTTTGCAAAAAAGTTTGGACTCGACTCTGACTCTGGGGAGGCGACGTTGTCGTAACTGATGCTGGACGACAGCCCGCTGCGCCTATTGTCCTTCACTGGACTGCTCTTGCGGATCATCCGCTCGGCCAGATCTCTCTGCTCCATGGCCGCCATCTCCCGAGAGTTTCGCGGTGATGAGAAGGTATCCCCACGCATATCGTTGATACTAGCAGCCTTCTTGAGAGGCGATTGCGAGTGGCTGAAGATGCCAAGGTTCCCGCCATAGGTGGTACCCGTGTTAGTCGATGCACTCGACACCGTAGACTTTTCGGGAGACATGGTGCGGGCACTGGAAGCCGGCAGACTCTGTCGCAGGGGCGATGGACGAGGTCTGTGAATCGAGGCAAACATTTCAGGCTGCCTGGGTCTGTTTTGGATAGGGGTAGTCATCACCACCGAAGGGCTTTGTGACCGGCCAGGGGGTGTGCGCCCGACGCTGTCCGGGTCAATATGGGCCATGTAGTTCGGGTTGGGATTTGTCTGAAAGGGACGCTTGATCAAGGTACTTGGCGTGCCGGTCTCGACAAATTCCAGCTCGTAGCCCTCTTCATCCTCTCCGCACTGCGTACCAACATCCCTGACCACAGGGTGGAGGCGAGGGTGCACATATTTGATGTCGTATTCCCGCATTACCTCCTTCTGCACGTAGGTCGAGTCCTTGTTCTGCTGTGAGAACTTGGACTCAACCGCAAGCAACAGAGCCGACAGCGCAACCTGCTCGACGACGCATTTAAACACGGTCACGCTCGGGCGAGGGTCCAGAGGGGCAAGCGGGAGGGCGAGCATGTAGATGAGCACATGCACCGGGCTGAACAGGCAGAGAAGCTGCAGAGACGCCGGCTGAGGGTCCCAAAGGTGAAGCTCCCACACATCTCGTGTCTTGTCAGGGTGGGCACGGGATTCGGCGCTCTCTGCGCCCATGATATCGCCCAGGGCTCTCAAGGGCGAGGATAAGGCTGGCGAGGATTGGACTCGGACTCGCTTCGCGTTCGGGGTGCCTACTGGCTTCTCGACATCTTGCTCGAAAAATCGGTATGCGCGGGTTCGCCAGAATGTGTACGTTGTGCTCCAGACCGAGAAGCCCGCGAGCATCCATGTGACCGTCCACGCCTTTTAAAAGATAACAAAGAAGGTCAGGGTGACGTTTTGGTGCGGTGAGCTGGTGGACGTTGGGGAGCTCTCTCAACACTTACCAAGTATGAAAACCAACTGCCATGGTCGACATCACTAAAGACATCGTCCAAACTGCCCGTCGAATATGCACCATTCGCACGCGCAAGCAGGAAGACAAAGTTCAGCACGAGGCCGAGCTGAGCGCCCAGTGACTTGGACCCAATGTCTCTGCTCTCGATCTCCTCCGACAGCCAGAGAAAAAAATCCCATGGGTTGAGCGCCGAGAGTATGCGCTCTGAGAGCGGGCGACGGCGTACAAGGCGCGGCATCTCCTGACGTTGGGATGCGCTAGTCAGTGTTGTTGATGGTGAGAAGTTCAGTGTTGTAAATTAGGCGTGGGCGAGATGATTTGTTTACTCGGTGCTGCGGTGACAAGGAAGTAACGGGTGGGGCCCAAGATGCCTCCCTACCCTAGGTTCCATAGCAGGGGGGGGGTGCCAACAAGCGCTGAGTCCGGCTCAAAGGACTCCAAATTTAGGCCTTGCGGCAGGCACTGATAGCGGATGTGCCCACCCAAGCTGGAGGCCAGAGCTTCCTGAGGAGCAACCTATATCCTATCGGTCGTCATCATCAGTATCAGCCCTCCTCTCCGGCAGCAGGATTGGGTCACAGTGAGAAACAAACTCGGCACTCCCTCCCAAACTTCTCCTTTAAGTGCCATCCCATCATACTCGGCAACTGAGAGCGAAGTTGCTCTTCACCATTCTGCTGCCACCCCTCCTCGACGGTCACCACATCCGCTGAGCAAGCGCAGTAAAGACAAAAATGGCGGCGTCGACTTCGCAACAGGAGTATAAGGATAGGCAGTTTCTCGCCGTGATTGGAGATGAGGTCCGAGAATCATGTCTAGAATCGAGAATATGAACAGACCGGGCTGACCAGCATCGCAGGACTCGGTGACTGGCTTGCTGCTTGCGGGCATCGGTGTACGTTCTATACTGCTCTCTAGCAGGCGAATTGCAACTAATCGTTTACACAGCATGTAACATCAGGTGCAGACGCGCAGAAGAACTTCCTCGTCGTGGACAACAAGACCGACAACGCAACGATAGAGTCTACATTTGACAAGTTCATCGAGCGCAAGGACATCGCCATCATCCTGATCAACCAGCATGTAAGTCAAGTTCACACACCGTTTGCTAGCTGCTACAGAGAATGGACGAAGCTGACTTTGGTTGCTCTGTCTTCTCCCAGGTCGCCGACAAGATACGCCACCGCATCGACACCTACACCGCAGCCTTCCCTACCATATTGGAGATACCCAGCAAAGATCATCCATATGACCCAGAGAAAGATAGTGTGTTGAGGAGAGTCCGCCGCCTCTTTGGAGAGTAGAAGAGCTACTGAATGCACGGCCGATCATGGAAGGTGTACGATTATATGAGTTGAGGACAGCCGAGCTCGACGACGTGGCACTTGGGAGGTGTGGGAGACCAGTTTGATGAAAGCGAGAAAGTACTATACAGGATAACACGACGCAGCGGTCCCGTGACTCTTGTTTCTTTAGACCATGCCATAAATGCAAAAGACACACAAATGAAAGATTCAATCTGCCCAAAACGTTGTGTGGTATTAGGAAACGCGAAAACTCCGGCTCATGATCGTCAAGAGATGAGCAATGCAACTCCGTCCACAACACGGTCTTCTAACAAGGCCCTCGAGATATATTTCCAGACTACAACCAACTGTTACTGTAACACGGTGACACGGCCACAAGTACCGTCTAGAGCTCGAGCTCGACCTTGTCGCTGCTGAAGAGAACGGTAGCGGTCAGGCAGGTGATGGGCTCGTCGTTTGCGGTGTAGACGTCAGCGAGGACGGTGTATTTGCCCTGGTTTGCGTGTTAGTAGCTGATTTGACAGAGTTGGAGACTATATAGGCGTGGTCCACTCACGTTGGGAATTTCCTTGGGAAGCTCGACGGTCTTGGTGAAGGTGAGGGGGCCCTTCTTGATAGGGCACTCCATGTCCACGTTCTTGACCTGCTCGCAGAGGTCTGCCTTGGTGCTGATAAGGCGGATCAGGCCGTACTTGACCTGCAGCGCGACGTAGGCGCCTTCCTCGATGTCTTCAAAGACGACACCGGCTGCCTGGATGATGAGATCCTTGCCACTAGATGTTGAGGAAGGGGGTGGATGTCAGTCTTAAGACGGGAGCCCGAGAGTGATGGGAAAATTATGGGGTTGGATAGTGGTGTTACGTACGCCTGAGGTGGGTTGGGCACCAGGTCAACCTTGGCGATCTTGACGATGTCGTCCTCGTGAGCCTTCGGGCAGAGCTCAAGAGGGGAGTCGCCGGGAACCTTGAGGTCTTCGTTGATGACTGCCTCGCTGCCTCCAAAGTTGAGGCCGAAGCCTGCATGGGCAACACCAGCCGTGAGCGCGATAAGTAGTGCGGAGAGCCTCATCGCGAAAGAAATCGGGTCGAGACTCGGTGCGGTGTGGCAGATTAAGTGACGTGGGAGAGGGATAATTTCAAGACGAACGAAAAATAATCAGCACAGAGGAGTGAGTGGCTGTTGATTCTTTTGTTGTGGTGGTGGTGGCGGTGTTGAGGAAGAGATGCTAGAGTCTGGGCAATGCTGGAGGAGGGATCCCAGTGGGTGCTAACTGCGGCTATCTTTAGGAGGGGGACGTCATATGGGGTATCCCATGATCAGTTCTGCTTTGCCCGCCAGCAGCGCACTGCAGGCAGATGTTCGAGACTCTCCAGGGCTAACCGCGGCCATCTCGTTGGGGGGACCCGGGGGGGGGGGGGGGTGTGGTTGGTAGGTAGCCCCCCACACTTCCCAGCCATGCTCGACTTGGCAAGCTGCTGTCAGGATACCACCAAAACCTTCCACGCAGCTCACTTGTGGCGCACTGCCTATCACTGCACACTACGTTCAAACACACCAAGCATTCATTTCACAGCAAATTTCCAGCCAGACATACAAGCAGGAAATCTAATTCCTTTTCTAAAGTCTCTCAGTGAGGTTTATTTGTCAACTTTACCTAATACTAGTGGCGTGGAACCCCGATGGCAGCTTCTAGATCCATAGTCTATTGAACTCTCGGATCGTCCATGGACTGGAGCTCGTTATCGTTTCAAGGAGACGGGGACTTCAACATGAGCAATTGCAATACCAAGTGCCTCTCATGAAGGTGGCTCGATGTGGCTTCGAAAGTGCATTGGTGTGCATTGTTAGGCCAATCCTTGGGCTCCTCTGCTTCGATCTTACGCTCAAGTTGCGTCGTTGGTTGCGGGAACTCATCCGCCTCCCGCCTCTAAACCCACCGGAAGGACCATGGGAATGTACATTTCGGGACTACTCTGCGCTGATTGCGTCTCTTCATAGTGATGAATAAATACACATATATAATCTGGTAGTCATCCCAGCTTCGCCACGAGGCGACCGAGTTCCCAGAGCCTTCATTTTCCCTCCCTCTCTCTCACTCCCTCCCTTCTCTCATTGCGTTTTCAATCTCTTTCCCCCCAAGATATTTGTCACACATCATGAAGCAGGCCCAAGTCACCGCCTGGGGAGAGCCGCCCAAGTATGTGGATGTGGCCGACCTAGGCTCTCCCAAACCTGGTGAGGTGCAGCTCCGAGTCCTGGCCTGCAGCATCCATCAACTTGTGAGAGGCCGGGCAACCGGCACTCACTATAGCGCACACACGCTCCCGCACATTCCCGGCACAGACGGCGTTGGTCAGACTTCTGACGGCAAGCTTGTCTACTTCAGCGCAATGAGCGAGACGGGAGGCTCGATGACAGAGATGATCAACGTGGCGGTCGAGAGAACAGTCCCGGTTCCAGATGGAGCGGATCCAGTACAGGTCGCCGGTCTGGTCAATCCTGTCATGGCAAGCTGGCTGGGCCTGTCGGTGCGGACGAGTGGACTGGAAGCGGGCTTCACGGTCGTCGTTCTCGGGGCTACAGGTGTGTCAGGAGCCGCGTCCGTGGGTGTCGCCCGTGCCTTGGGTGCAGGCAAGGTTATTGGTGCTGCAAGGAGCGCCGCCAAGTTGGCTGGGCTAGGTCTGGACGGTGCAATCGAGCTGGCAAATGATCCGAGCCAGACAGACTGGAGCACTGCGTCGGATGCGGATGTCATCCTAGACTTCCTGTACGTCACTTGCCCCGTTGCTTTTGTTGTTGTTGCTGTTTCTTTCTTTCGTGGTAGATACTAACTTCTTCATCACCAATTAGGTATGGTCCTGGCACGCTCTCCCTCCTTGCGGCGCTGAAGCCGACCAAACCCGTGCAATATGTTCAGATTGGCACGATGGCGAAGTCCACCATGGATCTGCCTGGGGATCTGCTCAGGAGCAAGAATATCACCTTGCGCGGCACGGGCCCGGGTGCCTGGCAGATGAAGGACTTCGCAAGAGAAGCCCCAGATATGATCAAGGCCATCGCTTCAGGAAAGATTCAGCCCGGCAAGTTCCAGGAGGTCAAGATGGCAGATATCGAGACGGCGTGGAACCAAAAGGGAGGTGATCGAATAATTATCACTCCCTGAAAGCATCGACTGGGGAACCCATTGCCTTTTTGAAATGTAGACTGCCACACCGATCACTTTATATAGCAGACTCATAGGATGCAAATCTTGAGTGGATGTGCTTGTCTGAAGGGGCAAGAAGAAATCATTTCGGCCTGGTTGGCTCTCGAGTGCTGCAAAATTTATCACATATCAATCTTGTGATCTCCCCGAAGTCCAGGACAATACTAATCCCACAATCAGTCTTAGTGAAGGCTTTCTGTCCGCTGAGAAGCAAAGACAGCACATTAGACGAAAGAACCTGCTGAGATTTACACAAAGAACGTCACATCCAATTACTCTATGTAATATAGTGTATTTCAACCATGAAAGTTCCACACCAGAAATTCATGAGGTGCATCATTTGATGCTCTATACAATCACCGATTTATGTTCTCGCATTTCAAGGCTCAAAGATGTTTCTTCGAGGTGAGTCAATCCGGTCTGATAGCAGGTTTCGTGCACAGCTGAGGGGACAGGGGTAGCACACATCATGGCTGCATGAGCTATCCCAGCAGGGCAGGCTACTGGACCCCTGAAAACAAGGATATTGGAGCTTCCCCAGCAGCATGATGACGTTGAGCTCCCTCAAGCATCATTCGTTCCCTATAACACAAACACTCAACTCACGATCTGCCTACCAACTTGCATACATACCTCCTACATCATATTTCCCTAGAAGTCAATCAGTTCCCTTTTCAGCCATCTCAAGTCAATCCTCCTGTCGCCTTGTCAAGTTGTTCTGTGGGTGCTGAAGGCTAGTCTCCCCTCAGGATTCGAAATCATCATGGCGTCTCTGAGGAGCCTCTATGGGTCTGACGACCGCCCGGAGCTCAACACTAATTTCAAGTCAGTCAAGGGCTCTGAACATTCTATCAGGCTGACCTAACTGACACTGTACAGCGTGGACTATGTGGTGCACTATCGGATTCCTCCTGAAGGTAATGAATCTCATGAGGGAAGGCAGCTAGGCAGCCAGCCATCAAATCATGTTGCCTCAAATGACAGACAGTCTGTTGACTTTTGGAAAAGCAGAAACTGCCAAGGCCGAAGCCGCCTTTGTACAGCTCATCGAGGCCCTCGCAGGTGTCGGTCTGGCGACAGAGGTCCGACGGGGTGACAACTCATCCCTGCTAGTATTCGTCAAGATTGCATCTGAAGGCCTGCTTAAGCAGCAAATCTACAGGTACAGGGTCCAGGACTGGCTGTACGGCGTTCGCACCTCGGCACCAAGTAAAGACCTGACCTCCTATTTCGAGGAGGAACCTGTGGTTGAGGCCGAGAGGCTCAGGCTGGTCTACCTCCTGATCACGAAGCCGAAGGCCGAGGGCGGTGCAGGTGTCACGCCCAAGATTGGCCAATGGAAATATGTCAGCTCTGTATTCCCCCTGCATAACCACGTCTTCAACCGGAACTGGATCAAGCAATGGAGCACAAAATACGTACTCGACGAGAATGACATCAACGAGATACGAGACAAGTTCGGCGAGAAGGTTGCCTTCTACTTTGCCTTCTTGCAGTCGTACTTCTCCTTCCTCTTCTTCCCTGCCGCATTCGGCTTCGGCGCCTGGCTCATCCTGGGTCAGTTCTCCATGTTCTATGCCGTGGTGAACTGCCTCTGGTGTGTCGTCTTCTTCGAGTATTGGAAGAAGAAGGAGGTGGACCTGGCGGTACAGTGGGGGGTTCGTGGTGTCTCTCGGATCCAGCATCGTCGGCCACAGTTCCAGTTTGAACGGGAAACCCAGGACCCCGTCACGGGAGAGGTGATCAAAGTCTATTCGCCTTTCAAGCGCCTTCAGCGCCAGCTTCTGCAGCTACCATTCGCCATTGCTTGTCTCCTGGTCCTTGGCAGCCTGATCATCTCTTGTTTTGCAATTGAGATCTTCATCTCAGAAGTGTACAATGGCCCGTTCAAGCAGTATTTGGTAAGAATTTCGCAACTAAAAACTTGCACATACTCTTGTCCTAGCTAACGACGGGACAGATTTTCACGCCCACCGTTCTTCTCACGATTTTTATGCCGGCGTTGACTGGGGTTCTCACAAACCTCGCTGAGAAGCTCACGGGGCTGGAGAACTACGAGACGCAGGACTGTGAGTAACCAGCTAAACTGCCTTGTCTACCATGATACTGACACCATTCCCAGCGCATCAAGCTGCATTCGTGCAGAAGATCTTCGTTATCAACTTCATTGTGTCATACCTGCCGCTTTTCCTGACGGCATTCGTATACGTGCCCTTCGCCAAGGTGCTGGTGCCGCACCTTGACGTCTTTCAGGTCACCGCCCAGAAATTCACGAAGAACGGGAAGGTAGAGACGAAAGACTTCCAGATCGATCCCGATCGGCTCAAGAAGCAGATAATCTATTTCACAGTCACGGCCCAGGTCGTCAATTTCCTCCTAGAGGCTATTGTACCCATCGTGAAGCGAAAGGTTTTCAAGGCTGTCAAGGAAGTGCAGGAGGAGATCACCCAGAAAGAAGGTCAGGAGAAGCGCGCAGATTCCGAGGAGGAGACAGCATTTCTGGAACGCGTACGGAACGAAGCCGAGCTGGACGAGTACGACGTGACAGTGGATTACAGGGAGATGGTGATTCAGTTTGGTGCGTCACATGTTGCCGCTCTCGGTATCATCGAATGCGAACTAACCTCAATGATGTAGGCTACCTGTCGCTATTCTCGGTAATCTGGCCTCTGACGGCTTGTTCTTTTCTTGTCAACAACTGGGTCGAGGCTCGTGCAGATGCGATGAAGATTGCTGTGAGCAGCAAGAGACCGATTCCCTGGAGATCTGATTCCATCGGACCCTGGGTGACCTCGTTGGGCTTTCTCTCCTGGCTGGGGAGCCTGACGAGCGCTGCCATTGTATTCATCTTCAGCAGCGATCCGTACGGTCCTGATGGTCATCCATCCAACATCAAGGCGTGGGCCTTGCTTCTGAGCATCCTCTTTGCAGAACACCTCTACCTGGTTGTCCAGTTTGTTGTTCGGTACATGATCGGCAGCATGGACAGCCCTGGGTTACAAAAGGAGCGAGCCGAGCGTTTTGCCATGAGGAAGCTGCACCTGCAGGAGACCTTGGGAGAAGAACTCGCCGAGAGTGCAGCTGCGGCAGACTTTACGGGCGGCGAGAAGATCACGAGGGAAGCACTTGAGGAGGAAGCCCGGCGAGCCTCGGTCTCTGGTCGGACAGCACCAGGGCAGGCGTTCTGGCAACGACAGCGCGGCGCTGTAGAGACTATTCAGATCGGGCGAGGGCTCATCTCCGAGGCGTCTGCGGCGAACAAGACAAAATCACAGTGAGGCCTCGTATGCGTCATTTTATTTTGATTCGAGGAATAGGCCAACAGAGAGAATGTAATACGACCTACGCCAAATACAGTTCGCAAGAAGTCGCTGGTCGAAGGCTAGGGCGCCTTGAGATGCAGCCTCCTACGTTTGGTCGGATGCTGCTTACTGTCTTTTGTACAGCCCCAGCGAAACCGGACAGGTCTATAAACGACAATATGGAAGATAGGCAGGGGCTAAGAAGGCACAACGCCAGCGGCGTTTTTCCGCCTTCTCTCTAAGGCTGTGTGGAATGCTGCAAGCCAAACTTGCCGGGACGACGAAAAAGTGGTGCACAGCAGCCGCGGGCTGAGCTCTGTAGGTATGAGACACGTGCGCAGGTCTGCAGAACGACATCATGATTAATACACCTGTTTATCTCTTTCAAATCCAGCATCTTCTTCAAGGCAGGGCACAGAAACGGCTTGGTGCCCCTAACACAGCCCCCTTTAAGGTTGTCTTGGCCTGCATGTGGCTGCGCCGCCACAGTGGACGACGCCTATCATAATCCGCCGGCATGTCAGCCCTGATTGCGGTACTGTACGGGGCCTTCTTTTAGTACACCCCTCAGCCAGGCGGCAACGACTCCTTCAAGTCATAGTACTTATGAACTTAGTTGGTGTCACAGAGGAGGACAAGAATCCATCCCATCAAGAGATACGAATCATGATTGTAAAACGGACGGAAGTTGGTGACTTGTAATCCAGAAAACATCTTACACTTGCAATACGTTCACATTTTCCTGAGACATGCATCATCGTGGATTCTCGACTAACAACTATACAAAACGAGGTGGCACCTCAACTGCAAGCTTATCGTACTAGAGCTGAGCATTGTCGCACCCAAAAGAGAGGGCTGCAGTGCTGCCTGCTTACCGCTCGCCTGCGATCGCGAATCGTGGAATTCGACCACAACAGCGTCAATTTTCAAAAAAAAAAAAAACCCCCCACAAGGTGGCTATGGATGAAACCGTTAACGACTTGGTGTTAGCTCCATTTAGAGATATCGTGGAACAGGGGAATATTGCGGTGGGCAACGCTTCCGATGGTGGCAATGAGGCGATGCTCAAGGCGGCTCAGAGCCTTGTCAAGGAAGGAGAAAGAGCACTGAAAAGGATCGAACCTCTGTGCCGGAGAAAGTGTGAAGAATTTGGGTTCGTCTTTGTGAATGCACTGAAGGATGATGGTACGATTCAAAGACAACCCCCTCTGCTAGCACACAGCGCTCTACGCGGGTGGACTGACTGAGATGGCCACCTACAGATGGGATATCTCGTTTTGTCCAAGAACTGAACGACCTGCTCTATGACTTTGAGGAATATGTCGAGGTCAACAGCTTCGATGTCGAGAAGTTCACGGGGCTGCAGGCGCTGTCAAGAAAGGCGGCACCCGCGATATCGCACACAATCACCCGGATGAAACTTGAGCTGCCGCGCGCGGGAGACGATGCAGAGTCAACACATTCTAGAATTTCCTCGGACCCGATGGCTCCCGTCAGGCGGTCCATGGACGACGTCTCTTCTCAGCGCGCATCGTTGCCGTACCCAGTGGCTGAAGACCCAAGTGAGCATCCGGGCACATATGCGATGCCATATCCTTCCGGTCCCGAACACAATTCCGAGACGAGGTTACCAGAACCATCACCAAGTCTTCTATTATCTACTGTACAGGAGGAGGAACCACTGCCGCCTCCACCACCGCTGCTGGACCCATGGTCTTCTCCCTCTCGGACACCGGACGGCATGTCGGACAGTATGGGCCATCCATGGCGGGTTTCCTCCGACTCAGCTATCGGCTCAGACGCTGGTTCAGAGCATGGAAACTCCCCAATAACCGCCAATTCCCAGCATTTGCATCCTCAACAACTGAACGTTGCCCATAGCAGGCCCAATCGCATTAGCACATCGAGCAGCAGCCCTGGTTCCTCGCCGGACCCTAACACAACCAACATCAACAGGCCTTTCTTTCCAGGGCGTATCTCGCCTACCTCGCCTCATCGCGACCAGAGAGACTCTGTCTCCAGCCAGGCAAATGCCTCCGTACGGAGCTCTGTGTCTGACCACCGCATCGACAGAAGCTTCACACTCGACACAGTCAGTCCTATATCCCCCACTACGCAGAACCGAGCATCGGTCTTCTCCGTGGGTGCCTTCCAAGATCAGCCCCGCGGTCAGGAGCAGTCACCCCATGTCGCTCCTCTTGTCGTGCGTCCGAGGCCGTCTGTCTCTGTGTCCACTGCAGACAACGGTGGGCTGGAGACGGTGCAGCTCCCTACACTTGGTGTGCCGGATGGGTTGATACCGGTGGACGAGGAGACTGTAGAGCAGAGAATGCCCTCTCCGACCCCGGAGACACAATTTGGTGGTTGTGCGATCAACCTGAACAGCTCGTACTATCAGTTCAGAGGGTTCTGTTCCGGGGCGATGGAGGTCATCCAAGGTGGCATAGGAGTCAAGCATATCAAGAGACAGGTGAGTGTCCAGCTCTTTCACATTGCCTCGAAGAACACCAAAAACTAACCAGGAGTGCAGGGTCTCTCGACCAGCCATGTCGAGGTGGCAAAGTGCAAGGCATGTGCTTTCGAGCTTGACTGGAAAGCCGTGGAGAGAGACACGAATCAAGAAGGCAAGTCACGGAAACCCTCTTCTCTCCCACCCCCACCCCCCCCCCCCCCCCGGTGTTGTCCAGCGAGAATCCCAAGTTCCTAATTACCTCAACACAGCGACCGAGAACTTCAAATCATCAGGTGTTGGTTTCCGTCTGCGCTTCCTCCTCAAGAGTCACATCCATGCCAAAAATGTCGGAGACCAGATCTACGGATGCGCCTTTTGCGTGCAGCTCCGGCAGACGACACATCCCAACGACGCCACCGTCTTCTTCAGCCAGCGCCAGCTGTTCGCGCACCTCGCACGGCACCCCCGCCCCCTGCCCGAGGTGCCAGGCCTGCTCGTCCTCCAGACAGAGGACGTGCCTGTCCAGTTCGCAAACAACTACGACCTGCACTTCCCCGGCCCGGCCCGCGTGTCGATGCTCGCGGACATGATGCGCGAGCTCACGGCGCTGCCGACGGGGACGGCCGTCCAGACGTGCCGCCACACGCCGACGAGCAACCCCAAGAGACCGCCCGACGGGTCTGACGTCTTGTCTCTGGCCGCGGGCGCACGGATCCTGGGGGTCGAGTTCCCTGCCAAGTACCAGGGCGACTGGTGCCTCGGCTGGGCTGACCACGAGCAGGGCCTGCTTCCTGCGGACATAGTGAGGCTTGATCCTCCCCCTGGGAGGAAAAGTGGCGACTCCGCGAATCAGGGCGGCTCGACTACATTGAGAGGCGTGGCGCGATGGAGGTTTGCCGTCAAGGATGGCAAGGACAAGAGTAGAGGGGAGTGGCTGTCCTTTGGCAAGGGCGAGGTCATTACCAACATAGGATGTGAGTTGTTCTTTCTCTCTCTCTTTCTCTCTCTCTCTCTCTCTCTCTCTCTCTCTCTCTGTGTGTGTGTGTGTCCACTTGAACAAAAGGCTCAGCAAGACTAAACTAAAGGAAATCATAGGGTCTCACGCAGATCATTGGTGCTGGTGGGGGACAAACGCCAAGGGTAGGTCCGGGATGTTTCCCCAGTCGCATATCGAGCCCGGCACGCTGAAGGAGGCGGCGGCGGCGGCGGCGGCGGCTGCTGCTACTGCGACGACGGTCAGATCAGATCGTGCGAGCACTTCGAGCGGGGAGAGGAAGACAGGCCTTTTGGCGCGCATCTCGATACGGCAGAAGAGCGGAGGCTCGGGAGGTGGGGGAGGCGGCATGTCGTCGTCTTGGGCTTCCATGCATTAATGAACAGGGGATTCTGGTGCTATTCTAATGGGAAAGGAGATCAAATTAGGGATGTGTATGACTCTCTTTAAATTAGGCTGGACAGGACAGACAGACTGTGTGGTTAGACAAGGATAGCAGAGAAGGTAATGGTAAGATCAATCTGGTCTTTGGAGTCGAGGAGTCCTTACACATCTCCTTCTTATATATTCAAGGAGGAAAGCTTGAGTACGTGTAAAAATAGTACTACCATTCTGAAGAGACAGAAACACTGTAGCAGGCCATGATGTGACAAGTATATATACTGAAGGCTCCATAGTGACGAGTGAAATGCTCGTCTTGATTACATATGATGAGAACTCCAATGTTTTGTCTTTGCATGAGCAAGATGGCATTGATCGAGTTGCTATTGGCCGACGTCGAGAAGATGTGTTTTGAACTACTTTTATGAAAGAACAAGTACGTTCTGACATTTACAACTCTGGGATAGGATGAGCAGCATTATTGGGTTTCAGATGATTGAATAAATCGCTTGCTCCTAGTCCTCAACCATTTCAATAGAGACAAAAGAACAACAAAGCAGAAAGAGAAACAGAAAATATGCGTCCGTCCCACAACACAAATAATTCATAAATTGACCTGCCAAATAATCCCAACTACCCCTTCTTCCCCTTCACATCCTCCTCCGCAACCCGATGCACCATCAACCGAACCGGATACTCGGGCGAGTTCGCAGCAAAGCCCAAAGCCCAGTCATAGCCAACAGCATACAAGAAAAGACTCCCGTCCCTGTTGAACGCCGTGGTCGTGATGGCCCCGCCCACTGCTGGATACCCTCTCAGCCGCTGGTGCGCCACGCGGTCCCAGAAGTGAAAGGTGCCGTCCGAGCCGGCGGTGGTGAAGGTCGTGGGGTGGGCTGGGTGGAACTGCACGTCGTTGACGGTGAAGACCTTGACTGTCTTGGTGCTAGTGTCTTCAGGCTGCGAGCGGTGGCAACGAAAGGTGAAGTTGGTGCTGTATGTTTTGTTTTGATTTTCTTTCGGATCAGCCATCACGGGCTCCCCCTCTCTGCTTCTCCATCCATCCATCCATCCATCTAAAAAGAAAGTTCACAAAAAAAAAAAAAAAAACTCACCTCGATTCCTTTTCGTCCACAGAACTGATTGCACAGCGTCCCTCGATCGACGCCGCAGCCCAAAACTTCCCGTCTGGCGCGACAGCCACGGCACGTGTCTGGTGCCGCAGCGGCGACATTATCGAGCGCATAAAGACGGTCGGATGAGCTAGGTCCACCAGGTGGACATGTCTGTCCGCAGTGGCGATGACGAGGGCGCGCGACGCAGAAGCCATGGCATACACCCGCTCGGCACAGGTGAGGGTGCCGAGGGGCCGACCACCGGTGCTGCTTCCCGGTTGGCGAATATCCCAGAACTTGACGGTGCGGTCCCAGGATCCGGAGCAGATAATGGAGCCGTGGTGGTCGTCGTCCACGCGGCAGACGGCTCGGATGGGGGCGTCGTGGGTGCCGATGATGGTGGACTGGCCTGTGGCGGCGTGGAGGAGGTGGATGTTCTTGTCGGCTCCTCCTGCGACGAGGGTGGTTCCGTCCTTGATGCATGATAGTTGTTCAGCAGTCCATCTCTTTGTGGGGGGTGGGGGTGGGGAAGAAATAGAGAGAGGGGGAGATGATAAGTATTTCACGTAACTCACCTGATCATTTCGATTCATTTCATTGGTCTCTCTTCTTATTCTTCTTGTTCTCTCTCACTCCTCTCTTTGTCCTCCTCCTCTTCCTCCTCCTCCTCTCCCCTCTTGCGTCGGCTGGCAGGGTTAGAAAAAAACCTACCTTGACCCAGTCGCAGCTTAACACCGGCCCTCCTGCCCCTCTCCCTCCTCCGCCCGTGTTGAACATGACTAGTCCCCGTGCCTGCGATCCGTCCGCAGCGACGTCGTAGACACGAACCTTTCCATCCCAGGACGCTGCTGCCACATGGTTGGCGGTGGGCGACCACGAGACGGACGAGACGGTATCTTGGGCGTCTGCTGGGAGGGCCACGTCCTTTGGTACTGTGACTGATGAGGCCATGTTTGTCGAAGTGATGTTGCAGGTGGAAGAGGAAGCATAATTAAGGATGGGATCTTGGATGACTCTTTATATTGTGTCATCATGGTGGTGGTCGTGTCAGCCTAATGCGGAGGACTTGTGGCGGAACTCCGCCATGGGTGCCTGGATTGTAATCCAAGAGACAACTTATTGTGGTCTTTGCAATCCGGTTGATATGATGCACGACATGCCTGTCCAAAGGCTCTGTCGGCTGTTCCTGGGCTCCCATTTGGCCGAGTTGGAAGATGCTTCATCTTCCGCAGTAGCACGTCCGAACCACGCTGAGAAGTTGTCTTTTTGTCACAGCACATAACTTTCTCAACCAACTGATCGAGTCGACTTCTCCTTATCATCTGAACTGTTGATGGTCGTCAAGCTGACGATAGTCAATGCCACAGAGAGACAGATACTCACAATGACTTTTCACTTCAAGAGTTTACTGAAGAGACACTCTGGATCTTATATCTGCCAGTTCGATGGCTTGCGTGGTTGATACTTATCATCATATTGACTGACTGAGTGATTGACTGATGCTCTTTTGGACATACCGCCTCTCATTCCATGATGAAGAAATCAGAGCCATCTTCCAACATTGCTTCCACACATGTCTCGGCCTATATCAGTTCGAAGTTTGGTTGATAAAAAAGGTGTAGATGCAATGGTATTGTTCTTAAAAGGGACTATATTTAATCCCTGCGCCCACAGCAGCAGCTTCCCTGTCGTGCCTGCCCTCCACTGTGGAGCCCACTCCGCGGTGCTTTGGACCGAGGCGAAGATGGGGGAGGCAGGGATGACCAGTGCTGTGGACCCGGCCAGAGGCTCGACGGCCCAACGGCTCGGCATCAATTTATAAGGCATTCCCGCAATGGGAGACAGCCACAGCAGCAGTGCTGGGTGGTAGTGCAGGCAGTATTTCCTCCCCCACGCCCCATCCTCAGTCTCCAACAACCAAAAGCTCGTCACCCACCCACAGCATCATTACTTCTTCTCTAGGGTGCGTTTTGTGTGAGTGCGAGAGAGTGTGATCTGGGAACCTTGCACCTGAGCCTCTCTCTTCCCCAACGCTTCTCTCCTGCTTTAGAGCATTGACCGGGTTCCCCAATGTGTCAGTGACGGCATCCATTTTATCTTATCGGCTATTCTTTTATACTACTTACTTAGTGTCAAGTTGCCTTCTGAACGTCTCAACAAGCATCATTCGAGGGAGATTCCGAGAAGTTTCCGAGGGATTGAGTTATCGTCACCAGTACGAGGGCCGAGCGTTGACGACGACTATTGTCTCGATTTGCCACAACTTCGATTTAGGGACTGCTGTTCTTCGAGTTCTCGACCCGACGATAAGTCGTGCTGTTCTGCTCATCAGCATCATCATCATTATCGGAAAGAGGACCAAACCATCGAAAACATCCAACAATATGGTCTTGAGCGGCGCAGAGGTTGCTAAGCATAGCACTGGGGATGACTGCTGGGTCATCGTTCACGTGCGCATCTTCTGAATATCCTTTTAGTCTTTTACATCGCACCAAGTCTGACTCTCTTGTTTATAGGGAAAAGCATACGATGTGACCGAGTTCCTGCCAGAACACCCTGGTGGTACGAAGATCATCCTCAAATATGCTGTAGGTCTTATCTGTGTCCCTACAAATGGGGGGAAAAGGACCCTTGGGGGTGCGGCTCAGACCTGACCAGCCTTTTAAATGGTTCTAGGGCAAAGATGCTACCGAGGAGTTTGAACCGATCCACCCTCCAGATACCCTGGACAAGTATCTGGACAAGTCAAAGCACCTCGGCGACGTGGACATGAAGACGGTTGAGAAGGAGCAGAAGGAGGTGTCGCCCGACGAGGAGGAGCGTCAGAAGCGCATCCAGGAGATGCCGCTTCTGGACCAGTGCTATAATCTCATGGACTTTGAGGCCGTGGCGAGGCGCATCATGAAGAAGACGGCGTGGGGTTACTACTCCAGCGCGGCAGATGACGAGATTGTAGGTGATACAAGTCTTTCTCCCCCACTCTCCCTCTCTCTGGACCCTTTGGAAGCAGGATCAGCGTCCACTCACATGATACACCGCCACAAAAATAGACCCTGCGCGAGAATCACAGCGCCTTCCACAGGATATGGTTCCGCCCCCAGATACTCGTGGACGTGGAAAAGGTCGACTTCTCGACCACGATGCTGGGCACCAAGGTCGACATGCCCTTCTACGTGACGGCCACGGCGCTGGGCAAGCTGGGCCACCCAGAGGGCGAGGTGCTGCTGACGCGGGCGGCCAAGAAGCACAACGTGGTACAGATGATCCCAACGCTCGCGTCGTGCTCGTTCGACGAGATCATGGACGCCGCCGAGGGTGACCAGGTGCAGTGGATGCAGCTGTACGTGAACAAGGACCGCGAGATCACGCGCAAGATCGTGCAGCACGCCGAGGGCCGCGGGTGCAAGGCGCTGTTCATCACGGTGGACGCGCCGCAGCTGGGCCGGCGCGAGAAGGACATGCGCAGCAAGTTCGAGGACCAGGGGACCAGCGTGCAGAGCGGGCAGCAGACGGACAACTCGCAGGGGGCGGCGCGGGCCATCTCGAGCTTCATCGACCCGTCGCTGAGCTGGAAGGACATCCCGTGGTTCCAGAGCATCACTAAGATGCCCATCATCCTCAAGGGTGTGCAGCGCGTCGAGGACGTCATCCGGGCGGTCGAGGCAGGCGTGCAGGGTGTGGTGCTGTCCAACCACGGCGGGCGGCAGCTGGACTTTGCGCGGTCCGGGGTCGAGGTGCTGGCCGAGACCATGCCGCGGCTGCGCGAGCTGGGCATGCAGGACAAGATCGAGGTGTTTGTGGACGGCGGCGTGCGGCGCGCGACGGACATCATCAAGGCGCTGTGTCTCGGGGCCAAGGGTGTGGGCATCGGCCGCCCGTTCCTGTACGCCATGTCGGCCTATGGGTTTGATGGCGTCGACAAGGCCATGCGCCTGCTCAGGGACGAGATGGAGATGAACATGCGCCTGATTGGGTGCACGCGCGTCGACCAGCTCAACCCGACCCTGCTCGACGTCCGCAGCCTTACGCAGCACAGCAACGGGACGCCGCCCGATCACCTGTCGTGGTCGACCTATGATCCGCTGGTCAACCCGCCGCAAAGGTCGTCCAAGCTGTAGAAATTGTGTGTATGTATGTAAATAATATATATATATATATATATATATATATATATATATACACATTGGCATCTTTAGAGCATATTACTTTTTTATAAATATGATAGATATACAAGTATCTATACACACATGTAACAACATGATCATCATGCACAGGCACTTGCGATGATCTACGCAGGAATAGGATGTGTTTTAGTTGATTGGGCAGCCAACCAGCCAACCAGCCTTGCTTGGTTCAAGCATTGGGCAGTAAAAAGAACCTGTTAGAAAAACAATATTGGCTCCATTCAGGTTGGAGGATCAATTGCTGAAAAGGCAAGAGAATACAAAAGATCCACAAGCCCACAATTCGTTGCCCCATAAAAGAATGGAGATCTGCAAGCTGCAAGATGGCGCACGATGGTACTATCTGGGAACTCTGTAGGGGCCATCTCGTTTCGGGAGGATCCAGATGCATGATGATGATGCTGATGATGCTCCAAATGGTGGCAGGTTCGTGCAGTGGTGGTTAAGTGGTTTTGTTTCAGTGATGTTAGTGGTCCTCATGTCAGTGATCATCCCTTTCCCCTTTTCTTTACCACTCTTTGACAATACAATGTCCTCCATTTCCCTTTTACCTTTCTCTGGAAGTACCTGTGTACCTTGCTTTCTGTACTCATGTACTATAGTATGTACAAACAAAAACAAAAAAAAATAGCGCCGTAAGCAGAGAGTCAGGGAGTCACTCTGTCATACAAGAGAAAGGTGGTGTTTGCTTGCTCAACTACTTTTAACGTTTATTAGCCCAGGCAACAAGGTCATGCCCAATCTCCAGCTCGGGGGTCACCTGGTACAATCATCCCCGACCACTACCACACTACTTAGTACTTACTCAGTACTACCGTACTACTACCACCACCTGCCAACCAACCAACCAACCAACCCAAACACCACCACCGCACAACCACCACCACAAACAACGCTGCCATCACCTCACTTGATCAACATCTCGATGGCCTGTTGATCTTCCCATGCTTCCCTTTTCTCTTCTTCTTTTCTCCCTTCTTTCACTTTCCTCTTTTTCGTTTTCTCTTTTCTTACACAAGTAGTGTTTTATGTGTACTTCGTTCTCAGCTCTGGTCAACCCCGGCTTGCTTCCTTCCATTCAAACCACTCTCCCTACCTCGGTTCATGATCCGCTCATTCATTCCTACACGACACACGCCTCTTCTTTTTTCTTAAAATTAATTTCTCATTGTCTTTTGCTTGTTCCCAATCCCGTCCCACTCCTGCAAGGAGAGGGAAACAATATCCACTCCCAAGGCAAACGGGGATTTGGAATTCCAGACAAGAACAAAAACCCAAACATAAACCATGACGTCCTAATACCCGGGATCCCTCGGCCAACGATCTATTTCTCTTCCTCACCCCCCCCCCCCCCCACACCCTCCCCCTCCCAATCGTGGGTGTAAGGGGATTGGACGCATTCCCTTCCTCTGCCAAACGGAAAGAAGGAGAAATTAGAGAAAGAGAGAAAGAGAGAATACACACTGGAGGGTGTTCGAGAAATCATCAACACAGTCCCACCACCGACCGGCGTCCTACCACCGACCGCATTTCGTCAGACAACCAGAAAACTCGAGCGTCAACCCAAACAAGCGAGCAACCTTCTTTTTTCTTCTTCTATTCCTTTTCCCAGTCCGACGAACATCTGCCGGGTTGGGTGGATCGGGAACATACATACGAATACATATACACAAACACACGGAGAGAACAAGAACAACAGGACGACAAGAGGGAGAGAGAGAAACAGAGAGAAGATGTCGTCGGCTCTCGAGGCCAAGATTGTCGTCTTGGGCTCTCAGGGCGTCGGCAAGACGTCCCTCGTCATGCGCTATTGCAAGGGCGCGTTCGAGCCGAGCCAGATCACGAGCACTGTCGGCGCGAGCTTCCTGACCAAGCGCGTGGTGGACATCGACACAGACACTACCGTGCGGTTACAAATATGGGATACTGGTATGTTCCTCAAGTCGGAGTAGAAGGACCAAATTTATACAAGGCTGGGCTGACATTTTCCCTCCCTCCCCGCCTCCAACAGCCGGCCAAGAACGCTTCCGTTCCATCTCGCGCCTCTATTACCGGGGCGCCAACGCCTGTATCCTCTGCTATTCCATTACCGACGCGCAATCCTTCGTCGACATGGGCGCCTGGCTATCCGAGCTGCGCCGCAACCTCCCCCACGATGTCGTCCTCCATATCGTCGGCACCAAGTCCGACGTCGTCGCCCGCGATCCTAGCCTGCGCGAGGTCCCCTTCGAGCGCTGCATCGCCTACGTCGCCGAGAATCTCGCCCCGGGCCTGGGCTCCACCCCGCCCCCGACCGCCGGCAGTCCACTCGCCGCCGCCAACTCGATGTTCGGGCCCGGCAGCCTAGGGAATGGCGGTGCTGGCGGCAGCGGCGGGGGTGGAGGTGGGTTCTTCTCCTCGAGCGAGTCTCCCTCCGCCGAGCCGCGCAGCCCGACGTCCAAGCGCAGCTCCGGCTTCTGGGGCCAGGAGGCCGGCTGGGACGCATGTCACGAGATCTCGGCTGAGTCCGGCGAGGGCGTGGAGGAGGTCTTCCGTGTGGTCACGCGCAAGCTGGTCGAGCAGAACCGCAAGATCCAGGCCGCCATCCTGGCCGCCACCAGCTCCACGCCCGGCGCCACCCCCTACGACGCCGTGAGCAGCGCCGGCGGCACCGCACTCGATGGCGGCGGGTCTGCCGGCTACTTCGACTATGCCCGGCCCAGCACCGGCAGCTTCAGGGTCGGTAGGGATCGCAGGTCCTGGCTGTTCTCGCCTGGCTTCTCGCCCAGCGTCACCATCGAGAGGGGTGGCCAGTCCGGTCTGCAGAGTCAGTACCACCAGCAGACTAGCGACGATCATGAGGTTAGGCGAGGAAAGAAGTGCTGCTGAGAGCGGAGAGGCCTCACATGCTCGCTCATGTTCCATCAATGACCGACGTCAGCCCATCCTCTTGACCCCACGACTACTATGTTACATGTCGGAAGGGTCCCCCCCCCCCCCCAGAACACGCTCTTCCTTTTTATACACGGACAGAAGGGGTTGGCGGTGCACGCACCACCATCTGTGCCCTCTGTGGGACCTTTATGCTTGGAAACCCCCTCCCTATATGGGTACGCCCCACGATTTCCTGGACTACGCATACTCTCTTCCTTTTATTATTATGTTGTCAAGTTTCCTCCTCCTCCTGTTAGCCTTTGGGCTCCGGTTGGCTTGGGTCTTGAATCGGGGCTATTGGGTAAATTTGCGGTGCAGCTTGGATGCGGGGACAAGCATTTGCATGATGGGAGCATCTGGCATTGGTTCTGTATCATCATCATCATCATCATCATCATCATCATCACCATCTCGTTTCGGCATTCATGCATGGAGGCGGGTGGTTATTGTTCTCTTTCTTCTTCTTCTTTTTCCCTTTGGTCTTCATTCTTCGCATCTGGATGGCTCAACTTCTTCTGTTTTTCTCCTTTCCCTGTTTCCAAATTACAAGGCGTCCAGGGATATATATCACTTTGGTGGTTGGTCAGGCTTTATTACACGGCAGCGTCAAACGCATTCAAGTGTTGGGTAGTAGGCATTTTTAACACGTAATGAGAAACGGATGGTCAGATGTTTGCGCTAATGGAATGAATCTCTCTCACCTATCATCCCTCGTCAATACTGCTCACGGTGTGCACTTATGTGATTTGTCAAGAATACCAAAGAGTATGATGAATTTTAATTTTCTTTTCCGGCTGTGGATGGCTGCGAGATGGCAGTGACTCTTGCAGAGACTGTCTTTGTTATGCCATGTGGCCAACATACCAGCAGGGCCCCATAAGTAATAAGTGTCTTCGCGCCTCGGTCAAAAAATAAATAAATAAATAGCAGAGGTCTAGCTACCCGATGCAGGTTGAGGTATCATGATATCCCGCCTCCGTCCTAACTCCCTTTTAAGCAAGTGCATAGCCATCTGACGCCTGAAACCCATTTGCCTTCGTGCCGCTCATGAACTCCTCATATGCCTGTGCAACCCACCTTCACCAAGCTGTCCCAGATTTGAAAGACAAAATGGGAAGATAGGCAATAACTTCCAAACAAGCAAAGATCAAGAAAGATTTTTGAATGAAAAAGATTAAAAGAACTCCATATCCTCGTCTTCGTCATGCTGAAGCATCTTGCGCGGCCGCCCTCGCTTACGCAGCTGGGACGCAGACCGAGGGCGCTTCTTGCGCGGTGTAGAATTGGCCTTGCGCTTGCGACCTCGCTCTCCGACGAGGTCATCATCGTCTTCATCACCACTCGGGGTGGCCAGATCTTCACCGTTCATGTCGTCGTCTTCGTCGGCCACTTTGAATTCTCTGTCCACATTAAGGAGGTCCACGAAGGACCGACACTGGGCGAGCATCCGATCCTGGGTAGAGAGCGCGGTCGTGATTGACGCAATGTCCTCCCAGAATTTGTCGCCAGTCACCGTCTGGATCTTGACGGGCTTCTGTGCCTCCTTCTCCTTGCTAGCTGTCTTCAGCTTGCCGTCACGCCTGCTGGTTCCCAAGTTGTACTGCCGGCGGAGATAAGTACGTGCCTCCCACACAGACTGAAGGATCATGGAGCCGGCCGTCAGTTGGCGAAGACGGCGAGTGTCGATCGAAGGAGGAGCTGGGGCAAAAAAGGCACCATTTTGGTCATCCACTCCGCTTTGAGGATTGGCAATAGCGTCCATTGTGAAGTGAAAGATCTCTGCCTCGATAGCTTGAGCTACGCTGGCCCCGGTGCTGGTGACCAGCTTCTCCATGGCTGTCACAGTGCTCAATAACTCGTGGACCGTGGCATAGTCGAAGAATGCCAGATTCTCAATGATGAATTGCGAAAACTGTAGGTGCATAGGAATGACGCCTGAGGTATCAAGTTTGCTAGGCTCGAAGTCGATTTGTGCACACAGCTTGTCGAGGAATTTGATGCGATTCTTCGGTTTGCTCGACTTCAACACCTCCATCATCATGTGTAGCTTGGCAGTGTACGGTTCGACAGTCGCACCCCTGGGATCATGGACAATATCCCGTTGATAGGCGAACGCTGATTGGACTGCCTTCACATACTCCCTTTCCAACACCGTCTCATGCTTGTCATGTAAAGCGCGGTGTTCGGCGAAAGCGAGTTCTGAAATCTGCACGACCGACGAAGTCTCCAGTGTGATCATAGTGACGCCTGTCTCCTTCGGATGAACCAGACCCTGGCGGTTGATGGTAGCCAAGACCTCAACAGCCTGGAGCGCGTGCTCGTTTTGAGAAGCCAGTGCGATCCTCGTAATCTCCTTGAGAAAGCGCTGGGTTGTAGCACTGGATACGTCGTCATAGCTGGTTCCACCCATGACTTTGAGGTTTCGCTTCTCGTCCTCCTCAGCTAAAGCCTTACTCTCCGTGGTCGATTCCTCAGATCGTTTCTCCTCGGTGAAGAGAAACCCCTTGAAAGAATTCAATATCATAAATTCCAGCTCCGGCAACTGCTCCTCAAAGACGTGCTGAAAGGTCGTGTAGACATTTGCCGACACAAAGTTTCGCGGCCATGATTGACAGATCAGTCCCACGGCATCGAGAGCACCCCTTCTGACCTCCAAAGGCTGAATAGGCTGTGCAAACGGGATCATCAAGTCCACCATCAATTTCGAGACTGAAGATCCCTTGAATCCGGGGACTTCTTTCTGGTAGATGTCGAACTTGTCTTCAAAGTCGCAGTGATGGCCCATCATTCCGGCGAGCAAGGAGTATGTTTTGAACATTCTCACCCCTTGATCTGCTAGGGGACCGTTCCGAGCCATGGCTCGAACCTTCTGTAATCCCTTGAGAACTGAGATGTGCAGTTTCATCAGATGGTCCTTGCTTCCCAGGATACCGCTGATGATCCACAAGCATGCGAATACATCATCGAGGAGTGCTCGGGTAAGTTTGGCAACCACCGGCAGGAGAGCGCTTCTGATTTCGGTAAGAAACTGATCATGAACTTTGGACAATTGCGGGAGAACGCGTCGGTAGATGACCATCACAGCTCTTGATGCTGCCAGCTCGCCACTGGCAATACTAGCAACCTTGGGCTGCAACAGTTTAATCTGCTCAAAAGTAAAGAGCTTTGGTTCTGCCTTGGCAAAAATGACGAGGAGATCCAGTGCATCACGCCCGCAGGGGACAGTAGGATCCTGGGACTCAGGATTGTCGATCACATCGAACATGCTGGCCACAAGGACCTGGCCAACCTTGAAATTGGCTTCCCTCGATCCGAGGATGGCCTGGAAAACTTTGTCGAGGACGCTGACCGCCATCCCATGTTTGATGGTTTGGATCATCAAGGCAACGTGATCAGCAATGGCAGTCTTGCAAGCCGCCGAGGCATCCGACGAAAAGTAGGGTGTTATCCAGATTTCCTCAATCATCTGTCGTGCGACTTCCCGAACGCCTTCGTCGGGATCCTGAACACGATGAAGCAGCCCGTTCGCAATCTTGCTTCGTGCACCTCTGTCGGAGTTGCGTAGATAAATATCCCGGGCAAGCTTTAGGGCACGTTTCCGCACTCCGACACCAGCATCGCTGAAACGCTCGATGACCGTCTGAATCATGTCCTTTTCAAGCGCTGGTCTCATCCCAATGCACTTTCCTATCAGACCGAGGGCCGAGTCCCGGACTTGAGGAGAACTATCCGTTGTGCATTGAACGATGAGCTGCATAAATGTCGAGTCTCCGTCCAATATGGTCGGATCAGTTTCCAAGACGTCGTTCACACTCTTCAAGCTCTTGCTCCGTACGGTCGCCTGATCAATAGTCATGAAACGGAGCAAAATATTCAGGATGTGTCGGTAAGCTTCGCAAAATTGCGAACGAATGACGATGACGTGGTACGATAATTTCGCCAGCGTCGGAGGAACCGCTGCAAAGCTGTATTCGCTGGAAAGCCAGCGCCGATCCTCAATCATCATGCGCAGACGATATGCCAACCGGCCAAACTCCTTGTCCCGATCGTCGTCTTCATCTTGGAATCCGTCAAAAGCGACACCAACTTTGCCCGCCCAATCTGTGGTCAGAAAGGCGACAGCACTGGAGAGGTGCGGGTCTTCAGAACATCGCTGATCAAGATATTCCAGGCTTGCTCTGTAAGGTCCGGACCAAGATACCATCTGCTCTGGGCGGGACCTGAGCTCCAGCGCGGAATTGGCGAGGTCTGAGAGGTACGTTGACAAGTCGGTCACCTCGACAGCGTCCAAAGAATTCACGGTTCTTCGCACAAGAGATCTCAGCTTTGAGATCGCGGCTCCCATAGAACCGAGGATTTCGAGCGCCATGTTCTTCGCGGGAGCGGCAGTTCGTTCGCCGTCGACAAGGCTCATCATTGAACCCATGAGGAGGCGGAGCAGTAGTTCAGAGGCAGGCCAGTCGGGTGACTCCAAACACGTAGTCAGATCTTCTAAAAAGTTCTCAAGTATGCGTCGGAATGGAGACTCCCCCGTCTTTGTGGACTTGATTGCGCGTCCCACCATGAAGCCAATGACATGAGCCGCGTTGTCCCTAGTAGAAGCTGCCAGTGACGAAGCAGCAGCTTGGAGTTCTGAGACGGCCCGTCCACTCTGCTCCGCTGCTCTCTCCTCGTCCTGAAAGGAGGAGACCTTAGCTGAAGCACTAGGTTGATCGGTAACGTCACCCTCGGCTGCGTTGTCATCTATAGACTTGAGCAGCTTACTCTGAGCGCTCTTGACATCACTTGCTCTGCCAGCGCTGGTCTGTACCAGTCGCAGAATCAAAGCTGATACCGGCTGTATGCTCCTCCCATCGCTGAGTTTGAACTGGCGAGCCTTTTGCTTTGCCTGAGGGACCTTCTCCAGTTGGAGCAAGATGTCGTCCACAATGCCGAGCCGGCTCTGGGGGTTCTTCAAAAATATTTGTGAGAGCATATCCATCGCAATCAGGCGGATACCATCAAATTTCTGAGTGCCGACAACAGAGTCCCGATCCGTAGAAGCGTTCTCCACGAAAATTAGATTTGACGATATGGTCTCCAGAGCGGTAACCACAGACTCGGACAAGTCTATGATCGAGACCAGCGTGGTGAAAACAGAGTAGAGCCGTGTGAAGCTGGTAAAGATAGAGCCGGCGAGTTTCTTGTGCGGCAACAGCGAGTCAAAGAGGCTTTTGTTGTCTTTACGGTTCTTATCTCCATGCTTTTCGTCCTTGGAAGCACCATAGCGGCGTACCTTCTCCGTTAGAGGCACGACGATACCATCAGCAACGTCTCTGAAGAGGCGTAGACAGTCTTGAATCAGGTCCTCAGAATAGAGTTGTTTGTCCTCTCTACCGGCAGACATGATCCTCAGTGCTGTTCGTGCTGCCCTGAGAGCGTTGTCTACTTCTGGCAACTGCTGAGCCCAAGACTGTGCGTCAGCGTCACCCCAGTCCTCGTCGACCCTGAGATCCTGGTCTTGTGCCTGTTTCAGCGCACCATCACTGAGGCGCTGGATGCGTAGAAGCTCTTCAACAGGCACATGCACTATACATCCAAGTGCAATTGCATTCTGCAACAACGGCTGAACTTTTTGGTGAGCAGTTGCTGTCATGGCTGGCTCTTGCTGGGAATTTATGGAGATGAGAGGATTCGATCCAGTAGGCATTGCGGCAACACTGTCTTCTGCGTCGAATATCTCCACAAGGCAGCGACGCAGTGAGTGGAAAGCATTGTCGGCCTTCTGTTTCTGGTCACGATAGACAACCTCACTCTCATCGTACTCGTCTCGCTTTCTCTTCCGAGTCGATAAATTTGAAGGCTCTTCGACGTTGTCTTCGACGTTGTCAACGACGACCATGTACTCGCTCTTGTTGAAGGACGGAGAGGGAGCGAGCTCTATCGAGATTGTTCCAGGTTTCTGGGCGCTTGAAGGGGGTTGCGACGGTGTTCCCACCGAGTCTTCTGCAACCGGATGGGTTCCGATGGTTGCAGTCGGTTGTAGAGGCGGGAGCAATTGATCCGGAGCATCTGTCTGTGCAGGGTCCGGGGAGAGGGTAGCGGTGGCGGCGGCAGCTTCATACTGTTTCTTTGTCGGTATGAGGACTGCAAACTTGGACTCGCTGCGCTCTGGAGTCTGACTGATCGGCACATGGCTCTTCGCAGCCTTCACTCGCTCCGCATTCGCCGTACTTGGACGTGACTTCATATGGGCAGGACTCTTCGTTATAGATGAGCCATTGGCGGAGGATGGAGCTGGTGTCTCTGGTGTCATGTAGCGGTAAGGGACCGACGTTCTATCGAGCACCATCTTGGAAAATGGTGAGAGATTCGCGGCAAGACTGTGCGTAGGAGCACTAGAGGCAACGAGCTTGGCACCCGTCTTGAAGTTGCTATGACAATATCAGCAGATGCAACCATATTGGCTTCCGTTCACTCCTACATCTGTGTGAGCCTTGTAGGATTGAGCAAGTTCTGAACGTGCTCCAAACTCTGCTCCAAGCGACGGGATGTTGAGGTTTGGCTCGCAGCCTCCTTGTTCAGGTTTTCGAAGTCATGACGGGGAACGAATTCGGCGAGATTCGAGGACGACGGTCCAGCCCCAAGGTCTGGCGTTGGTATTATGTCTGTTGTTTGTCAGCCCAAGCCTCTATCAGTCTTCGTTGGGAGCCTAGGAATCTCTCACCCGACTCGAATGGGATAACGGAGGTGAAGGGCGAGTACGGAAGTGCTTCCTGGAGCGTGAAAGGGCGCGAGTATTTGGCTCGCTGCCCAGATGGTTGCGCAGACGGCATGAAGCCGTTCTGCGCACCATTGGGGTTATCTGACTTCTGGTACGCCATTGCGGAAGTCAGGCGGTCCCACGAGAAGCAGCCATGAAGGATGGTCAGAGCGGTTTCCAGACGAGAGGCGCCTCGCGTCGAAATGCGACCAGAAGAGCCTGGTCGACTTCGGTCGGGGGGATACTCCGCTTAAATTCGATCAGGGAGTAGCATCGAAGGTGATATATCCTGAGGTCTCAATATAGAAAGATCGCTGATGGCAGGAAACTCCTGCAACTGTCGCTTGCGCCTGCTGGTAGTCAGAACTGATGTCAATTCACGGCCCGTGACAGAAGCTTGGATGCAGGTAATGGAGAAAGGACCCCTGGCTCCTTGGCTCCTTACCAGGTAGGGGTGGGTCGGTTTGTCTAAGCTTGGTTTCCCTATTGGGTTTGGCTTGTGAGAGAGGCTCCTTCCCCAGATTCAGATCCCTGGAAGAAAAGTTTTGGTGAAGTTTTCCTACACGCCTTCCACTTTATTTGGCCTGAAGCCACTCTTGCCTTAAAAATAGAGACAGAATTCAACAAGGAAGCAAACGTACAAGATGGCTGCCATTGGGTCTCTCGTCTTCTGCACTGACTGTGGAAATCTGCTGCCCTCATCAAAGGGCAGTTCAAAGAATATTCTGCAGTGTGAGTGCTGCGGTGCTGAAAATCAAGGTCAGTGCGATACTGCTGGTGTCGGAAGAGGAACTTCGACTGACAATGTCTTCAGATGCTGCTTCGAATACAATTATCACCAAGTCGAAGCCATCTGACTTTCCCTCCTTTCTGCGCCAGAAGCTGTCCACCGTTCAGACGGTGAAACGGCATGAAGTGAACACGGAGGCGACAACAAACCAGATCTGCGGCAAGTGCGGGCGAACAGAGGTCCGGTTCTCAGCCGTGCAGCTTCGAAGTGCAGATGAGGGCTCAACGATTTTTTACACCTGTGATTGTGGTAATAAGTACGTTATAATAGTCGAGCAACAATTATTTTCATGTATGCATCACTAACGGCGCATAGATGGAGCGAGAATAACTAGGTTGCGTTGCTCAAATACGAGCATTCAACCATATATGGCATAGCAACGGTTTTTTGTGTGATTTTTTTATTCTTGTTCGCAGTGCCGTGCCCTGAAGTAAGTTTCTGATTACTTGGGCGATTTCATCTTCCTTTTTCATGTGCTGATCAGGATATAGTGGCATGTAATTGGGACTTTCATGAGATGACTATCTCGGACGTCCAAGTGCTTCATTATTGACATCTAAGGCAATGATACCCAGACAAAACGGAAATTTTCCCATCCCTCAACGCCACATCTCAACGCAAATGACAAGGGGAAAAGAAGAAGAAGAAACCCAAAAGGAGCGGAGAGCCCTTGGCAGGATGAAATGCTCTAACAGAACCCAGTTCGGACACCTCCTTGGGGAATTGTCTCTTGGTATCTTTTAGACGACATTGTCATTCCTTTGCTACGCTGCAGTGGCAGCCTCAGGAATCAAAGCGTATTCGGTCTGCTCGCCCTTCTCAAATTCAGCCATGTCAAGCGCAACTATTACGCTTTCACGAACCACCTGATCGTGGTCCTTGAGAAAAGTCTTCAGAATATCCTCAACTCCCTCCTCTTCCCCAAGGCTTCCGAGAGCCTCGGCAGCCTCGTGTCTCACCATGCTGGCCTCCTTCAGGTTGCCCAGCGCGGATGTAAGGGCGGGAATAGAAGCGGGGTGCGAGAGTTGACCGAAGACGAAAGCGATCTCGTGACGGAAGAGATCAGAGGAGTCGTCAAAGCCGCGTGCGAGGGCGTGCACTGCAGGAACGGCGGTTGGCAGGTCGGGAGGTGAAGCAAGATCGCGCAGCGCAAACATGGCTCGGTAGCGCAGGAACAGGGGGAGATTCGTGTCCATCAATTCATTTCCAAGCTCTTCAACCGTTTTCTTAGATTCTGGCATCGGAGGCGCAGGGTCGATAGAGGCGAAGTCGCTGTGAGAAAGTATGAGAAAGATGAGTCAGAAAGAGTATAATAGCGGCGAAGAATAAGAAGGAAAAGACTCACCTCGCGCGCAACTTCTCCTGTTTCCTCTCTTCGGAGTTCTCCCATTCGATTCGGTCGATGGCAATCTCACAGGTCTCCTTCACAGCCACATTCTCTCCCTTGCGATCCCTATACTCGCAGAGGATGTCCAGCTGGCTCTCGTGACCGATAGCGCCCAGCGCCTCTGCGGCCTCGTGACGGCACATCGGATCCTCGTCCAGATCGGCCAGACATTTCCGCAGGGGTGGGACAGAGTAGAGATTGCGGGTTTGGCCAAGGCAGTAGGCCAGCTCATGCTTCAGCAGGGCAGAAGGAGAGGCAAAGGCTGCAGAGATCGCATCGATAGCGGCCTCGGCGCTCGCATCCTGAGAATGGCAGGCCAGGTGCTTGAGAGAAAAGAGCGCGCGAAACCGAACGGGAAGAGGAGTGGCTTCTGAGCACAGCGACTCCCGCAGGCTCTGGATCGTGGGATCAATATTGTCGACTATGGGGGCCATTATTTTATTGCTGAATCTCGTACTTGGGCAAGAAAGGAAACAGAACTAGCTGAATGGACAATCTTACTACAGTAGAATGGCTGTAGGTAGGTCGGTCGCGTTGTCAGAGTGCCACAGAAAATCTTATCAGCGGACCTTGATCTTTGGGAATTGTTGGAGGGGCAGCGGCTTGGACAGGGGTCATGGCGGGGCTGCATGCATTCACTTGGACGAGTCCAGACCCTAGCAAGCCTAGCACTACTACTGTACCTAGGTACATACTGCTACAGCTAAGAATTTTCCTTCCGGCGGCGGCGCAAGTGATGGGGAGGCGACAAATTTCCTTTTTTTTTTTATAAAAAAACCCCCGGCTTCAGAGAAATCTCGAATTCGATAATAAACGTTACACCTACGCTCTAGATGGCTTCTGGTCGACCAAGTGAGAGAATACGCAATGTTGAGGGATCGGAATGCTACCCAAGGAAAGACGAGCTGTGGTATGTAGCCGTAGTATGTAAGACAAGGAAGGTCATTAATATAGGCCATCATAGACCTCCGACCCCTCAATTTTTACTGAGAGAGCATGGTGAGTTTTCGAACTTTCCCCCGGGACTTCATCATGCATGCATATTTGAGTGTTCGAAAGTATACAATGAGAATACAACGCATACAAGCACTGTTAATGTTGGGAGGGGCCTCGAGCTCACTCGACAGGACAATACAGTAGATAGCTGACAAGTTACATGCATGCAGGTGGCGAATCAGGCACAGATACTGAATTTGCCTTCCAGTGTGCAGGCTCTTCGTGTGACAGATCGCGCCTGTACTGAGGAACAGTGTGCGCCGTTGTACTGGTTGGTCTTTCAGCACGGTATGCCCAGTAGTGCCAGAGGACCACGTCCTAGGGGCCACCGTCCGACCGGCCTGGACTGAGACCTCAGAAAGGGCGGCGGCTCACAGAATAGAGAAGCTCAGAGCACCAGAGCAGTCAGGGCAGCCGGGGGCCAATTACGCGCTTGCAAATCGGTAACCCTGCAAAACAACCCCGCCCGATGTGTCCTCGCAAATGACCACCCCAGTCTCCCCTCAAACCCACCCCGTCGAAAATTCTCTACTACAACACACCTTCCGCCCAACCACAAAACTCCTGTTCCCTTTCCTTTTGGAGACGCTCTTTGGCACTCTCTCGCATCTCTTTCATTCTCTTCTTCAAACCCTCCAGCTTTCATTCCCAAATCCTTCAAAATGGCCGAAGAGCACGTACGTATCCCGAACTAGCATTTGATCTTCTCACTTTCCCTTCGTTGTGCCCAGCGCAAAAAAAGAAGCAGGGGAAAAAATAACACCCCGCACCGCCCACCGTGTGCACCGTACTCCACGACATCAGGACACTGCCCATGACACATCCTGTCGTCTACACACCACGATGGCTTTCAATCAATACTAACTGACGTTTTCTTTTCGCAGGGAGACCACGCCTTCGAGGTTGAGGCTCAGGGTGATGCCGGTGCCTCCGCCACCTACCCTATGCAGTGCTCTGCCCTGCGCAAGAACGGCTTCGTCGTCATCAAGGGCCGCCCTTGCAAGATTGTCGACATGTCCACCTCCAAGACCGGCAAGCACGGTCACGCCAAGGTTCATCTGGTCGCCCTCGACATCTTCACTGGCAAGAAGCTCGAGGATCTCTGCCCCTCCACCCACAACATGGACGTCCCCAACGTCTCCCGCCGCGAGTACCAGCTTGTAAGTATTGTCTTTGGGGGACCCCTCCCCAATGTACCTTCGCACATGAAGCAGTGGCTAATGGCACATTGTTCACAGCTCGACATCTCTGACGATGGCTTCCTTTCCCTCATGACCGACGATGGCGACACCAAGGACGATGTCAAGGTTCCTGATGGTGAGGTCGGTGACAAGATCACCCGTCTTTTCAAGGAGGAGGAGAAGGACACCAGTGAGTAGAATACCCTATCGCAAAATGATCTGCATCAGTCACGCTAATTGGATCCCGCGCAGACGTTGTCATTCTGACTGCTATGGGTGAGGAGGCCGCTGTTGAGGCCAAGGAGGCTGCCAAGCAGTCCTGATTGCTTAAAAGAATCATGGGAGAAGAGGCGGCGATGCTCTGGCCAATGGTGTCTACCCGGTTTGACACTCGTCTATGGCATACAATGTCAAAGGAAATTTCATTGGGAGTTTACTTGGACCTGCCGCACGCAATTTAGTTTACGGTTGACGGACTTCATGATCTTATCTGAACACATGGTCTTCGCTGGAATGGCTTGAGCGTGCCATGCGACTCGTCGCGGCAAATAAAATTTCCATCAGCTGTCGGCAGACACACAAATTCCGTCTAGGTTTCTCCTGATGAAGCTTTATTCTCGTGTTAATGATCGCCATGTGCTGGTAAATTGCATCCTATGTAAAAGTAGATGGTCCCAGTCGTAGAAGGCTGGCCAAGATGCATCTTTATACCACAATGAGCTGTATGTAGAAACGATCATATCGAAATTGTAAACGATCGAGTCATTATTTTTAATTTTCCGGCAAGCCAGCCGAAATCTAAAATAAAAAAAATACTAAAAGGCCTTACCTTGGGCGTGTTGAGTGGTTGCGGGTGCTCCCGAGTACAATATGTCCTTTAACTTGTATAGTCAGTCAGACACCAGACGTTTCTGACACGACCACAAATATCACTTCCTATGTCTCACTACAAGCATCTACCACCAATATGACAGGTCGCAAGGAGAACTTGCATCGCTTCCCATCAGGTGAGCGCTGCGATGAATGCCGTGCGAAAAGATGGTATCTCGAGAGCGGGTTTCGCTACTGCGAGAATGGTCATCGCATTGAAGTAAGTCGTTCATGGGCCATCACTTACGATGGATTTTTTCATATAATTTTCCTTCTTCGTAAAAACATGGTCTGATCTTCGACTCTAGGGATTCGTTGAGGTGGACATCGATGAGGAGGACAACTTTGGCCAGACAGGGCGCATAAGCCGCAAAGAGCGCGAGGTGAAGGAGAAAGCAACGCGTCATCTCGCTGGCAACGAGGCCCGCGAGCTCTACCTGGAGTGTCTACAGCTCGTCCTGCGCCGCCAGGTCTGGTGGCTGGTTCACGAGCGCAGGCTCCCTGCTGAGCTGGAGACGGTGGTGCGCGACCTGTGGGATCTGCGGATCAGGAGCTTTGCCGGGCTGAAGAGAACCGCTGCGGCTGAAGAGACCGACACGGAAATGGACTCGGGTACGGATGATGAGTTCTTCTCCTCCCAGGCGGGAAGCGAGAGCGATGCGAGCACGGTCTCGACAAGGACGACGGCGAGCAGGGCCAGGAGTTGGACGAGTGAGGCGGGTCAGGACTGGAACATGCCAGGGCTGTTTCATTGTCTTGCCCTGTGTTACCTGGGTTGTCTGTCCCTTAGTCTGCCTGTGAGGGTAGGGCAGATCTATGAGTGGGCGAGGAGTGATCAGTTGCCCTTTCTGGGGGCTTTTGATGCTCTGCCCAAGGAGATGACGGACCGGCTCCCTGGGTCGTACCACCGAGCTTTGATGGTCAAGCACACGTCTTTCCAGGGAGGGGAGCTGCATCAGGCGGTGTTGGAGCTGATACTGGAGTATCATTTGAACTACGACATGGTGTTTCCGGCGCTGAATACGCCTTTGTTGCTCTTTCATTATCTAAGAGAGCTCGCATTGCCGGGTAGGTCCGGCGCATGTCCCTGGTGCTTGGGTGTCGGGACTTCAACTGACAAGAGTTTGTAGCGGAGGTTTACGTCCACGTGCGGGCGATGATCAGGCTTTTGAGCCTCATTTTCACCTTCAACATGAAAAAGAAACGATTCAGACTACTAGATCATCCGGATGTCCTGCTCATAGCAAGTGTTGTCTTCTCGACCAAGCTCATCTACCCCTTCGACGGCAAAGAGAGGCCACCACTCAGCTACCGTGACCCGTCCTCCTTACAGATGGACTGGGACAGGTGGCGAGAGCTCATGAGAGACAGCGAAGCGGAGGGCCTGGAGAGACGGGATATCAACAAACTGCAGCCCGAGGACGTGTGGAGTATGAGCGACAAGAAGATCGACGACTACCTCGACTGGTACGAGGAAACGCAAATCAAGCATGGCACAGAAACACAGGAGCTGAGAGAATTATTCCCACTCTCACAAAGGCGCAGACAGGTCTCGAGAAACACCCTGACAGAGGATGAGATTGATGAGAGGCTCAAGACGGCACAGAGCTACATTAGATCAGTGGCACCCGCAGCGGGCGGATGGCTGTTGAGAGCTGGTGATGCTCATGCAATCTATCGTTCTGTAGATGATTTACCTGAGACAGCGAGGGCATTCTACGGGAAGGCAGCAGAACTGTCTGGGTTGTCATTAGGGAGGCTTGTCAAGGCAGTCTACACCCTAGAACGGTCGGTAGGCCGGTGGTGCGTACGTGAAGAAAAGGCAGCCAAAGGAATATCCGAAGGCGATCAGTCTGAGCAAGATAGCCCAGAATAATCGAATCTCCCGAGTGCGTCGTAGCACAAGAAGCAAGCGCGTTGTTAGTGCCCGGATTCATTGTCCAGGAAGGCGCTGACCACCGTTGGGCGTCAACAACAAGCAGCAGTGACAGAGAAACTATTGTAGAGGCCCAAAGATGATACCGATGCTCCTACAATAATCAACAGCGTCTTCTTTTCACGGGGACTATTTCAATACTTTGTTGTTGCTGTTGACTCTTCCAATCTCCGATGTCAGCTGGCGCTGCAGCCGATGTTGGCACAAAGGACCTCACGTGACCCCACCAGAAAAATTACAGAGCCAGGGGTTCCACCCTGCAGCCCGCCTCCAAATCAATCTTTTGCCGCGATCGCCCGCCAAACCCTCTCTACCTCACCCACACCCAACGTCAAACCACTTACGAAGTGAAGCAGTCAAGAGTAAGTCATCAGCCGCTGTCCATAATCTGGCTTTCTCATGCTTTCCAAATGAATGCTGACAATGATTCTCCTCTCCAGTGCAGATGTAAGCCCTCCAACCCGACACCGACTCCGACCTCGACCGATCGATCTCGCCGCTTCGTACTGACCTGACGTCCAAACAGCTTCGTGAAGACCCTGACGGGCAAGACCATCACCCTCGAGGTGGAGTCTTCCGACACCATCGACAACGTTAAGGCCAAGATCCAGGACAAGGAGGGCATTCCCCCTGACCAGCAGCGATTGATCTTCGCCGGCAAGCAGCTCGAGGATGGCCGCACTCTGTCCGACTACAACATCCAGAAGGTCAGTGGACGCGATGTGCACCCAAAATACTGCCAAAGAGGAGGATTGGATGCGTCGAAAATGATTTCAAGGGCATAAGGAATTGGCGAAATTTCTGATGGACTAAGCCCGCTGACAATTCGCTACAGGAGTCCACCCTCCACCTGGTCCTCCGTCTCCGTGGTGGTCTGATTGAGCCCTCCCTGAAGGCCCTTGCCTCCAAGTACAACTGCGAGAAGATGATCTGCCGCAAGTGCTACGTACGTATCAACAGAGCTTGTAACCTCGATACGCAAAGTGGCATAAAAGCTGATAACAGATCCAGGCCCGCCTCCCACCCCGTGCCACCAACTGCCGCAAGCGCAAGTGCGGTCACACCAACCAGCTGCGCCCCAAGAAGAAGCTCAAAGTGCGTTGTTCTCTTTTAGTCACTCCGTCATGGACACAGCTAACATCGTTTTGCAGTAAACGACTCGCTTCTCGGCGTTCTGGTTCGGTGGTTTTACGATGGAGTATCAAGGAACATGGGAATTCACGGACAGCAGCATATGGGATCAGCTCAGATGCTCAAGATTACATAGTTGCCAGTGAATCGAGCCCAACGAAGAGAATCCATTTTTGCCACGATGCCTCTCATTGTACCAACTGAGAACTGCTGATGTAATATGGGTCGACCATGCCAGGCGTTGGTGGGAAAAGTTGCCTGTCGACACGATTAGACAGGGGCGGCTTTGGAGCCTACCAGTAATCAATCTGATGAACCGTCTTATCTCGATCCGCATAAAAACAATTTGCTTTGTGGAATTTTCGGAGAGTCGCGGAAAGGGAGCACCCGATACCAACATCACAATCGCCCTGGACGCTTCGAATACTGGTGATCAAGCTATTGAGAAAGAAAGGCACGCCTGGTGTCTATTTTTCCAAGATCTGATCATTGATTTGACATCCGAAGCTCCCTGTTGTGGTGTGAAGTAGACACACAGTTGTATATGACAGCGCTTCGTATAGGCTGTAAGAAATTTGCCGCCTGGTGCAAGTATCTGTCAGATCTCCATGCCCGAGCTCCAAGGAGCATAAGACGATATAACTGTATCCATATGCCTTCAATTCTGAATTGAATACTCTCAACCCCGACTTGGGACCTGATTCGTACTTGTTGTAAAGCTGGCTTAGCACGCCCAGTTTAGATGTTGGTGCGAATACGAGAGCAGAATCGGGTCCTTACAGCGTTTCTATCAAAAATAATCATAATAATAACTTGACGCTTGGAAAACAATATCTAAATGCTATGGAATACCTCGTTGGGTTTCTGGGATGGATTGAACGTGTTTGAAATCTGGCTGCTATTTTTATTTGTGTCTTCCTCAAATTGTTGTGTTCATAGGCTGACTTACCAGGATGACGATACAGTACGTACCCTGCGGGCCAACTGCGCGGACCCCTGCAAATCAATCAATGTTCAACTGCAAGCTGTCGACAAGGGAGCTGCACAACCTCTCTCCAGTTCTTCTCCCTACACAGCACTTTCAACAACTTCTCGACGCGGGCACTATTCCTGGGCTTAGAGGCACAAAGTCTCTCTTCGTTCTCAATCAAACCATCCATCCATATACGCCAAGCTGCTTCGACACTGCTGGCTCGCGCAAAATGTCAGGAGCGGGCTACGATGCGGTCGTAGACGTGGATGACGAGGTATGAGCAATGGCTCCCCCTCAAATAAAACTGAACTCCAGCCCTCTACGAACTATTTGTTCGCTAACAAGAGCCTGGAAACAGGGCGACCTTGGCCACACCGACCTCCAAGACGACCTCGAATTCCATCAGTCCAACTTCAACGAGAGCACGCCGTCGAACCGCAAAGCCCCCGGGTCCGCAGGACTCCCGCTGCCAGCGACCGCCTCCACAGGAGGGAAGCGCTTCCTCTGGTCGATGAGTTTCTATGCACAGTTCTTCGATGTAGACACATCTGCGGTGCTGCAGCGCTGCTGGGCCGCACTGTTTCCCAGGGCCAACTTTCTCGACGTGCTTGAGGGCAACCCGGACCTGTATGGACCGTTCTGGATCGCCACGACGGTGGTGTTTATCCTGTTCCTCGGCGGTACCATAAGCAAGTACCTCGCGACGACAGGACAGGAGCCATTCGTCTATGATTTCAAACTCCTGACCGGTATGAACCCCCCTTCCCCTCCCCCAATATCTTACAAACCCCACCCCAGTCTGTGGTAGTTGTTCAAAAGCATGAAGCTGACAACATCAATCACCAACCCCTCTCTGTACAGGCGCGGGAGGTCTCATTTATGGCTACACCCTCTTCGTGCCCATGGCACTCTACGTCGCCCTCCGCTACTTCGGCTCCGAGTCGGCCAACCTCCTCGAGTGCTGGGCCCTGTACGGCTACTCGAACCTGATCTGGGTCCCCGTCGCCCTCATCAGCTGGAGCCAGATCAGCATCCTCAACTGGGTGTTCGTGGGCGTCGGCTTCGGCATGTCCGTGGCCATGCTGCTCCGCAACCTGTACCCCGTGCTGAGTGCCACCGACAAGCAGACGAGCAAGGTGCTGCTGATCCTGGTGCTCGTGCTGCACCTCGCCCTGTCCATCGCCATCAAGATGCTGTTCTTTGCGCACGGGAGCCTGATCAAGGACGACCAGCCAGACAGTGGGCCGGGGGCTGGAGGAGGTAGTGACACGCCACCGGCTCAGGATGCGCCGCAGCTGTTCTAAAATGTTTGTGACTTTCGCGAATGCTGAGGGGCGGGGGGGGGGGGGGGGACTGGGTGATTGATCGTCGCCCTTCAGGGACGGAATTCATGGGCGTCATGGTGTCAATCCGCGCATGTATACTAGGTGGGCAACCTCCAGATGGGCTGTCCTTCTTTTATTTGGGAACCATAAATGGGACATCTTCTTTCAATTGCAATATCTGTTAGGTCTTTTACAGCATTCACAGAGCAGACTACCATGCATAAAATGACGACGCCTTGAGTGCCTCGTCATGGCCCTTCTTCTTTTGTCTTGCCCTTTGACTCACGACTTTTGTCTCTCTTGTTCCCACGGGCCTCTTATTGTTCAATCCATCACCTCTCCACCTCTCCGCCCTTTCCAGCCCAGTCGACCCAGCTTCCCGGATACTCCCCAACGCTGGTCCACCCAGCCTCCCTCGCCAGCCCCGCGGCAGCCCGGCTCCGCACGCCAGCCTTGCAGTAGAACACGACCTCATCTTCCTTGGCGGGACGAGAATACCCGAACCGGTCCTCAAACTCCTCGTCGGTGATGTGGAAGCTGTCGGGGGCGGAGGTCACGGGGATGTTGATGGCGTGGGGGATGTGGCCGGTGGATTTGAGCTCGCCAGGCTCGCGGACGTCTGTGAGAGGGGAAGGGAAGGAAGGAGATGTTAGCTCATCTATATCCTCTGTCTCTCTCTTTCTCTTTCTTCTTTGAGTGCAAAGGTTAAGACCAATTACACGTACCGACTATCACGATGTTCCTCTGGGCATCTTTTGTGAGCTTTTGGATCTGCACAGAAAAAAAAAAAATGGCCACCAATTAGCAAATGGAGCTCTTCCTCCCAACCCTGCCCTTCCCTTCCGTCTTTGCTATCGCTGTGACAAAAACCTTGTGACTTGTTTTGTGAAGGGTAGGCGGGCCCCTCAAGGACCCCGCTTGTCTGGCAAGTAGTAAACGCACGTCTTCAAAATTCCATATCTTGTTCTCCGTCTGCTGCGAATACCTCCTTGGGCCAGCTGGTGATGGTCCTCCTGCTCTTCTTGTTGCTATCGCCGCCCTCGCCGCCCCCAGTCGCAATGCCGGCACCGTTTGTCTGAGAGGTCGCGTCGCCGCAGCAGCGACACTGTACGGCCTCGCTAACCTGGCCGCGCAGGCAGCCTGTCGCAGCCCGCTGAGAGCTGGCCGTAGTGTTTGCCTGGAGGACATTGTCGAATCGCCGTTAGGTGACTTGACGCGACGGACAAGGCTCAAAAGGAGAAAGGATGAAAGAAGGAGGGGTGGGGAAATACAAAAAGTGCAATGCCGGTTGCGGAACGAGGATGTGTGATAGAAAGTTTGGCGGACCCTTGGTGGAGGATTGGAAGAGGGTTCAAGCCGCTCGGCCCGCTGATGTCACACTCACGCATCCATCCCCTGACACACGCAGCCTAGCACCAAGATCCAACCAGAAAGTTTAAATAGTAAGCTTCCTGACGACGTACTATCAATCGTTTGAAAGAAGCTGCACGTATACATTCAGTATCCAGCTTCTTATGGGAGCATCAATGTGTAGACTAGTCTTGCACTTTTTCATCGCCTTCCATTCTCTCTCTCTCGATTCTATCATCGTGCATCCCTCTTAAGCAGTTGGCGTGAGGCTATCATCCTCTAGAAGCACTCCCTCAGCGCCCTCCACGCCTGCTTCTCAATTGGTCCAGTCCAATAGCAGAACTATATACAAATTAGGTATTAAAAATTGTGCTTAGCACATCTACTATGCTGATGCTGCTTCTGCGGCTTCAGGCTTGTCTATCCTGTCACTTCACGCCCAAAAGACTGGGCAATGCGCCAGGCTCTGGCAGGCCTCCTGGCGGCGCTCATCAGCCGAGTTTTTACCACTTTCTCTTCTCAAAGGTCAAGGGGCAGTCATCCTGTTTCAAAAAGTGTTAGTTTTTCAGAATCCAATCACTTTGATATTCCAAATGATGCATGTCGTACCTTGGGGAAGATTGTAGCAAACACCTTGATCTCCTCGGAGAGGGGTGTGGCGTGGTGCTTCCAGTCCAGCAGTAGCGAGCCCTTGCCGACCATCAGGGCGAGGTTGAGCATGGCGTAGTGCTGCCCAATGCAGTAGTGAGGGCCTGTACCGAAGACCAGCCAGTTCTTTGCGCCCTTCTCCTCGGCATCACCGGTGTAGAACCGCTCAGGGTTGAACTCATCTGGGTTCTCGTAGATTTCGGGATCTCTCAACGATGGGTAGACAGAGGGGATGATCATGGAGCCTGCACAGCTGACTGTCAGTATCTATGTGAAGTAACGCGATGGCACCTGCTTGGGGGAGGGAGAGAAGGAAGAAGGGGGAAAAAAGAAGGACTCACCCTTGCGAACGGTATAAGTGTCTGAGACGGGGAAATCCTTCTTGGCCTCATACGGGATCATGATGACAGGGGGACGATATCTGAGGAGCTCCTTGACCACCGCACGTGTGTACTTGAGCGACTCGAGCTGATCCATGTTGACCGGCGCCCAAATATCGCCGTTGCGAACCTTGTAGTTCTCCTCCCTGATCCGGTCGAGAATCTCGGGCCGCTGAGCCATAATCTGGAACAGCCAGGTGGCGGCGCTGCTGGTGGCGTCCTGAGACGCGAACAAGAACGTGAAAATGGTCTGCCCGATTTCGTAGTCGTTGAACATGCGGATCAGAGGCGTTGGCTTCGTCTTGCCCTCCATGTTCTCGCCCTTGGCCTCGGCCTCTCGCCATCGTTCCGAGTCGAGCATGGCCTTGGTCCAACCATCCATGATGCACAGAACTTCGCCTCCGGCTGCCATGCGGACCTTGCTCTTGGCGGCGGCCTTGGCAAACTCCGCCAGGACCATATCCGCAGCCTTCTTGCCGTACCAGGTCTTGGTGTATGGGAGGATGATAGGGAAGTTGACCAACTCCAGAGCCTCCGTGATCATGTAGTAGTCGTCGGCGATCTTCTTGACGGCCTCGTCCGAGATGTAGTATCCACAGAAAGTCCGCAGAGACACAGCGGTGACAATCTCACGGAACTGGTGCATGAACGGCAAGGGCTTGCCCTCGGCGTCCTTGGTCATTTGGAGCCACTTCTTGAAGTATCGGTTGTACACTTCTTCCTGGCCGGGCAGGTAGTTGTCCAGGATCGAGCGCGCGAAGAGACCGTTCAGACCCTTGCGGAAGTCGACGTGAGCCTTGCCGTCCAGGAACACCCAGTTGTCCTCACCCAGGAGCTTCGAAGCGACATCGACGACGCAGGGTTTGACGAATGCCGGCGAGTTAAGGACCTTGCGCGCCATGTCGCGGGTCGAGGCGATGACAACAAACCTAAGACAACAAGAAATTAGCATCTGCTATACTGGCGAGGAAAAAAAAAAAAAAAAAAAAAAGGGATATTGTGTTTTTTCTTTCTTTTTCCTTCTTCTTCTCTCGAAAGGGATCACATACTTGTGGAAGACGGAGACACAGCTGAGCTCTCCACTGGCCCATTTTGCCTGATATTCTTCGAACTTGGGGTTCACAGATTCGAGGAACGGTCCCATGAACGGTATCTTCATCGCAGGTCCGACGATCGTGCCCTTGTTTCTGATATAGCTCACTTATAAAGGTGAATTCTTCGTCAGCACGCGGCCTCCTTTCGTGGTTCTGGGGGGTTTGGAGCTGCGGACATACGCTGGTCGTAGACCACGGCAATTGCCAGGACGGTCCAGAAGGCGCCCCAGAATGTGACGCGGGAGATGGCATCAACAACGAGCTCGATCTGAGGAGGTATATTGATAGCGCCATAGTTCACATTCGCCAATGGCGAGGTGAAGATGGTGGTATTGTCCATTGCAGGGTACGCCAATGGTCGTGTGATCGCGATAGGAGATGTCTGTTCTGAATCCGAGAATTAGATTGGATTCGCGTTTTTGTTTTCCTTGAAACGATGACCAACAGCCTCTTGATAAACAAGTCGCGAAGGGTCACTCTGGCAAGGAGAAAGAATAATACTCACAATCGCAATTATGTTGGTGGGCAAGACCGCCGTGTCTGTCCTGAAGAAAGCCGCTGGGACGGGCGGAAGCGAATCTCGAAGATGCGAGACGAGGTGGATTCGCTTGGGGGAGGGGGGGAAGGTGAAGTCTCGGAGGTAGTGGAGTGGTGGGAAAAAGGTCCAAGAATGACTGAGCTTTTAGCTGCTTCTGGGATGTGCGGATGCAGGGTCTGATAGAGATTGCCAATTAGCATAGGAGGAAAACACAGGGGGTCCGAGCCTGGGGCAGGTTGGCTGTCGTGCGTGCAGGCTGCTGTTTGAGCGGATCTTGTTCGGAGCAAGGACGGCCCAGCAGAGAGGCCCTGAGTCGTGCCTTTTCTTTTTGTTCTTTTTTTCTCCTATCAATGATAAAATAAATTTATCTCTCTTACTAGGGGTCCTGAATTTGTACCAGTAGATGTATTGATAATCCAATTGCAAACTCAACAATTATCCATAACGACCTTGAGACACACCCATCTGTTAACATTGGACGTTGCTGCAGAGGGGAGCAAGGAGCTATGGCCAATTGACCAATGATAATGAGACAATCACTATAAGACTGCACAATTGATATGCGAGGCCGGGACGGATAGTCCAGCATCCGAATCAGACCACGGCACGAAGTCGCCTCGACCTTCCAAAGTGCCACCACCCGCTGCGCCTCCTTTGGACGCAAATGAACATATACAGGAACGGGGATGACATGTTTGTCAACCACAGTAGTGCGCTCTTTGCCAAGATCGCCAAATGCAAATACTTACAGTACCGCCCAAAAGATCGTCAATGCGCGCCGTCCATTGGCTGTTTCCCCTGACCCGGAAAGGGGTCCGGGTCTTCGATGTCTCAGGCGAATTTTGATTTGTCCAAACGGTCTTCGGCCTGTTTTTCAGCACAGCAAGTCATCTGCAGCGCACAGTACACGACACATAATGGATGACGAGTAAACTATCTGGTACACTTCCCACTGCATTTTCGTCATATAAAAAACAATGGAATGAGGCCGTCGATGGCTCGATGCTGGTCTGACGTGTGGATTGCTTCTCACGCTTACTATGCGCATGCAGCAGTAGTCCCGTTATCGAAATTTTTCGGTGAACGGCCCGAGGATCTGGGAACCTCCCCTCTCCACCACAAACGCACATTGATTGGTTGAGATCCCGGGCACGAATACGAATAAGAGCTTATGTAAGGCACATCTCAACGACATCATTATATCGTCAATACAAGAGCGACAGAAGCAATAGAGCCAACTATAAGTGGCTCAGGATTATGGTCGCAGAAAGTCTTGTTGAAGATGGGAGGGCTTGCCTCTGTTTCTTGAGAATACTGCCCCAAGAGGTCACTTGATATTGTTCAGATGACCTCGATCACATTCTCGATGTGTTTCCCGGTGAACGTTCTGCCCTGCCTCTTTTAGGGATGGCTTGACATGCACCATGTGTCTCACCTTCCTCCGGAGGGCTCTGATCCCCGACTTTCTTTGGGGGAGGGGGAGTAAGCAGGCAGGCAAGGCCCAGGAAAACAGACCGCTCATCCTCTTTCGCTGCCCAAGGGATGCATGTTACACTCTTAGTCCACGTCACCGACCGCCTTCGAATGCTGATGAATCAAATAACCCTCCTCCAGTGTGGCAATAGTTGGCCCGGTACTTTTACGATCTCGGCCCCGAGCTTGCCGGTTTGCCTCAGTATCTACATGCAACCCAGCTGCACGAAGCAATGTGTTCCCTGGGAATCTTGTTGCCGTAGTCTTCGTGGTCTTGTCTCGGACGTCCAACAACATCTGTGCGCATGAATAGAGTGAGAGAATACAACAATAGATACGCGGGTCCAGGGCTGTTGACAGTTCTATTCCCGAGAGATGTATATGTTGCGCAAGAGGACAAGCCATAATGATAATATTGTTCAAAGGCTAGACAACATCATCTAAAATGTGTCATCCGAAATATTGGCGTTCATCTTCACAATAGTGGGACTATACTCGGAGGACTCCTCCGGTTCCATACCAGCCGTGAGAAGGATGTCGTCGACGATTCGCTTGCTCGCCTCCCGTGCTGTGTTGTGAGAGAAGTCAGCATAACAATCGCCAAGAAGAGAGCAAAGACTGTTTGTGAGTGGTGTTGGGAGGGAGGGGGGCTCACCAGGAGTCTGCAGAAGCTTCGAAGGCGGCAGGGCAAACTGGATTGTCTTAGGTGGGCTCATACCACCATACACATCGTCCTCATCGCTGTCCCAAGAAACCTCATCTCTCTGCCTACCCCGCTCCTGGCTCTTGTCCGCGTATACATCCTTGGTCTTCCTCGCCGTCGCAGGCGTCTGCACGCTCACCCCAGGCGTGCGCGGGCCGCTCGAAGCAGGAACACGTCCAGCAGGCCGACCGCCAGCAGGGAACTTGACAGGCGACATGAACGCCGCGCTGCGGAGTGTCGGGATGGCCATTTCGGGCGAAGACATGGGCGAGTCCTCCTGCCAGGCGGGTAGCTTGCCCTTGTCCTGCGGCTTCTCCGTGACCTTCCACTTGATTGGGGAAACGCCAGTGGGCTTGTGCGGCGTCGCCTGGATGCGGTAGTTCTTATCCAGGAGTCGGTGGAGGAGAGGATCCTTGTTCTTGCGCGCTGTTGAGAAGACGTCGTCCTCGGTAAGGTCCGCCCCGCCCAGCGACGATCGAGGCGTCATCGACATGTCTGGCAGCCGGGTGGTGTGTTGGTGAGGCACGATGTCAGAGTCCGAGTCGTCTCCTCCAGATGCCTGGTCGCCGCCGCCGTCGCCGTCGCCCTTCAGCTCCCTCTTCAGCTGTTCGTAGGGCGAGCCCAACTTGGCGAAGTGTGGTCGAGATTTCTTGGGTGGAGCTGCGCGCGGCGTGCTGCCAGCAAGATCGCCGGTTCCGTCGTCCAAAAGGGACTCGTCCTGTTCGTGGTAGGAAGCCGTCTCGTCGGCGGTGATGGAGTGATCGTCTGCCTCGCGACGGGGCGTGTAATCTTCGGTGGTCTCATCATGCTCGGTCGTTTCTTCTTCGTTCGCAGTCGTATCCTCCCCGTCCGCCGCTAGCTCCTCGTATCCTGACAGTGACACATTCGCTGATGCCTCGAAGAATTGCTTCCAGAACTGAGACATTGTCAGCCCTCGAACCAAAAAAGAGGTCAGACGACGTCTTGAGCACGCATACCTTGGAGGCTTCCCACACAGCCTTAGAGTGCTCTCCATATTGCTCAACTAGCGGCAGGATGCTCGTTGTGACGATACGGTGCGCTCGGCTAAAGTTGGAATCGATTTCTGCGCCGACAATCAGCCTAGGACACCGTGACATCAGTTCTGGCTCTTACCTTGCAGCGTGAGGGTGATGGACTGCTCGAGCCTCTCAAGCTCCTCGGTAAGCGTCAGCTGTCTTGACATTGAAGAGCCTGGCCGAGACATTTTCTTTTTATTCGTGGGAGGAGAGTTGATGTGCGAGATCTATTTCAGTCTGCGATGGGGTATTTTCATTGAACGCAAGGCGCGTCCGTCGTTCTAAGTTGGAGACGCGTTGCGGGGTCACCCACAGCAAAGGCGTGGGGTGAGCATGGGGCCTCTTCCTGTTTAGCGTGGGTGGTAGGTGGGTGCCATGGCTTTCCTCTAACATCACATGGATCATATATTGTAATTCATTCACCCAAAAAAACACACCAATCTTTTTCAGTCTCGCATATTCAGTGACCAGAGATGTCATGACAATTACAAGGCTTCCCAAGCTGCTTTTTCCGTAACCTCAATTGCTAGTAATACAGGGGTATATTCAGGACTTCCGTGTTGTCTCCCATCTTGCCTTTAACGCCAAATGTTGGGTTACAAAATCCAGTAAAGAAGCCAGTCAGACAGACTATGCGTCTCAGCGTCTGCGTCCTCCCCTCCCCCGAGCCCTGCCTCTCCTCCCACCCCGTCCGTGTCCTCTGGTAGTTTTCACAGCAGGCGCCTCGTCCTCCTCCTCTTCCTCCTCTTCCTCTTCTTCTTCGTCGCTGTCCTCAGAAGACGACTCCTCCGACTCTTCATGCGCCTCCTGGTCTTGTCCATTCTCTCCCTCTTCCTCTTCCTCCGCCTTCTTGGATGCCGCACGTTTTGCGCTTCGAGCACTGCGTGCACGTGCAGACTTTCGAGGTGGGCTCATAGGTTGCTCCTCAGCCAGCTCATCATTCTCTGCCTCCGAGTCTTCGACCGTGCTAGATCTGGTCTTGGGGTGGTGGCCACTCGCGGGCTCACCGCGCTTGCGCTTCTTGTTAGAGGCAGGGGACTTGTGAAGCTGGGCCGGCGATGAGGGCGGGTCGTTGGCGTCGGCCATGGCGCGCTGCATGATCAGGTCGCCATACTCGTCCCAGGGAAGGTCAAAGGGCTTGAATTGATCATCGTAGTTGGGGTCCTGGACGACGTCCATTGTATTCTCGCGGTCGTCGATCATGGGCATGTTGAAGTACTCGTTGAGCTTCTGCCATATTCCAGGTATGCGGAGGTGGGTATAAACGGCCGGGTCGTATCCGTTTGATCGCATATGCTCTGCTATTGCTAGCATTCTGAAGTGTTTGTGCATGCCTGGCCAGTCCAATATTAATTAGCAAAGGAAGGATTTGGATGAGGGGATGGCCAGGGCCAAAAGAGAAGGCGGGTGCGCGCACCTGCAGGCTTCCAGCGTATGACGGCCTTGAGAAGCATAGACACCTGATCATCCGTCCACGGAGATTCAAGGTCGACTGGAGGAGCTGAATTGGCGGGTGCAGCTGTTGGAGTGTCGGCGGCCTGTGGGGTGTCCACGTCCATCGCATCGTCGTTGCTAGCCGGCGTCGCGGTGGTCGACGCACGACCCTTCTTCTTCGGAGGCATCTCAATTTGGTAGTTATCGATACGGTACAGCAGTCGGGGCGACGAAAAATGCCAATGGAATAGGGCTGCAAGGTGAGGCGGTTGTGTCTGTCCACTTGTGAGGGGCGTTTGTTGCGAAGATGCAGCAAAGCCAATGATGTCCATGTGCAGCTGCAGGAGAGCTCACATCCCTGCTGAGCAGTGAGCGATAAGACCTCGAGGCTGGCGATAAGGGTCAGGGTTGCAAGGCTACGCGACGCGTCTCAACGACAAGGTGAACATCAACCTTCAGGAAGAAGCCAATATACGGAGAGGCTTCTTCAATTCTCATGCTCGAGTATTAGCTGATAAGCTTGAATACTCGTGTTATCGCACCAAATGGCGTCGTTCGCGACCGAGGGGGAAAGCGTCGCGGACCTATTCTATCGACCAGATTTCTGGAAATCATCCAAACTACTCAGCTCGCCTCCGCCTCTGGCTAAAGACTTCTTTGAACTGGTCGTCAAGAGTGGGTGAAGTCAGTATGGGGACAATTCTTTCGAGTCCATAAGACTAATGTGCAGGTAGATGGATGCATCAGCAGCGGCACGCCGGCAAAGAGTGATGCAGGCTATTTCAAGCCTCCACCCGACCTTGAGCATGTCATTCCACTCGAGCACCCATCCGTCGAGCTACCTGGGAACCTCGATGATGTGTCTATGATCGACTCAGCATCTGAGGTTGAAGAAGACCTATGGCTCTTCCGTGATGAGGCCGCGGCGAAACTCCCGGAGTTCAAGACCTGGGATGGATTCGCACTGTCCAAGGTGAATCTTGAGCTGGCAAATTTCACCACTGAAGCTGGTGCTTCTGCCTACGATATCTTCCTAGCTCTGGACAACAATCCTTGTGGCCTTGACTCCCACAGCTCTTACAAGACTCTGGATCCTCGGGGTTGGGCCGCGTGTCTTCTTGCAGTTTCCCTTGGCCGAGAATCCGTCATGTTCTCTTGGAATGAAGAGAAGATGATATTCACGCCTGCACTCGAGCTGACGAAGGTGCCTGGCTACTCAGGCGACTCTCTTGCCGGCATATTGCAACTATGCACGTCATGTGGCGAAGCCTGTCGTCGATTGCGGTCTTATGTGGAAATGTCGTACTCGACCAATGCGACGCCGTCTCGGGTCGCCCTTGCTAATGCCCTTGACAAGATGCTGCTCGTCGCGCAAGACGAACTCGGGGCGCGGGGGCTGAGGGTCAGGTCGATTCTCCAGCTTCAGTCTCTGGTCAGACCGGTCTTTGCTATCCTGTCGTACTTCCAGAAGCTGGTCCAAAAGGTCAAGAAAGCCGAGCGCGACTCGGCTTTCTTGTCCATCATCTACGCCGAGGCACAGTCTGCGGAGCTGGGTGAGCCATTTCTGAGAGACGCCATGGGTGAGATCCTCCGAATGGTCTCCAAGCCGTTCACGGACTTTGTTGAGGAATGGATTGGCTTGAGACCTGAGGGGGGCATGCCCATCAGCAAAAACGGCCCCGGCAAGAGCTTCGTACGGTGCGATAGTCATATGTGGGTTGACGACCAAGGTTTCGAGCTGGAGGAGCCAGACTACTTCCTTGACATGGATTATATGCCAACCTTCATACCTGACGATATTGCGCAGGCCATCTTTGAGACCGGCCGAAACCTTCGCTTTCTGCAGTCCTATCAACCGCAGAATCCTCTGTCGTCCCTCCGTGCCGTTGCTATTGGCGAGCCACCAAGACTCGAGTGGCAATACGATTGGGAATCAATCACAAGGGTGGAGCAGAAAGCTCTGGCATTCCATCACACGGTTTTGGACACCCTGCGCAAACACCAGGTTACGGTCGATGACGACCGCGATGGAGTGCAGGTCGATGATGGCATAGGTGAAGAGGAACCTGTTCTGCAGTTCTTTGGCAAAGACGAGTCACATCTAGAGCAGACGGTTCTTGCCTCAATTGCACATTTGGATCATCCTGTCGCAAAGGTCGAGCCGTGGGACAAACTCTCCAGGTTGCTCAGAGAGAAGCTCTTCAGCATCCAGGACGAGACAGATGCAATCGGAACTGAGTTCAGTCCACATTGGTCATTACTACCACTGCTGTCCTTCGGCCCCGTCATCTTTACACAGGCTCGCCTCGTGAACCGCGAGTGCCTACGGCTCCTCTACGCTGAACACAATCTACGAGAGCATCTCAGGCTACAGAGAGCATTCCAGCTACTGGGGAACGGCATGTTCTCCAGTCGCCTGTCCAACGCTCTCTTCAGCCCAGAGATGGATACAACGGAAAGACAGGCAGGCGTTGCGAGGTCTGGCGGTGCCATGGGACTTCGCCTAACAAGTCGTGACAACTGGCCGCCTGCCAGTTCTGAGCTGCGCCTGGCCCTGGCAGGTGTGCTGTCTGAGAGCTATCAACAGACCTCACCAGGTGCCGATGGGAACAACAACATAGACCCTCTCCCTACCAAACACGCTGCACTGCCTGGCGACTTGAGCTTTGCTATACGGGACCTATCACCTGAGGAGATGGAGAGATGCATGGACCCTGATGCTCTCGAGGCTTTGGACTTCCTGCGCATGTCATACAAACCGCCACCGCCTCTCTTGCCCATCATGACGCCTAGTGTACTGGTCAAGTACGACCACGTCTTCAAGATGCTTCTTCGCGTGCGGAGGATGCTGTTCGTCGTCGACCAGCTCTTCCGCGACATGTCCTCTGGAGCCTTTCGCTGGCAAACCCCCGATGATACCTCGCTCCGCTTCCGCATCGAGGCACACCATTTCGTCTCCAACATTGCCCGCTACTTCTTCGACACGGGCATCGAGAAGCCATGGCGCGGCTTCGAACGCTGGCTTGACAAGGTTGAGAAGGGACTCCAGCAAGAGACCTCCAGCGGCAGCGCTCCTCCTCACCACCAGCCACCGCCCTCAGCCGTCAGCCCAGACCGCCTCGGCGAGCAGCACGAGCGCACCCTGGACGAGATCATGACCGCTCTGTTCCTACGAAAGCGACAGCGGCCTGTCCTGGAGCTGCTGGAGGCCATATTCACGCTCGTCCTGCGGTTCGCCAAGGCGGCTAAGCCGCGCGCTGAGGAGGGGGCCCAGGGGCCCGCACAAGAGGTACAAGACCTGTACAGGTCGTTCAGGGAGAAGGTCGAGGTCTTCATCACCGTGTGCAGGGGTCTGAGTGAGAAGTCCGGGTACGGACACAAGCGGGACAGGGATAGATTGCAGGAGAATCCCATTGAGATGCTCTTGTTGTTGCTTGACATGTCAAATTACTATGTCAAGCGCTAGAACATGAGTCCTGACAAGTAGCATGAATCAAGACTTCGCTCTCGCCGGACAAGCACATGAGCGGTCAGGTCGGATCCTGCGCGAGTAAAGAAAAGAGCACCCCACGAGGCTTCATCCTAATAATATTTTGTCTCAGAGAAGAGAGAGAGAGAGAGAGAGAGAGAGAGAGAGATTCGAGGCGTTCATGTTTTGACCCAAGGCAGGCTATCCTAGGTTGACTAATTCCACAGGGCAAACCCAGCCCGCAAAGTCATGTTGTTTTGGGCACTTGTCAATGGAGACAAGACGCATTGAACAGTGTAAAGCAACATTCTCCATCCCAGGTGCATCCAGCTCTCATGCCCTTCTTCTCTCGCATTCGCAAGAGGGTCTCGTCGCCTCATAGTCAATGCATCCCTCTCCTCTTTGTGCAGGCAACAAGCTGTCGTCAAGAGTCCACTTTCTCGACTCAGGCAATTTCGAAGTACAGTAGTATGTTTCATCCGCCTCACTTGTTGTCGTCCGTGTTGCAAAATTAGCGCATTTGCCTTTGGGGCTTGCATGTAGAATAATACCAATAACAACAACAATGACAATAACAACAAAGCTGATTATCAAAGACTTCCCCTCTCTATCATTACAAAGCAAAAGCATGAAGCATTTTCTCTTCATGATGTATAAGCGTGCTCCTTGCTGGTCACTCGTATGATATTAGTATCTCCAGTACAAGTTATCTTGGATGATTTACTGGCGCTGGGTCAGGTTTAACAATATAACAAAATGTTTTGCGCGCTGCCAATACTCTGATCATGTGTTAGATGCACCAGAGAGCTATGATTAAAAAGCCGCGTTGGTAAGGAAACATCAGCGGCTTCAAGGAGGGGGGAGAGACACTGATTTTGTCATGTCTTTACGCTGCTGGGGAAGTATCCCTTCTCTTCACGGTCTTGAGAAAGAAAGGGTTCTCCAGATTGGGTCCTTTCTGGAGGCTAGTTTCAACTCTGGATAGTAAATATCCCAAGAGTCCAGTTTTGTACATCCACCCCCTTGAGAAACTTCACTCTGAACTGAGGGATATGTGGGTAGCGTCTCTCCTATTCTTCAAGACCGTCTTTCATTCTACCAACATAATTCTCCGTGCCTACAAACATTTACGCCTTTACCACAAAACGGTACGCTATTGCAATGTGCTTGTAGTAGCACAGTCAACATTGAGCCAAGTATCGCAGACCCAACCTCGTCCCTTTCCTCTTCATCTTCATCTTCTGCCCCAAAAAGGTAGTTTAAGGATGATCTTGTGTTTCTTTGGTTAGGATTAGGAGCTATGTTTGTATGCAAATGATTACCAAGACTACTAGAACAGTAATCGTACCATAGTATATGCAACTACCAGGACAAATATGTCGGGAAAGGGTATCATGGGACAGGACAAACCCAAGCCCTTGTCTCCACAAGAAAAGCCGAGACATAAGAATAGAAAGGATAAACTCCTCCCCCCCCCCCCTCGCCCCAAAAAAATGATAGGTAGAATTAAAGGCTCATGCAGCGCCATGGAAACAACCAAGACTACTGCCAAGCGACGGTCACGAAGTTATCTTGCGCCCCCCCTACTAATGTCCCCTAACGAACCAGACCGTCTTGCTCTCCCTTCACATACAGCAAGATCTCCTGACGATCGTCAGATGCTTAGTCGGCAATGACAAACAAAACGCGCGCAAGGAGAAGACACGTATGAGCACACCAACAGTAACACATTCTCAAAGGAACCTTTTCGGCGCTAAACGAGCTTCATGTTTTGATTGGCAGGGCCGGGCATGCACAGTATGCACACTAGCAGTACTATGGTACATACATAGGTCAGGTAGTTTACGAGGGAGGGGGGGAATAACGAGGATTTACCGGACGGCCGGCATCAGGGGCTCTTCTTCCCGTTCTTTTGGGCACCGCGACAAGCAGGGTCTCAACTCTCGCCGATCCTCGGTTGGCTTGCTGAGGTGTGCTGCGAGTTGGTCTGGGAACTGTCCTGCGATGTGTGCCCTTGCCAAGACCTCTGGGCAGAGCGAAGGACGTTTTAGATTTATGGCGTCCTGCTGGGCGAAAGGCGGTCCATTCGCTTCGCTGCGGCTTGCTTGAAACGCGCGCAAGTCTGTATCAGCTTCGACATGCTCATAGCATACTATACAGTACGTACCATACATAGTACTAGTAAATACCACCATAGGGAGACCGTCGCTGCGGTGAAAGGATGGGCCCTTTTGCTTTTTGGAACAAGGGCGGGGGGGGGGGGGAAGACAGGTTCAAGGGTCCTACTCGACAGTAACAAGAACGACAACAACAAACGTCCCAACACGTGTTGCGCGTCTTTGATCTCCGCGCTCGCTACAACGATAGCGTAGCGCGGTTTGTGTCTGGTACGGATCCGCAGGCCCGGTTGTCGTTGCAAGCTGGTTTGACAGCTCTGATCCTTCTCGGCTTTCACCCACGAACCAGGATGAAGGCGAAGCGCCAGGTCACCGTGGTTGAGCAATTGAGAGAGAGACCCGCCGCGCCTATCCCTTCGCGCTCTATTTAGCTATAATGAAAACAGAGAGACGGAAAAAAGAATATTACTTACAATGCCGCGATTAGCCTCGAGGTCGTTCCTTTTGTTGGTACTAGAGTACGTTTCTATCCTACCATAGTATGTGTATACGCTTGGTACATAGTACTTGGCGTGGCCTCACGGTGACGCCCTCCCAAGAAGCCCAACGAAGCTATTGCGAGGGCCATTGTGGTCTCCATACATATGCTGGACTTGCAGAAGCGAAGAAGAGTGAATGGCTACCTGGCCAAGAGGCCCACCACCAGCAGGGTAGCAACTGCATTGTCGCATCGCAGGGAGCGACATAACAACCAGGACCAGGACCAGGACCAGGACCAGGACCCTAGAAAGGGTACCGTGACCAGCAAGACCGGAATTGGGACCGTGGGATCGCAGCCAGCGACCCGGGTGTGGGCCTCACCGCCCATCTTTTGGGCGCCTCAATGTGGGTATCAATGTACTATGTACAGAGAGTACCAGCTGGCAGGGGAGAGGGGGAACCATCCCGCGCCAGAGTGTAGACCCATGCTGTTGTCATGTTATGGCAGGGAGGAGCGGCGCGTCAATAAAAACCTGAACACGATTCAGCCAAAAGTGCCCCAAGATTTAGTGGAAACTTTGTTGCCAGACAACTCTGCAAATCAAGGAAGAAGACGACGAAGAAGACTGGCCGCTGGATGCCTAAATTGCTTTTAGAGTCCGAGCCGATGGAAAACTCGGGTCAAGATTTGACTCGACTGCCATCGGTAAGGTCTATGTTGACTAATGATTAGCGAGCTCTAGAGCGTTCACACGTCAAGGTAGCTTGGGCTCCATTGTTTCGTCGGGTCACCAGTTTTTAAACTCATGGGTCTTCTGAATCCTGCATGCCTCAACCGAAGGGGATGGAGGGGGGAGGGGGGGAACGTTTAGGTGGGCTTGAGAGGGGTCAAAAAGGTGCAGTACTACCATAGTATGTCTATGTACCAGAGTACATGGTAAGAAGACATACTGTACGTACCCGAAACTAGGACTGGCTGTCGCCTCCTCTCCTATGTTGAGCGAGACTCGGAGGAGGGTGTCGTGAGGCGGCGGCCGAGGATCTTGCCTGATGGCCCCTCTTCGACTGCCGGGCTCCAAAATTCCCTGGTCTGCTGTCTCTCGCAGAGAGCCTCAAGTCAAGATGTATGTAAGATCTGGGGCGGCGGCTGGAGCCAACAGCTGATCCAGCACCAAACAAGTTGCTGAAACGTCGCCTCGCAATCCTCACCGACACGTCGTCAGGGCTCAGGTGTGGTTTGCCGCTGAACTGGGAGAAACGACAGGGCCTCACCGTACAATCACGCGTAGGAGACGTGTTTCGCGAGGAGAGACGACGACCTCACCTCGGCAAGCTTCCATCACTGGCGAGATGGCCGTCCATACACACGCTGCTCATTTTGGCTCGGCAATCCCACTCGGACATACGCACCTGAATTGTTGGCGCACCCCTCAAACCTTGACATACGAGGACCACTAGTATCATAGTACTATGTACATAGTAGTCACGGGATGCAGGGCATTCGGAAATCGTGACCCGCGGTTATCCCTCTCCCTCTCGGCCTAATTTCAACAGCAGTCTCGACTGCCTCATCGACACCATCAGGAGACGTGAACACAAGGGAACCTGCCTTTCTGTATTCGTCCCAAAGCCGATAATGATCTCGTCTCAGAGCTCGGCCTTTGTGTGATTGCATTGTAGAGAGGAAGGGGGAGGGTTGGCTCGCACAGACCCCGGACATCGTCCGAGAGAGAAAGGGAAAAAAATTCCGCGACTGGTTTAAGCTGCCACGTTGTCGACCACGAGGGCTGATGAGCCAAGACAACTTGTCGCTTCCAACTACCCATTATTGAGCACGCCAACTATTGCTTGTCCCTAGTGTTGGTCAGTTTTCATCTCATAAGCAGGGAACCAGCGGTCAGTGAACAAATGCAGAGCACAGTGTTTGTATGCACCCAAAACAAACCACGAAATGTAAAGGGGGCACTCGCACTTCCATGACTCGTTACGATAACATAACAAGTACTGGACAGTCATTGCTAGCCCGATCGTTGTTCACGGGAAAAGCCGTGTATGGGTACTTTACTGAGGAGTCCAGACGGTTGTCGCAGCGGTGATGCCTAGGAGAACCTCCAAGGTGACCCCTCGTAGCCTAAGCATGACACTTGTTCAGCCATAGGCCCCCGTCTCGGTTTTCCTTTCTGGGAGGATCCTGTGGGGCCGGAAAGCCACCGCGGTATAATCGTAGGCGCAAGCTGGTGCCAGAAACAAGTGCTGTCTCTTTTGGAGATCCTCCATAGCTCCTGTGAGCCTTTCTCCCACGGAAAGCTAACCACGAGGTGCTGATCTTCCTCAAGACGCATGTGCTATTGCTATTGTCCCATCATCTCTGTGTGTGGCGCTCCAGGGCGCTGTGACAATCCCATAGAAATGGTCCAGCTATCGAAGGCTTATTGGGACGGGCCTTCCGCGTACAGCAATTGTGTTGCTATCTTTTCCGTATTTCCGAGCTCACGATAGCACGGTTAGAATATAAGCATCGTGTCTGGCAACCGAGGTAGGCTAACCTGGTAAGCCAATCTGCCTGTTGGTCCTGCAGTGTGCCCCTGCCCATGCCCTGGGAGATGAGGATTGTCGCGTGTCTCCCAGTGCAGGTTCGACCAAGCTGGCATATCGTCC